TGAGTCCATTAAGCACCGATTTGGGCGGATTTATTCCGGTTCAATTTTTGGCAGATTCCATAGGGGTACCATCACAGATTTCCGACGATTTATCTGAAATGCCATTTTCTTTCGATTCTGGAGGCTACAGATTTCGGAATCAGGCCGTGGCTATTCTCCACCGATAATGAAGTCTATTGATCCTATTCTCCACGGATGATAAGTCCGTTAAGCATCGATTTGGGTCAATTTATTTTTGGATGGCATTTTCGTAATTTCTTGGGCGACGAAAGGCCATTTTCTTTGGATATTGAAGGCTACAGATCACGGAATTGGCCTGAGGCTATTCTCCAACGATGATTGAGTCCAATAAGCACTGATTTGGACGGATTTATTCCGGGTCAATTTTTGGCAGATTCCAAAGGGGTACCATCACAGATTTTGTGCGATTTATCCGAAATGTCATTTTCTTTCGATTCTGGAGGCTACAGATCACGGAATCAGGCCGAGGCTATTCTCTACCGATAATGAAGTCTACTGATCCTATTCTCCACGGATGATAAGTCTGTTAAGCATCGATTTGGGCCAATTTATTTTCGGATTGCATTTTCGTAATTTCTTGGGCGACGAAAGGCCATTTTCTTTGGATATAGAAGGCTACAGATCAATGATTCGGCCTGAGGCTATTCTCCAACGATGATTGAGTCCAATAAGCACCGATTTGGACGGATTTATTCCGGGTCAATTTTTGGCAGATTGCAAAGGGGTACCATCACAGATTTCGTGCGATTTATCCGAAATGTCATTTTCTTTCGATACTGGAGGCTACAGATCAAGGAATCAGGCTGAGGCTATTCTCCACCGATAATGAAGTCTACTGATCCTATTCTCCACGGATGATAAGTCCGTTAAGCATCGATTTGGGCCAATTTATTTTCGGATGGCATTTTCGTAATTTCTTGGGCGACGAAAGGCCATTTTCTTTAGATATTGAAGGCTACAGATCACGAATTCGCCCTGAGGCTATCCTCCAACGATGATTGAGTCCATTAAGCAACGATTTGGGCGGATTTATTCCGGGTCAATTTTTAGCAGATTCCAAAGGGGTACCATCACAGATTTCGGGCGATTTATCCGAAATGCCATTTTCTTTCGATTATGGAGGCTACAGATCTCGGAATCAGACCGAGGCTATTCTCCACCGATAATGAAGTCTATTGATCTTATTCTCCACGGATAATAAGTCCGTTAAGCATCGATTTGGGTCAATTTATTTTCGGATGGCATTTTCGTAATTTCTTGGGCGACGAAAGGCCATTTTCTTTGGATATAGAAGGTTACGGATCACGGATTCGGCTTGAGTCTATTCTCCAATGATGATTGAGTCCATTAAGCACCGATTTGGGCGTATTTATTCTGTTTCAATTTTTGGCGGATTCCAAAGGGGTACCATCCCAGATTTCGGGCGATTTATCCGAAATGCCATTTTCTTTCGATTCTGGAGTCTACAGATCTCGAAATCAGGCCGAGGCTATTCTCCACCGATAATGAAGTCTATTGATCCTATTCTCCACGGATGATAAGTCCGTTAAGCATCGATTTGGGCCAATTTATTTTCGGATGGCATTTTCGTAATTTCTTGGACGATGAAAGGCCATTTTCTTTGGATATTGAAGGCTACAGATCACGGATTCGGCCTGAGGCTATTCTCCAACGATGATTGAGTCCAATAAGCACCAATTTGGACTGATTTATTCTGGGTCAATTTTTGGCAGATTCCAAACGGGTACCATCACAGATTTCGGGCGATTTATCCGAAATGCCATTTTCTTTCTATTCTGGAGGCTACAGATCACGGAATCAGGCCGAGGCTAATCTCCACCGTTAATGAAGTCTGCTGAACCTATTCTCCAGGAATGATAAGTCCGTTAAGCATCGATTTGGGCCAATTTATTTTCGGATGGCATTTTCGTAATTTCTTGGGCGACGAAAGGCCGTTTTCTTTGGTTATTGAAGGCTACAGATCACGGATTCGCCCTTAGGCTATTCTCCAACCAAGATTGAATCCATTCAGCACCGAATTGGGCGGATTTATTCCGGGTCAATTTTTGGCAGATTCCAAAGGGGTACCATCACAGATTTCGGCCGATTTATCCGAAATGCCATTTTCTTTCGATTCTGGAGGCTACTGATCACGGAATCAAGCCGAGGCTATTCTCCACCAATAATGAAGTCTATTGATCCTATTCTCCACGGATGATATGTCCGTTAAGCATCGATTTGGGCCAATTTATTTTCGGATGGCATTTTCATAATTTCTTGGGCGACGAAAGGCCATTTTCTTTGGATATTGAAGGCTACAGATCACGGATTCGCCCTGAGGCTATTCTCCAACAATGATTGAATCCATTAAGCTCCGATTTGGGCGGATTTATTCCGGGTCAATTTTTGGAAGATTCCAAAGGGGTACCATCACAAATTTCGGTCGATTTATCCGAAATGCCATTTTCTTTCGATTTTGGAGGATACAGATCACAGAATCAGGCCGAGGCTATTCTCCACCGATAATGAAGTCTATTGATCCTATTGTCCACGGATGATAAGTCCGTTAAGCATCGATTTGAGCCAATATATTTTCGGATGTCATTTTCGTAATTTCTTGGGCGACGAAAGACCATTTTCTTTGGATATTGAAGGCTACAGATCACGGATTCGGCTTGAGGCTATTCTCCAACGATGATTGAGTCCAATAAGCACCTATTTGGGCGGATTTATTCCTGGTTAATTTTTGGAAGATTCCAAAGGGGTACCATCACAGATTTCGGTCGATTTATCCGAAATGCCATTTTCTTTCGATTCTGGAGGCTACAGATCTCGGAATCAGGCCGAGGCTATTCTCCACCGATAATGAAGTCTACTGATCCTATTCTCCATGGATGATAAGTCCGTTAAGCATCGATTTGGGCCAATTTATTTTCGTATGGCATTTTCGTAATTTCTTGGGCGACGAAAGGCCATTTTCTTTTGATATAGAAGGCTACAGATCACGGATTCGGCCTGAGGCTATTCTCCAACGATGATTGAGTCCAATAAGGACCGATTTGAACGGATTTATTCCGGGTCAATTTTTGGCAGATTCCAACGGGGTACCATGACAGATTTCGTGCGATTTATCCGAAATGCCATTTTCTTTCGATTATGGAGGCTACAGATCACGGAATCAGGCCGAGGCTATTCTCCACCGATAATGAAGTCTACTGATCCTATTCTCCACGGATGATAAGTCCGTTAAGCATCGATTTGGGTCAATTTATTTTCGGATGGCATTTTCGTAATTTCTTGGGCGACGAAAGGCCATTTTCTTTGGATATAGAAGGCTACATATCACGGATTCGGCTTGAGGCTATTCTCCAACGATGATTGAGTCCATTAAGCACCGATTTGGGCGGATTTATTCCGGGTCAATTTTTAGCAGATTCCAAATGAGTACCATCACAGATTTCGGGCGATTTATCCGATATGCCATTTTCTTTCGATTATGGAGGCTACAGATCTCGGAATCAGACCGAGGCTATTCTCCACCGATAATGAAGTCTATTGATCCTATTCTCCATGTATGATAAGTCCGTTAAGCATCGATTTGGGCCAATTTATTTTCGAATGGCATTTTCGTAATTTCTTAGGCAACGAAAGGCCATTTTCTTTGGATATTGAAGGCAACATATCACGGATTCGGCCTCAGGCTATTCACTAACGATGATTGAGTCCAATAAGCACCGATTTGGACGGATATATTCCTGTTCAATTTTTGGCATATTCCAAAGGGGTACCATCACAGATTTCGGGCGATTTATCAGAAATGCCATTTTCTTTCGATTCTGGAGGCTATAGATCTCGGAATCATGCCGAGGCTATTCTACACCGATAATGAAGTCTTTTGATCCTATTCTCCACGGATAATAAGTTCGTTAAGCATCGATTTGGGCCAATTTATTTTCGGATGGCATTTTCGTAATTTCTTGGGCGACGAAAGGCCATTTTCTTTGGATATAGAAGGCTACAGATCACGGATTCGGCCTGAGGCTATTCTCCAACGATGATTGAGTCCAATAAGCACCGATTTGGGCGGATTTATTCCGGGTCAATATTTGGCAGATTCCAAAGGGGTACCATCACAGATTTCGGGCGATTTATCCGAAATGCCATTTTCTTTCAATTCTGGAGGCTACAGATCTCGGAATCAGGCCGAGGCTATTCTCCACCAATAATGAAGTCTATTGATCCTATTCTCCACGGATGATAAGTCCGTTAAGCATCGATTTGGGCCAATTTATTTTCGGATGGCATTTTTTTAATTTCTTGGGCGACGAAAGGCCATTTTCTTTGGATATAGAAGGCTACAGATCACAGATTCGGCCTGAGGCTATTCACCAACGATGATTGAGTCCAATAAGCACCGATTTGGACGGATTTTTTCCGAATCTATTTTTGGCAGATTCCAAAGGTGTACCATCACAGATTTCGTGCGATTTATCCGAAATGCCATTTTCTTTCGATTCTGGAGGCTACAGATCAAGCAATCAGGCCGAGGCTATTCTCCACTGATAATGAAGTCTACTGATCCTATTTTCCACGGATGATAAGTCCGTTAAGCATCGATTTGGGCCAATTTATTTTCGGATGGCATTATCGTAATTTCTTGGGCGACGAAAGGCCATTTTCATTGGATATTGAAGGCTACAGATCACGGATTTGGCCTGAGGCTATTCTCCAACGTTGATTGAGTCCAATAAGCACCGATTTGGGCTGATTTATTCCGGGTCAATTTTTAGCAGATTCCAAAGGGGTACCATCACAGATTTCGGGCGATTTATCCGAAATGCCATTTTCTTTCGATTCTGGAGGCTACAGATCTCTGAATCAGGCCGAGGCTATTCTCCACCTATAATGAATTCTATTGATCTTATTCTCCACGGATGATAAGTCCGTTAAGCATCGATTTGGGTCAATTTATTTTCGGATGGCATTTTCGTAATTTCTTGGGCGACGAAAGGCCATTTTCTTTGGATATTGAAGGCTACAGATCACGGATTCGGCTGAGGCTATTCTCCAACGTTGATTGAGTCCAATAAGCACCGATTTGGGCTGATTTATTCCGGGTCAATTTTTAGCAGATTCCAAAGGGGTACCATCACATATTTCGGGCGATTTATCCGAAATGCCATTTTCTTTCGATTCTGGAGGCTACAGATCTCGGAATCAGGCCGAGGCTATTCTCCACCTATAATGAATTCTATTGATCTTATTCTCCACGGATGATAAGTCCGTTAAGCATCGATTTGGGCCAATTTATTTTCGAATGGCATTTTCGTAATTTCTTGGGCAACGAAAGGCCATTTTCTTTGGATATTGAAGGCTACATATCACGGATTCGGCCTGAGGCTATTCTCTAACGATGATTGAGTCCAATAAGCACCGATTTGGACGGATATATTCCTGTTCAATTTTTGGCAGATTCCAAAGGGGTACCATCACAGATATCGGGCGATTTATCAGAAATGCCATTTTCTTTCGATTCTGGAGGCTATAGATCTCGGAATCAGGCCGAGGATATTCTACACCGATAATGAAGTCTATTGATCCTATTCTCCACGGATAATAAGTTCGTTAAGCATCGATTTGGGTCAATTTATTTTCGGATGGCATTTTCGTAATTTCTTGGGCGACGAAAGGCCATTTTCTTTGGATATAGAAGGCCACAGATCACGGATTCGTCCTGAAGCTATTCACCAACGTTGATTGAGTCCAATAAGCACCGATTTGGACGGATTTATTCCGGTTCAATTTTTGGCAGATTCCAAAGGGGTACCATCACAGATTTAGGGCGATTTATCCGAAATACCAGTTTCTTTCGATTCTGGAGGCTACAGATCTCGGAATCAGTCTGAGGCTATTCTCCACCGATAATGAAATCTATTGATCCTATTCTCCAGGGATGATAAGTGCGTTAAGCATCGATTTGGGCCAATTTATTTTCGGATGGCATTTTCGTAATTTCTTGGGCGACGAAAGGCCATTTTCTTTGGATATTGAAGGCTACAGATCACGAATTCGCCCTGAGGCTATTCTCCAACGATGATTGAGTCCATTAAGCACCGATTTGGGCGGATTTATTCCGGGTCAATTTTTAGCAGATTCCAAAGGGGTACCATCACAGATTTCGGGCGATTTATCCGAAATGCCATTTTCTTTCGATTCTGGAGGCTACATATCACGGAATCAGGCCGAGACTATTCTCCACCGATAATGAAGTCTATAGATCCGTGGAGAATAGGATCTATGGACTCAACGATGATTGAGTCCTTTAAGTACCGATTTGGGCGGATTTATTCCGGTTCAATTTTTTTTTTTTTTTTTTGAAGAGACCGGTGTTCAAACCTTGATATTAACATTTTATTAAATAAATAATTAATTGTAAAGACCAAATTGTCCTTCCTACATTCACTCACAGGAAATTTGAAATAGAGAAATGTAGACAAAACTCTACTATATATAAGATTGGAGGATTGTTGCATCTTCTAGTATAAGCCCTGATCTATCATCCCATTGTATCATGGATGAACTCGTACAAATAGCTAATGAAGATCGACCTAAATGAAGCAGAATGTAACCTCGGGTTAATTGTATGGTTGGTTACTGAGATTACAAAAAACGTTCATGTTTGGTCACTGGAAATATTTAAATCCAATCTTGGTCACTCAAATTAGTTAAATGGTTCAAGTTTGGTCACTCTCCGTCCATTTCCGTTAACTCTAGCTTACGTGGCAGTCAACTTTCATAGTTGACCGTTAAATATGTGACGTGGCAATTAAAAAATTATTAAAAATGAAAAAATAAATTTTTATATTTTCCACCTCATTATTACATTCATTAAAAAATAAAAAAATAAAAAACCTAATTTCTTTTTTACACACCCCAATACCCTACCCAACCCAACCTCACCACCACCAGAACACAACCTCCGGCCCTGCAGCGGCATTCCTTCCGCCGACGAAATGAAGCGCCCAATACACTTGCCTCCATGGGACCTCCTCATGCTCTCCGTCCACTACATCCAGAAGGGTCATCTCTACCAAAAACCCTCCGCCGGCTTGCACATCGTTGAATTCCTCCGCGGGTTGAACCATGCCCTCTCCCTCACACTCTCCCACTTCTACCCACTCGTCGGCTGCCTCGTCACTTTCGAATGCCCCTACGACGAAGGCTCCTACGTCGTCTCCCTCGATTGTGTGAACGGACCCGGAGCCCGATTGATCCACGCCGTCGCGGATCTGACCATCTCCGATATCCTTTTTCCGACCTACGTCCATCGTCGTCGTCCAATCGTTCTTCGACCATAACTGAGCGATCAACCACGACAGCCACACCATGTCCCTCGTGACAATTCAAGTCACCGAGCTCGTTGACGGAGTTTTCGTCGGGTTCTCCTTCAATCACGCCTTCGGTGATGGGACTTCGTTATGGAATTTCCTCACTGCCTTATCCGAAACGTTTCGGGAAAAAACCCCAATCTCCCGTCCTTCGATGAACAAATGGTGGTTCTCTGAAGGTCACGGCCCGATAATCCCTCTTCCGTCAGATCAAATCCCTAGCCGCTACGAATCGCCAGAGCTCCTCGAGTGCTTCTTCCACTTCTCGGCCGAATCGATTGCTAAAATCAAATAAAAAACCAACTGCCAATTCCGGACCACCAAGATCTCGTCGTTCCAATCCCTATCCTCATTGGTCTGGCGACGCATAACCCGCGCTCGAAATTTCCCTCCGGAGAAGATCACCGGGTGCCGTCTCGCAACCAACAACAGGGGAAGGATGAATCCTCCCATGCATCTTGACTACTTCGGGACCTCGATTAATCGGATGAGGACCTCCGCCCCGGCGGGGGAGCTACTGGGGAACGATTTGGGGTGGGCGGCGTGGCGACTGCAAGAGGCGGTGGTGCGGCACAGCGACGAGAAGATCAGGGGGATTTTGTCGTCGTGGTTGGAGCCACCGGTGGTTTACCGGATGGAGCAGGTGTTCGATACGGATAGTGTGATGATGGGGAGCTCGCCGAACCTGGAAGGAATGCCACTGCCGGGCCGGAGGTTGTATTCCGGTGGTGGTGAGGTTTGGTCAAGTAGGGTATTGTGGTGTTAAAAAAAGATTTTTGATTTTTGATTTTTTAATGAATGTAATAATGAGGTGGAAAATATAAAAATTTATTTTTTATTTTTAATAATTTTTTAATTGCCACATCACATATTTAACGGTCAACTATGAAAGTTGACTGCCACGTAAGCTAGAGTTAATGGAAATGGACGGAGAGTGACCAAACTAAAACCATTTAACTAATTTGAGTGACCAACATTGAATTTAAATATTTCCAGTAATTTGAGTGACCAACATTGAATTTAAATATTTCCAGTGACCAAACATGAACTTTTTTTATAATCTAAGTGCAATTAACCCTGTAACCTCTGCTTTCTATCTTCACATATCACCAGACCCACGTACTAGTGACTGAACCAACCAGTCCTTACCGATTTGTTGCAACTTATCTGTTCCGTATTGCAGCAAAGTACAGAACTAACATTTACCATCAGCATGAGAGCGAGGGGGCATACGGGACCTAAAGAGTAAAGGCTCAATCACGAACGATTAGGCCTCTACTTAGTCCTAAAATGGCTAGGCAAACCATGTACATATATGAACACATCCAACTTAAGAACAGATCATCAAACACAGGATAACGCGACGTACTGATTTAAACCATTCTTCTCAAAGCAAAGAACAGAAGGACATGAAATAGAAAGCATTCGTCTATGTTTTCCCCTTCTACAGCCAGTAATAGGGAGCAGCACTGCCATCAGGAAATCAAGCGGCAGCTGCTTGACCTGGCTTTTCTTTCTAACAACTTCAAGAACAAACATTATGAGCAATTTTTGGGAAAACACCACAACCAACACATTCTTGATAAAAAAAAAGGAAGTTCTAGTTCAGAGACATTCATAGTAGAGATAAGAATCATCGTTAGCTCCCATAAAAAAACAGTCGTTTTGCAATCAACTATAGCTAAAATGCTACAGCATCATCTTCTTCCTCTAGTTCTTGCCAATGTCCTTGAGACCATTGATCTGTTCCTCTCCCATTGCTGACATGACCGACACCACGAGATCCTTACCTTCTGCAAACCCATCTTTAATCTGATCGAAAAACAAGAACCAACAGAGTGTTCAGTTTATAAACTCCAACAGCTGCAAAAAAAGCCATACAAAAGAAATAACAAGCTGCTGGAAAAGGAGGGTTTAATTTTGTTCTTACCTGAGCAAGCAGAGCCTCATCAGTGGGAAGCCTCAGATCATCTTTGGTGTTTCCATTTTCAGTCAGAAGACTCACCTTCAAGTGAAAAAAGCAACTAGATTAGCTAAAATCTCAGTGAAGTCAACAACAAAGCAAGTACTGGAAATCCCGCGTTCAAGTGATACAAAAGCATGAAACTTTTGCAACCTCAATCGGTACTTACAAAGCCATCTTCAGAGATGTCGATGAGCTGATAATCAGTACGGTTGACATGTGGAACCTGTAAAGCGAAAATCAAAATCAACCTACTTCAATCAAGAGTTGCACACAACACACATATATAAAAGACGTATAGGGAACCAGCAGAGAAACTGCTAAATTACATCACAATTGTGGGATGAAGGAACAATATCCTCGAGCTTCTTGCCATTGAAGATATCAATGGCTACAAAGTGACACTTAGCGTGGCCATGCTTGCCAGTCTTTGAGGTGGAAACCTCAACAACCTGTTTGAAAGCAAAACAATCCAAGAAGAAAGACACCAATTAATGAATCACAAAAACACAGTTCTGAAGGAAAAAAGGCTGTGACTTCTATCATCCCCAAACAGTTCTGTATTACTATTAACGACCGTTCCATTATATTCCATTCAATTCTTCACAATATCCGATAAGAACCAAACTCCAATTGAAATCACAGTAACCGGCTGACGAAAATTTCATCTCCAAATACAAATAGTTGCCAATCAGCTAAGCAAATCACCATTAACAGCCCATAAAATACATAAACAAAACCTAAGCTATTCTACATAGTAAGAACAACGAGTGACAATGAATCAATCCATCAGTCTCATCAGTATCACCGATCAATAAAAGATCAGAGAATAACCCATCAAAGATCCAATGAAAAAAACGCAAACCCAGATCAAGAAAAGGTCACAGATTTAACAATCGTAGAGGATGGATGTGATACTGACCTTGCAAGGGCGGTTCTTGATAACGATGTACCCATTCTTGCGAATAGTACCCGCTTGTTGAGGATAGGTCTTGGATGCACCGGCATCAGCCTTGGATTCGAACTGGTGCTCCTCGTCCGACATAGTTGCTCGACGGATTTCTCTCTCGGTGTAACGGCGAGGATTTGGAGGGATTTGAGGGAGAAGACGGCGACTTTTCTCTTGCTTGTAAAGCCAAATTCCTCTTTTATAGGATTTAGGTTACCCCAACTCTCTCCGACTTTACCACGGTTAATGAAATCCTCATGCGCTTTGATCCTGGCCGTTGGATATTCCCTCGGAGTTTAGGCCTTGTGGAAAAGTTTTGTTTTCTGCCCTACTTCTATTTTTCTTTACTAGATTGGCTCCTGAACTTTTACATTGTGATCATTCGGGTACATTTGAATCTGGACATTCGGGTACATTTTGCTCCTAATTTTGGCACATACATCAAGATTATTTCGACGATTTCAAGTTCACAACTTTGGGAGTTGCTAGCTGGCTACGAAGGAAAGAAGTTTCTTCATAGTAGGCTCCTTGATCATGAAAACTCAACATATCTGCATTGTTTAAGATTGATTTCAAGACGCGTACTAAAATCTAAGAAAGATTTTCGGGTCTAAATCCTTTGGAAAAAGTTCTCCAAGAATTGGATTTAAGACCAAAGCCGCCATGTAAAGATGGCCCTCTAATCCTTTACATACCGCAACACACTTGATTGTTGATGTCTTTGTGACTTTGTTATTGGTTGTCGGTTTCGAACTTTTGAACTCTCAAAGGATATGGTGACAAACCTTCCACTCGGTCCACAACACATCTAGTTGGATCTACTTCAATATATTCTCTCTAAGACCTTAGTGCTAGTGTGTGTTGAAGGTGGGTTCCCTTGAATATGACTGAGAATAGAATTCTATGAACTCAAATTCCCCATGTTTTCTTCTTTTGGTAGAGCATCATTTCCTTGCGTGAAAATACTTCACGATAGGTCCACTACTAAGTACTAACACCACATGTTCCCTACAAAAAAGCACTCGCCGTCGGCACGAATTCTATGAAAGATTAGCGGAATACACATATTCAGAAATTCGTGAAATTCAAATCGACTATCTCAAACAAAGCGAGCTGTCTTCCTGCCGTTGAAACTACAGAACTAAAGGATTCATTGATCTGGTTAGCATGGGACGATTGTCATGGGCCGAACGTTATTTGAGTGCGGAGCTGTTTACAAAAACTTGCTGAGGCATCTTGAAAGTGGGCTTGATGATGATAAGTGGGCTCAAAGGCCCTTTCTTTGGTCCAGAGCTAGCAAGACCTGGTCCAGAATCGTTCTCCACCACAACTATTAGCAAGCTCGTTCCCAATATTTTTTACTTGCATTGCAGGGAAGCAAGTAAACAAGTTTTCTTCAAAGACGAGACTACATAATCACTTACTTTGTAGTTCGAGCTATAAATTTTTCATTTTTCCTATGGGAAATCCTACAACGAACAAAGGTTTGGTTTAGCAATTTTAACTTGGAAGTTTACTGTTCAAAATTTAGGGTGGCTTTTCATCCTCGCTCTGGCTGCTAACCCTTCGGTAGTATTTGTTAACTCTCTCTTATGCGAGGTCACTATTTGAGTCGTCGTAGTATTCTCTTGTATGCTACCGATGTGAGGTGTGCAAAAGATTAGAAATCAATCAATATCATAGACATGAAATACGTAACCTTGTTTAGCATTAATGACAAGTAAAATTGTATCTAGATAAAAAAAAGTCATCGTGTAAAATGATAATACAATATACATGTTTTATATTTGAAAGTGTGATTCAATCGAAGCGAACGAACTTTTGGGTTGAAGATTGATTCCATTTTTCCCCTAGAGTTGGATGAGATACATACTCATGGCACTAGTAAAGAGGCACAACGTGGGAGAGGGGAATGGGCACTCTAGCTTTCATTGAAGAGAGAAAAAGAACACAAACACAACTACACAAGGATTCTTTGCCTTTGAGTCTTGCCCATGAATCGATGTTGGAGAGGTTGAAACATGTGAATGACACACACTCTATACAATAATTGTTCCCACCAAACATAAAATACAAGGGTCTTGTTACATTGCTCAAGAAAATGAGGGAGGAAATGTAGAGTACTTTTGTTGTTGTGAGCATAAATTTCCCTACCAAACTTGGCCTTGACTAGGTGCCATCAATCAATCCATCAACCCCCCACCGACCAATTTATATTGTGTAAGTTCAACCCTTGAAACCTTCTCAAATATGAAGAACAAAATCGGCCTATCACCGAGTAAGAGAACCAAGATAAGTAGCATTGACACCCATCACCAAACTGAGCATAAATAAGGAATTTCACCTAATAGAAGCAAGAAATATCTTCAAGGGTCGCTAATGAGTAATGAAGATGCATCTCGAAGGTATAGATCAATAATTATCAATCACCCTGCAAGATCCTGAAATCGTTTTTGCCACCAAATCTCCAAGAATTATCTCGTGTACGGAAAAACAAAGGCAGAGCCTTAATTACATTTAGACTCTGACCATGCGTCGAAGCCCCCCACGTCCGTCTTGATCGTCTAAACGCTTCTCCCCGCTTATGATCATTTCTCTCCGCTGTTGTTTGCATTGGGATTTTCTTCATTATTTTGATGTTCTCTCATGTTGATGGGTGAATTTGTCCATCCTTCTATCTATCTCCCTTCCTATTTAATCGCTATACTATGTATACCTCATTCTTGGCTCCGGCCTCCATTGAATAATAATAACAATCAATCATATTGGATTGGCTAGAATACTTGGGTAGTTTCCTTTTGGTAGTTCATCCTTGTAAGTAATTTGATCATGTGCTTTCTGAATTAGGTGTTGCATGCTAAATATGTTGCTTTTAGAAGTAGCATAAGGATTTGTTTAACTAAAATACTACATGGATTAAACATATACTTGGTGATAAAAGTACTAGAAAGAAAAGGAGATTAAAGAGTTGATTTCTCTGCAATCAGTCAAACTTGTCAGCACATGCATGACTAAACAAACTAACCAATCAACTTGAGAACTTAATCCCTTTTCCCCTATTTGTTTCTTCTCTTCCTACAAAGAGATCATGCTTACCACCATTTGTGTGTCAGAGAATTGGATTTATTATGAATAAACCTCTATTCTTTCTCATGCTCTGCCACCTTTCATTCTTTAAGTCTTTCCCCTCTAATCATGCTAATTGCAGAACATCACAAGCAGGTTCCCCCACATGAAGACCTTACAAGCAACACTAGGGCTCATAATGCAGATCACATGCCCAAATGTTGTTAGTTCTATGCCCCTCTCTTGTGAAGATGAACCAACAGAGTTCCTATGACCAAATTTATGGCTCTCAGCCAGCCAGTGTTGTTGATGATGGTCGTGGCAATTTGATATTAGGGATCTGAAAATTTGAAGCGAATTAGGGGAAGAAATTCACGCCAATCCAACAAAAACCCCTCTTACTCACGCCAGGACCACCTTCTTTACCACTCCTACTTCATAGTTTCTTCCACTAATTCGCTTCAAAGTTTTAGATCCCTAATATCAAGTCGCCGCGACGATCATACAGATGCTCTCAAACTGGACTTGGAATTGAATTCTGGATCTTGATTGGTTCGGAGTATCATTTTGATTCGATTTTGATACTTAGGATTAAGAACTTATGGTGCCGGGATCTGTTTCGATTTTGATACTTAGGATTAAGAACTTATTGGTTTCGGGTTCAAATCAGATCGTACTGAATAGAACCCGAATGCTTTATTGGCCCGATTCTGGTTCTGCAGCAACCAACCATTGCTGAGTCCCTGCTTAAATATTGGCTCCCTGCCCAAACAATTCAACAGCGGCAGCTTCATGAATGCTAGAATAACTGCACTGTAAACACAGTGTTGGTTTCCAAAGATTGAAACTTTTTTCAATGTATCAATTAACCTTCTGTGATACCAGCAATGACAATGTGGGGATGTGATGGTGAGCATATCATCATAGGAACCAAAAGAAAAGGATGGAAAATCTGCCCTAAAACATCTGTTTCAAGGACTTCTTAGTTCTTTCTACAACTACTGTACATATCACACAGCAAAATGTTGAAGGAAAAATGGATTTAACTTATAAAGTAAGGGCGATAAATAAAGAGCAAGCTTTTCTTCCCTAACTTCTTGGTTCAATATCTTTAAGAAGTCCAACTACCTGCTGCATGCTCGGCCGCTTCGATGGAAGATCAGCTGTGCATAGGTAACCAATCTTCAGAGCTTCTGCCATGTCTCGATCCAATCCCGTACCTCGAATCTTTGGATCAATAGCTCTCAGACTTTGGTTCTTTCTCACCAACCCTCTAACCCAACTAACTAAACTCCCATCTCTCTCTTCATGGTAGTCATCTTGAACCGGCTTCTTCCCTGAGATCAACTCAAACAGAATGACCCCATAGCAATAGACATCAGACTTAGGTGTTGGAATGTCATAATCTGGGTCAGAGAACTCTGGTGGCGAGTAACCAGGCGAGCCACGAGCAATCTCCTCGTCCAACCCATTTCCGAAGACCTTAGCTAACCCAAAGTCGGACAACCTTGGCTCCAAGTTATAGTCCAAGTAGACACTGCTGGCCTTGACATCTCTGTGAATGATTGGTGGAGAGCATCCATGGTGGAGGAATGCCAAGGCACGAGCTGTCCCGAGAGCAATCTTGTGTCTGAATGCCCATGTTGTTAACAAACCTTCAGAGCCCACATTTTGGATCCCATTGTTGTCATCTTTCTCCCATGTCTCGGTGGTCCAATCGTCTGTAGTCGCTTGAACACCGAGTGGGAGATCATGCAAGAGATTCTGCAAGTTGCCATTCTCCATGTAGTCATAGATGGCAATCCTCTGCTCTCCAGCAAGGCAATAACCAGTCAATGGGACGAGATTAGGGTGCTTGATTCGACCGAGGTACTCGAGCTCTCGAGCAGCTTCTTGTTCTGTCAATGTAGAGCCATGCACAAGTACTTTAACAGCTACATGGATTCCACCGGGTAGGAATCCACTATAGACAGGACCAAACTTGCCCTCGGCTAGAAGAGTGCCACGATCGAAGTTTGAAGTTGCTGCCAAGAGATCAGCGAATGTGATGTTCAACAATGGCTTCTCGAAAATCACTACCCCGACCGAATTAGCCTGCTTCACATCAGCAACCCATGTTGTTGAATCGGTCTGGAAAGAGAAGGGCCCCGAAATGTTCTGTTCTTCCTTGTATGACATTTGCTTCACTGGCCACATTCTGGACTTCCTCCTGCAGCCAAAGGCTAAGAACAGCAGTAGAGCAACGAGCAAGGTGACCATCGAGATGGTTAATGCTATGGCAAGCTTTTGTCCCTTGTGGTGGCGGGCTTTTTCTTTGAAGAGATCTGGATTTGCAGCAATGGGGCAGCTGTTTGATGAGCCATGTAACCGAGTTTGGACCATCTCGGACGAGATTTCCGGACCACCACAGAAGGTAAAGTTGTTGTAAGAGAAGTTGAAGCTCAACATCGATGGAAGCTTCTGAAGCACTTGTGAAGGGATTCCGCCAGACATGTTGTTGTTTGAAATGTCCAGAATTTGGAGGCTTTTCATGGTCAATGAAGAAGGAATATCCCCAGTGAGATGATTATCAGAGAGATCAAGTGTATTGAGATTCCCAAGTTTGGAAATTTCACCAGGAACCGAACCAATGAGGCCAGTTTTCGACAAGTTCAGATACTCTAGACCCCGAACCTCAGTGATTTCTGGGAATTCCTTCCTGGAGAATCTATTTAATGCAAGATTGAGATGCTTGAGATTATTAGCTTGACTGAAATCCCCAAACATTTCTCCACTCAACTCATTCTCTGACAAGTCTAGATAAACCAAGTTGGAACTGAGTTGTACCTGAGAGATATGACCTTCAAACTTGTTCCTGCTTAAATCCATCACCTCTAATCCTTCATGAAACAAACCTAAAACTGAACCTTTGAATAAATTCCCAGAAATGTTGAGAAAAGCCAAAGACTTCATCTCCGAAAAATCAGAGTCTCTTCCTTCAATCCCAATTCCAGCAAGATTCAACCTTTGGAGATTTGGCAATGAAGTTCCAAATCCATCTGGTAATGACCCATTTAGCTTATTCAAGGAGAGATCCAATTCAACCAGTGACAAGCAACTCAGAATCTCAATTGGAATCCTACCTTCAAACCCATTTCCACCAAGCTTAAGAACTCGCAAGCTGCGTAAAGACCCAACAGCCGGAGGGATTTCCCCATTTAAGCTGTTTCCAGATAAATCAAGTGTTTCCAACCCACCAAAATTGCCAATGTTGTTAGGAAGGAAGCCAGAAATCTGATTAGAAGACAGATTGAGGGTTTTGAGAGAGCTTAAACTCCACATATCTGAAGGAAAAGCAGTGATTCTGTTGCTGCTGAGATCTAGAGTCATGAGGTTGCTTAGCTTCCCAATTGTGATGTCAGGGATTGGACCAGAGAGTTCCAACCCTGAAGCCACTAAGCCCACAACGTACTCTTTCTGGGAATCACAGAACACTCCTTGCCAGGAACAAACCGGAGATGAGGAGTTGTAAAGTGGAGAGGAAGCTTTACACATGTGCTTGAAGAACTCAGAGACGAAATACCCATCTGTGTTGGGCTGTTGAGAAGCTGAAAGCTTGAAGAACAGAGTGAGAACCAAAATGGAGAAGAAGGAGCCAAAACCCATCTGGAATCAACAGCCAGAAACCAGAAAAGCTCCTCTCCCTTTTTTCTTCACATGCAAAAGAAACACACCAGAAAGGAACCCCCTGAAAGCACCTTTTTTCTCTAGAAAACAAAAGAAAGCAGTCTTTCTTACAAGAGCTACAGCTCCTGCCTCGGACTTTTGGGCTTTGGAAACTCCATTTTAACAAGGACTCCACCTACAGTGAGACTGAAGTCTGAGATTCTTTAGCAATTCAGATAAAAAAGGAGCAAGCTTTTTTCCAAGGGGGAAAACTACAACGAGCTAAAGCGTGGTGGTATCGTGGTGGTGGTGGGGTGCTATTTCATTGCCCAAAAGGGACCAAAACTTCAAACCCAGAAGAGCCAAAAGTGGGTCTGAGAGAGAATTTTGAGATAACAAATGGGCAGCTTTTACTTGTGGGGAAGACTCAAATGAAGAAGAAGAAGAACGTGAGCATCACTTTGTCTGAGCTTGTAGTAAGAGGGTTCTCAGTAGAATCCAACAGAAGAAACAAATGGAAGACAAAGCAATGGCTCAAAATTCAGCTCTCACTAGCAATGGGGCTTTTTAGGAAATTTGAGGGGAAAGGGAGAGATGGTGATTACCTCAAAAGGGGAAGAGGAAGCAAGAAGTGGACAGGAGTTGGGGGAAGCTGTTTTCATAAATGAGTAGGAAAGGAACCCATTGATGAGAGGTTGTTGATTTTGTGCATAGGGAGGTGATTGTTTTATTGGTGGGTATTCAATGATTCTTCTTCAATTTAGCAATTAGTGATATGGGAAATGATATCTATTTCTTTTTTTCTTTTATGGTTTCCTTGTTTGCTCTTGCAAAAATGGGAAAGCAAAATCTTTGGTCTATCAATCAATAGTGTCACCCATTGAATCAAAACTACCATCTTCAATTCTTCATGGTGATCTTTTTCTCTTAAAGTTTCTCTTTCTCCAAAATGGCTCCAATTTTCCATTTCTTGTCTTCCTGCTACATGGATATCGCCCATAGAAGCTGTTTTTTGGTCCAAAGATTGGATCTTTAGGGGCCAACAGAGGGGAGTGGAGGAGGAAATGGGTGGGTAAACCTTTTGTTGCATTAAAAACTTCCACAATGAAATGTCAAAGATTCTGTATCTAAAATGTATGGATTTGGTTTTTCTTATATTCTTTTAAAAGTTGGTCACTTTGGGTTGAATTTGAAAGAGGGTTTGGTGAGGATTAAGACAAACGTGTAGTGGAAGTAACAATTAAGGATTGACAAGATGGGAATATACAAGGTTGTGAAGGTTTGACATTGTATCAGTAGAGTACCTTCTTGACAACACTTTATGCTACGTGAGAACATGCATCGATTCTATCTGTTGTCCGAGTTGAGTCTCATATCGATACTTTATATTATTTGCTTTTTTGTTGGTTGTATTTTTCCGGAATTTGATATGATAATTACTTCTTTATTGAAAGTTTTCAACCAGATTTTTTATTTAAAATTGAATCCTCGTATGTAAAAACAGGTCATTGAAATACTAGTAGATGAAATGAATCTCAAAATTAAGTCTGAAACTAAAATTGATCAATTTCTTCGAGGTTGGGTTTGTTGGTCTTATATGTTCAAACATATGCTAAGGGTGTTGTATTAAAAACATCCTAATCGACATCATTTTTTCTTAACTACAATATTACAGGAACAGTTATTATAACAATAAGCATTACATTTCATGGACCAAAATCATTGTGAAATCACCATGCTTTCACATGTTATTGTGACCTTTGATGGAACAAAAAAGCTTGGCAACCCACTTTTTCCCCCACTTATTTTTTACCACTGTTTTCTGTTCATCATCATTTTGTTTGAGGAACAACAGACACAGGAGAAGAGAAATGAAATGAAGGTAAATTGAACTTTACTTCACTAGTACTCCCATCTCCATACTTGATTCTTGTTTTGCTTATGAGGCTAATCATGTGGTCTTATCCCACTTGGTGGTTTTCCTTGCTTCTTCATTTGAGTAGAAGAGCAACTGAGGAGTTGTAAGTATATTCCTCATTGTTACACTAATGATAGGAAAGTATGTTCTCTTTCATTGAACAACTACCTTATTTCATAAACTAATTTTATTCCAAGTATACAAAGAAGAAATGAGTTTTTTTATTTTATTTTATCATATCCTTCATAGAGCATATGCATTTTTAGAGGTAGGTAAAATGATCCATCACAAGAGTCTCTATGATCTACATTGACTATAGGGTATCAACCTTTCGTAATCCGACTCTCTCCATTGGAAGTAATGTGATATAACAGTTATTTGGTAAGAATTAGGTTGACCTTTTATACAGTAATCATCGATATAATGTGTCTGGAAATTATCAAGACCTAACATATTCAGTATATCAATCCATCCAAGTATCCTAATGTCTATATGTCTCTCAAGCCACAAAAGGAGCTCTTGACCTGGAAGTACGAACGAGTACAAATAAAAAATACTCGTTAAGCTGCTAACTCGTTGATAGTTCTTAGCCTAAAAATTTATGTATTCAGTATGATCATAAGTCATAACCACACAATAGGATTTTCATTTTTCATGCATAAAATAAAATAAGATTAACCACATAAACATCATGGAACCACCACGTTGGTGGGTTATATGCACACTTTAATTTATACTAATCGTATAATGCCAAACAAGAACCTTTTGCTATCAAATAAGAAGGTATTAATATACTCTTCCCTTATGGTCCAACTTTCTTGTAATAGTTTCTAGAAAAAAATGATTATATGGTCCAACTTCAAGAAGTCATTCATGATTTTAAATGTAAACCCATTTTTGTTCATATTTGGATTTGATTGTGATTTGTTATGGGGTTATGGGTGTGAACCATCTTGTTAATTAATTATTTGAGTTGGTTTAGGACCCTACCACACAACATGACTTTGAAAGAACAATGAAGAAGAAGTACCTAATCTCATTAAGACTAATGATTAGCCCTAAAACTATAATAATTATAATGATCCATGGATCTTGTTTGTATGTGTGGAATTTCCCAATTTGCCCATTGGCCATACCAATCAAACCAAGGGGTTCCAAAGGGTGGCATGGTCTTCCTTAGACTAATATGAATTGATTGGTATATATATTATGGGGGACAAAGCTGTCTTTTTCATGGGACTATTGGGTGGAAAATGAGAGAAGCATATGAGTTTACAAAGAAGAGTCGTGTAAACATTTTGAGTTGAATATTTGCTATTTTAATAAGGGGCAAAATAGATTTTCAAAGTGTTATCTAAGTTACATATTGGTGATGTCTTGTTGATCTCTCAACAGTATAAACCTATCTAGTACACACAAACAAAAGAGTCATTAAATAGATTTTTCATCTGCTGACATTTCGGCTTAGCTTAAGTCAGTTGCACGAGTTCTTGAGTATTGGAGTCTGCAAATGATACCATATGTTACTATGTTGTTGATCTCTCAATAGTTGATTGATTGGTGGGTGGTAGCCAGAAACAAAGCAAAACGGGACGAGATCACTTAGAGAAGAAGAAAGGGGCAAAAGATTAGATACATAATCTATTTTTATATAATTATCCATAATCATTTACAAGGGATCATACAACTCTTATCATAATGTAATAATATAATATAATTTTATCATAGTGGTAAAAAGTCGTATCTTTCTCTGATAAACATGTTTATACAGTTAAAAGCTATACACCCGATTCGCTCTTGGAGGAAGGGGAAAAAATAAGTAGAACAAGGGAGAGTGTAATAGTGCATGCGTTATGCACTTATGTCATGATAGCCACAAGAGGCAAACAAATGAGAGCTTTCATTTCACTCCATAATGCCAATGCGTGGGGTAAAAGATGTTCATTTGCGGTTGACGTAAAACACAAGCAAAACCAATAAGGAATGGACGAACTACCATAACACTAAGAAAAGAGTACAAAATTAGAAGAGCCAGAAACTCAGAGATTGAAAACATGGAGGGAATTGTTCCCGAGAAACAATAGTAAAGCGGTTTATATTTTTGATATACTGGATAAGTTTATGAACTTTTCATGACTCACATATACTTCTAACAAAAAATTGTAAAATCGTACTGAATGTTGTAACAGAAAAGGACAACGATAAGATATTTTATACTAATATCGTGCTTTAACTTTGGTTAAATTTGATTTATACCGCCTATCGGTATAGCATCCGGTGGTATAGGTTTTTCTAGTCGAACTCCCAGTACGTATGATACGGTTTTTCAATATTTGCTTCTAACAACTTTGTTGCAGAGGTGTCGATGGTGGAAGGTGATGAAATTTTTTTTTTTTCTAATTGAGATCCTGGCAGGCTCTCCTCTCGAAGTAGACCCTCTTGTCCACGAGATCGATCATACCCAACGTTGTAGTTTTGCTGAGCCAGGATCCCAATGTTGCTCGACTGGGTGGAATCAGCTACCTCGAAAGCCAAGCAGAAGCTGTCCTCCTGATCCGCCAGTTGCATGAAACTCCCAAATGCATCGATCGACAGCTCTGCCCCGCTGGCGAAATGGATCCCAAAAACGGGGAACTCATCAGGGATATCCCTCATGTAGTAGATTGAATGGCTTGATTGAATTAAGTTTGTTCTCAGGTAGACGTCGTAACCAAGGACGATGAGGCGAGTTGTGGGGTGGGGTTGAAGATTGAATCGCGAGGGATCCAAGTTCATTGTTATCCGAGTGGTGGAGACTCAGGCAGTTGAAGCTATGGCTAAGAGGAGGAAAACAGAGAAGAGCTATGTTGGATACATGGTGAATGAGTTCAGGGTTTGGGTGATTTGAGAAGAAGTAGTAGCTTGTAAGAGAATAATACAAGATCGCAATGTGCGTGGCCTATCTTCTCTTCCACAAAATGTTCGGCATTTGGATTGGAGATGGCTTGTAAACATATTTTTGAGAGGTTTCTGACCTGAGGAAGAAGTGACTAGATTGCATTTGTGCATATTTGAGAAATAGCTTGTATTTATACATATCCATAAGAGAATTATACAAGGTGTGACCTATCTTCCCCCAAGCAGCACTGACGGCATTTTCCACCTACCATAACGTCGGCTAATGCAGAAAAGCAACTCTGAGTTGGTCGGTAAAAGGGACGATCAATTAACATGACCAAGAATAAAGAAACTAAGAAAGGTATGATCTAACCAACTAGAAGGAGCAAGGTTGTCAAACCAGGGTCCGGCCAACTGGTCGGCCCAAGTCAGACCAAAACCAGGCATAAAAAACGGCTACAATTACTAGCAAAAAATGCTGCAGCATGGATTGTATGCAGCTTACCTTTCGGAATGCTGCCCTTTTCGGCTACAAATATCATAATTCATTCCCACCAGGGGGAGGATTAAAGCACTTGTGACAAATCAGACCCAATATCTATCTAATCTCGTATCTAATTTGGTCCGATTCTGGACCTAACCACAAACCATGGAGACAGTAGACATCATAATCCAGTTTTGCACAAAGTAGAATGCATGGTTTCCGTTATTCAAAATTGGGGGAAACAAATAGATCATGAAGGTCTGGAGTTGTAGATACATTTCTCAACAAAAATAATTGAAAGCAAAGCTCACTAGTTTTCACAACAATCCCAACATGATAGATAGAATCCCTCCAAAGAGTGTTCATAATAATATCTCACCTCTACTGAAAAGTGCAAAAATGAACACACAAAACAGGAACACATACAAAATTTTCGCCATCGGTTTGATTCTCTTGGTATCAAACCTCAACTTAATGCTGGCAGACAGAGTTACAAAACATTCATCAGGTCGACAAATCAGTGATGGTAGTAGTAGCATTCTTACAAACTGTTCCGACGGAGTGGATCGTGTGATTCTTTTTCATGCGGTTTGTCTTTGCCTTCGTTTTTCCTTCCGCCTCCATTTTCCATCTACTTTCGCTTCCTTGTGCTGGTGCTGTCTCGACTTCTCGAAAGCAACCTGTTGGAAAGGATTTGGTCCACTGAAGTCTTCCTTAGACTCCCTAACCTTCTTCCTCTTACCTCGATCGTATTCTTCATCCCTGTTTAAGACATGGGGGACATATATGTTTCATTCATCATACTTAGATCCACATTGTTGAAGCCAAAGAGAAGAATTTTAACTCACCACTCATCTGCCACGTAACCAATGCTCAAAACCTCTGCACCATTTGATTCATGGGTTCGAGATGGATTTACCTCATCCCAACACAAGACTGCAACAAACAAATGCAATTGATTAGTAGAAAGCTACCACACCACCAACAATCAAAAGGTAGGCTCTGACAGTGTTCTACACAGAGAGACAAAGAACTACTGTCCCAGCTTTGGCTCAGTTTCTGCTCGTCTTATTAAATCGTAATTATTATAAGAAAGAAGGTATGAATAAATCTCACCTGCTGCCTGCTTCAAACCTTGTGCAAGGAAATCTGCCACACCAATCTTCGTTGCATCTGTTTTAACATTTCCTATCATGCTGTTAGCATCCTGCCTGTTTGCTGCAGAGTTAGAGACGGAGCTCTTCTGCAATTGCTCAGCTGTTGCAAGGATAGTACCATTCTGACCAGTTCTTTGTGACAAATCCCCAATCATGTCTTCTTGGGAATTGATGCCCGCACAATCCTCCTTATAATGGGGCTTAGCTCTCTTCTTCTTCCGAGAATTTGCTGAACTAGACGGAGAAGCAAAGTTCTTGGAAGTTGACGGCTCCATTTCAGATGAAAGACTCTTGGCTTCCTCCAACTGCTGCTGCTTCAGGAGCTTCAGTCTGTCTGAACTGCGGCGTTTCCTCCTTTTATTTTTTTTCTTTATGTCATGCCTGAGAGATGTCCTGAAGAAGTTTGTACCAAGATGCAGTTTATGAATATGGTGCTTCAGATGCTTCTTTTTATCTCTTTTCTCTGAACTGCTACCAGGAGCACTTTGCACATCGCACTCCTTGCCGGCTACTTCAACTTTATGGCCTGCCTGATCCACTGTTTTGTTAACATGAATGCCCCCATCCTGAGAATGCGAGGGGAAAAAAGTCAAAACACAATGAAGAAGTCAAATTATCCTCGACAAGTGAAACATAACTCTGAAACATTACCTGATTCTTCTCACAACTGGGATCACATTGTGGTGGTGCATGATCTACTTGATTCTGATCCCCAATCGATGCAGTCAAACTAGGTGCATTTGATGTCTTATCACCAGCACATCCAGAAGGCACTTCAACCACCACGGTTACAGCGGAATTAGACTGCACGAGGATGAAGTGATGACATTAGCATTGTGACATAAATGTCAGCACCGTCAGTGACCAGGAACAGTGGTACACATGGACTATGTAACACAATGTTACCTTTTGCAAAGACTCATAAGAGGTGAGCTTGCGAGTTACCATGTTTCGCTCATCACTGGAGCACGAAGAAACACTACCACAGACACTTGGTCCTGATGTAAATGAGACGGTGCAGTCTTTCGGTTCAGGGGTGGGACTGACATTCTCAGTCACAGATTGTGCAGAAGTTTTAAGGCATTCTCCTAGAGCAGGGTCAACGAGCAATGGTTCCTTGGCAGAAGATGCCGAAACGGGAACTGGGTTTTGAACGTAGCATGTAGCCTTTGCTGGCTCATTCCTCTGTTTGATTGGTACTTCCATCGGTAGAGCCTCCTTTGACACACCATTTGGCGTTTGCTTAACAACCATGTTAAGCATGTTACTAACAAGTGGGGCTTTCATACTGTTGTCTTTTTTAGACTCGTCAAGTTGTCTCCTTGGAGCCACTTTCGTTCTGTCGCGAACATAAAATAACATATAAGCCTTCTGATTTAAAACAGTCTTCTCGCCAACTTGGTGAACCTGTAACATCAAAGTAGCAGGAGGCTATTACCAACCAATGAAAACAAATATTCAGCAGAATCACCACACAATAAATATAACTTACCTTTTCGTCATCCAGACAGTACCACATCCCAGTCGAGGTGCGAACAAAGCAGACATAATGACCAAAGCGGGTGCTGCTTCCATGATGAACTAGAACACCATAAAGACTGTACTTCAAGTTGCATTCCTGCCAAACATAAGTAATTCGAGAAAATGAGGCACAATCATATGAAAGAGTAGAAAACCACGGATCTTCCTCCAAAACGCCATCACGTATAGAGGGGAAAAAGTAGTAGTCAGCAAATTGTCTGCAAATGGAAAAAGAACTCACATTGGGATTGCTGACAAATGGCCTAATGTCCAAGGTACGCTCGTAAGAAACTTGCTTCCCAACCTTCCTTCCAGGATCATGGGCAAAAAACCGCTTCAAATGTATGCTCAACACATAGGGTGGTTTATGAATCGTGAGACGTTTCGTGGCCCTGACTTTCTGCTTGCATTGTTGACATTGATAATGCTTCTCTCCACCGTCCAACAATTCTGCAGCAGTGAAGTTCCGGAGTGCTACAGGTAAGGCATCTGCTTTGTTTATTTCAAGGCTCAAGTCCAAAAATGGATCAAATTTGTCAGAGCAGTAAGAACACTGCTGGCATTTCACCTGTAATACAAACAGAGTGAGACAGGGCAGATTCTCATAACAGCAAATTATAGCAGTAGATCTCTGATAGCCTATCCTTGTAGATGGTATAGAATTAAAATAATAATGAAACTAATTGCAAGTAGAAGAAGTGGAAAAATTTTACAGAAAGAGAGCAAACTTTTTAAGAATCATGAGACATCATACTATTTTCGAACAAATTTTTGGAGCAACTTAACAAAGAAACCAATTCACAGTAATTCCAATTCACATTACAAAAGAAAGCTACCTGACTACGCAGGTGACCGCCAAAGATTTTGTGCACCAAACTTTTTTCATAAGCAGCAGGTGACTCGCTCTGGACTCCTGATGGTAAACAACACTTGTGCATTGATTCCAGTAAGTTCACCAAGTATTCATGTGCGTCTTCCTGCTTAGAAACTTTGAGAGTTCGAGATACACCTGAGTAGATGGTTAAGAACTCCAAATGTGAAAGGCAAGAAAGAAATAATGCAAAACCACATGAAAATGCTATTTAATAAGAATAAGGTATAGTTCCATAGAATGAAAAACTGGTTCTATTTCAGACACATATAACAAGAAACAAAACGTAAAGGCTCTAATCAATTATTTACATGATAATTTTTCTTAAGAGAGAATAAAACTTGATCCAGATCAACGACAAAGATGAAAGGATACATCGCATGTTCGAAACAAGATCAGGTACAAACGATATCCCGGTAGATCGTAACGCACGGTTGACATGTTTCTGGATGGCACACAAGGCACAAAACCCAGCAATGCGGCCTGCAAGAAAAATGAATCCAAACAGAAGTCAGATATCAAAGATAAGTCATAGCTCCATCTAGAGCACATGGGTTATATTACACAATCAACTTGCTTGCGTAAAATGGCAAAAAGGGTCCTAATACCTATTTTCAATTTATCCATCATTTCTTTTCTAGGGGAATCAAGAGGTTTAGCAAATTTCAAACTGTGGCCAATAATTCTTTCAGCAAATGACTGCAGTCAAAGCACCATAATAGTCGAGATCCAAAACTTATATGAGCAGGCAAAAGTGCGTACTTGGTATGATCAATTCTATTCCTAGTTTTAATTAAGCTCACTATTGTAGTGAAAAGACATCCTTATGAACATTTAACAACAGAAGCACGTATCATGTGGCTGCAAAGGGAAAAGCACCTGATGTCTTCGTAAGAGGCAAAGTAGGGCAAAAGAATATATGAAGAGGAATAAGCAAAACAAGCCAACTTACAAGAACTATTGTGCTTGCCACTTTGTAAATATGCTGCCAAAGGTTCTGTATAAGTCAAGCATTGCAACACGGAGTTGAGGAAACAAGTGTTCCCGATGTTTCGCAAACCAGCACCCTGTCAATCACCCACCCAACATCCACTGTCAAGTTACTTAACAAGTTTATCTCTTATAATAACACGAGCATATGATTCACCTGAGCTAGTCCACACAACATAGAGTCATTGTTAAAGAGATAAAACAAGCTATTCCATGCAGGAAGACAAGGGAGGAAGATGCTCAATAAGCATAACTTAACTATACATTCAACATTTCCAGCTGTCCATCTACACAATTGGATCGGAAAACTCGTACCCACTCTAGAGACATGGCAAAAGATCAAAACTTGAATGCTCAAAATGCAGATAGGCGGAAACTCACAATTCTCTGAAATGTAATATCGAAGCTACTGATCTCGCTCTCCCACAAATCCATCGCCGTCCCATCGCCTCTCTTAACCACCTGCCGCGACATCGTCGTCGTCAGCTCCTCCAACCTAGCCGGCCTCTTCGACGAATCAGGGTTCAGCGTCTCGATCGGGAAATCCCGACACGACCCCAATCCGCTGTACTGCTTCCTCGCCGGGTGGAACTCTATCCTCCGCTGCATCATCGCCGCAGTAACAAACGATGAAGTGGACGCAACGGAAATTTCAGCCGCCGACGACGAGGATCCGACTTTGCCGACCAACAAAGTGTCGCTCCTCTGCTCCGTCACTACCGAACTCTCCATGGTTTCCCCCAAATTGTTACCCCAATCGATCTCGCAGACGCAAAAGAAGACGAGAAGTGGGCGACCCGATGCCGGAGAACGGCGATCCCGGGGATTTCTGTTGGTTTCTTAGCGTCGGCGTTTTCGGTAGCTGGAAGAGGGAGGAGAAGAAGAAGAAAGAAGTGGCGGAGAGACGCGGCCTCTCACTATTAAACCCTACCCTGGCCTAAAATCTTCTTCCCCTGATTTCTTTTCTCTTTTACTTTTCTTAGGATATTTTCGCCGTTTTGCGCATGTGGTTCCGCCGTTTCGCGGGTCTGCATTTTATTAAAAGAGTGGGTGCTAGCTCGCACCTGATTGGACCTTTACCCTAGTAACAAAATTAAATTCCTTCTTAAAAAGGAAACAAAACTTGTTTCTAATAATTTCAATATAAAATTAAATTAGCGATCAGCAAGTTTCAATCCTGAACTCATCAAATCCGAGTTTAATAATTTCGGTGAAAATAAATAAAATAGGATTCAACAACAAATCTTAATATTTTTTTATTTGAGATGCGCCACAATATTTATTCATCAGCTAATCGACGAATTTCAATTCTAAATGGATCCAAATATAACACGTAACTTAGGAAGTGAGAAAGATGAGAAAAATGTTCACCCCTTTCATTCGATGCACAAATTTTCGTCACTCGAACACACAATACTCTGTCCACACTCATCAAGAGCGAAACAATCAATTTTTGACCTCAGCCAAAATCACATAATTAAGATGACTTTAAATAACGATATCTTTACTTCTTATAAAAAAAATAACGATGTTTTACCAAGTGTTTGACCGTCTTGATGTCTTTGAATCCATATGTAATACAACCTTACTAACTCGTAGTGTTCCCAAACAACCTATAGATTCCCTCCAGCCAACTCCAGCAATCATGTTTATAGGAACGAATATTATTTTGGAAGTTTGTATAAAAGCATTAATCAATTCTATTTCCTTAACATATATTAAGAATCAGATAATTAAATCCAAGAAGTTTGTATATAAGCGATAATATTGACCTCATCATGATTCGAACAAAAAAGTCATAAATAATTAAATCCAAGAATGCGTTTCGATTGTGATCAAATCTTCTAATCAATAACTAGCTTGTAAGTCAAATTGGTTCAAAATAGTCATGATTGATCCTGCGTATGAATTTGGCCAACACGTGGAGTAAATTTTTTTTAAATTTAGAGCAATACATGAAATCACAAACTACTTCGATTTGATTTATGGCCTTAACACTCATAATTGTTTAGTGTGGTAAGGGATTGGAATGAGATACATATTGTGAACAAAACCACCTCAAATAATGGCAAATTGGTTCGGTTGGGTTTGAACAATGGTTTGCAAATTGGTTGGTTGTCCTCTACTTGCCCCTCACACGCTTTGATTACTCGACAATTTTTTCTATGACGTTGGTCTCTGATTTTATTTATGATTTTAAAGTTTGTACAGACTGAACATAGCATGTGAGTTGAAAACAACCATTAATTATGTCTAGTTCATAAGGACTTATAAGGAAACGTCGTACATGAATCACTCCCAATAACTCATATCATTGAAATTAGTTGGGCTTAAGAGATGTTATCAATATTGGTTTGACCGTGATGTCTTGTTTAATTCATCAATCATCAAGAGTGAAAGATAAATAAGGACATGAAAGAGTTCAAGTACACCAATAATATTTATCAACCAATATTCTCAAAATATGTTCTTCCATCCATAGTCACACATAACAACCTAAACCCAACATTTAAAAGAAAATGGAATCACACGCTGCAAGGAAGTGCTTAAGATTCACACATGTACTTGTTGGTTTATATCATGGTATCATAGATTAAAGTCCATACTCGCACCCCTCTAACAACTCGAATTATTGGAAATTTAGGGTGAAATCACCCATGATCTACGTCTTTATTGTTTCAACTGAAGTCATCCATTTTAAGTTGCATGATAAGGGATTGGAATGAGACACAAACTATTCTTTCTTGGAAGTGTACCTCCGGAATCTTCAAACATGTCAAGATCTTCGGGTTTCATTTCGTTTGGAAGTTTCCAATCAAAATGATAGAGTAGATTCGCCAGCAGAAGATGAACGACGGCGATGCCGTAGTTCATGCCTAGGCACATTCTCCGCCCGGCTCCAAACGGGAGGAGCTGGAAATCGGAGCCCTTGTAATCGACGGAGGAGTCGAGGAACCTTTCCGGCAAGAACCGTTCCGGGTCGGTCCAATGCTTAGGATCTCGACCGATGGCCCACGAATTGACGAAAACTCTCGTCTTCGCCGGTATTTGGTACCCATCAACCACGACCGTTTCTCGACATTCCCTTGGAATCAAGAGCGCAACAGGAGGATGCAATCTGAAAGTCTCTTTGATGACCAGCTTGAGATAGTGGAGTTTGCTAAAGTACGCCTCATCCATCACTTTCCCTTTTCCATCAAACACGTGTCTAACCTCTCTCTGTACTTTCTCCATCACTTCTGGGTTTTTCATCAGTTCTGACATGACCCATTCGATGACGATAGGGGAAGTGTCACCCCCAGCCAGGAATATGTCCTGCAGTGTTTACATATCATTACTATACGAACCAAACAATAAGTTAATTTGAGGCAAGAAACACACACTCACTAACACAAAATATTGCTTACCAAGACAACGGCTTTAACCTCAAGGTGGTTGTCAGTACAATTCAACAGCACATCGACTAGATCTTCTTCATCATCTTCAGCTGCTGCTCTGTTTTCTCCTTCTGCCCTCCTCCTTCTTCTCGATACATGTTCATCGAGTATCTCTTGGAGGATTCCATCTGCCTCTTCGTGGAGCTTCTTCATTAGCCTCTCCGCCCCACTGATCCGACGCAACAACCTGTTTGCACGAGGAAAACGATCCCTCTGTCACCACACGAAATCGGCAAAACAGAGTCGGCGCTGTTGAAATCAAAGTAAACGATATTGTCGGCTTCGAGTCAAATTTGCGCGAAATTTTACTTTTGGGTATTCACTCTATAACGCCTCTCTCGTACTAATTGGATTGGGATCGGTGGACACTAATCTCAACACGAAATCTACCTAACCTGCTGGAAGGGAAGATGTCCCCCACATTGAACCCATTAAGCGCCTGGAGGATTCGATGCATCACCGGCAAGAAAGATCCCTCGAGCTCCCTGATCTTCCCAAACGCCGCCCTCGACGTCATCGTGTTGCCCACCGACACCACCAGCCGGCTCAGGTTCACCGCCTCTCCGGCCGCCGACGACGACAGCAACTTCATCAGCTTGTTGACCTCATCTTCTCGAATCGGCCGCAACTGCTTGACTCGCTTCTCGCTCAGCAGCTCCATTGTGCAGATCTTGCGCATCCGCCGGAGATACTCGCCCTCGGAGCAGAACGCGATGTCCTTGGCGCCGTAGAAGATGATTTCCGCCGACGGCATGTAAGGCCTGGAGGAGAAGTTGTGGTCGTGGGTTTTGAGGAACTCTCTGGCGGATTCAGGGGACGATACGAAGACGTTGGAGGTCTCGCCGAGCTTGAGGTGCATCACGGGCCCGTACCGCTTGGCTAGATCGGCGAAGCGGCGGTGGATGGGGACGCCGGCAGAGGTAGGGGCGGCGAGTTGGTGGATGTTGCCGATTATGGGGAGCTTCCATGGTCCTGGAGGCAGGGGAAATGTTGGTTTGTTGTTGTTGTTGTTCTTCTTCTTGAGATGGGATCTGAGGATGAATATGGTGGAGAAGAGGATGGGTATTAGGATTAGTAGTGGAGGAATATTGCTATTCCACAGGATCTCATCACCATGCCCAATCCCAAAAGCTTCTTCTTCCATTGTCATTTTGCTCCCCTCTGTGTTGTGTACTATAATGGTGGTGATGGTATTGCAATGTGTGTTGCATCTATCTAATATAGATTGAGAGCCCCTCACAATCCGTGGGTTACTGATTAGTGAGTATTGTTGAGTTGCAAGTTAACTAGCAATAACGATTCTTCAGCTAGCCAATAGGCAATACTAATAGTTCAATTATATTATTTGTTAATTTGTGCAATTAGAAAATATACAATGACGGTTTGATCATATTAAGAAAAGATACAATTCTTTTTCATTTTAAACTGATATGTGGGTCAATTCACCCACATTAATTACCCACCTTTTGCCCTACTCACAAGTCCCAACCAATTACATGATGCTGATAATCTGACCCACAGCTTGAGTAAACTAACCTGTTCGTAAACAGAAAATTGCCTAAAGTAGATGCTCTGTTTCTGGAGATCTCTCTGCCTCCTAGATATACCAAGGTAGACCTGACAAATTACAACCCGACCCGAAAGTCGAAACTGTCCGAAAACTAGAAATTTTTGTAACCCACAATCCGAATGACCCGAACCCGATAACCCGTGATTTTTTGGGTCGGGTTGGGTGGGTTAGCGGGTCGACCCGTTAGACCCGTTCCATTTTATATATCACTCCCAAAATGATAAAATCACTCATAATTTGGTGAGATGTTCAAAAAAGATCACAAGGATTTGAATGACATGTTTTGGAGTTTAAGGATAATCAAATATCATGTGTTTCTTGTAGTAGTATTACTCTTGTGATTGTTTTTTGACGATTTGCGCAATTTGTATTTCATTTCATTAGCGTGGGAGGATTTGAGAATATGTTAATTGACATGTGTTAGGTAAACTATTGTCATGCATATGTGAAAATTTGTGTTCTGTAAGAAAATATGAAACATGTTTGATATTTGACCCGAAATCAGCCAACCAAACATGACCCGACCCGTAACCGAAGTCCCCAACCCCAAATTATCCAACCCGACCCGTTTGCTAGGTCTATACCAAGGTCAACGATAGGGGTGCTAAATAGAAAATTAGCAATCAACCCCATTAACTTAATCAAATTAAAGTAATCAAATATCACATCAGTACACAAATAAATAGTATTTAATCCTCTGAACGAGCAACCCCACATTGATCTTCATGGATTTCATCTGCTTGCCCAATAATTCAATGCTAGCCTAATACCAGTTCAAAACAAGGTCACATGGCTAATAAAAGAAATCAGGGGCTGGCATGGTTGCAATAATGACCTCAAAACTCGAACAAAAAACAAGAATGCGATATAAGAATCGACGTGATAAAAAATCTTATAGAGTAACCAGCTAGCAATTCAAATATGTTCAAAATTGTACGTATTGGTCGATCCGGCGTTTAATCTGTTCGACACGTAGAACAATCTTTTAATTTAGAACGATACATGAAATCACACCACTTCGATTCGATACACCCAAAGAATGACAAAATTTTCAACCATGACCAATTCTAGTATAGTAGAGGAGGAAGTGTCACCCCGACTTTGAAAAAGAATTGTAGAAGATGATGCTGGCCGACGACATGTAAGGCCTGGACGAGAAGTTGTGGTCCTGAGTTTTCATGAACTCTCTGGCTGCTTAAGGGTATGATGATACCATACCATCATGTTTGAGGCCTCCCCCAACCTAAGTTGCATCATGGGGCCGGGCTCGAAAACTTTGCGATTTGGTCCAGACCAGATCATATGTACAATTTACAGTGGGACTGTAGTAGAGTTCAAAGATTGTACCAAATACTATATAATCCAAAAAAAAAAAAAATCATGTCTATGCATGTAATCTGATTCATTACGATCCTAGACCAACATACTATCATGCCTGTGCAATCTAGTTCGATATGGTTTCCTACTAATAGGGTATCTTCTGTAAATATTTACAGTTCTCAACACTAACATGTAATTTGAAGATAAGATGAATCAATTCCCAATATAATATTAGTGTTTAAGCAAATGCTAGGATACTAAGATGCTTGCCCTAAAGGTTCAAGGAATAATGCAACGAGATAACGGAAAGAGGAATACGTTCCTCCAAATGTCACTATGTCCCAGTCAAAGATACCAGTAACAAACAGGGGCCCACCTTCGCCGTTACCGAACCCGTCAAGTCAACCACAACGCAAATAAAATGGGCCTGATGGGCCTAAATTTCGACGTCCGTTACTTTACCCATCCGGGCCCATAAGGAAACTACCGGCCCACTCACAGCAAAAGAACCGCCCGAAGCCGGAGAGGCGGAGACTAGAGAGTCAACTAGAGTCAAAGACACATCAAAAAATAAAATAAAATATTTATTTATTAGCCGTTATTAGACGAAGAAGGTGGAAAAAGTAAAAAAAAAAAAAACAAGTTTACTCTCGGAGCTAGCAGAGAGGGGGAGAATCAGCCATGGCCGAGAGCGAAAGATTGGACGCTGTCCAACCGCAGCAAAACGACGAGGTGAAACAGCTACACAGTGACGATGGGGACAAGAATTTGGATGTGGGCGGGGAGGAATTGGAGCCAGCCGTCGTCGACGACGACGACGGAGAAGGAGGTGATTGTGATGGTGATGAAGGTGGTGAAGGCGAGGCTCGGCGCGGCGAGCTGAGTAGAGTCGTTGCTGAGGTGGAAGAAGGTGCTGGCGCGGATTCGATGGGGTCTAGGCCGGAGGAGGAGTCCGGAAACCTAGGTGCGGCGGCGGCGGCAGTACCGGAGAGCGATCAGTGTGTAGGTAGGCAGTTTTCTTTCTTCTTCTTCTTCTTCTTCCTCTTTCTGTTTCAGGGTTTTGGTTTTTCTCTTGTTTGTTACGAGGACTGATTTCTGGGAGCCCTGGTGTATGATCTCGCAGGTCAAGTGAGGAATTCGGCTCTGGAGTCGAGTACGGCGGCTGAATTCAAGGTTTTGCTTCTCCATTTCGTCCGGTTTTTCCCCTTTTGAATGTTCATTATCGACTGTCTCAGCGTTTGAGTTGCTTAGTTCTGAGTTGAACGTTCGAATTGTTGCTAACTTGTGTAAGGGTTCGGCTGGATTTTCTCATTTCTTTTCTGCATGAACTGAAAAAACGAAGTTATCGGTGATGGAGTTGATCTAAGGAAGGAACGGGGAGGTGAACTTTTTGTAAGAGTTAGGCTGGAGGTTCCTCTGTCTGTAAACATTTGGGAGTTTGAACTGGTTTCAATTGAAGACCAGTTTAATAGAAACTTATGATGTGCAATTGAGAACCTTACATGTGCTGAAATTTTGAATATTTCTTTCTTGACCAAATTAGAGAACCTTAAGTCTTTGAATTGCTTGAAGTTTTGGCCTGCTTCACTCAGTTGCATGTCTGATTTTTGGAGAATGTGCTATTCACTTGGTGTTTCATCTCCATCTTTGTAGGAACATGTGGGATCATCACAACAAGAAGTTTCAGAGTGTGAATCAACACATGATGCTAATGCTGATAGAGAAAATGGGCTTCAGTTGTGTGTTTGTCCAGCTCCTGCATCAGAGATGTCGCCAACTTCGGTTACCGAACCCATATCAGCTGGTCCAAGTCCAACTGTTCCGGACCAGAGGTTGCCTGTGCCGAAGGGTACCAGTGGTCCTGTGCAAGAAGCGGATCGACCGAAGCCCTCTGACATTAGAAATCTAGTTATACCTGTTTTGAAAACAGCTACCCCTGATGGTTACAATTGGCGGAAGTATGGTCAGAAGCAAGTGAAGAGTCCTAATGGTTCTAGGAGTTACTACAGGTGCACGCATTCCGACTGTTTTGCTAAGAAGATCGAGTGCTCTGATCATTGTGGCCATGTCATTCAGATTGTAAATAAAGGAATGCATAGTCATGATCCACCTCGGAAGAGCAATTCCAAAAGGGTAAGTAGGATGCCAGCATCCAGTGGGCATATTTCAGGGGATGTCATTACAGAACATGCAATTAGACTTAAGGAATCAGATCCAGCAACGCCGTCTAAAGAACTTACAGAAAAGAAGTTCATAATTGCTGATAGAAAACGTTTGAGCCCAAGTGGCTCTAGTGAGACTGATCAAGGTCAACTGAAAGAGGAACACACTTGTGTACCGGAACCCCCAAAAAGGTATTCTTTCTCATCAAATTAGTTTCTTTTTTGTGAATTATTTTCTTAAGTCTCTGGGATACAATGTTTAGTTCTTTCTGCCTCTTCTGATCAGGGTGAAAAAGGACGACCTGGATTGCTCACGGGCTCTCACTAATCCCGGAAAGAAACCTAAATTTGTTGTGCATGCAGCAGTTGATGTTGGGATCTCAGCTGATGGGTATAGATGGCGAAAATACGGACAGAAGATGGTAAAGGGAAATACTCATCCGAGGTGCATGTCTATTCGACTCATATTTTCTTTGCTCTGACCTTTAGTGTCATTTGTTCCCTTAAGGAAAGCCCATGCTGCTACTTGTTCTGTTCCTTTGATTGTGGAGGGAAAATATTCCTGCCCACCCAATTGAGCAAGTTCAGACATACTTATGAATGACTGAAGCAACGCAATCAGATGCCTATTGATACGTTCTACAAATGCTATCATTTGGCAACCAGGGATAGTTCCCTGTAATCTGTGAATTCATCGTTGTTGTTGTTTAAATCTGGAACGAACACCCTGTATATCAGATTATCAGTACATATAATTTCAGAATACATGATGTCATACATTCTGAAAATCTGTGGGTTTACTCCAAGATTTCAACAATATTGTGTGTGATCCACAATTACAATGTGCTGTATGATGAGGCAGTAACAATCTACAGGTTCCCCATATATGAATGACATGACAATGCAATCAGATGTCTATTCATAGAATCTACACATGCTAAATTATCTTTTGAGACTCAGGTCTTATATTTTCTCTCCTACGCCAAATGCTGATATTCCTAGATCCAATCACCTTTTGTACTCTGCAGGAACTACTACAGATGCACATCTGCCGGTTGCCCAGTCCGCAAGCACATCGAGACATTAGCAGACAACTCAAGCTCCGTCATCATAACATACAAAGGCATCCATGACCACGACAAGCCTGTCCCAAAGAAGCGTCACCGCCCACCCAGCGCTCCTCTCCTCGCCACCCCAGCTGCACCAGACTCCATGAACAATGCCGTCCAGCAGCACAATAAGAGAGCCGAGTCCCCGAGGAATCCAGAAACCTCGGTCGCTGGTGGAAACAACGACAAGAAGGACAAGGCGGTCGAATCGTCATCCCGGGCTCTCATAAGCATTGGCTTCGAAGTCAAGCCTTGTTAAGTAAGTAAAGTAATCAATGGGTGTTCATCATCCTGTTCCTGTTCCATTTCTTTTTCTCGTTTGCTTTCCTTTTTTAGTGAATGAGTGTTTGCTTGTGAACACTTAGAAGAAAGTAAAAAGAGAACTGTTGTATATGAGTGTATTAGTGGTGGAATGTTGCTGCCCCGTGATCCGGTTGACTGACTGGGATAATATTAGTATTTAACGTTAACCAATCTTGTATCTAGTTGATTAATAGCTAATTGCTGAGTTAATCGAGATCCGAGTTCGAGCCTTCTCTTTGTCTGTAAGGGGACCCATGTCCATAATTTCTCATGGTTTCTCAGACAGGTCTCTGATTAGCAGTAACCTGGTATGGGACAAGCATGGGCTTCCAGCTTTTTTGTGGTTATGGTTTTGACTTAGTAATCAATGCTTGTCAGTTTCAACATCTTGAATCATTGCAAAGTAGAGGGGAGGGAGAGGATGGTGCCCTACAACAGTGTCTTTGTGTAGGGGAGTCCTCTTGCCCCTCCTGAGGGGAACAGTTGTGTTTATGCTTGGTGACCTACTCCCCCTGCCCTTTCTCTTTCCCTTTAGTCTACATCTTAATCATTCAAGTCAATCAGCGTTCAAAGTTTTGAGCTGTCTTGTCTGCCTAGCCCACCACCTAATCTCTTTCTCCACACTAAAGTTGATCGTTATACGTCGAAATGTTTTCCTAGTGGGTGGAAAGGTAGCATCTTGATGCGTTGAAGAACCTTTCTTGGTCATCTATGTTAGAGTGTTATGCAATAACTACACATACGAGAGTCGCGTCGTCAGAATCAACAATAATGTGACCTTGGGGGAGTATATACTGTGGAGCTCTACCTCCCACTGGGTGATCAGAGGCTGTAGAAATCAAGCAGAGCTCAAATCGAAGGGTCTGTATGCAGAACAACCTTCCGTGAAATTCGTCTTCCAAGTTAGCCGGAGGTCAAGCTAAAACGACTGTCGATTCAGCTCAAGTGATGATGCTCCCTCCTAAGTTGTAGCATCAGATACAACTTATTCATTGTCTCATGAATTGCGCGCATTGGACTATGACTTGGAAGACAATAATGTGATGATGCTCCCTCCTAAGTTGTAGCATCAGATAGTCGTTTTAGCTTGACCTCCGGCTAACTTGGAAGACGAATTTCACGGAAGGTTGTTCTGCATGCAGACCCTTCGATGATGCTCCCTCCTAAGTTGTAGCATCAGATACAACTTATTCATTGTCTCATGAGTTGCGCGCATTGGACTATGGCGTCGTCAGAATCAACAATAATGTGACATTGGGGGAGTATATACTGTGGAGCTCTACCTCCCACTGGGTGATCAGAGGCTGTAGAAATCAAGCAGAGCTCAAATCGAAGGGTCTGTATGCAGAACAACCTTTCGTGAAATTCGTCTTCCAAGTTAGCCGGAGGTCAAGCTAAAACAACTATCGATTCAGCTCAAGTGATGATGCTCCCTCCTAAGTTGTAGCATTAGATACAACTTATTCATTGTCTCATGAATTGAGCGCATTGGACTATGGCTTGGAATACAAATAAAGGGTCTTCAATTTTAAATGAAAGAAGATATGACACATTTGAATATAAACTAACTTTCAGGAAGATCCCAACTATACAAAAAATCATACATTTCCAAGTGTGGAACAGGGCGGGCAAACCCACGTCCACCAACAGCCACAATTCCTTCACCATCATCTGGTTAAAGAACAACAATGAATTTTCTTTTATAATCTACAGATCTAGAGTGGGAGAATGGGACAAGATTCCTTCCTATCATGATGCGGCAGCAGCCAGAAATGGAATTTCCTTTCGATTTATACAGACGAAGGGGGAAAAAACTGGTCCATCAAGTTGAGTAATAGCACAGTACTGCATCAGCTGCTATGCTTCCAAGCTCAAGTCATCAATGGCTGATGTTGCTATGCCTCCAAGCTCAAGTCATCAATGGCTATGGACATCTCTGATCCTATGTTTCCGCTGTTCGTTTTTTCACCACCATCTTGTCCTTGTTCTTGATCACCTTCTGCTGCAACTGTAGCCTTGATAGTGCCATTCTCTTCCTTCCCTTCTGCCACATTTACACATTCCTGGAATCTGAAGCAGCCGATGAGATGGTCGTTTGTTATACCTGCCGACTGCATGAAAGAGTACACGATTGTCGGCCCCACACTGCGGAACCCTCGCCTCACGAGGTCCTTGCTTATGGCATCTGCTTTGGGGGACTTCACGGGTACCTGCCTTGGGTACCGGAGTCGGTTTACTATAGGCTTGTTGTTCACGAAGCTCCATATGTATTTGTCAAAGGAACCAAACTCTTCTATCACCTGCAGTCAACAAAACAACAAACCTGCATAATGTTAGCTGCAATATTAGGTATGTCATTACAATTGTTTGTATAATGATTGGATTGGCTGAAAGAGCAACAACACTTAGGGGTCATTTGGATGTTGGTTTGGGTGACAGATTTCAGCACCAAATCCACGAGAAGTGGGTTTGCTTATAACCCTTGTTTCGTGGAGCCAGAAAGGTGCCAACTCCATGGACCTAAGGAATCCACGAGGGTACCGAATTAGTTGGCTCACGGTATGGGTTTTCAAATCCATCTATCCTCATATCTACCTTCTCCCATTCATTTAACCTTTAAAAGTATTAGGAAGAGTGTTAATGTCAACTGATGCAACGGATCCGGCCTCCGGGACCGCATTAGCGCCCTGGAAGACAGGAAACGGGCCCTCCTCCAAGAACATAAATACCTCATTGTGATTCACTCACCCGCAACCGGAGAGACTAGAATAGAAGAGTCATATAGTTCCGACTTAGCATCATTTTCTTATGTCTAGTTGCAGGACCTTTAAAAGCTATTACAAGTTTATGACAATCCACTACTAAAATCCAACATCCAAACAAACAAAACTTGAAATCTGCAAGTGTACAATCCATCAATGTTCAAATCCCACATCCAAAAGACCCCTTAATCGTTAATGAATTGTACATCATCAATCGATCTGGGATCTTAAAGGGGAAGGAAAAATGTAATAATAGGCGGGGATAAAGATTTGAGGGCCATTTGCAGAAAGATATACAAAACTGCATAATTGTAGTCAGGCTGTATTCTTTTCCCTAAACTATTATTATTCTGCAAATTGCAAGGGAAGTTCAGGACCACACATCCAACCACTTTTTCCTCCACCTAACCTTATTGGACGAGAAGACCATTATCATAACAGCATTATATGTTCTTTTGCTTTAATGGCTGATATCTCGAATAGAGTTCGGTGTGTGGTCCGCGGAAGTTGGGAGTGCATTGATAGGAGTCAATGAAAACCCGGTACATGCCACTTGTCAAAGAGACAGTAAGCATACAAAAGGACCAACAAGAACATATGCTACGGAACAGGACCTCGAACACTTGCAGCTTGTGATGCCTTAAGCGGAAGTAAGACAAAATCGAGAGAGGGAAATAAGAATTTTACCTTGGAGATTTGACGAGCATTCTCAATGACAGCACGTAGCTTGGGTTCCGAGAGCAGGGAAGTGGCTTTGCTTCCTGTTGCCTTGAACTTCTTCTCATTGAACTTTGAGACGGAGATCGGATCAAAATCTGCAAAGACTTCCCTGGTGTAGAACAAGGGTTTTGGTCAATACTACTGGTACTGACTGATATATGAAGGTTAAGTGGAAATGAGAGGACTGGAGAAACTGAACCTGAAGATGTGCCTGTTGCTTAAAATGGCAGGCCAAGTAAGTTCAGCTAAGGCCCCCGAAAGGACAAGAAGCTCGAACAATTTTCTACACAGAGGAAAAACATCAAGAGATCAATAGTGAAACATTATTGAAAAGCTGAAGCCTTTTTGAAAAGCTTGGCACAATGATTAGGAATTTTCAAAACTTGTTCCTTACTTATCGTCGTGTAAAGGAACTCCCCATTCTTCGTCGTGGAAAGCTGCATAGCATGGATCTGGTTTCCACGTAGCAAAACGAGGTCAGTGCTAGAACTAGGAGCAAGCATAACTAAACCATCATGCTCCATTGAATGGAAAGGAAAGGATCCCACAGTTTGTAATTCAATAAAGCCAATCTTCATCACTTCATCTAAAAACAATCCCGGTAGACTCGATTCACCCGAATTTGATACAACTTTCTCAGTGAAGCAGGGTGCAATCTTTTACATAACTCTACGGAAAGACAGAATATAAAATGGAAATGCTGAGAAGGTACTGAAGAAAAGTATATGAACTGCTTTTAGCCTCTCAACTTCAATAAAAAGCCATCCAAGAACACTGAAGTCCTAGCAGAAAGTTGCTTCACTTTTGCGAGATGTTATTGTACATATGCTGAAGATTTCTACCACGTCAAGCGTACTCTTTGCAAACAAAGTGTCATCTAAAATGTAGTTCTGAGGGACAAGCTGATGAACTATACTAGCACAATTTAAGGCTCTACAATGCAATCTAAACCCAGCATAGCTCACACAGACTAGCTAAAAGCTTCATAAGGACAATAACAATTCACTCAAGAACCAAAGACGAACTTGCCTGTATTGGGTGTCACCCAAGCACATGTCTTCTTGTTGAACTGTGATCCACCAGGAGAAGTTGGAGACTCAAGTCCACTATCAGAATCAACACTCCTCGGCTTTGAAACCACCTTCCTTCTACTCCCTGTACTATACGACCGCACCAACCGCCCAGTAGACACCCGACTGTGGAATGAATCAGTGGATGCATCGGACGAGCAAGAGGCATTCATAGACAAATTGGAATGCAGCAACTGCTCGTGTCGACGGAGCACAGAAGATGCACTAAGAGAGTGTGATTTGGGAGAATGGCTGTTGTACATTCCTTTTGTTGGTTTCTTCTCTTCCGGTGATTTTTCAACTTTGCTCAGTGGCAATGGCTTGGGTTTCCCAGCACTAAAAGCTCCAGACTTGTTCCCAGTTGGACCCAAAACCGGCCTTGTTTGATCAGAATCAGCCACATTCATCGACCTCACCCTTGGAGCTCCTCCAGACATTATCCCGTACTTCAGGAAAGCAGTTCCCCAGTTCTAGTTGGAGGGTTTATCAAGAGATCTACCTACTCACCAAAGACCATTCAATTTTGCCACCTGAAGATTCCAACTCCCTTCATCAGAAACCCACCAGCACCAATTCTCGGACAACAGACATTTCAATGAGAACGCAATTTACCCGCCAAGCAGCACACAGATCTTGATAGAATTGCTGAAATTCATATCCCACCATAGCAAAGCCCAACGCAAACTGGAACTTGACTCAAAACAAACCCGCCAAGTCCTCCATTTCTTTGTTTTGCCCTCAAATCAAAGCATAAGAATGCTCACCTTTCATGGCTAGGGTTTCTCCACAAATAAAAAGTAGCTAACAGGAGGGAATCTCAAGCAAAGGGGGTGTAGAATCAGGAGCAGAGAGAATCCATCGAAGCACAAAAGATTCCACCGTGCATTTGCTGAAACCGAGATGGAAAAAGGGGGAATGTAAAGGGAGGCACAGGGGGGGAAACTATGACGATTCAGTGGTACCAGTAAAGCTGCTGACACATTCTCAGTATTCACTATCCTCCGCCCTGAAGTAGTCTGCAAAGCTCGTTCCTTTTTTTCTGCGTTCCTCCTCTGTTTTTTCCCCGAGAAAGTTTTGAAGGGAGGGAAAATGTTGGTGGCCGGAAAAGATTGGAGCTTGATCTATGGGGGAATTGAGGGTTTTAAATCTTTGAAGCTTTCTGCAAAGGAGAGAGAGAGAGAGGAACAGGGCGAGTGAAATGCAGAGGACTGAAGTAGAGAGAGAGAGTAGTAGAAACTTGGTGGGTTTTGTTTCCGGAGTAGCCGGTGCTGGATTCCGGTGGGTTTACCGGCTATTACCGGTTAATGCCTTGTACCTTCCTTCTTTCTTACTCCCCCTCCTTTCTGGCCTTTAAGCAGGGAAAAAGAGGAGATTTATTTTTCTACAACGATAATTCTAGATAAACTTAAATCATTCAATATAATTATAATTTTGATTTATGTAATTACATTTCTAATTAATTATGTCTACCATCTTGATCAGTGTTTTCTTTTTTTTGTATGACACAAAGAAAACAAAACAAAATGCATATTCCTAATCCTAACATACAAAATGTGTTTGGTTGTTGGGTGTGGAAAATGCAATTATATAATGATATCAATGTGGAGGCATTAACTTAGCATCATCACCCCTTCATTTACTTCTTTGTTGTTTTTGAAACACTCATTTGGCTGGGACGAAATGATCGTATTTTTTATATAAATATTGCAATCAAGTTTATCGTTTGATAAGTTTTACCCTTTATGCAATCGTATAGTTCGATTGGGACGATTGCCGACCTCCATATTGTTATGTTTGCTCAGCTTCAACCCTAGCCAAAGCTTCATCATCTTCCATTTGCTAGGACATGGATCATTCATGGAGAAGAGAAGACCAAAATCCTCAATAAAACTGTAGTGAAGAGATAACCCTTCTTCTCCTAACTTGGAACTTGATAGAGGTCAACGTTCACCAAATTAGCAGTTACATATTCCTTCAAGCTTTACTTTGTCAACGGCTGTCCATAACAATGCATTTTCCAATACCAAGCCGGCTACATTGGAATCAAAACCAGCCTTGTATGTCACTCTCATTCATAGCATAGGATTCTTCAGTTCCCAATTCTATACTCCCCTTGACCCCTAAAGAAAAGGACAATGCATATCTGTGTATTAGAAGAAGGAAATAAAACTCTCATATCATAATCAGAAACTCTCAGCTCAAGCCAATGGTTCCTTTCATATTCAGTCAAATTCATAGACTCCCCAAAAGGTCAGTTACTTGGAACATTCTCTCAAGCAAGGGTCTCATCATTTACAGCAACCTACTACAATCCATATTCTTATACTTTCTGTCAGCATTCAGGATAGGATAAGAAACATGAAAAAGGAACAGTTGGGAAGTGTGGAAACCCACTCCTGGTGGTTCTTCAAAAGCCAATATATCTCACCATGTAGTTAAGCTGGAGAAGGCAAGTTCGTGCAAATTCACCACAGTAAAAGAGTGTCAAAGTTCGAAACGCCAGCTAAATCGTTTAGCAGTTATGGCTTACAACACCCGGAAGCTGCACCTGCAAAGAATGCAACGGAGAACAAGAATTCAGTAACATGGGGGGATTATTCAGGTAAGAACGAGGAAGGAAAGAATGTCAATCAATAGCTCATCAAGCATTCAGGAAGGCAATGCGGAATTGGCAAAAGAATGGCGGACTTACCCCAGCAAACCTCTGCCTTCCCATGGTCTTGGAGTCACGGTCAAGTTGATCGGAGAGCCTTGCCTCAGTACAACCACGGACACTGCTTTATCCTGATTGGCCTGTGCCTCTGAGGCGAGCTTCTGCAGAGGATTCTCACCGGCTTGATACAGCATGTCGCCGAATTTAACAATCTGATCTCCTAGCTGTACACCGTCTTCAGCAGTTGGCGATGCATCAGCTATCTCATCGATCACTGCAAACGGTATGCTGATGAAGGCATCCACATCCATGGCTGCTGCATTGTCAGATGAGGGGTTTAGACTGCTTGATGTCTCATTGTTACCTTGAAATAAGGCAGAAGTAACAGGAAGATATATATTAGATTCTGGTGCTGCTCTAAACCGAGTTGTGGTACATTCTCGTCAAGAAGTAGATTTTAAAGTTCTATGAGCTACCTGAATCTCCGAAGCCCGAAGATTTAGGAGCAAGCCTCGCTGAATGCAGAAGTTCTATGCTTTCCTCTATCTTTTTAGTAATCACCTTGTGATCATTTCGTAGCTCTGCAATAGCACCACAAAAATCAAAATCTGTAGACAAGTCTCTCTTCTGCTTAGCTTTAACAACTTGATCAAAAGGTACACATCTAAGGCAGTTCACTGCTGAATTGCATCTTTCCCAGCAGGAAGGTATGAACTTTCCTATTTCTGAACTGAAATCTGGAAAGAATGATGATATGGGAAGCATGTTACACACCTGCCAGACGATGCCGGTCTGCTCTAACACCTGCAACGTCTATATCAGTACGCGGAAAACCCTAAACACCACGGAAACAAAGAAAACAATCGATCAGCCCCCCAACACATTCATTCGAAAGTTCGGCGATTCACTGATCAGGAAACGATAAAAAGATCAATTGGAACCAGAAGACCCGCATATGTCCTCAGATTCACGAACTGCAGCAAACTCCACTAACCATCCTTCGAATCTGAACACAGAAGGAAATCACCGCCACATATTTCACCTAGCATAACTTCAGAATCGTACAATGCAACTTCCACACAGCTTAATCTCGCTTCTCTTCTATCACATTCTAGAAAAAAACGAAGCTCAGTTAAGAGCTAGCAGCTTGAACTCGAACTCTACTGAAACAACAGAAATTATCTCGATCCGTCCATCAAATCCCTAATCAAACTTCACCTGAATCAATCAAAGTTACGAACTTTCAGTTCGATGAAGTATTTTACCTCCGAGTCGACGAGGTTGCCGGAAAGTCCAGGACCGCCGGGCTGGGTGAGACGTTGGACGAGGACGTTCATCTCCGACTCGATTAAGCCCCTCTTCTCCATCAGCTTCACCGTTTCTGCTTTCACGTTCGCCCCCGCCATTGTCAGTCGTCAGAAATTCCTCAACTTTACCTGTCCGATCGCCTCCGTCGGAGAATTTCTCGGGTTTTACGGGTATATAGAACTCTCGTCTTGTAAAAGAAGAAATAAATCACGGTAGAATTTTGGATAAATCGGTGAAATTTGGACCCAATCCGAACCAAACCAGCCATAGCTCAGCTGGTCGGACCATTTCTGACCCACTCGAGTCGTGTTGCCGCCGTCAGCTTTTATCTCTATCCCATAGGCCAGAGTAGAGAGTTTGCTGATTACTGGCACTGCGCGGTGGGGTTTCACTATAAAATCCATAGGCTCCCCCGCAGCGGAAAAAATGGCCGGTAGTCTTCTACACTCCTTCGCCACTTCCTTCTCTTCTTGCTCGTCTTCGTCTTCTTCTCGTCTCCTTCTCTCCCATTCTCCCCCTTCCTTGTTCTTCACGAGATTCCGCGGAGCCGCCGCTGTTGCAGTCCCCGGGGTTCGATTCTCGCGTGTCCTCGCTTCTTCTTCTTCTTCTTCATCTTCTCGCTCGCCGTTGTGTTACCGGAGAGGACAGAGGAGGCACATGGCGCACTCGATTGCTAGGGCCACTCTCGGCCTCACTCAGCCCAACGCTGTCGACGTCCCAAAGGTCTGTACTTCCTCTCTTTCTATTATTCAATCGCCGGAAAATGATGAAAGATCGCTTCTTTCTTGTCGTTTTGGTCTCCCCTTCTTTTGGATCGATTTGTTCTGTGGTCTGCTGTATTCCCCCCTGGATTTAATCGATTATGGAGAATTGGGTCTCGTCGGAATGTAGGTTTTCCTCTGCAGCTCTTGATTGTGTAGTGTGATTGAAAGCTCTGATCTTTTTGCTTGTTTGTTTACTCGGATTTTCAGTTTTAGGTGTTTGTTAGTGGATATATGGTCTGGTTTATTTTATATCGAGTGAGTATGAATTCTTTGGGGACGTTTTGAGCTCAAGGTTTGAGATTACTAAAACAGCCTGCCATGTGTTTGTTTTAATTCCTCAAAGATCGCATTTGCTGCGAAAGAGATTGATGCGGTGGAATGGAAAGGAGATTTACTTGCGGTTGGTGTCACCGAGAAGGACATGGCTAAGGACGAGAGCTCGAAGTTTGATAACTCACTTCTGAAGAAGCTCGATTCCCAGTTGGGCGGTCTCTTGAGTGAAGCATCTTCCGAGGAGGATTTCACCGGGAAAGCTGGTCAATCGATGGTGCTTAGGCTTCCTGGTATGAGCTCCAAAAGGATAGGCTTGATTGGTCTTGGACAATCTAGTTCGACCACATTTGCTTTCCGTGGCTTCGGTGAGGCTTTTGCTGCTGCTGCCAAGTCTACTCAGGCTAACAGTGCTGCTGTTACCCTTGCAACGACGAGCAGCATCTCAAACGAATCGAAACTCAGCACGGCTTCAGCAATAGCATCTGGTACTTGTTTCGAGGAATGACATTCATTTTCATGTTTTGTGTGCTTCGAGTTCGAGCTGACTTTTGTTTGGATTGGTCGGATTGGTGACAGGGACTGTGTTGGGATTGTATGAAGACACTAGGTACAAGTCAGAAGGAAAGAAACCGGTGCTTAAATCTGTTGATTTCATTGGTCTTGGAAGTGGAGCAGAAATAGAGAAGAAATTAAAATATGCTGAAGATGTTTCCACTGCTGTGATTTTTGGGAAAGAGCTTGTGAATTCCCCAGCTAATGTTCTCACTCCTGGTTAGTGTTGATTAATTGTGTTGTCAAATTTCCTAATTGGTACTTGTGTCTTCAATACTTATGCATGCTAGCAAGGTGTATTTATATGGCATCCAGTTTAGTCACATTTGCTCAATGACTTTTTGTGTATTCAGTTGTACTGGCTGAGGAAGCCTCCAAGATTGCTTCCACATACAGTGACGTTTTCACTGCTACTATCCTGGACGCTGAAAAGTGCGAAGAATTGAAAATGGGATCCTATCTTGGTGTTGCTGCAGCATCTGCAAACCCGCCTCGTTTCATTCATTTGTGTTACAAGCCCTCGAGTGGACCTGTTAAAACCAAGCTGGCATTAGTTGGAAAGGGATTGACTTTTGACAGGTGAGATAATTGTTCCTGATTGTATCCTTTTCTGAAAGCATGAGCCAATTAAGTGGTTGTCAGTTTTGGTCAAGTTGTTATGGCGATTCTTTTGTTTGGTGTCATTTGGTGAGTAACGGGTGACCTTCTTGTGATCAAGTGATTGCATTTTTCATAAATACATCACATGATGCGTTATAAAGTGTTCTTTCCAGTTTTCGATTATTCAGCCATATGTCTGAAAAAGCAGTGTTCTATGTCTGTAGTGGTGGTTACAACATCAAGACAGGAGCAGGCTGTTCCATTGAGCTCATGAAATTTGACATGGGTGGTTCAGCAGCAGTTCTTGGTGCAGCAAAAGCCATAGGTCAAGTTAAACCTCCTGGAGTCGAGGTAGAAACATTCACATGTTCTTGTCATTTGGCCTTACTTACTCATACTGTTAGTACTTACCGAATCGTTGGTTCTTGTAGGTTCACTTCATTGTTGCAGCTTGTGAGAACATGATCAGTGGGACTGGTATGAGGCCTGGGGATGTAGTCACAGCATCAAATGGGAAAACAATTGAGGTACATACATTCTCATTTTCCTCTCTGCCATGAAACCCCTATCTTGGTTTGTCGAGTCCACAGCTGGCAACCTTGCTAATTCAGTTTGTTCAATACATATGATAGGTGAATAACACTGATGCTGAGGGCAGGCTTACGCTTGCTGACGCTTTGGTTTATGCATGCAATCAGGGTGTTGATAAGGTACATCTCAAAAATTAATGTTAGCTCGCGTTGAGATGCAATGCTTACTAGGTGACATTGATCAAGATGTCTGTTTCTGTTTCCGATTCGTGAATGTTGCCAAAATGATTTGACTCCGGATTCTTTTATATGGTATTTAGATAATTGATCTGGCAACGTTAACTGGAGCCTGTGTAGTTGCTCTTGGACCCTCAATCGCAGGTATAACACGATCTCACACAACCCTGATTCCAGTAGGACTCAACATTGTTATTGTCAGATCGCAGAACGTTTGAAGTCATACAGATGAAAGTTATATTCATCGTCATGAATACTTGATATTGTTTACAGGTGTCTTTACACCCAGCGATGACCTGGCCAAGGAAGTATCCACCGCAGCAGAGGCGAGCGGGGAGAAATTTTGGAGGATGCCATTAGAAGAGAGCTACTGGGAAAGTATGAAGTCAGGAGTAGCGGACATGGTCAATACCGGTGGTCGCCAGGGAGGCTCCATCACTGCTGCTCTTTTCCTGAAACAGGTAACTGCTTTTCTCTCCATCCTTAGTAGTTACAGATAAGCAAGTCACCCTTAGCTAGTAGACAACTTCTTAAGCTGGGTTTCTACTTGGTCTTGGTTTATCTCCCTCAGTTTGTCGACGAGAAAGTCCAATGGATGCACATCGACATGGCTGGACCTGTTTGGAACGACAAGAAGCGTGCTGCTACAGGATTTGGAATTGGAACTCTGGTGGAGTGGGTCTTGCTCAACTCTTCTTCATAGACACACACAAGCAGCAGCAGCACAAGGAGCAATGCTTTTTAATGGTTTCGGGATCCATCAGTTTCAGGAATAATAGAAAATCAAAAGGGTGTTTTGAATAGAAAGGAAAAAAGGGATCTTTATGTGAGGAATTTTGGTATATCTTCTTTTGGCAATTTGGGGACGAGCAGAGTTAGGGACTCTGTTATTGCTTCTGCCTGGAGTTCTATTACGGCCATTACTGCTTTTTCTCGCTTTGCATGCTTAAACTGGGAAATAGATTTCCTTTCAGATATTACCTTTGGTACTACATGATTCAGGAAAGTCCATTTCTCTTCTCATAGGAAATTCAATTCAATTCTGAACAAAATTGGTTCCTAACCGTGTGATCGTCGTTCCCTAACCGAATCCTCTATAACCAAACCTCATTGCACATATCAAAACCCAGAAGTTGATTCATACAAACTTCTGTTACTGCAAAATATCAAGGAAAGAACACGAAGATTTTACCATGGATTCTACAAATCCACTCCCAAGTCCCAAGCATCATGAAGTTGCAGCACCCTTGCTTTAGTGCCATGGATGAATGACAGCATTTTGGTCCTGAGCGACAGATGTGTTAGGGAATCACTTTTCCGGAATCAAGAATTTCGTTCCCAAATCTCGTGTCGGTTTTACACATACGTTAGGTCGAATTTGTATTTATCATACTTTTGTATTTAAAACAAACTAATGGTTGAAATATCATATCGATTTGATTACGGTAAACACACGACTTAACCGATACAACCTACAATCGAACGGATACAATTCATAGTCCTTGGCGCCGATCTCCAGAGGTCCTTGTTGTGCCCCACGATCTGAAATTCGTGCATCCAAGTCTTGCAACGGCACGTGAATCAAGGCCATAAGGCCCATAACGCCTTGGCTCGCAAATGAACAGTCAAACCAAGTAAGTAAGTAACCAACCCCTGTCCTTCAAAGTTCAAAAAAAAAAAAAAAAAATTATATAAGAAATGAAAAAGAAAGAAACTTGCTTACAGTTCAGAGCTCGCTTTACGACATTCGGAATCGGAGGATAGCTCCAAAAGTAATAACAGAGGAAACGAAAGGAAGGCATAAGCGATCTCCCAACACTCCACCCCACTGTGGCCAGCTCCCCAATCAGAACCCCGAAAACAGCTCAGAAGAGAAGACTAGGAAGGAAAAAACGAATGGAAAAGGTCGAGACTTTAACCGAAGTTAGCGGCTTTATGTCGCTCTTCTTTCCCTGATTTTGATCAGTTGGTGGGTGAAGCTTGAAGAAGTGAAGGAGAGGGTTTACGAAGAAGAGGGAAATATGAGTGTCTGTGTAACTGTAATGACCTTCAATCTGCATGAAGATCGGGCGGCAGAGGATGGTAGCAGTAGCCCCAATTCATGGGAGAAGAGGAGGGATTTGTGTTTGAGTGTCATTACCAGTTACTCCCCTTTCATCCTTTGTACTCAACAAGGTTCGATCTTGCTCTAAATTTGCTGATCTGGGTGTTCTTTCTTATCGGTTTTGTCTTTCTGGGTTGCTTCTCCGATATTGAAAGTCTGTTGTTTTCCCTGGCTTTTCCATTGTTGGTGGGGTTCAGGAGTGAAGTCACAGTTGGAGTATCTGCAGCAAGGTTTGCCAGGTTGGTTGGTGACGACTCCCTAATCATGATTTGCTCACCGTCATTTGACCTCGTCAGCTTCTGTATTACCTGCGTGCTTTATAGTAGTCTAGTTGAAGATATGATTTAGTTGTTAATCTTGTTGCCATTTGTAAATGAAAAACAATGCTCTATTTATAGACTGGTTGTTTTGTGTGTCTATGATATTACTGTTATAGATGGAATTGGGAACTCTAATCTTGATAACGAGTCACTTTGGATGTTGTTGAAGTTCCCCGGACTGCAGATATGTGAAGAAATGCTGTAGTGAAAGACTGAGTGATTAGTCAATTGCATGCGAGGTCATAGAAGAGGTCGTGGCTAACCAGAAGCAATCTGCCATTTTTTTATGGCTGTTAAATTAGTTAATTGAAGTGCAGCAGCCAAGTGAATATCGGTTTATTGATAATTTTTTGCCCGGATCAAAAGTTGGACATGATAGTGCGAGTTTAGAGTCAATATTTTCTACACAAGGAAGATAGTTTTGTGATCATTTGTGCTTTGTTTTGGTGCTATGAATGATGCATTTTGGTCGGAGTCGTTGGAAGTCCAAATTTGGCCTGTTGTCTCTTCTCAACCTGGATATTGAGCTCATTATTCAGGAATGATGCATTTTTTTATGGTCCATCAGGTTATGATCAATTTGGTGTGTCGAGAAAAGGATTCGAGGATAGTACTGATGAATACTGCACCATCTTCTACGACAAGGAGAAGGTACTTATTTATGCAAATCATCGGCTCCCTTTGTTGTTAACCTCTTTGGTCTAGTGAACTGTTTTATCATTTGCATTCATTTTCTTGTATCTGGTTGAATGAAGGTAGAACTACTAGAAGGAGGAACGTTTTGGTTATCGGAGTCTCCATCTGTCCCGGGAAGCATATCATGGGGTGCTTCAGTACCGTGCATTGCAACTTGGGCGATATCCTTCCAAACTCCTCCAGTTTTCTTTATATGGCTTGTCTGGTTTACCTCTTTGCTTGCTTTCCTTGACGTGGAGTCCACACATTCCAACTGAAAGGAGCTGAGCCCCCAGGGTTCTCATTCCAGATAGTGAACACAAACATGGACGAATCAAGTCCTCGTGCCAGAAGACGAAGCGCTTTGCTCACTTGGCAGCATATTGCGTCTCTACCTCCCAGCCTTCCAGTTGTTTACTGCGGAGGGTTCAACACTAAGAAGGAATCAACCACAGGGCGCTTCCTTCTTGGTAGATCAAGGTGTGTATTTGTTTGTTGCATTGGCCTGATTTCCTTTACTCATTACTTCTGAGCACGACCCCTTTCTAATCAATCCAGAGAGCATGGATCCATGGGAGATATGAAAGACGCCTGGCCTAATGCTCGAGTGAGGAAGAATGTCTCTTTAATACGCACTTACCATGGATTCAAAGGTTCTGCTTATGTAGTAAAGCTGCTGCTCTTTCTTTAAGGTCTCCATAACCTTATATGTGACATTACATTTGACATTTACTATCCCCGGTTATCAGGTAACAAGCAAGGAGCCCTTGAGTTTGTGAAGTTAATCTTCCGAGCATTGTGCCTTTGCTGGGACAGGCAGACACAGGACCTCCACATAGATTGGATCCTCTATAGGGGGAGGTCTCTGATCCCATCGTTATGTGAAGTAGTGAGCGACAATATTGATGGCTTCTACCCTTCCTCTCACTACCCTATTTTCGCCGAGTTCATGCTTCCTCGTTCTGTGAGACTCGTCGAACAACCACCAGCACCAGCTGCTGCAGCAGCAGCAGGTGCTGAGCAGGAAAACCAAGCTGCTTCATGAATGGAAATCCAGCTGGTCTTTTCTAGTTCCAAGTTTCCTTTTCTGGTCGATTTCATACCGCAATTCATTGATTGTTGCAAGAATGTGTAGCTAGGTTGTTGTCTGGTCTTATAGCAGGATTGTCTGTTGTTCTAGGACCAAATTGGAAACTTTCCCAACATGTTCTACGTTGGGTTTTGGTTGGCTTAGAAGCTATGCTGGAAAGAGACTTTGGGTAGTTTTCTTCATAATGAAGATTGTGAGATGGGAGATGTTTTCCTCTTTCTACAAGTCTGGTTTTGAATGTTAGTTGGGAAATTGACTCCTGACCCTCGGTTTGTCTTGAAAGAGACTTGGAGTGGTATGAATTTGACAACTTTAGGAGGAAATATGAAGATCCTAGTCATCATTGAATTGTTGAATTACTCCACTAAATAAGGGATCATTTACGAGCAAATGTTTGAAATACTTAGAATACATAGAAGAATGTTATATACATTTCACATAAACTTAAATAAATGTACATTAGAGCGTGCTCGATCAGTCATGCTTGTTGAAAGTACGACAGGAAAACGACTTCATTTAATTATATGAGCTTTTTTAAATCAAATTGGATTCCCTTCTAGAAGAAGTGTAGAACATGGGGGTGGTTAGGATGGATTAATCAAAATTAGTAGAGCAAATTACTTCTCTTATCAAAATGCATTTTCACACTCCAACAAACAAATACAAAATGCATTTCCACATTCGATCACAAATCAATATTAGGTTTTATTTAGCTCATTCTTTCTATCGTAATTGTAGTTTTGATGTCGTTTTTAAGAACAGAATGACCAATATATAAAATTTTACACGAGAAATGATGAAGACTTGAAGTTGTGATGGGAGAAGAAAATTGATTATATAATTTCACAATTTGTAACAACTACAGCTTAAAACGATGAAAAGACACGTGTGATTAGTATGCGGATGTTACAATTGCAATTCTCAATAGAAACTCATTCTTCTATCACTATTTAACAAATTTAAATTAAATCTTCGTTATGTGGATCTCATATCCAATCAATACGAGATACTCTTTTCTATCCAAATATCTAGCATGAAGTTGGAATTGTCATTGCTGCTCGAGTTTTGAGTACTTATAATCACAAGCAAAAGGGACGAGAATGAACTGGATAAAAAGTATTGGGGGCAGTAAGTTGAAACAAATTAAATTATACAACTGTTTTTTTTTCCAAAGGGGGAAATAAATAATAAAATTTATTTCCTTAATTGTATTTACACAGTAGTGGCGCTTCCGTTTTCTCGTTATTCCCGTGCGCGCACTACTCTTCCTTGTTCCTTCCCTTCGCTCTCTCGATCCGCCATATCTGCTTCTCCCCACCGTGGTTCCAGATCCAGTTCGGCGGCCATGGCGAGGGCATCTCTCTCTCGCGGACTCCTATGGATCTCCCTCTTCTCTTCCGTCTTCTTCCTCCCCGCTCGCTCCTTCTACCTCCCCGGCGTCGCCCCCGAGGATTTCCACACGGTAATTCAATTCCCCCTCAAATCTCCTCCAGACCGTTTTCCGGTGCGCGAGATTCGATGAATTGCGAAAGATTTGTGGTAACTGATGTAAAATTGCGTGCTGTGTTGAATTTGACGGAGATGAATCAATTGACAAGTAGTGATTTTCGTTATTGCATATGAAGAGTTCGATTTTGAGCTGATAGGATTCTATTTAGCTGACTCTAAGAGCTCTTGATTTCTGTTGGTTTTATGGACTCAGGGGGATGAATTGAAAGTGAAAGTAAACAAATTGACTTCCACGAAGACACAGCTTCCGTATTCATTCTATTCCCTCCCTTTATGCCGGCCGGGGAAGATTGTCGACAGCACTGAGAATCTCGGGGAAGTTCTTCGTGGTGATCGCATTGAGAACTCTCCTTATGTGGTAAGTTTAATGTGTTTGAGAAGGCTGATAGAGTTATTTTGTGGGGATAGGGTGTTTGACAAGTGTGTATTTTGCTGGTGCAGTTTAAAATGAGGGAACCACAAATGTGCAAGATTGTATGCCACACGAAGCTCAATGATAAGACCACTAAGGCGTTCAAGGAAAAGATCGATGATGAGTATCGGGTCAACATGTAAGGCTTTCGTTTTCTGGACATTCTCTTTATGTTTGTAGTTTGATCTTATGGGTAGGTTTAGATAATTGGCTGAGATGCGTTAGTCTAACACTTTTTGTTCTTTGTGTAACAGGATATTGGATAATCTTCCTTTGGTTGTACCAATTCCAAGGCTCGATCAGGAAAATTCGGTGGTATATCAGCAAGGGTTTCATGTTGGTCTGAAAGGGCAGTATGCTGGAGTAAGTGGGGGGAACTTATATGTGCTGAACAATGTTCTGTTTTAAGAATGAACCGTCTTATCTAATTACGAGCATACGTTTTGCCTGTTATTTGTTCTGTTGTTTGTAGAGCAAGGATCAAAAGCATTTTATCCATAACCACTTATCATTTACCGTCAAGTACCACAAAGATGTTCAGACTGATTCTGCAAGGATTGTTGGATTTGAGGTCAAACCATACAGGTAACGGTTTGTCATTCTTATTGTTCAACTTTACTTTGGTAACTCTCCTGTTGGAGCTTCTTCATCAATCTATTTGGTTTTGCTTATTCCAGTGTCAAACATGAGTATGAGGGAGAATGGAAGGGAGAGAACACCCGCCTAACGACATGTGATCCTCATGCAAAACGAGCTGTTACCAGCTCTGAAACTCCCCAAGAGGTTGCGGATAAGCAGGATATTATATTCACTTATGATGTCGAGTTCAAGGTGATTCCATATTTGATTTATCTCCTCCGAGCTAAAACGTTTGCTGCTTGTACTATTTTAAGTATCTGTTAACACTTCCCCTTCTGTTTATCTTGTAGGAAAGCGATGTGAAGTGGGCGTCTCGTTGGGACACCTATCTTCTAATGGCCGACGATCAGATCCACTGGTTCTCTATCGTCAACTCATTGATGATTGTCCTGTTCCTCTCAGGCATGGTAGCCATGATAATGCTGCGAACACTTTACCGGGACATCTCCAAGTACAACCAACTTGAGACCCAGGAAGAAGCCCAAGAAGAGACGGGATGGAAATTGGTCCATGGAGATGTCTTCAGGCCTCCATCAAACTCAGACTTGCTCTGTGTCTATGTTGGAACAGGCGTTCAGTTCTTGGGAATGCTCCTGGTTACCATGATCTTTGCCGTTCTCGGTTTCCTCTCTCCTTCCAACCGTGGTGGGCTGATGACCGCCATGCTCTTGCTCTTCGTGTTCATGGGCCTCTTTGCTGGATATGCTGCAACTCGCCTCTTCAAGATGTTCAAGGGCACAGAATGGAAGAAGATAGCACTGAAAACCGCTTTCATGTTCCCTGCAAGCGTCTTTGTGGTTTTCTTCATCTTGAACGCCTTGATCTGGGGCGAGAAGTCCTCGGGAGCTGTGCCATTCGGGACCATGTTCGCTCTGGTCTTCTTATGGTTTGGAATCTCTGTCCCACTGGTCTTCGTGGGCGCCTACCTGGGCTTCAAGAAGCCTGCCATCGAAGACCCCGTGAAGACCAACAAGATCCCAAGGCAGATCCCCGAGCAGGCATGGTACATGAACCCTGCATTCTCGATTCTGATTGGAGGAATCCTCCCCTTCGGCGCAGTCTTCATCGAGCTCTTCTTCATCCTCACCTCCATCTGGCTGCATCAGTTCTACTACATCTTCGGGTTCCTGTTCATCGTCTTCGCCATCCTCATCGTCACCTGCGCCGAGATCACGGTCGTGCTCTGCTACTTCCAGCTCTGCAGCGAGGACTACCTCTGGTGGTGGAGGTCGTACCTAACAGCAGGTTCCTCCGCTCTCTACCTCTTCCTCTACGCTGCATTCTACTTCTTCACCAAGCTCGAGATCACCAAACCGGTTTCGGGGATCCTGTACTTCGGGTACATGCTCATCGGCTCGTACGGTTTCTTCGTCCTGACCGGCACCATCGGTTTCTACGCATGCTTCTGGTTCACGAGGCTCATTTACTCGTCGGTAAAGATCGATTAATCATTGATATATACGTGGGTTTTGTTAGTTAGTTCACAAAGTTAGAGTCTTTTTCTTGAGGGTTGCTAGTAGAAGAGAAGTGTGGAACACTGTTGTTATTACTCTACTCCTGAGTTCTTTGCCCCTATAGTTTTGAGCTCTCTCTGAATCCGAACAGGGGAAAGATAAAAGAAAGGAATTCACAGTGAAATCTTGAATCTGGAATTTATATCTACACGGATTGTTTTTACAGGTGATGTGCTGTTTCTATCTTTGTAATGTATTTCTAATATTTGCGTCTTTTTTTTTTTATGTATCCCCTTGAATCCTACTCTGTCTCGGAGTCGGAGGAATCTCAAAATCATATATAACTCCTTGCCCTCCGGCGACAGAGTCCCAAAGAACTCAAAATTCATCAAACCATAGCTTTATTAGCAATGGCGGATTCCGTCAAGCGTCGCCTCCTGATCACCTTCGCCGCGATACTCTGTTTCATCCTCTGCTCCTCGGTCCTCCTCCGACATCCTTCCGACGTCCCTCAGAAACCCCCGCCGCCGCTCGTGCTTCCACCCGACGTCGACCCCACAGCCGCCAAGATCGCCGAGGCTCTCCACTCCCGTGGCAACTACTCCGCCATGATACCAGATCTCATATCCAAATTCAACCCGGGATGCCTCGGCGCCGCCGCCGCCGTCACGATCTTCGTCCCGACGGACCGGTCCGAATACCCCGTGTGCGGATCGGAGAGGCCCGGGGTCCGGATCGTGCTGTCGAGGGTGGACCGGGAGGCATTCGGGTCGCTCACAAACGGGTCGGTGCTGGAAACGTGCGACGGCGGCGAGATTCGGGTCGCGGAATCGGCGGCGGCAGAGAAGGGGTACCTGCACGCGGAGGTCGTGGATTGGAATCTGTACGACGACGACGGCGGCGGCCGTGTGATCGTGCACGGGATCGACGGGGAGCTGCAATCCCACATGCCCGTGGCGGCGGTCGGGAGGTTTGCTGTCTCGGGTATGGTGAAGCCGAGGAGGAAGGACGCCGGCGGCGATGAGTTGGAGAGTCTTTGCCGGGGAGCTGCAATCCCACATGCCCGTGGCGGCGGTCGGGAGGTTTGCTGTCTCGGGTCTGGTGAAGCCGAGGAGGAAGGACGCCGGCGGCGATGAGTTGGAGAGTCTTTGCCGGGGTCCGTGGCGGAATCAAGTAATGGCGCCGAGGACGATGGACGGTTTCAGAAAGGCGTTTATTCGGAGAGTGGATGGCCTCCCGGTTCCGCTATTGGGGTGGTAAACGTAATTTCGCCAGTTGGAGAAAAAGTGTGCTAATTACGGTTTGGTTGAGATTTAGGAGTCGATTGATCATATTTTCCGGACAATTACTTTTATCAGTTCAAATCCCAATCAACGCCATAGAGTTTACTGTCCTATAATTTAATTTCATGCAAATAATAATATACAGTGTCTTGAGGGCCAGAGAATGCAGATAGTTAACAGCAAATTAGAATGATAATGATAATCGAATTTTACGGGGGGTGCTTAATCAATTCAATCTGCATCATCAGCCGTGAAATCAGGCTCAGGAGGCTTCTGCAGCGTCACCAGCTCTCTCGCCGTTTTGGCATTCCTGTTCCGGTGGACCCCACGAAGTGCGTTTGCTGCGAACCTCGAGGCCAAGAACGTGGCGCCAATGCTGAACGAGCCTCCTCCTCCTCCTCCGCTGCCACTCGTGCTCTGCGCTGCTTCTTCCTCTTCCTCCTTGCGACGCTGCTGCTCCATGTTCTTCCTCTTCAGGTGTCGTCGCCAGGCTGCCTGGATGAAGCACGCGGCCCAAGTCCTCCATTGTTGCGAGTAGAACCTGAACGCAGCATGGTGGAACATATAAGGGGGGCAATAAGAAACCTTCAACATATCAGTGAGCCAAAATCATTAGCCACCCTTACCTGAACGTGTGCTGCACCTGCCTACTATGGAGGCGCCTGAACTGACTGGCAACGAACTTCAATTCATCGGCAGTCAGGGCAAAGGCCTCGACTTCGGTTATGGCCCTCACGGTTCGGGTTGAGGTTGGTAAGTTGCCGCCAGATTTGGGATCAAGGGCCCAGGTTAAGAGCTCCTCACCACAGAAATCTCCTTCTTTGAGGAATCCACGGTTGAAGAAGCCGCTCCTGCCACCATCTGTTGTTACACTCTCGAGGCGTCCTCGAATGATGAAGAGCATCTCATCGACCGGATCGCCTTCTCGGACGATGTAGGTAGATTCAGTGAACAGGCATGGTTTCAGCCGCTCGCATATGGCATCAAGCAGCCTCTCGTCCATGTTATCGAACAGAGGAACCTGCACAGCAAGAGTGTACATTGAGGTTCGTGACAGTTCATGACAGGATCATACACTGATTTTGACGTTTCATGCATTCAGAAGATGTTCAAGAATACCTGTATCGTTAGAATATATGATATGCTTTTCATTGGTTGTAATATAGGAGTATGAAACAATGTAAAAGTCCATGTATCTTCAAAATTACGGGGACCAATCCATGGTTAACATAAAGATCTCAAAAAGGATTCACTGACAAGGAGGCTTACCCGCCGGACTAGTGCCAAACAAAGATGACGTTTGATGTCTCTTCTAAGATCCTTAGGAAGGCTCTGAACCAGAATCTCTTCATCAACTCCACGAGTTGCCAACCACTTGTACTGGTCATATCTCCTAACCCTTTCTCTGAGTTCGGTTGGGAGCAAGCGATGGCGCATCCATTGTTCTGAGTCGCGCCTTTTCACCCTCATCTCTTCCAAACGTATCGTAAGTGACTGGAGATAGGTCTGTCATAACATAATAGCAACGCCAAAAAATTTAGAAATAGCCCACCAAATTAAAACAGTATGTGTTTTGGTTACAAAGGTTCTGAAACAATGTAAACAAAATTGGTGCAAACCAAACGACCCCAACAGACATCGATCATTACCTGCATGTTACCAATGAGAAGTGCAAAGAGGATGAGTCCAAATATTGCAAGTGCTATAGAAAAGATAACCTCTCCAGGATATGTGCTGGTTTGAAGCCCCTGACCAAGTGTACTACACAAACAAGTAGACAAACGAAACCACACCAGTCATATACCTCCCCAAGCTTAAACCTCTGCAATATCTAGCATCACTTGCATAGCAGAAAATGAATATATATGTATATTACCTAAGATTCTGAAGCCCCCACCACAAGCAATAGCAGTACTTAGCCACGAACACCTTTGAGGAGGCAACCCCGGATGACAAAGCATTCAAGAAGATCCCATAATCAAACGGTCCATCTTCTTTCGTCACACAATTAGACTCGAGAGTGTTGTTCCTCAAGGGAGTCCAATCACCAAACCCTGTCATGAACTGGTTCCCACAGTACAAGAAATTGGTCTGGCATTTTACTTCTGGGGTACAGAACTTCTGCCAGCATGCATCCTTCCTCTCAATGGCTAGCAAGTACCACAAAGCACCAACTGCATGACTTGCAAGCATGTATAAGAGCAGGTAACAAGCAGCACCAGCCCAAGCGGTTTCGGCAAAGACACCCGCTGTTCTTTTGAGTTCGGAAGTTAAAGGTATGAACCGAAGGAATCTAGGAACGTATTGGAGCAAAATGATGGCTAGGATGGCTCTTTTCGTTGTTAGAACATCAGAGCCATGGGACCTCTGAAGAAACTTCCAGACCACAATCTGCAGGCATCGTTAATGATTAGGCTACAGGAAGGGGTTTTGGTACAAGTAAATAGATTAAGCACAAACAGAAGCATAGGGTTTATGAGAGATTTTTAGTATGACAGCTGGTCAATCACATAAATGGCTAGTACAATTTGGGTTCACTAGAAAATCAGTCATCGAACTTCGATATTTGACAGACTAGTGGCCGAAGTTTGGAACTTCGATATTTTATGTAATCAACCCCTATAACAGTAACATTCTGATAACATAATAGAAGCAAGTAACTGATAAATGCATCCATGACAGGCAACAACTATACCGATGCTTTGAAAAGAATCTCATACCTGAGGAAGGGGAAAGATGGCGAGGAAATCGATCCAGAAGTAATATTGCATGTACCGCTTAGCTATCTGAGTGGGATCGATCACCAGCTCACCACGGCCAAACACACGAGAAGAAGGTGCAATGTAAGCCGTCCTGAACTGGAGAGCCATTCGAGCAAGGTAGAAAGCATCAACAATTGTCCTTAATGTCGACACTGTATGTGCTAATTTCCGATCGATCCCAAGGCAGAACCCCGCATCATTGAACACCGGGAGGTAAAAGAAAAGTGGGTCTACAAATGCAGACAAAATGCATGACACCAAAAAGAGCTTGTTGCACAACAAAAGGAACTTGTCTTGAGGATCAAATATCTTCTTCTCCGATGCTTTAAGATCTTCAGGGAAGACACCACGAGAAACTCCGAATCGAAGTGAACGCCCTATGGATTTGAGTCCTTCTGATCCCCTTTTGATTCCATTCTTAAAAGATCTGGATGGTGTATCGGGTGCTTGGCCAGCACAGTTTAGTGCCTCGATGCCAAATCCACATCTTCTCGGCCCTGCCTCGGAGGGCGATGATGATACTCTTGAGTCCAAATCATCCAGTCTAATAGATAGTCGAACAGATAAAAGACAGGCAATGAACATACAACATTAAACCGGGTTTCCTAATCTTATTCCATTTCAAGAACAGCACAGCAAAGAGATGCAAAAGAGTAAAACATGGTACCTAACAAACTTGTCTCTTTGGCCAGGCAGATATTGGGTCTTCAAACCACAATCATACATCTTAAGCAACTGAATTCATCACCTGCAAGTTAGTATGAAATGGATTTCAATTAAGTTTCCGAACAAAATGATAAACTACATCCTCCCTAAGTTCCAATTTATCTCACATGAAGCTTTTCAGTTGTTCATACTATCATGTCTACTGTAACTTCAAAGCACATAAACAGCAACAACTTCAATACCAATTCAAGCACACATATTACTCGAGTGAAATTGAGGAGAAACAAAACCTTCAAACCCCACATGACATGAAGAAATAGTATCCAACCAAACCCCCCAAGGTAAAAGAACCCCAAAACCAACCAACATATTGAACCTGCTAAATTCCAAACTCCATGACATTGGATCTCTATAGCAACATGGCCATTAACTGCAAGCCTTCATCGTTGACCCTCCAAAAATTTCATGAAGTTACCAACCAAAGGTTCAAAACTTACATCTAGAGCCAGTAAACAGCATGGAATTCGTCCACAGAGTTCAAATATTCCATCAAATCCCCAGAATTTTGAGCCCACTCTTCAAACTTCCCACCAAAAATACCAACTGCAACCCCAATTCTCAATCAGACCCTTTTCCCCAACTAAGAAGAAACGAAAAAAGGAAGGAACTTTAACATAAGAAACCTCGCTAATCAATGCAAACATAAACATAGCTAAGATGACTTAATTGATCTTGTCGGGAAGCACAAGGAAGCAAACCAAACTTACAGTAACATTCGACATGAACAAAGCAGCAAGCTTCACGATGTAGAACCAGAACGGGGAGAGGGGAAGAAGACTATAGAAACGAGAATCAGAATCCTAAAGGCGGAATCTTTCGGATTCGGGTACGATGATTTCCCCCTTGCCCTCTCTGGGTTCGGCTCAGAAACTGCTGGCGAAGAAGAAGAGGGACAGAAGAATCTTTGAGTGATATCCGGCGAGTTGGAGAAAGAAGAAAAATAGAAGATTGAGAAGAAGGAAGGAAGGAAGGAAGGAAGGAGTCTTTATTAGTTCTCTAATTTCAGGTTTCACACTTTGACAATTTCACAATCATCAGTTGGCCAGCGACAGAGGGGAAAGGAGACAAAAGGAAAGAAAATACATAATTCCCTTTTTTTCTTTCCTCCAATGAAGTGGTGGAGTTGGTGATTTACGGAAGTGGCCTCCTTGCGGCGGGCGTTTTGTGGCCGGCGGCGAGACGTGCGAAATTGGTTTTCTTGACGACGTGATGGGTTGTCGTCTGGTGGTCAACTGTATTAGCCATAGCCGTCAGGAAAATAGTTTGAAAAGGAAAAGAAACTGAAGATCTTTACCTCTCTGCCGATCAGTCAAAGATTGAAGTGATACTTGGATAAATTAGGCACAAATATTAAGCAGATTGATCATCTTTAATCCACTTATGAATTCACTATCTAGTAAAACTTGATGAGTATATCCGCCTACGCATCTAGTTTTTACTACTATATCGGAATTTAGTTATAAACGATATTATGAATTATGTATTAGTTTAAATTTATCTTTCAATATCGTACACTTACAAATAAAATCTAGAAGTCATAATAAACATTGAAGTCATAATACAATTCAAACAAAGTAGGAGACAAAAATCTAGAAAGATCATGTGTGTCGTAATTTGAAGAAAAAAAAAATAGAGTCGTCCTTTAGTCTGATCTTAAAAGAGTGCACTTGAGTTTTCGAATGGATCTTACATGTCTTGGTCCTACTTATATCAACTCAAGGCACCTGACTCTAAAGCTATGAAAATTGTAAGTATGAATTAAACTTAACACAAACTTAGCGATACATCTCTAATGACTTTCTAATGTGTTATTCTTTTGTAGGACAAGCAAGTCGTATTATATCAAGTTTCTATTGGATGATAATTTTTCCCCTAAACAATATGATAGGCCAAATTTAAGAATTCCTTGGAAGAAAAGAAAAAAAAAAAGCAAGTTCAATGATTCAGGTCTCATCTTAAATGAGTGCATTTGAGTTTTCGAATGAATCTTACATGTCTTGATCCTACTTATATCAACTCAAGGCACTTAACTCAAAAGTCCTGAACCTAGTAAATCTTAGAAAAACTCAACACAAACTTAGTGATACATCTTTAATGACTTTCTAATGTGTTATTTTTCTCGTGGGACAATCAAGTCACATTATATATAAAGTTTTTATTGAATGATAATTTTTTCTTTTAGTAATAGACTTTTTAATGTATTATTTTTCTCATAGGATGAGAATTTTGCCCTTAAACAATATAATAGGCCAGCAGGATAACCCATTGATAGACCTAGGATCACGATTTAAAAATCTTTTAGATGTAATAACAAACTAATAGTTAACACACATCTAATTGTTGATTCGTTGTTCCTTGAAAGCAAGGATTTGGGAGTGATTCTTTGAGAATCATCCATCCCATAATTCTGGTCTTTTAACAAGGACCTACCCAAAATTCTTGTCAGGATTCGAACCCGGGTCAGGATTGAACCACACCAAAACCATTTGGTATGTATTTAACTCTCCACAGTTCTGGTTAAAGCACAGTACATTCTGGGTCTAGGGTGAACCAGATTGGGTGCTTAGCCATTCCTATTGAACAATGTTTGAAAGCAAACAAGCAATGGATACTCTTCTCCAAAGATCCACACTTCTGACATTATTATTTCATTCATTACTTTCGGAGTTTTGGCCAATTCACAAATTGCAATTGTCCCAAAGCCAAGTAAAAATGGGAAAAGGGGACAGAAAGTGTCCACAAGGAATTTCCCGAAAGAAATACAATGGTAGAATTCCATATCAACCGCTCAAGAAAGCTTGGCCTGCTGCAGAACCAAATGGAGCTGAGGTCATCTGCTAAGAACAGACCCTGCCATGGCTGGAGAATGATTAACGGCTATACATCCAGTCATCCACATCGTCCCAGTGAAACTTCTCACAACCAACAGCCAGACTTCCAGAAAACCTGCCTTAGCAGCTTCTGTTATTTCCTTTCCTACTGTCGAAAAAGCTATTGCTGATGGTGTTGTGTGAGTTCAAAGCTTTGGGACTGGAATAATTGCGAAATTGGAAGATAAGAACATCTCTCTAACTTTGCTGGTTAATTGGACCTGCAATTACTGTCCTAGCTTCGTCGCAGAGAGCTGCTGCATCAGTTCCTCGTATCGGCTTATGAATGACAACCTTCACAGAACCCGTATTCAAGATGGTCTCTTTTCCTGGAGGCATGATCCCTCCAGTTCCCATAAGGGTCATGGGGATTACTGGCACTCCTGTTTTGGCTGCAATGCTGAATGCGCCTTTCTGCATTTCAATCGTCGAAAGAAAAGACTAACTACCAATATGGAATCAATCCGTCAAAAAACCAACTCAAACACTCATAGCAACACTTTAGCTCACCTTAAAAGCACCCAACTGACCGTCTTTACTACGAGTTCCCTCTGGGAAGAAGAAGACTGATGCTCCCTTATTGACCAAGTCGATGCATCGTTTAAGACACTCCTACAAACATAACAATCATCATCATAAACATCACGCGAGTGCTTGTTCCAGCTTTTCCTGAAAAATTAAGTAGCTTTCTTTAAGAAGATACTGAATGTTTTGTACCAACTGACTTCTGCTGTCCATGCGCTTGAGAGGGATCGTACCAAGCATGGACATGGCCCATCCAATGATTGGGTACAGGAAAATCGCGGTCTTGCTAATGAACTTAAAGCTTCTACCTAAAGTAAGAAGAGTGTATATATCTAAGAAGCTCTGGTGATTGGAAACATAGACTGCTGGTGTGTCTGAAGGTGGCAAATTCTCCACTCCTTCAAACTCAATGTTGAAAAATGGGTTTATTGTTATCGTTGCCCAGACACTTGCAACAAGGTGATGAGCTTTTCTTCTGTATTGATCAGCCAAAATCACCAGAGGGTGTTGCACCAACATCATCAAGATAAGGAGCAATGCAACAATAGCAGTGACCGTATAGAAACCGATTCCTCTGGCCTTCGAGAGCAGACTAACCTCTGCATTGCGAAAGTAAATAGTTAGACAAGAGTTGAGGCACAGAGCTAAACGGTGAAATTAGGTTCACCGAGGGAAAGAAACCTGATGGTGGATCTGCAGCAGTATCAGTAATAGCAGCACCAGCAATATCAGATTGTGCAACGATTCGTGTGAACGACTTGGTACGCATGAATAGTTTATTATGGGGATATGGTGTGTTGAACTGCTCTTGAGAAGAACAACACCAATGCAGAGTTGTGTGCTTCCTTGAAAGACATGAAAAACAACTTAGAGCAGCTGAAAAGAACAAAGAAAAGGGCATAAACGAATTTTATAGACCAAAAACATATCCAATTACAATCAATAGAAAACAAAGGGAAATATGATTCTTGGCAAAATCACTAACATCCAAAGAACAGGCAAACTGAAAAAGCTTTAATCCAAGAAAACAAAGTCATGTTCAGACTTCAGTGGATAAGAGAGTCACTTACAGGTACTGGTACTAGTCCAAGATGGGAGCTTTTTGCTGTAAGGTCCTCCATATGATGAGAACTGCATTGAATTATAAAGCAATTACGTCAAACAAACTAATCCCTCGTCATTTTGCCCAACAAATCACGAATTCCTCTCATACACCATACATTTCCCCATAAACCAAACAGGGAACAATCACAACCCAGAAAATGTCCCCTTATCAAGTCCCACGGTGATCCAGGCTACCGGGAAATCCCAATCCCGACTATGAAACAGAAACAAAGGAAAGGAAATGAAAGATTACCGTTAACGAATGCGATAAAGAAGAACCTTGCGGTCTTCTACAACCTGCGAATGGAACGGGAATCAAACACGAGAACATGAGAAATGAAATTTGAAATTGAGGGTAAGGGGAAAAAGGATAGAAGCTTTACGGAAGAGAAGTGGACTGTGGAGCGGGCGAGAAGCGACGTCCATAGTGGCGGGAAAAGGGTTTGCCCAATCGGAAGGAACCCTTTGCTGGTTCTATGGAGTCAAGCGGAGAAACGAATTGTAGGGTTCGAAGGAAGGAGGGAAGGCAGGAAAAGGGTTCATTCCATATGGGGAAAGTGGTGAGCGGAAGCTGCGAAACTCGAGGTGATAAACTTTCGTTATTATCCTTTGGCGCGCGGCTTTTGCTTTTGTTGCGGGTTCTTCAGCTTGCTGGGGAATGGGAAATGGGAACGAGAGAGAACTGGCCGAGTGGCTCTTTAGCTGTGGCTTTCTGCGTCTGTTCTCAGTCTTCTGCTGATCTGCAACTCCAAGTCAGCTTCTTCCGTATGTACACTCTCGAGTTCTATCTATAGGCCTCGTTTTACCGCGAGAAATGCTCTGACAAATGAATGGCCAATTAAGACTTGTGTGAATCACTTGGTTCCACCACATTTAATTTAGGTAGGTGTTTAATCAATAAATTTTCACCAATTATTTTGATTCCAAGGCATTGAATTTGGATAGATGTTTTAATCAATCAATTTTCACCAATCATTTTAATTCCAAGACATTCAATTTTGGTAGGTAGTATCACCTTCTGCGAGAATACAGAATCACGCTCTAATCATTATTAGTAATTTTAAGAACGACGAATAACAACCGTCTATTTTCACTTCTCCAAGCAATAACATGATTCACTATGTTGTCTTTCCCTTGGTTCAAATATTCTGTACATTTCCAAATCTGCACTAAGCAGAACTTCTGAATTGTGGCTCAAACAACCATTTCAGCTTCTTTACCATTAGAAGGAATCCCAATATCCAACCTCATAGTTGCCTTATACTCCTCTGGCACAGCAGCACCACCTTGCACGCACAGCTCCACAACAGCAGGGGCCTGTCCATAGAAGCTCCTCAGCTCACGCTCCAATGGCGCCCCAGTCGGTTCAGGGAGGTGCCACACGAACCTCGGAGGTATCAAATCGTCGAGCACAGCAGCCTGCCATCCGTGCTGACCATTTCGCTGCTGATGCTTGTGAGCTCCACATATCTGCACCTTATGCCCGCTCGGTCCAACGTGAATCTCGGGGCAGTAGCCACAGACTCGAACTGGGTACATTTTCCTCAGCCGGTTCGACCCTTTCCTCATTTTGTCCCAAGCTGCTAAGGTTTCCTCAGCCAGTAAAGTCGTTTCCTCTGGGGTCGATGGGGGAACTATCTCGGGGTTGGGGATTTCAGTCAGCAATGGCTTCAGAGGAGGTTCTGGGACTGGGTCGGGCAGCTCGCTCTCATCTGCATCGACGAATTCTTTTCTACCGATCCAAACCACTGGCTTTCTCCTCCTCTTGGTGGGGAGATCAGGGATGTTGACACCTGCTTGGATACAGAGCTCGACCACAGCTGGGATTCTGGGGATTAAGAATCTCTCATCATGTCGAATTCGATTCCCCAAACGATCGTAGAGGTGGTATGCTTCGATTGGGACGAGTATGTCTTCAACAACTGCACTCGTCCACTCATGATGGCCCTTTCGGACGCCAGTGTACTTGCCTTTACACGAGCTGAATGGATGCCCCTCGGGCCCTACGTGGATTTCGTTGCACCACCTAGAAAAAGGAAGGCCAAAGTTTCTAGTTCAGGCACCCTACTTCGAACAACTACACAATTGGATTTCAGGTCATAGAAAAGAGGAGACTTACCCGCAAGCATGGACACGGACCACTTTCATCAATCTTCTGATGTTGTTGATCAGTGTGATCCTCGCATTGTAGACATCGTAAGCAAGAGGAACGAGGCTTTGGACAACCAGCCCTTGCTTAGTTGGAGGGGGGCGGCCTTTGGGTTTTCCTTTCCTATTCTTGATCCTCTCCCTCGCGTTTCGCCTCAACTCCACTACCGGTATTGGGAAGGGCTTCTTCTCCTTTCTGCCGTAGTATCTAGGGAAATCAGCATTCTGAGGGTACTCACTCGAGGCTACCAATGCACACGGCTGCCTTAACTTTATTGATGACAGAAGAGGGAGTTTTGCTGTAGTAGGCTGTGCATAAGATACAGAAGCAACAACAGAATACAAAGCCTAAGTTACCTAATCGAAAATTGCTCCTTTGGGTTAATAAGCTGATGTAGCAAAGGTGACGACCAAAGAACAAAAGTTGAGACTTAATCTCTCAAGCTCTCTAATGTAAGTGTGGTAGTTTTCATGGTAAGACTAACAGAACTTGAAAGAGAGCTCCATCAAGTTACCTGCAAGGACTTGATGAAACTGAGGCCTTGGTGAAATTCGCCTGTCACGAACTCGGATCTTCTGGGATGAGAAGAACCCAAGTGGAATTCCAGCTTCCGAGGAAGAACAATCGTTGTACCAGGCATGAACGCCATGGCGCGGAATGGGATTGAAGATCAGCCAGAATCTCCCTTCCCAAGATACCAGATAAGTGGCCCTGATAAAGAACAAAATCAGAAATTCCCCCACAGAAGCTGAGTTAAACCCAACGGCCAACACCCAAATCCAACCATTAACACAGTAAAGCCTGCACATTTGTGTACAGAGCTTCAGCAAAGCATGGTACTTTTTCGCTATTCGAAGTCCAAATTCCAACCCTTTCAACTCCAAACCCTCTCACAGCTTATACAGGAATCATTTGTAGCATCGAACATTTTCTCAATCAAAATCTCCCCAGTTCGGAAGTTATCATCTCGCTCGCAAATTTTCCCCTCAATAACTTGCCAGCAACCAAAGGATTGCAATGGTGAATAAAAGCAGATGAGTAACCATTACCGCAAGGAAGAGAGGTAGAGTAGGCAAAATGGTACAACCGCTCGACGGAGGAGAAGTCAAAGCACTCGTAGTTCACCAACCAGCGCGGAGCTTTACTTGGAGCCGCTTCACTGAAGTTTTCCAGAGGTGGGTTTCGGCGTCGCCGTGGAAATGCACGTCTGTCTGCGCTCTCTGGATTTAGAACTTTGGCTCTCCGGTGACAACGAGACAGACATCTCATTATCTTCCCCTCTATTTTCTCCCGGGTAAAAAACACAAACGGTCACTCAATTTTCAGGGCTGCGACAAAATGGCCACTAAACATTTATCTTTATCAGAAGGGCCACTTTGTTTTACATGAGAGTTTTGTTAAGGAATGTAAAGTTAAGTGATCATTGTATTAGGAACGATTACCGGGGGAAAATTAGTAACCTCTTTTGTTGTCCTACATGCCAAGTTGGTCACTAAACACACTAGATGCACCCTCGTCGGGCACTCAATTCAATATTGAGACCAATGTAGTTAAAAGCGAGTTTCAACGTAGAAACGTTTTGGTGATCTAGAAGAATCAAGAAGTTGTGCACTCGATGTAGATAGGAATGGCAATGGCAGGTCCGGGGCGGGTATCTCGATACCCATACCCGCCCCATGGCAGGTCGGGTCCAGGTCGGGTAATTTATCACGGGGCGCGGGTCGGGGCAGGTCGACCCATTGGGTATGTAATTTATGTGAAAAACATTAGAAATATTCGTTCTTTTCATTGAAAGACCAAGAAAGAAACCATAATATGATAAAATGTAGTTAAATTATTGAAGAAATTGAGGTTTTCACTTATTTACAAATTTATTATAGCTAAAATATACTGTAATAAGAGGAAAATCTTAAGTAATTTAACTAATATTATATGTAATTTAGGCAAGAACGGGTCGATAATGGGGCGGGTCGGGGCAGGTCGGGTCGATGAGAGGTACCCATGCCCGCCCCGCCCCAAAACAGGTCAAACAGGTCGGGTAAATCGGGTCAGGTCAAAATTGCCATCCCTAGATGTAGATAATCAAAAGAGAAGAAAAGACGACGAACTCGTCATCTATATATTCATAAAAAAACAGCAAAGCAACAGAGTAAAAAAAAAGCTTCTGCAAAGCGCGATCATTAATGAAATCAAGGATAAATCTAACAAACAACGTTAGCCAGTTGAGTCAATATTTGGTGGCGGAAGGAGGATTGCCTCCGGAAGCAACTTTAGCGACGTCGAGCGCCGTCGCCTCCGGCTTCTTCTTCGCGAACAGCACCGTGTAACCGAGCCCGGCGGCGATGACCGCTCCGACGACCGCCATCTTCACCGGACATTTCGGTAGCCCGCTCCTCTGTTGCAGAACCTCCGATGACTGCCTCGCCGCCTGATCTGGCCCCGCCATTTTTTCGACAACGTTTCTTCTTGTCGGTCGGTTCTTTTTTAGCAACGGGCGTAAATTTGGTCGGTATTGGCTGCGTTTCTTCGTACTCCTCTGTTTTGTTCTGTTTTGGTTCTTTTAAGAGAGAAAGACGTTGAGGAATAAGGGTGGGAAGTGAAAGTAGGATGAATGTTTGGATGTGCCGTACGTTGCGGGGGCATAAATGGAAAGGTTCAACTTATAGCGACATTTGTCGATTCCCCTAGTGTTTCAAATTTCAATTTTGTACTTCGGACAATGTTAATATGAGAGTCGTAAGGTCCACCGTCCGTGTGGACGATCTTTAAGGTCACAGGTTTAATAGTACTTTGGTGGGCACAATTATCATTTTTGGGATTTCTAGTGATTTTGATTGACCCTCGAGTGATCGTGGAGTACCTGTTATAGCATCCCAAATGAGAAGAAGTGTCTCAGTCCTGCTTGCAGACTGGTCGGGCTCACCTCCTAACTCACATTCATGTTTCTCATAACCAACCTGTGTCAAGTCAGCAATTCTGGAGTCTACCTGACGGCAAACATAACAATGTTACTACAACTACGATTGATGATGGAGAGAAGACACGGGATTAACTATTTATAATACTGTTTTTTATCTAGAGATCAACCATTCATACAAACTTAACATGATTCGGCATACGAAATTAACAGCCTAGAATGTTAGCAGTCTTATTTTAGTATCAACCGCTGGTAAGGTATGTGTGGGTCAGCACAGCATGCTTTCCAGTTCAATTTTTTCCATAACTCATCATTATAAGAGGGGGAAATGATGTTCATCACCAATAAATCAATAAAAGTTCGAATAGTTTGTCGAAGATGCTTCTCTTAAAACTCACTATAAAAATTGATACACTATGAAAACAAGAACCAGCCATCCATCTACCTTCTACTAATCAAAAACACAAGACGAATCCAAACAAGCAAAAGAGTCCACATTTAGCGAATTAAGAAAAACAAAAGACAAGAGAGATTAAAAGTTAAACTCATCTATTAATTAACCACTAAACTAAAAGAAACAAAGCGGTGACCAATCCAACTCCCGTCGCCAAAGACACCGTCCCCAAAGCCCCAACCTTCGATCCATCCGACTTCTCCGGCGCCGGCGCCGGGGATAATGCCCGCCGGCCATGATGATCGGCGAGAACGACCACCTCCAGCTTCTGCCCTTTCTTGCAGTGACGTTCGATTCCGCTGATGAAGTAAAACGGGCCGGACCGGTCCAAAGTGAACTTCCCGTCACATGCCTTCAGCTCCTTGATGGGATCCGTCGTGTTGCAGCTCTCGTAATCTTTCTTGCTCACTTCCAGCACCGAATCACTTTTAGCGACGGACTTCCATACTGTAACAAACAGAAAAAGAGTTCGTCACCATTAGGTCCTCAAATTTCAGTGGAAACAAAGATTGATGCAGGATGTTTAAAATCCTATTATTTGGTCCTAAATTTTTATCATCGCCACCAAGAAAAGGAGCTTTTGACAACTCGTACAAGGGAGAATAGCAATAACAAAGTGGTCGCCAAAATGGTTTTTGGCAACCATTTAATTAGTGGTTACTAATCTTATTTCGAATATCATTTTTTTATCAATTTTAATAGCAATAACAAAGTGGTCGCCAAAAAGATTTTCATCAGACATATTTTCTAGTGTGTCAAATTTTTATTATCACGACGAAATTTTTATAAACAGCACCGCGTACGTACCAAGAACATCGCCGGATCGAAACCTGTTCTTCTCGGCCCAGTAATTGAGGTTGTTCTGATTCTCGCCGCCGGCGGGAACCCTCCAAAAAGTCTTGCTCTCTTTGCCTCCGACGATGAACTTCTTTGCTTCGGAGACGGCGAGTGCTGACAGGAGAATAATGAGAGAGATTATCGTAACCAAACGAGCCATTTTTCTTGTCTTTGTAGAAGAACCGTCGGAGATAGAGATCGGAGTCGTACTTTTAGCTTGTGAGCTCTGTAGTTTATGGTGAAGAACAAAGGTAGCTTGCTAAAGAGGGTATTATATATATGCGTAGGGTTTTTTTTTCTGTCTAATTATGGGGATTTAATTTGCATGGAATTAACGAGAGGAATTAAGAGGTGAGTGATTGTGTTTGGAATTAGTAACGACGTGTATATATAAATGAGAACTATATGTATATGGAAATTTAATCTTTAGTTTCCTATTTATTTTGATAAAAAAAAATACATGTATGGAAATGGACTTTTTCTTATGGAATATATGATAATGAAAAGAAAAGAAAAAGTTACATATATTGTGAGGGCTAAATTTTGGAGATAAACATCCAAAATTTTATTTTAATGTTTTTGGTTCAATTTGATAAAACATTATTAAGTATAAAGGCTTAGATAGCCAAAAATATTTAAGGAAAAATTATTTCTATTCTCCTTAGTGAGTATTATTATTCGACCGTTCAAATTGTAATCATCAATTAATTGGGTCAAACCTTAGAGAGATAACCATAATTAATTAGTAATGATGTAGAATTGAGGAGTTATATTTCCCCCTGTTTAATACCTCTATTATGGCAACAATGGTTGTGTTTAGCTCATTATTATCATGTTTGAAAATGAAGAGAACATAATAATGATAATTAGATGCATCAAATTAGGGTTAGGAAAATATACCAAACTATATGAAAAACAATGGACCAAATCATATTGTAAACCGTTAGAAGTGGTTTGGTCTGATCCATGGTTTGTATTATATGATGCCTTGACCTCGTGGTCTAGTTTAGTCTAGATTGCGATTTACTGGACCAAAACCGTGGACCCAACCGACTTTCCAATATATATTAGCAGCCCACTCGACCACTCTCCCAACGAGATCTAAGTCTCAACCCTACTTTTGAGAATCTCATCCTCTCCTTCAATCACAACCACATATCGCCATAGAGTAGAGATGATAGTGTCTCCATATTACATTATGTAAATATTTGTGACGTTACGGTGCAAGTTGAGATGCTTTGACTTTGTATCTTTGTTATTTATTAAGTTTTAGCATGTCAAGATTATTCATGCATGTTAGCATTTATGTTTTAAGGAAAAAAAAATATTTTTCTTCATTATTGGTTCAATTTTTTGTGTGATGTTGTTATTTTTTGTTCAATGTGGTCTATCTAGAACAACCCTAATCAAGCTATGGCTGAAAGCTACATCACCTCGGAACATCTTCTTATCTATTGCAACAAGTGGGAGAAGACAAAAATCATATCTCGATTCACTACTTCAATTCATTAATGTAAAACAATCATTCATGGTGAATTAAGCAGATAAATCTCGAGCCGAGGTACAAATCAAACTCTAAAAGGGTTCGGTTGCAGAAAACTGATCGTTATAGGATATCAAAATGGCGTCCTTTTTACTTCAGTCCGTCGCCGAGACCTGGAGGCATCCCTAAGCTTTGGGCGAGGTCGCTCATTCTGCCTTTCATGGCCTGAGAAAGCAAAAAAAAAAAGCATAGTTTTCATTTTCTGTTATAATAAGAGGAACAGGATCTGTTTAGCAAATGATGAAGGGAAACCTACCAAGACGCTTTTCTGGTGTGCATCCTTGTATGCCTCCGTGACTAAAAGTGAGAGTTTCTGCAGTAGAGAACAAGCATTTCCTTCGTTGAATACAATCAGTTGGAGGCGTAGGTGTAAAAATAATCTCGACACACTTCAGCACATCAAAAGCGTAGTTGCAGCTTTGCTAGATCGACTAGTATACATCCATAAAGGGCCAAATGGATTCGTTAAACGAGAACTTGGAGTACTCACCTCTGCACCTAATTCCATGGCGGCTTCCGTGATCTCTGTGCGTACTGGTTGTTGGTTACCTGATAATGTTACCTTAATAAAAACATTGGAGTGAAAATTACTATCATTGGCAAACCGGTGTAACCAAAATATCAGCTTGATTGTCAAAACGCGACATATAGCATACCTTGATTAGCTCGCCTTCACAGTAACCATCAAATTCTGCACTGCAAAGACAGAAGAAACAGACCAAAATTCACATTTGAACTGAGTAATACGTATGCAAGTCAACAAGTCTGAAAGCTTTGTTCGTGTTGCCACACTTACGCAGCAAGTTCCTTTTGCACACGGACAGCCTCGACTTGGACAACCATCTGAGCCTTCTTCACTGTCTCGTACAAGTTCGCCATGTTTCCCAGGATGCCTGCCTAAAAGCAGCATGAATCGAACATATGTTAGTCCCACAATGATCGTATCAACAAACGTAGCTCATAGTACACAGATAACGAGAGAACGACATGGAGTCCTAGCACTATGATCTGATTAAAGAGGTTCATAGAAAACTTATAAGCATCTAATACTGTTCAGCAAGAGGGAAAGTGTGAAATGTCTGACCTTTGAAGCTCCATCTTCGCCCTTGTCACCATCCTTCTTCCCTCCAAATAGACCTTGTACTCGGAGAGATCGGTGACCAATCCGAGATCTTTGTTTGCTTGGCCACGATATTGCCAGCTTACCAACTGAATTTGCATTTAAGTTACCTGTAATCAGGCATTACATGGAACAAATTTACCACCTAAGTAGTCAAAATTGAACACAAGAATGCACTTCGATTCCACAAACAAGCTTGCAAGAGCATAAAAACAGGAACAGCCATCTCCACCATCCATATTCAAATTCCATCACGACTCAAACTTAGCCAAGTGAAGGCGAACACGACAAAAGCCAACAGTCAATTTGAGTAAACAGCAAACCAATATCGATGAACAAACATAACTACCAACTAAAGAAAAGCTGCCGAAAACGCATCTCTAACGGAGGTGTGCCATCCCTCACAAAATCTGGCGCAAGCTCAATACCCAACACTTCTTTATGAGAACCATCTTAATTGAATTCCGTAATTCCAACAAAGATCCATCCTTTCTTATCTGGGCAACCGCCATTTTTCCCAACGAACCGAGCTCCGACAACCGAAACAGTAAAACTGACTGGGAGAAGAGGAGAGAGAGAGAGATTACGTTGCCAACCTGAGGCCATGGAGGAAGCGGTCGGCCTTCTCCAATCGCAGAGTCCGTTAACGTTTGACAGCTGAGCTGCCACCGCGCTCGTTGACGCCATTTCTGATTTTCCCGGCAGAGATAGAGAGAGAGTGGGGAGAGGGGGATATTTTCTCCGAGGATAGAGTGTGAGTTCTCATCGTTTTGCCAGTTTGGTTCTTTCTTTTCTTTTCGAACATGGGCTCGAAAGTCTGGGCCTTTATGCAAGCCCAATTGAAAGACGAGATCGAGCTGCTCGATCCAAAGGCTCTTGCTTTAAGAAGAAGGATAATCAAATTTCAACCAAAAAGAAGGATACTCAAAAGTTGTGTTAAACCGTATTGTTTTATACTAATTTAAGAGTCTCCGAACCGCAATTGATGTTTGGAAAAAAGTTTTTATAAGAATTCACCTCAAGTATCGTCACTATCACCGTCACTAATACCATATCAACGGGATTTGATGTTTGAACTTGTCATGTGAAAATATTTGAAGTCGAATGTCACACTATAGATCTCTACGCTTTCTTAACATGTTTCTTCACATGTCGAAGTAACTAAAATATTTCAAGAAACAAAATTTGATGACAAATACATAGTTTGGTCTAATTAGTTATTCCCCAAAAGAAGGAGAGTATCAGACTTTTTCTAACAGAAAATTGATTTCTAGTTGAAAAGGCCAAACAAAGAAATGGAAAGAGCAAAAATGGAGTAGATACAAGAAAGGAAAGATGGGATAGAAAGATGAGGACATACAAGAGGGAAGGTTAGAGGAGTAAATGCACATGGAAATGGACCTTAAACAACCAACCATTGTTGTTTAGTGATATAATAACAATTCCATAATAGCATCTTCTTCCTCCCCCAATATTGAATGTTGCAAAGGAAAAGAGAGAGAAAATGGTGAAAATTCTGAGGAACAGTCCAAAAAGCAAAAACCAAAAAGAGATAAGAGAGAGATCTGGCCACCAAGAAGAACAACAGAACAGCAAACATCACAGAAAGAGCAGAGAAAAGCTTCTCCACCATTGCCACCCCCTCCTCCATATCCATCCATCATCATCATCATCATCATATATTTTTCTAATCTTTTTTTACCTTTGCAGCCTCTCAAGTCTCACCCTCCTGCTTTGCTTTTATCATCCCAGCCACTACCCCTTCTGCTCTCTCTCTCTCTCTCTCTCTCTCTCTAGCTTCAATGGCCCAGATGCACCAAGACTTGAGCTTTGAGAGGAAAGGAAGAGAACCCACCAAATGGAAATTGAAAACAAATTTGCCCTTCTTCTCTCTAGCCAAGGGGATTGAGAAAGGTTAGACACAGAGAGAGAGAGAGGCTGTAGGATGGTAATTCAACTGTTTAGCCTCCATCCAACCAAACCCACCGTCATCTCCAACAACAAAATAGAAGCCAAGCACTCAATTCAACTCTCTTCTGTCCATTCCCATTTCCCAACAGACAAAAACCTCAAAGTAAATATGAGGGAAGAAAATATTGGATTGGGAAAGGAAGGAATATCCCAGAAATGCCCTTCTGCAACCTCCCAAAAGAATCCCCATCTTCATCACGGCTACTATTGCTTTGCTTCTCCCTCCTCTCATACAATCACACCACCTCTACTTCCTCCTACTGCTGTCTGTCACAAGCAAAAATTAAAGAAAGAAACTTTAAACACTTCCTCCCACCACCACCTCTCTTATTTCCATTTTCCTTCTTTCTTTCTTTCTTCCCCACACAAGCCGAGTTATGTGGGCTTCTTTGGGTTTTCTTCTTTGTCCTGGTCAGAGTTTTTCACCAGAGAAAACAGGGAAAAGGAAAGCGGAGAACCTTCCCACCTTCCCCATTTCCCCTTATCTCTCTCCCCTCTCTCTTTCACTCTCTTCCTCCCCTCTTTTTCTTGCTTGTCTCTCTCTCATTCTCACCTCCATTTCCCATTCTCTCTGCCTCTCTTACCTTAATTTCTTCTCCTTTCTTCCTCCTTAGCCTTTAGATCTTGTATTCGTGTGATCTGAGGACCTCCATGATGATGAAGATGAAAGGTGTTGTTGCTGCTGCTGTGACTGTGGGATCTTCTTCTCCTTACGCTGCTGCTGGAGCTGGGTATGATGATCCAAGGATTAGGTTCAAGCATGAGAGCCTGATGCAGGACTATGAGGAATTGCTAAAGGTAATTCGCTTTTCTTCTAGGGTTTCTTTCTCATTTCTGATTATTAGATCCGTATTTGGTGGGTTTGTGAAATCTTCTGTTTCCTGGATCGATCTGGGTTCCTGCAGGGTGATCGGATTTTGGGGGGTTTCTTGGTTTAAAAGCTAAAAAGTTTGTGTCTTTGGGAGAAGAAGTGATATTGATGTGGGGAATGAGGGGAATTGGGAATTCTGTTTTGGAGTCTGTGATTTCTATATGATGTTCATGTTACTGTGAACAAGTTAGCTTAAGATGAAATTGTATGTATTAGCATATTTCTATGTTCTCAGTTATTTACTACAAAGCAACTCAGTAAAAGGTGCCACCTGTTTGTTGAATTTGAGCTAATTCCCTAATCACTTCATGTTATTAGGAAACAGAAGCGAAGAGGAAGAGGTTGGAGATGATGAAGCAGAGGAAAATGACACTAATGGCTGAAGTGAGGTGTGCAATCAACACATCTATTCTTCTGTGATGAATTGATGTTGTTTGTAGTATGGTGTATGGTTCTAACAGTTTAGCCATTTCTGCAGTTTCTTGAGGCGTCGGTTCGAGTACTTGACAGAAACCCAGACTCAGAACCCTATGCCGGAACAAAAGCTCCTGCCATCACAAACCACAGTGATTAACAAGAGCAAGAAAGCGAGGAACAAGAAAACGATCTCCAGTAACCACAAACCTCCTGCTTCTGCTTCGAGGCAGCCTGCTCCAAGGCAGCCTGCTCCAAAGTTCGATTTGAACCGGAAGGGCAGGTTTTATACTGTGAAGGACTCAGTTGCAGCAAGAAGTTCAGCAGCACCAAGTATTGACTTGAACCAGAAGCAGCAGAAGTCCTATTATGTGGGAAGAGAAGCTGCAATGAGGAATTCCGGGGTGATTCCTGACCTTAATGAGAAGGAAAGGATGCTCGGTGGGAAGGATGCTGCTGCTAGAAACAATGCTCCATTCTTCGACTTGAACCAAATCTCGGTAATCACTTTGTCACACTCCGTAATAATCATTACTTCAATCCAATTAAACAAGATTATTAGCTGCTTATATGTTGTTGAATTCCTTTGCAGACTGAAGAGGAAGAATTACAGACAAATGGAGCAACAATGACGATGACTAGAATAGAGGAGCCTAGGATATTAAGTACATTGCATGGTGGAATCATCGATGAACAACTCAACAACGACTTGAAGTTATCGGCCTATAGGAACTTAGGGAACATGCCCAGCCGGGTTGGGAAGAGGAAGATATCGTGGCAGGATCCAGTGGCTTTAAGAGTGTGAGGGTTTGTTTCTTTTCTTGCCTCAAGAAAAGATTACATCATTCTTTACCCTCCTTCAAAGCTGGTTTTTTCGCCTTGTAATAGCCAGAACAAAACCTCTAGATGAGAGATAACCCACTTCGTTGTAAAGCAGAAAACAATTCCACGATATAGCGTATATATCACCATATCACTTGACAGCTCATTGAATACATAAAGGATCCGATTCTCCGAACTGTTAACACACATTCGGTACATCTGTTCTGCAACTCCTTACAGCTGAAAGAATCAACTGCATTGGTTTGATCTTGCGATCACACTCATCGATGCCTTCCTCGAACGACAACCATCAACCAGATGCCATAACAATGCAATGCTTTGGTTGGCTTCATCTGTTCATCATGGGTTCTGAATGCATCAACAATCAGTCCAGCAAAGCTGCTTCCTTTATTCTTCTTCTTCCAATTCTGCAGAGACTTATTGTTTTTGTGGTAGGGGAAGTTGTGATGTTGCTTTCTGTGAATCTGTCTGGTTGCCACCCAAGCAAACTGTCTCTGGGTTGCTTGAACTTGAAGTAAAGTAACTACCCTTTCCTTAAGAGCACAAGCGAACAAAAGATGGAGCTGGGGAAGAAGGGAAAGGTCAAAGGTGGTTTGATTGGCTGTGGCAATGTAAAGTTTCCTTCTTTTGGTGGTTACTGCTGTTCGCTTCTTGTGATGAAAAAGAAAGAAGACAGGAGGAAGGAAATGGCGGAGTCTGCCTGCCCATTACTACTACCAAAAGATTACAGTTAAGGGAAAGAAAGACTATAAACAAACAGAATAGTTACGGTCACGTTCTACATTCTAATCTCCCAATGGCTTCACTTCCTACTGAACTTCTCACGCTTCCCATGATTCTTCTGCATCTGGGAACCAACTCTCTTCCCTGTCCTCCCTACCAAATAGCGAGATTTGGCCTCGTGCTGCTTGCCCGCAAGGTGTTCGATCATTTGCTTATGAGAAGTAGCACTTACCTGGCACACCACGCACCTTAAATCTTCCTTGGGTTTCTCCCCCGCCTCAAATTCCTCATGCTTCCAGCCTCCGAGATCGGAATTCTTGTTTTCTTGTCCGAGGTCCCGAATCCGGTCCGGCACCTTCTCCGCTTTGTTAGGTTCCGCGACCGAGGCAGAAGGAGGCCTGACCTCAGGCGTCGTCGGTATCGGAGAAGGAATAATGAAACGGCGCTCCGGCGGCCGTACCGGATATGTCAGGCGCCCGACTCCGCCGTCGACTGCCACGTGCGAAATTGATGGCTCCGGATCTCTCTCCCCGATCATCTGCCGACGCAACACCGCCCTCATAACCTCCTTACGCCGCTCGATCTCCTCCGCCAGTATCTCCTGCCACACCCGCGCCTTCTCCAGTTCCCGGTGCAGCGTCTCGTCCGTCATCAGTTGTACGCTCGGCGGAACACCTGATCATTCCCCGGCCCCCAAAGAAGAAAAACAGAGGTGATCGTAAAAATCGAAGCGTGCAGGCGAAAGAAGAGAACTAGCCGGGAAATACCCATACCTCGAATTGCCGGATGAGGCACAGCGGCGGCGAAGTGTGATGGCCCGTGGAAGGAGGACTCCCCCGGCGGCGACCTGCGGTCGCCGGCTCTGTACCTGAACTCCATGGAAAATTAACCGACTCGTGAACAGAGTGACGAATAATTGAGAGGGGAATTGCCGAATGGAAGACAGACGAACCATCGGGAGTCGAGCCAATTCGAAAAATAAATTAATTCGGCAAAAAAGTGGCTTGCCGATCAAGATGAACCGATAGACGTCCGACGGAACGGAAACCGTTACTGTGTCAACATTAGTAACTGCTATTTGCGCGGGAGGCCGGCGGCCTATAGAACGTTCGGGCTTTGTTTAGAGACTTGGGCCTGATCCATATCATAGATGGGCCGAAACTGGGCGGGCTTGATGTGAACGAATTAATTTATTTTTATTTTGAATTTATGTGAATTCTACTTATAATATTTCATTTATAGGATACTGGTTCATTAACGGGTTTTTAATGACTTATTAGTTATTACTAATTAATAAGTTAAAGTGTGGATCATTCGCTATATAAGTTCATACTCAAGTTCGGTTTTCACAACATTGATAAATAGGGACTTTGTTTTTTTTATTTTCTTTCGTGTCAATGAATATTTCATTTAAAGTGTGCAAATGAAAATTCAATACACGTAATGAAAAAGCTTTGCATGCCACAAGTACTTGTCGGATCCACGAGAGACCGAGTAGAAAGCGCATATATTGATACAATCTCACTGAATTGCAAGAAATGTATTATAAATGTTTGTCAACTCATCTATCGTCGCTAAAAATTTACTTTTGTGAGTTAATTCATAATCCAACCACACTCACACGCCACCCACTCGACCCAATTCAAAAAAGAATGTAGTCGAAAACAAATTATCATTGTACCAACTCACTAACAAGCGGATGTATTGATTTGAGATCTAACCCCACCCAACTCACCTAATGCCCACACTCTCAATCAATATATAGCAAAGATTGAAAAATACTGTACCGCACCGGCGGTTCGACAAAAAAATATCGTACCGAACCAGCGGTATTTAACGGTTGAATCATGGTTAAACCACTGTTTTAACCAATGTTGTCAGAACCGAACCATGACCCGGTAATGCGATCGGCTCGCACTTTAGCGGTCCAACCGGCATTAGACCGTTTAAAAACCGTTAGAGAACCGGTATCTAATAAACGTTATCAGTATAAATAGTGGACATTTCTTAATCAGAGCTCATCTCTTTCCTTCGAAATTGTGAAATGGAAATAAGGATTCAATTTGAGAGCCCGACGTTTTGTGACCAGGTGGCGGCTTTACCGGTCGGGCCGAGCGTCTCGGCTCGGCTTTAATAACACTGGTTTCAACAAAAAATAGTCTACCGTTGATTTTTTCGATACAACCTTCGATACGGTATTTCATTCCTTTATATATAGTCGCAACACACATGACACATTTCAACACCATCACCACCATTATAGCATACAACAAAACAAAGAGAGGAGCAAAATGACAATGGAAGAAGCCGATGGTAATATTCCCCCACTCCTCCTCCTCCTAATACCCATCCTCTTCTCCACCATATTCATCCTCAAATCACATCTCAAGAAGAAGAACAACAACAACAGCAAAACCTCATTTCCCCTGCCTCCAGGCCCATGGAAGCTCCCCATAATCGGCAACATCCACCAACTCGCCTCCTCCGCCGGCCTAATCCACCGCCGTCTCGCCGACCTAGCCCAGCAACACGGCCCAATAATGCACCTCCAGCTCGGCGAAACCTCAAACGTCATCGTATCATCCCCTGAATCCGCAAGAGAGTTCCTCAAAACCCACGACCGCAACTTCGCCCTCAGGCCGTACGTGCCGTCGGCGGACATAATCTTCTACGGCTCCAGGGACATCGCCTTCTCCGGGGGAGATTACTGGCGGAAGATGCGGAAGATCTGCACCACGGAGATCTTGACGGACAAGCGAGTGAAGTCTTTGCGGCCGATTCTGGAGGCAGAGGCGAGCAAGCTGGTGAAGCTGATCGGTAGCGAGCCTGCTGGAGGAGTGGTGAACCTTAGCCGGCTGCTGTTGTCGGTGGGGAGCGCGATGACGTCGAGGACGGCGTTTGGGAAGGTTCGGGAACTGGAGGGATCTTTCTTGCCGGTGATTCATCGAATCTTTCAAGCTCTTGATGGGTTCAGAATTGGGGACATCTTCCCTTCCAACAGGTTAGTTGATTGGGTGACCAGCTGCCAATGCCAGTGTTATTTGATTTAATCTTTGATTACGGTTTATCAATCCTGCTCTTGATTCAACTATGTGGTGACCAAAGCATTTCCCCATCCAAACAGGTTGTTGCGTCTGATCAGTGGAACAGAGAGACACCTAAAGAAGCTCCACCAAGAAGCAGATGTCATCCTCCAAGAAGTAATCGATGAGCACGTATCGAGGAGAAGTAGAGAAACAGAGCATCTTGATAAAGCAGTAGCTGCAGCCGGAGAAGAAGATGAAGATCTGGTCGATGTGCTCTTGGCTTGCACTGACAACCACATCGAGGTTAAAGGCGTCATTTTGGTACGTATTCATGTATGTACGTACGTATCTGTGTATATGGTGAGTTTTGTGATAGTATATATTGATATATTATGCATACCGCAGGACATATTCTTGGCTGGTGGTGACACTTCCCCTGTTCTCGTGGAATGGGCCATGTCCGAATTGATGAAGAACCCGGAGAAGATGGACAAAGTACAGAGAGAGGTGAGAGAGGTGTTTGACAAAAGAGGGAAAGCAGTAGATGCAGCGTGCTTTAACGAACTGCATTATCTCAAATCAGTCGTGAAAGAGACATCCAGATTACATCCTCATGCTCCTCTATCTCTTCCAAGAGAAGGTCGAGAAACAGTTGTGATCAATGGATGTCAAATACCAACGAAGACGAGGGTCATTGTTAATTTTTGGGCCATCGGTCGAGACCCCTCACATTGGACCCAACCAGATCAATTTGTACCAGAAAGGTTCCTCAACTCTTCCATCGATTATAAAGGTAATGACTTCGAGCTCATCCCATTTGGAGCCGGAAGGAGAATGTGTCCGGGCATGAACTATGGAGTTGCCGTTAGTTGTCTTTTACTCGCTAATCTGCTATATCATTTTGACTGGAAGCTCCCAAACCAAATCAACCCTCAAGACCTTGACATGTCTGAAGGTTCTGGAGCTACGGTTCCTCGCAAAAATAACTTGTATCTCAATCCCATCCCTTACCATGCACCCTAAAATGGATCCCTTCCCTTAGAAATCATAAAGATGAGGATCGTGGATTATTTCACCCTAATTTCCCATAATATGGGGAAGTTGTTAGTTGGTGATGATTTAAACTGAAGTGAGTGTGATTCTATTTTTCTTAAAATGTGTTGTTAATGTTTTAATTTATGACTATTGAATAGCCTATTTTGCAATGTTGTTTAGGCATTAGTTGAGAAATATTATGGTGTACTTTTTTTTTATTGAAGGGAGGCAAAATTTCACATACAATCTCCATAGTTGTTGTGGAGGATACTTCTTGCCGTTGGTACCCCTGAATTGATTTGAGCAATACTTCACTGGTGTTTGCCTTGCATCATCGTGTTGCTGACCTTTCCAGATTATAAGTTCTTCACTTGTGGAAACTATGTTGGTGAAGTGGACAAGTTCGGCAAGCTAACTGGGTCGTGATGGCAAGCGACAGGGTCCAGGCTCCGGATGTTGTCGGGTTTCGATTAGAGGTAAGGTGACGACTACCGGCGGTGACCGGAATGACGGTGGGGGAGCAGGAAGAGAAGATGCAGCCGTAGATGGCATCCAACGACAGAGGTGGCAGCGGTGGCGACCGGACCTTTGTTGGTTTAATGGAATATAAATGGAACAACCCATTTGTGAAGCCATGCAACCTTTGGAATGGTGGTTTGAAATTTGTGATAATGGCAATGCTTTGCCATGACAAATTTGCCGTCATGCCCACTCATGAGCGATGCAATGCATCGAAAAGGTGTTTTAAGTATGCTTTAGTGTTCTTAGTCTAGATTCTAAAGTGGTGATAGTTTTATCTACGAAGAAATTTTCTATAACTCAAGGCTTTGTAGAGTGGTGGAAATATTCTTAACGGAAAGTGAACGAAGTTCACGACTCTATCATAATTCTAGTCACCCGTTCTTGGCCTATCATACATGTACCCTAGTCCAAAAATTCCCAACAATCGTAAAGAATAATTTCCAGTACGATGACTTGAACTGCTCTTCACAAGCAACCGGTTCCGGTCTATGGAAAATTTGAGAATTTTTTATGATGAGTATTTCATTGATGGTAGTAGTAGTAGACGTCTTTTTTCGTACTAGTCTCATGGTGTATTCCATATCTGGAAGGTAACTTGGAAGAGGGATGATTCGAAGATGAGGAAGAAGGAGAATGCTTCATAAAATAAAGAAATAAGAGAATGACAATTACCTTTGTGTAGGTCTCATACTCAATGGTATAATTTGTCCGATTCTCTATTTTGACATTTGCGAAGTCTTAGAAAAATTTTGATTTGTCTAAGTGGTTTGATGGTGTGATTATGTCTAGTGGTTTGTGTTATTTTAAATCAAGGAGACAAAAGTGTATATACAAGGTTTGATGATTCTGGTAATAGAGTCATTATAATATTTATATGTAGATGACATATTTATCTTTGGGATTATTCAAAGATAAGAGGACTTTACTAAAAAGTTATTGTTGTCTAAGTCCTCCATGTAGGACATGGGGGAGTCAAATGTGATTTTGTGTATCAAATCAATCGGAACAACAAAGAAGATCCCTTCTCTCAATTTTTCTGCATCGAGAAGGTGTTTCCTAAATTCCATAAAGGAAATTTTCGTGAGTTAAAAATCTCAATGAATCCAAGTATGAAACTTATGGTTAATATTGGCCAACCAGTTTTATCATTGGAGTATCCTTGTCAATTGGGTGCTTGATGTATGCAATGACTTGCATAAGGCCATATATCACATATGGGGTAGAACAAATTAGTTTGTACATGAGTAATCCTAGTTCTCATTATTTGACATGAAATGAGGAGTGTACTAGGATATCTCAAAGGCACAATATATTGACTTATAGTGGTTTTCCATCCATTTTGGAAGGATTTATTGATGTTAGTTGGATTTCTCATGTTCGAGGTGATACTTCAACACCGAGATGAGTCCTCTTGCTTGAGGGAAGTGTCATATCTTGGGCCTCTAAAAAGCAAACTTGCATCATTGGTTTCACTATGAAGTCAAATTGTGTGATTGTTGAGAGATTTGGCTTATGATATTCTTTCATGGCCTAAACAAATATCATTTTATTACTATCTTTTGTAGTAATGGTAATTTGGCTAAGGCATATAGCCAAGCGTAAAATGGAAAGTATAATCTTGTCGGAGTTATGCACGGTAAAATCTATGAATTGATCGCTCATAGAATCGTGTTTGTACAAATATGACCGGACTAGAAATAATTAGTTCATCATTTGACGAAATGATTAACTAGTGACTTGGTGGTCAAGTCTGTGAAAGGGATGGGTTTTTAAAGTCCGTATAGTTTCTGATCATGGGATACCCAATTCCCCTCTAATATAACGTAAGAGGCCGAATTCAATGTGAAAAGTTCAATATCGGAAATTGAAGCACACAATGTGGCATCCTGAGGTATGTGCTTGTTATCCTGCATGTGAAATGAGGATGAAGATTAAAACTTCTTAATTTAATATTTGACAAAGTTTATTATGCGGTTACACAAATAAGAGATTCAACCTGAGTAAGCATGAAATGTAGCCGCTTCAAGAAACCCGGACTTTGGTTTCTTGTGCTCTTATGAGAAGGATTGCACACATGGCGGATAATAGCGTCAAGGCACTAAGAAGTTTGTAAAACTCAAGTGTATATTATCTTCGAATATTCATATGAGTAAGATTGGTTCAATCGTTACCGACACCCAAATATACTAAGATGAAAGTTCAATCGTCATGACATTTTCATTATGCTTAAGTTTATTGGAAGGGTGTTGAAATTTTGGTGGATCCTTAGACTAAAATATGGGGGGAGGAATGTTGAAAATTTGATCTAGTTAAGTTGAGGTTGGACCAAGTTTGTTAAAAATGAATTGGCCAACTTCTCATCCCATTTTTCTCCACGTGATAGTCATTCCGCCAAAGGTTGGCCAATTTGCGTTGTGTCGTATCCGTATATAAAAGGAATAAAAATCTGCGGGAGATCGTATATGCCATGCAGTGGCGGAGCCAGGAAATTGGCCAAGGGGGTGTCTTTATCATATCATAAAAAATCACCTATACAATAGAAAAGTCAACTTTAAATTTAAAAAAAAGTCAACAACGCAATACTCTAAATTCACACAATTACATCAAAATAGTTTCACGTACACCGGTTACAACATCAAACAAATAAGTTCAGTACATACAAATCAAGACTTCCATTCATCAAATATTACAAATTAGAACTCAGAAGTACCTTGGAATTGATTTGTGAAACAAACAAGTGAACTTCAATTGGTACTTCTTCACTTTCAACTTTGTTTAAACAAAAGACAAGAAATTTCTCTGTTGTAGAGCTACAAAAAAAAATGAGCGAGTTTAAACAAAAGACAACAATTTATTACTATAAATAAAGACGAAAGTGCATTACATAACAAAACTCACTCGATCGAAATGATAAGAAATTCTTCCTGCAACTGAATGGTCATTGGTTGGAATTTGTATATACCCCTACTCGAAAATTTTTTCTCCAAAGCCTTTGCACCCCTCCTCTCCAAGTGGCTCCGCCACTGATGCCATGTGATAAGTTGGTTGCTATAAATAACTACCGTCGGATGTGGGATAATTGGTTTTGTAATTGCAACTGCCAAAAGAACTCATCAAGAGCAATTGAGTCACCATATAGATTATTTCCCACTTGGACCACTAATTTCCAAAATAAGGACCTACATAACATAAATGAGAATGATGGAATGGGATATTATTGAGGGTTGTGTGGTAAAAAAAGAAGCAACGCTCACCTCAAAACCATCTCTCATCCCTCTGCGTTTCCAAGACTGACGTCCACAGTGTGTCCTGAAAGTGAAAACCCATTCAGAACCGCCAAACAGGCAAAAAACCAATCCTTAATAGTTGCTGATCGAACAACGCATGCATGTGAGGAGGAAAGAGAGAGGGGCCGCAAGCGACGACGAAACTCGTCGACCAGAAGCCAATGCTATCTGCCATCTGAAAAGTTGGTTGCTATAAATAACTATTAGCCAGGTGACCGTATTGGCAGGGGAGTCAGTGGCGGACCCAAAATTCTTTAATAGGTGTGTCGGCAGACAAAAAATAATTAATAAATTAAATGAAAGTAAAATAAATCATTAATTCATTAAGGTCGTAATTTATTATTTTTTACAGTGACACACGATAACTTTTCATATTCAGAAAGGTTTGTAAAATATATTTGTCGCTTTAGGTGTGATCAAACTTTTATCGACGTACAAAAGTATAAATTAATTCATAAAACTTATTTGAAGTTCACTCCTGATTAACTCCATAGCATAAAATGGAAAGCAGGAACGTTGGCGACCGGCGTTAACCTAAAAGTTTGAAAGAGGATGAGGTTCCACCGGCAAGTGCTAGCAATTAGAGAGTGGAGCAGAGGACAAAGAATTGTGAGCCATGGGTTGTGGATTTTTTCCTCTCGACATATTCACTAAAAATTAAAATAAATAATATATATTTGTGTGTTTTGGTACCTATTGCTATATGACATCTAAATCAAGGTAGTGTATTAAAGGTGTGCCGATTGCAATTATGTGAGGTGTGTCAGAAATTTCCGAGTGGTTGACACACCTTGCTAATGCATGGGTTCGCCCCTGGCAGGAGTTGAAAGCTTTTTTTTTGTCAAAAGATATCATATATTGATCGAATCAGAAGATAGTTACACCCTGGAAACCTAGCTACCAAATGAGCTACTCAATTGTTCATCGTCGCTTGCGGCCCCTCTCTTTCCTCCTCACATGCATGCGTTGTTCGATCAGCAACTATTTGAGTCTTGGCGGGGTTCCTGGACCCAAGGATTGGTTTTTTTGCCTGTTTGGCGGTTCTGAATGGGTTTTCAGGACACTCTTGGGAAATTGGAGAGATGACCATCTAACAGAAACTCTTGGGAAATTGGAATCTCGTAGGCAGGGGAAAATTAAACGAAAAAAGGGGAAATCTCATAGCCCCGGGAAAGGGAAAGTAAGAGAGATGGGAGAGAGAAAATAAAAAATATTTAATTAATTTATATTTATTTTCTACCTCATATTTAAATTGATTAATTGTCGCCAACTCAGCCTTTTCGTTAGTCCAGTCAGCCATTTGGTTAACACCGTCAAAGAATTGGACGAAAGTGGCTATTTTTGGTATTTAGCCAAAAGTGACTATATTTGCCCAAACCGTCCAAGTTTTGGCTACAGTACTTTGTCAAAAATTTACTAACTATTGTATTATGTGATTTTTTCCAAAAAAAGAAGCAACGCTCACCTCAAAACTATTCCAAGACTGACGTCCACAGTGTCCTGAAAACCCATTCAGAAATCTTATAACTTTTTCTCACGTAAAATCTCAGAGAATCTTTTTTTATGCATTATAATTCAAAGAAATTGTCCAGATAATTTCATGACTGCTCAATGGCTTGGCCACAGAGCTGTTATGCTTTCTACTGTCTCTTTTCTTTCTTCACCCTACCGTTGTCAGGGAGACTAATATTCGGTCTCATCCACTTGTTATCTTTCAATAGTTTTCGAGTAAATTACAAGATTGGTCATCGGAATTACTAAATTAATGTCATGTTTGGTCACTGAAATATTTAATTTCATTCATAGTCACTAAAATTAGTTAACTACTTCAAATTTGGTCACTCTCCGTCCAACTCCATCAACCATTGCTTATGTGGCGGTCAACTCTCTTTGTTGACCGTTAAATATGTGACATGACAATTAAAAAATATTAAAAAAAATAATAATTACTTAAATAGGTTCCCATCCTATCATCATCCAATTAAGTTAAATAATTAATTAACTGGGGCCACGTCAATGGGTAGCAACGCCGGACTGCAACCCAGACAGCAGCCAAGTATTGCCCTTATAGTAACTACCCCTTTTCTCCTTCACCTCCCCTTCTTCTATATTGATTTTATAGTGTTCCAATTGCAAATTACAGTTTTGGTATCTGAACTTAATAGATATTAATATTTATTACCTAAAATTAATTTTTTAAAATTTTGAGTCCTAAAAATATTGATGGAAAATTACATTTTAGTATCTAAATTTTTTTACTTACATTTTGATATCTAAACTTTTTAAAATATACAAACAGGTCCACTGCTAATAAACTTCTAGTAAACTATGAAAAACTTGTGGCATGCTTTTATAAGCTTCTGGCATACTTTATGGTTGTAGCATGATTTGAGATTGTGACATGGTTCGTGGCCCCCTCATTTCCTTCTTTCCATTTACAAATTTTTTATAATACCAAACGTGCCCCTCCTTCCCTTTCTCTCTCATTAATTATGGTCAACTCATTTATATTAAAAAAAAATCATCCAAACGAAATGTTTATATTGGCTGAATAAAGGTTTAGCATCATACTAACAAAAAAAGTATTAGCATGCTAGCCAATTCCATAGATCTACCTTCTCACACTTCGCTCAAGCTTGTTACCCCAGGAATTATCATTATTCATATTATATATTTATAATAGAGTTAAAAAACAGCATGCAAGATAAAAAAAAATAATCTGTGCAAAATACTCTGACATATCTACAGAGTTCACACTTTTTTTTTTTTTACAAAAGATAATCTTATAAAGGATCAAAACAAAGTTACACCCTGGAGTTCAGCCAGGTCTGATAATCAAAATATCGGTTTCTAGCCAGGCCCTGAGTTTGTACAGAGTTCACACTCATAAAGACGAATTGATAATAATATAGTTCAAGTCCGCAATTTTAAGAAATCCACCGAAAAGGGAAAATTTCTCGAAGTACAAATGTACAATGGTAACTATAAAATTTTACACAATATCACATTTAACAAAAAAAAAAAAATCCAAACACTAGAGTTTGGCATAGTTCGCTAGAGTATTCAGCAATTTGAGCAGTGGATCGCGGCCAAAGTGAACCAGCATAGGACCTAGGTAGATCGTGCCTGACTGAAAACAATGCAAGTAAAAGCGCGAAATAAAACAACACATGATTTATGTGGTATCTCTATTCAATGGAACAAGACTACTTTATGGAGAGCAAGATCTCAAGTATGGTTTCACTAAGCTACAACAAAAGTGATTGTGCCGTAAAAGTTACCGTGGCCGCCCAGCCAATAGCTAAATATATATACCCTGCTACAAGCAACTAGGGTAAATGCAACTCTCAAGGGTAGATAACAAAACGGTACTATAATTAACCAGAAATGATCAGTTACTACCTATCTCAATACCGACCGAAGAGACCTGCCTTGAACCTAGTTGGATCACTGGAGACAAGAGCGAACCACTTATACTCCCCAAAAAAAAACTGCTGAATACTTGAGCGATCTACTCATAACATAGGTCAAACCACAACACATATCACACTGGAGCGAACCACGCCAACTCTACTATTTTGGGTGGAAATTTCGTTAATTGCGGTATTGTAAGCATTTTTTTACTTGTACCACGTTGGGAAATTTTCCACTTTTAAACATGGTGCATGAAAGCGTACCCGATATCGTATCGGGAAAGTCAACAGTAGGGAATTTTATGGTAAAACCGTGGTTTAACCGTAGTTCAATCGTTAGATCGTTAAATACCGCCTACCGATTTAGCCTTCGATATTGGTATTTCGTGGTTGAACAGCCGGTACGATACGGTTTCATGACCATGCTTTTAAAGATAACAAAGAATGAGCATATGCAACATTCGAGGTATTCTTTCCCTATATAAAGGAAGGGATACAGAAGCCGAGTTCTCCACAACCTGCAACTGCAAGCATTAGTACTCTAATAATATCATCTTTGTGTTTTCGAATTAGCCACCGCTCAAGAAATGGCCAGCATCAGCTCCAACACTACTACTGCAACGCCAACCTGTGCTCTTGCTGCTGATGATGGGCGACGGAAAGCAGACTTCCATGCAAGTGTGTGGGGGGACTTCTTCATTACCCATGTCTTCAGTGACCAAGAGGTAACTAATCCGTCACTAATGATGATTTTCGTTATTAAATGTTCTTGAACAAGAGTGAAATAGAATCCAACACCTAATTCGTGGCAGACCGTAAATGGGTGGATCGCGGGGATAGAAGCGTTGAAGAAAGAGGTTAAGGCGATGTTGATGACATCAACTCCGACGCTGCGGGAAAAGCTGCATCTGATCGATGTGGTGGAGCGGCTGGGCATTGGTTACCATTTCGAAGCAGAGATTGAGGAGCTGCTCCAACAGGTTCATGATGGCGTGAGCCGTCACGATATAATTAGTGACGACGTCGATGGAGACCACCTCTTCACCACCGCACTTCAGTTCAGACTGCTCAGACAACATGGCTACAACGTGCCTTGTGGTACTAATACTATTCATGAGCTTTCAAATTGCCGTCAAATTCGCGGTTTAAAACTTTAAAATGCTTATTATGCTTCTACACTTTTATATATGTCATTAATGTCTTAAATCGGTATGTCATTAATGTCATTAATGTCATAAATCGGTTGGTCCCAACGTGCCTTATGTTTTAATCAACCGTTAATATTGTGTGGGTCGTGGAGATTCGAACACACGACCACTTGGTAGAAGGTTATGCTGGATCTTATACCACTCTCTAACAATCAACACGCGGTTCTACGTAGAATCACACTTTTTACCTACATGGTCTAGTCAAGGTCTACTCTTTAAAGCTGAAAAGCTTACATTTTTACGGCTTACCTAAAGAATCGCGATTTTGATTGCGCCGCATTCGATATCGGTTTACTGAATACAACACACATGCAGGCATATTCAACCAATTCAAAGAACGAAGAAGAAGGGAGCTTTAAGGAAGAACTAAGGGACGACATTGAAGGGCTGATGAGCCTGTACGAAGCTGCGTTTCTTCGGACGCATGGAGAGACGATACTGGAAGAAGCCGTGGGATTCGCAGGAGGCCAACTTCGTAACTACTCCAAGACGTTGTTGTTGCAGGTGGCGGATGCCGGCGGCGATAATCTGGTGTCGAAACGAATTGATCATGTGTTGGAAAGGCCTCTGCGTAAAGGCGCTGACAGGCATGAACAGCTCTTCTTCATCACGGCATACGAGCAAGACAAAGGTCACAGCCAAATCCTGCTCAAACTGGCCAAGCTGAGTTGGAACCACGTGCAGAGCATATACCAACAAGAAATTAGGGCCATTAGCCAGTAAGTCGCTTATGGTGTTACAAACAAGAAACATATGAATTTGCAAAAAAAAAAAAAAAAAAAAAAAAACTCATTCAAGATTAACTTTAATTTGAATGATTTAGAATTTAGGGATTTAGGGTTAGGGTTTATGTTTATAATTAAGGGTTTAGGGTTGGGATTCAAAATTGAAGGTTAAGGGATTAGGGTAATGGATTGATTAGTTGTAATTTAATGTTATATCATCATAGTAGACTAATACTACCAATTAAATTTCAAAATTCGATGTATTATGACAACTTTTAGAGTTCAATAATACTTTTTTCTTACTAACCCAAAAAAAACTACTTCATTTCCTGACCATTTTGATTGATTAGGTGGTGGGTTGAGCTGGACTTCGTCACAAGGCTGAAATTTTCTAGAGACAGGCTGGTCGAGATATACTTTTGGGCGATAGGAAGCATGTGGGAACCCAAATTGGCTCTTTCCAGATACTTCATAACGAAAATCACCATACTTATATCCGTCACCGATGACATGTATGACGCACATGGACAACTCGATGAACTCGAGTTGTTTACCTCTACTGTCGAGAGGTATAAATCTCTCTCCGTCTCTCTCTCGTCTTTTCTGTTGATGACCAGTTTTTTTTCTTCTTCTTCCTGTTCTCACAAATTAATTCGGAATTAAATATAAACAAATCGTCATATACTTTTTAATCATGATTCGAGTCATCTGAATGACTAATTAATTAACAGATGGGACACGAGCATGAAAGATCTCCCGGAATACATGAGAATATGTTATGAGGCGATTATTGATGCGGTGGGTGAAATAGCCACAATTACTTCCGCAGAAGGAAGACACTACTGCGAGGGCTACATGAAGGAGGCGGTATATATTTATAACAAGGTTCAAAAAGGCGCTAGGCGTAAGGCGGGCGTTGAGCCTTTGCCTTGTGCCTAGCTCACCTAGACGTAGACTAAGCGTGCCTAGGCGTTGGAAGAAAAATAGCTATTCGCACTGCATGATGAGTGAAATAATTATCTACAACACTTCCTCACTTCAGTTAAAATGATTAATAACTTACTCAACACTTAATGACAAGAACATAGCTCGCGAATTCATAGAATCATAGCTCAATAGCTCACAAAGTTCTTGAGTTGTTGAAAATGTTGCAATAGAAAATTGATTTCGTAGTTGATGTTAATTTTTGGCCTTTAATATTGACTTACTAGCTCCATCTAGTAATGTTAAGGAGAGACTTATATGTCGCCTTACTCCATGACGTGTTCTAGTATCTAATTAGGCGTGAAACCCCTAGACGAGGCGTTTTGCTATTGCCTTGCGCCTAGGCGTGCCTAAGCGTGAGATTAAGCGTGCCTTTTTGAACCATGATTTATAATAAAGAATTATTAATGAATTCCCTAAATTAAGCAGCCTTAATTAGGTGATGATTAATTAATTAATTAATTAATGTTGTGCGTTGCAGGAGAAGTACCTGGTGCGATCTTACATTGAACAAGCAAGATGGTTCGTCGTAGGGAAAGTGCCGACGGTAGAGGAATACCGGCGCGTCGGTATTCATTCCTCAGCTTACCCGCCGTTGGCATGCGCAGCGCTCTGCGGTTTGGGCGAAAAGGCACCAAAGGAGGCGTTCGATTGGTTGTTGTCGAACTCCAAGATCTTTGTAGCTGTATCTGATCACTGTCGCCTCATGGATGACGTCGTATCTCACCAGGTATGTACAGAGATTTGTTCCGAAAGTATGCACTCACTTTTGTTAGTGCATTTTATAGACATTCAGTATGATAGTCAGTGGTAGGATATGATGTCACTCTTCAATTATATATGTTGTTATGCACTTAGTTCTAAACAACAAAATTGGACTGCCTGCTTACAGTTCGAACAAAAGAGAGGACACGAGCCTTCGGTAGTGGAGTGCTTTATGAAGCAGTACGAGGTGCCGAGAAATAAAGCAGTGGAAGCAGTTAACAAAATGGTGGAGGATGACTGGAAGGACATCAATAAAGAGTGTCTGATCGACCAGCCAAGTTTCGTCTCTAAGGAAATTGTTTCAATGCTGGTTGGGTTTGCAAAGGTGATGGAAGTACTCTACACGGATTACGATAGCTACACCTTCTCCGATACCACCACCAAGGATATGGTGACGGCTCTTCTCGTCACTCCTATGATAATATAATGGACGATGCATTAATTTGATACAGAGTACGCACCACTACCTCATTGCTGGAGTGAAAATCCTTGAAAGCACAAGGTTTGGGTTCTGTCGTCTGAGCTTGAATCCGGGTCGCCCAATGAAGGGAAGCATTCAAATAAAGTACTGTTAGTTGCTTGTTGTTTTTGTTTTTGTTTTTGTTGTTGGTGTACGTGTCGTATTGGTGGATTTTCGGTGTGGTACCTTAGATTAGTATTGTGTAAGTCAGAGTCCTCGAGTAGAGTCGAGTCATTTAGTTGCTCCAGAAGCATGCTGCAGAGTTGTAAGCTGAGGTGGTTAGAAGTGTTGGCTATGTTTAAGGTACGAGGGAATCATGTAAGTCAAGTAGTTGGTCATGGCTGAGTTTACCGGCCAAAAATCTTGTATTTAAGCTCAACCATCTTCCTCGTATCAATAAAATTTGTCATTTTGCCCTATATTGTGTTACATTGTGGCGACATCAGCAGAGCGCTTTGCAAGTTGTACCAAACTAAGTTGATTTTTGCATTGCTACGTGAGTGTGAGAGAATTTTCATAATAGAATTAGGTCTTTGAGTGGAGAACGCGAGTGTGTTGGAGAGGATCTGGAAAAAAAAAAAGAAGGAAAACACACAACACGACGTTGTAAATACTAAATTGTGAGTGTGTGAGAAATAAAATGAGTGAGTGTAGCAGCTTTGCACATATGTGCATACCAAAATTTGATGACAATTTTGAACATAGGAGTCTTGTCATGAAGTATTGTCCTTAGTCACCAGATTGAACAATTTATCGTCGATCAGCGTTTGGGTTTTGTTCCGAGAGTTGGGCCTGATCCATATCCTTGATGGGCCGAAACTGGGCGGGCTTTATGTGAACAAAGTAACAGGCTTCCCAGAGCCTTACACGTGTTTACCTTTTGTTTTCGTCCATAAGTCACGTGATCCCTTTCAGTTTTCTTTCCCATTCCATTTTATTATAAAATATCCGGCTCGACTTAAAGCTAAAATCTTCGCCTGAAAGAAACTTTCCTGGAAAGCTACCGTTTACCGTACTCGTTTCGCTCCGTACAAAGAGTGTAAGCAGAGAAGCCATTGAAAGGGAAAAAAGAAAACTACAAAACTCTTCTTCTCTCTTCGTTCTCGCTACCGGAAATCGGATTCCCGCCGGAAGTTGAATCAGCGGAAAGGAAGGATTAAGGAAGGAAAAATGCCGAGCAGCTGCGCGATGTTCTGCGAGATCCTGATCGCGATCCTGCTGCCTCCGTTGGGAGTTTGCCTCAGGCATGGCTGCTGCACAGTAAGTTTCCTTTCTTCTCCGATTCTTCGTTTTTTCTCGACTTTTCTCAGGATTCAAACAGAGATTATTTTACTTTCCTTTTGATGGCTGCACGAACAGATCTAGGCGCTAAAATCGGTATTTGAGAAATTAGGTATTTGAGAAATTAGGGGTGTTCATTTGCAGGTGGAGTTCTGCATCTGCGTGCTGCTGACGATTCTCGGCTACCTGCCGGGGATCATCTACGCGCTGTACGCGATTGTGTTCATCAATAGGGATGAGTTCTTTGACGAGGCCAGGCGCCCTCTCTACTCCTCTTACTACTGATTGAAGTGATGATGACAACTGACTTTTATGTTGCTTAAACAGTGATTGAACTGAGCTGAATCGTTTGCTGCTTCCGTGTTTGTATGTCGATTTCCTGTGGTAAGACTCGTTAGAAAAATTCCTGTTAATGAAGCTCAGTTAGTTTAATCTGCTTGAATCTGTGCATGGAAGGAAGAACTGGCATGGCTGTGTTCTTGAATTGGTTTGTTCTGCCTTTTGTTGTCATGCTACTTTCGTGGATGGTGCAGAGTAGAACTTGCGAATTCTTATTCGGATTTCGGGGGTGTTTCGTGAGAGTGGATAAGCGCATAACTTCGATCGATTCTTCGATTACAACATGATGAGATGCTCATCAGGCAGTGTGTGCTTAGGTTGGGTCGTGGGGAACGATGATGTGCTTAGGTTAAGCATGGAGTTTTAAGTAAGATAGATAGTTTCAGTGGAGGAACAGGAAGACTACTTGTCATTCTGCTGCATATGTGATTGTGTTGGTTCCCTCTTTAGTGAAAAGCTCTCTGCTTTCACTTGCTTGCCTGCCTGCCTGCCTGTCCGACCTTCACTTGGCAACTCAAACTGTAAATCTGGATTACCAGTTCGTTATTTTCGTGTCTCGATTTCGTTTGTTCAGTTCGATATGATCGAATGCGGAGCCTCATCCTCGCATGGTCCAACTTGCTAGATCCTGCATTCTCTATTTGTTCCTGCATTTAGGGTTTGATAGGCTAATGTCGAACGTAGCATTTGCAATCATTTTTTCTTCATTTCTTGGTTTTACTACCTACTTGAGTTGTCTTTATGGTTTCCTACTTTCTCTTGAGCTTAAGGAAAGAGGCATTGGAGGATACCCCCAAACCCAAAGGTATCTATAGCCAAGGTAGACAATGACAATAGAAATCATGGACAAGGAGGTCTTCAGAGGAATTTGCAAGATCACTCCTTTCTCTCCCTCCTTGATGATGAACAGGAGGACTCGAAAACCTTGGGCTCTGGGTTTGAGCGCACCATTAAACTGTAAAGCCGAGCCTCTTGAAACTCGATGGTGAACGACTAACATAAAGATCTAGCACTACATCACTAGATTTTGATTAATTTTTTCGCTCGACGAGATCAGTGAGTCTACCATAACACAAACTTATTGGACGACAATGGAACGAAGAAAGTACCACTCACAAGTTTCATTGTTTTAGTTCAAGCACTGCAAATAGGGTTTGAGGTTTTCGAGATTTCTAATGAACAAAAAGTATGCAAATGAATGTAATCTTCGTGTTAACTTTATGATTACTACTTGATAGGGTGTGTTAACTTTATGATTACTACTTGATAGGGTATCTTAGGAGGTAAAACTCTAGCTAAAACCCTAACTAATGGCATAAGGAAGAAAAGAAGACAAAAGAGCAAAAAGACAAGGCCAAGAGACAAGGCCAGACACTTAACATCAGCAAAGACAAGGTGTAGGGGGGACACCCTCTGCCAAAAAGTACAATGTAGAGTGTCAGAAGGTCTGAGACGCCCGACCACAGCATTTATGGCTTGACAGGCTCCCAGACCACTACCTAACCCTCAGATGTGTATAAAGATGAATTCTCTCCTCATAAATCGCAATCTATCTACTCTTACTCTAATTTCTCTCTACTTTCTCTCTATATATACTTCTCTTTTCTCACTTCTGCTGAGATGGAGCGCCTACCCCCTCAAAGTCATGTCTGACGCCCTAAACCCCTTGGACCCGAGCGACTCCCACTCGCCCGGGTTCAAACAATACTAATAACACGAATGAAATAATGGCGCTTTGTGACATCATCATTAGTTCAACTAAAGTTTTGTTCAATTATGTTGAACAACCTTTATGTGTTAAAAGAATAGTTCAGTGACTAAACTGTTACAACCTTCTCAGTTGGGTGACTACTTTCACACTTAATCCGGATAGAATCATAGAAAGGAAAGGACTTCCCAGAATGGCAGAATCTCAATCTACCGTTCACTTCTTTGCATAAAAGAGCAAACTATCTGTCGTCTCCTTCCCAGTATATCGGAGCCGGAAGAAGAAGAAGAAGAACAAAATGCCGAGCTGCTGCGCGATCTTCTGCGAGATCCTGATCGCGATCTTGCTCCCTCCTCTGGGAGTTTGCCTCAGGCATGGCTGCTGCACCGTAAGTTCCCTTCCTCCTTCCTCCATTCATTGATTTCCCGATCGATTGCGTTGACTACTTTATATTTGAAGCGAGTTCAACTTAGACCTAGAGCTCAACACCGTTCCTTTGCGTGTACCCTGTTTGTTGGGTGCCAAACAGATCTAGAAAGTCTCAATCTTTTAGCTTGAACTCTGCCAATCGGATTCTCAATTTGCTTGTTGCAGGTGGAGTTCGGGATCTGCGTGATACTGACGATTCTGGGTTATCTCCCAGGGATAATCTACGCCCTCTACGCGATCGTGTTCGTGGATCGCGACGAGTTCTTTGACGAGGCCAGGCGCCCTCTGTATTCCGCCTCGTACTACTAGCTGACTTCATTTGAGCTCTCTGTATTCTGGGCTTTAGCAGTACTCTGTTTCTGGGCTGTATGAATGCTCGATTAAGCTTTTATGTCAGTTGAATCTATGCTTTTTAGAGTGAGTGTTCTGAAGTGTTAGCTTAGAGTGAGTGTTCTGAATTGCTTTGTTATGCTTTTTTGTTGGGCATTCTGATGCATATTAGCAATGGAGTGAGTGGTGTTCAATAGAGTAGTGATGGCTGCACACGGTGTCTGGATTCTGATTCCGGATCTTTCAATCAGCACCTCCAAGGACTATGGGGGATTGGTGGGATGATTCGGTTGTTTTGAATCGGGCAATAACATGGAAGAGAATGCAAAGATTACTAAAAAAAGCATATGATTTGGTTAGATTTGGATTCGATCCGTTTTGTTTGAAAAGAGTTCGACATGAATTCGAGTGGATTCTGGTTTACTTATGGTCGATAATTCAACATGATTCTGTTTGTCGATGTGTCGATGATGTAGGGTGAATCTGATTGTCTATGATGGATGATCATTATGCATATTCTGGAATGTTAGTCTTGAACGAAGTAATATTCAAGTTGAGTTTGAATTTACTCGATAAAATACCTTTGAATTTACTTAATACTTATTCTAATTGTCAGTTCAAGTAACACCGATAGCAATCATCTCATATGTAATTTGTTACGAATTGAATCAAAGTTGGATCTCATCCTAGAAACATGAGGTAATTGTTTTATGTTCTAGTCCTTATGTAGGACTAGTAGTTATATCTTTCTCTAATTTTTTATTTGGTTCATTCATTAATCCGATCGGACATGGAGAGAAACCGGTTCGACCATATACAACCGTCCACAACGAGGAATGGGGAAAGTGGAGAACGTGGGAAACCCTAGCGCTCCTCCATTAGGGGTGAAACCGCCCAATATAAAAACCGAGTCTCATCATGCTTCCGCCATTGAAATTAAACGGACCCCTCTCTGAATCTCTGTTCTATGCGTCGTTCTTCAATTGCTGGTTTCAGTTTTTTTTTTTTTTGAAGTTTTTAAACTTTGATGATTATTGCCCAATGATGGAAAACAAACACATTGATCGGCTGCCGATGGTAGAACTTTCTTCTGTCCATCGCTAGCCTTCACCTACCACCGTGGCATCCACCTCCTCATCTTCCGCGACTGCCGTGGTGGTGCGTGAAGGCTGGCTAATGGATGCCGTCGGCGCTGGATGATTCTATGCTATGAGATCTGAGGGCTTTTTTCAATCTGCTATTTCATCTTTTGTTGAAAAGAAGAGAACTTTATCCCTCTTCTGCGGGGTTTTTTTGGCTCATCTTTGATTGTAATCGACATTAGATTTCGTTGGTTTGACTTTCTTCTTGGATTTTTTCGCGATTGAGAGCTGAAAGTTTCAGTCTTTATGGTGTTTTGACTATAGGGTTGTGATTGGATTTGCCCGATGATGAAAGGTTTTGTTGATTCGAGCTCTTCCGTACTCAGAATCTTCTTCCTCTCTCTCCAATCTCCATTGTTGTTGTTGTTGTTGTTGTTGTTGTTGCTGCTGCTGCTGCTGATGTTGTTGATGTTATATGGAACTTCGGTGTACTGCTACAGCTGCTCTTACTGTTTGCTGGTAGCGGTAGTGACATTGTTGTTTCTCCCTTTTGCTTCCCGTGACTTGAAAGAAGATGAGTGCCATCTATGAGTTCTCATAAAATGGCGAATCTGAGGGCGTAGAATACTATTTATTCTTAATTGAAATTGGTCCAACTATTGTGGCAATTGCAGGCTGTGATGAAACATAATGGTAAGGAGTAAGGTGTGCTTTCACGCAAGTTTTATTTGTTATCAGTCTCTTAATACACTTTCAGTTGAGCTCCATGAAAGGTCAGTCAGTCTCATAGAACAGCACATTGAAGGTCTCCATGCCTTCAGTCTGCAAGCAAATTGTCAACTTCACAGTTCGATCTGCATTTTTTGGCAGAGATGTCCTGTCCCTTCAATGGCATCTACTTTGCTAGTTCGTATTTGATTTTCCCATTCAAAGTCTTTGCCATTGAAAGGGAGGCTTATCTAGCTTACCAGCCGTAGGTTGTGTGATTGAAATGATTGTTGCGATAGTTTATCTAATGTGTTGGTGGTTACCTTGGATACTCATCATCCAACTTGCTATACTGTCTGTCGAATCCTCCCTACGGTTTGTAGTATAGGCTCACTTTGGACGAAGGTTGATGTGTTGTCTTGTTCTTAAACCGCTGAACTATTTGCCATGGAGGTTATTTTGTGTGGATCAATTTACGCTTTATGCTGGTAATTCTCATTTCAAAACCTTCCTGTTTCTTTATGTGTTCTTTCAACAAGCTAGCAAAATACATAAGAAGGTAATGCATACCACCTCTGCAATGGTAAGACGAAAGAGCAGAGAAGGAAAAGGGCGAGAACAATGAGATCTTCGAACTCTCGTGTGCAAACTTAAAAACCCACGAGTAAACTTTCGTTTGAATGGGCTTGTAGGAGATGAAAAGAACTCATACAAACCCTTTCTCAACAAGATATCGCTAGTCGTTTGTTCCTCTCGAGAATCTGTATGAACACAATGTGCTTTATATTGGACGTTCTCGAAACTATGAACACAAGAAATTTTCGGTTATGGAAAACTTGGATATCATCTGTTTGCATCAATCTCAATATAGCTGATTGTGAATCCGAGACATTTACATGAAAATGTCATTCAAGTGATTTTGTATATCTATTCTCATTCAATAGGAGTTGGTTTTTGAGATGTGAGTAGTGAAGTGATGAGGTGATGGCGGTCATTCATGCACCTGTTTTCTGGCTCTTGGTGAGGTAACGAAACAGTTGTGAAATGATACTTCTCATAATGATTCCAGGCCCATACTTGGATTAAATTCGAGTAGTAAATTAAAATCATGCCTTCAACGGTGTAAATTTTACCTTACATAATCTGGTTGAATTCGGACCGCTATCAATCTTCCATGTGATTCTTTAATGTCTCATTTCCTTTGATGATGTTGGTAAGATACAACATCTCTCATTAATGTTTGCCACCTACCTTTAGTCACCAATTCACCATCCCCATTGGTCCCTTGTATTACCTGATATGATTTCCCCTTGATCCAATTCCAGTTTTGGACCAGCAGACAGCATCTTCCTATGTGTGTAATTATTATGTGCATGATACGAGAATAATATGCATCCAACCTATTGCTTTCTATTCTCAATTTAGAAATCTTTTCATCACACGACTAGGTCTATACACTAATTGTACTGTTGTTTTTGCACCTTGCTTCTAATCCCAAAAAAATGGCTTCTATTTGGTCAAAAAATCATGGTGGGTAACATCATCTTGGCACTTGATCGAGGTAGATTAATAGAAGGAAAGGATAAGACAGAATTAGGGCAATTAGATAGAAGAATGGAATAGAGACGCACGTGATAAATAGAACAGAAAGGCAGAATGAGGCACGGGAAGAGAACATACGAGGATTAACATAAATAAACACGCTCTGACAATTTCTAGTCAAACGAAGACTGAAGTTACACCATATAGACTTCATGTTAAAACTCCAATCGACCTAGAAACACAACACAGTACTAAACTATCGTTAAACTGCTATTCGTTCCTCGTCGATTTATGGATCACTGGGTTGGTTGTACTAGGATGTGAACTCCACTTTCTTGATATGGTGTTGACTTGATAATTATTTTCAGGGCAAGGTCAAAACTTATATATACCGTGCGAGAATGTTATCTTCTCGTGATGAATTCGACCATTTCTATTATCCAGAAGAAAAAAACCCTCTTTTTTCCTTGCTAGAAGAACTTATGGGATAGGTAATAATTTGCCAATTTTTTTATTTTTTATTTTATTTTATGGAGATAGAGGTGGGATAAGGTGTAATAAATTTTGGGTATGGGTTGCAAAGTTTGATCTTGGAAGGCCACAACTTCAGCTAGGGTTTGACCCCTTAGGGCGCTTCTAGTCACGGTTGGACCAACAACTATCAGTCTCTTGAACGTCCTCAATAGGCGGTTCAAGAGATTGACGGACGAAAACAAAAACGGTTGCGATAACGAAGGTTCGAACGAGAGACTCATTAATAAAATGTTCTCATATCATATCAAGAACCATTTTATTGATTCTAATTAATAACTCGGGTTGTTGGAAAAATACTCGAGCTACTTATCTATTATATCATAAATATATCTTTACCGCCGTGCCCATTACTCAATTCCAAACTTCCAATCACAAGTTAGCTACGTGGTCGATTTGTTAGTGGACCAGGCTGCCTCAATTATTTCTCTCTCGTTTTTTCACTCTGTCCCTGAGCTTCGCCGCCGGCCCTTCCTCATAAATGCTTAGCTACCAAACAAGGAAGAAAGAAAAATTAGAGTTGGCAACGGGTGGGATCGGGACGGATAGTGCAATATTCGTTACTTTCTTTAATGTAATCCGGATTTTGCACATACATATATCCCTTAAAGAATCGAGTAGAAACTCAAAATCATGCTCATACCCGTTCGGGTTCGGGTATCCACGATTATCTAAGAGTAATAGTTTCACTTTATAACTCCAACCAACATGTTAACACGCACACATGTACTCGCGTCGGATAAGTGGCAAAATACGACAATAATTTACTAGAATGAAGAAAATTAATGTCAAGCAACAGAATTTCATGAAAACAACAGTGTCATCACAATATTCCACCACACCGTTCTTCAAGCCAGGAGCCTATCCTCTCTGAAGTTTCGTCGCGCTGAATACCATCCACCCCAAACCCTAATCGACAACTCGAACGCGAACCAAGGCGATCACCAAACCCCACACCCTAATCAACAACTCGAACCCGAAGTTTCGTCGACATTTTATTCTCCACTCGTGAACCGGAAAACTCCACATTCGTAACTCTTCATAAACTTAATTTCATCCAAAAAGAAAGTAATTCTCTCATAAACAAACAAAACAGTCGCAATGTAAGTAGCATCCAAATTAAGAGTAGCCTCCAGCAATTTCACAACCAACTGGTGGTTGGAACATGCTGTGCTGATTTCATTTTCGGAGGGCCCTCAAGAGCGGTAGGATTTTAATTTGAACCTGTCTCGTCGGATTTTATCCGATCTAATTTGTACTAGCGTGGTTATTATACTTAGTTCGCAGTAGTGTGAGACGAGCACCAGTATTGACTCATCTTCTCTAAATTTATCCTTCTTCTTTTTTTTGTATTTCTCCTATTTTTATTATTGGTCAATCATATTTTCGATCAATGAAACTTTGAATATGTGCAGGATTTGATCTTTCAACTAATTGGACTCAACTACCCATTTCATTACAATTATTTTCCATTCATGAAATGTTTTTCTTTTTAACTAATTGGACTCGGATTACCTAAACTAATTTTTAGCATTTTTCCCTTTCAAATAACAAGTGAGAATGAGTCGACCTGCCCCAATTCCAATTAAAAATACCCTTCCCATCTTTTTGGCATTACTCAGGTTTTCACATGCCCCAAATTTCACTATCTTCTTTACAAAGTGGACATTTGTAACCTTTGTGCTGAGGCCTGAGAGATTCTAGAAGCATCATTGAATATCACTCCTGCAATCAATATCAAAATCTTCCCAAGATCAATTCACACACCATTATTGGAGACTTTGTCTTTGTAAAGTGTAGCTATCTTTCATAACGTCAAGTTTTGTTCGATCTTCTGCATAATAGTGTAGTTATTAGCCCTGTAATGGAATATGGTAAGGAGTGCTGAAACCATTCTCGCATTCTTCGTGATTTGGTTGAGTACTAACGGGGAGAGTGACTAAACGTGACACGTTTCAGTAATCCAAGTGACCGGAGTTGGACGCAGCCACGCAGGCCAACGTGAGAGTAACTAAATGTGACATGTTTCAGTAATTCGAGTGACCTAAATTGATATTAAATTTTTCTAATGACTATGATACATCAAATACTATGATATACAATACATCAACCCATTCATAATAAGCAAGGTTTGCCAATCCTGTTTAACCTATTGACCCAGTCAAGTAAGTTTTAAGCCGATTTAGCCGAATATATGAAAAAAAATCATTATATAGTTCATACATTTATAGATTATACAATAACCTTACAACGCAATGAATATGTGAGACCCATTTTCTCACCGTATTTGGAGACCCATTTTCTCACCGTATTTGGGTCAAAACAGGTCGACAACCTTCATAATAAGTAAAGGTGAGGACATTCGTCATGTTATCCAAAAGGAAACAAAAATAACTAGCGGTGGATCCATCTCGAATACTGTTGACTCGTGAACCAGAAGTAAACACGCACGCATAGGCCCATACATACATCAACAACACTCTTAAATACATGGCCAACTGGATACGTAAGAGGTCTATCTTCTTCTTCTTCTTCTTCCCTGCTTCACACTCTTCCTTATCTCCATCTCATCAATTCCTCTCTCTCTCTCTCTCTCTCTCTGTTACCACCTATCTGTCTCTCACATTGCATTTATAAGGACCTACACACACAGTCCCATTTCTATCCTGCACCTCCATAAACAACCCTACAACCTTTCTTCACCACCACAGCTTACACCAGAGAAAATGAAGGTTGACACGCTAGAGACCACCATTGTTAAGCCTGTCCATCATGATCGTCGTCGGTTGTGGCTGTCCAACTTGGACCTCCTGCACGGCAGGATCCACCTGCCCACGGTCTACCTCTTCAGGCCCTCGTCGTCGTGGTCGCCCGCAGGTGCAGGCGACGACGACGTGAGGAGCAGCGTGGCGTCGAAGCAGAAGGGTTACTTCGACGCCAAGCTGCTGAAGGAGGCGCTGAGTCGAACCCTCGTCACGTTCTACCCGCTGGCGGGGAGGCTGGCGAGGGGGGACGAGGAAGGGGGCAGAGTGGAGGTGGACTGCAATGGGGAAGGCGTGCTGTTCAGGGAAGCCGAGGCGGATGCCTCGTTGGACGAGCTCGGCGAGTTCATGCCTGGAGCCGAGCTTCTCAAGCTGGTGCCGAGGGTGGATTACTCACAAGGGATCTCTTCTTACCCTTTGGTGGTTCTTCAGGTAATTCCCCTACTAAAACCAACCCAAAATTAGAAAAAGGTTTTGATGCAACATTTAGGAAAAGTATCATATTGTTATGTCACATTAACTATGCTTCACCAAACAAACAATCATAGTATGGATTGGAAATTATGATTTCCTCTTCCCTCATTAAAGTAAACGTCTGAACCTTACATCTATTAATGGAAACTAGTATGTATATTTCAACCTCATAGAGTGAGTAAGCATCTCAACCTTGAATTTCTAACAGAGTGGCTCCAACTTTTACTCTCTTAATAAGTAACTTAAAGGAGAAGGAAAAGATGACTTTCAAAAAAGGAAAAGGAAAAGATGAACAGGGGAGCAGTACCTTCAAGGATTTCAATGGCCGGAAATGGCGCCATGGGACCATCCTTCTGTCTCCTTTATCGTGGTTATGTCCCACATGCTTCACACCACCATTATCAATGCTCTGACCAGGTGCATTATAAAAGAATACAAAACACATTAAGTCATTAACTCACCTTCCAGAGTAATAATATGGCTCTAGACAGTGACGAATAGATCAAATCAGATTTTTTTTTCTCTTCTTTATGAACAAGACAAACATACCACGATAAAAATCTTCCTGTTCCTGAAAGTTCAGTTAAGGTGGAAGATATCCCACCACAGCTTTTGACTTCTTTTCCAATTTTCTTGGTGTTTTCTAAGGTCACGAGGTTCAAGTGTGGAGGAGTGAGCCTTGGAACCGGTATTCATCACAGCTTGGCTGACGGGGAATCAGCTCTGAGCTTCATCAACACATGGTCCAACATGGCTCGGGGTCTTCCCCCAGCCGTTTCACCGTTCCTGGACCGCACTATTCTTCGAGCGAGGAACCCACCTTCCCCGAAATTTCACCACTCCGAGTACGACCCAGCCCCAACCCTGATCAACAACCCGAACCAACTGGTAAACCCTTCGAAAAAACCCACTACCATGGCCATCCTCAGGTTCAAACCAGAAGAACTCAATGCCCTGAAAGAGCTGGCAAACCCTGGCACGAACGAATCAAAGGTCAGGTACAGCACGTACCAGATCCTGACGGCTCACATTTGGCGCTGCGTGAGCAAGGCACGCGGCCTTGCTGATGATCAGCCGACGAGGCTGCACATGTCGGTCGATGGTAGGTCGAGGTTGAACCCGCCGGTTCCTTCCGGGTACTTCGGCAATGTAATTTTCCATGCCACTCCAATTGCCACAGTTGGGGAGCTTGTTAAGGAGCCAATGGTTAGGACCTTGGAGAGGATTAGGCAGGCGATCAATAGGATGGATGATGAGTACCTGAGGTCGGCTATTGATTACTTGGAGGACCCTGATGACCCAGCTAGCGTGATGCAAGTTCCGGGGACTTGTCAATCGCCGAATTTGAAGATCATTAGTTGGATACGGCTGCCTTTTGAGTATGGTGATTTCGGGTGGGGGAAGCCGTTGTATTGTCGCCCTGCAAATTTGTTTGAAGGGAAAGGAAACCTTCTCCCCAGGAACGCTGATGGGAGTCTTTCCCTAGCGATTTGCCTCGAGGAGGATGCTATGGTGGCATTTCAGAAGCTGGTTCATGATGTTGGTAGTTGTTGATGATCATTGTTGTAAGTGTTGCCTTTATTCTATATCTGTAGCATCATTTCAAACTAGTAAACCTCTGTTCTATGGAAGTTTCAACCTTCTCCATCAGCTGCAGAAAGAGCAACAACATGAAAAAGAATCGAGCAAAAGCAATCATGGATGACAACAAGCGATCTATGATCCAAGGTCCACGGACAATCTTACTACACTAGCAAATTAACAGCATTAGAAAGAGTCGAAGTATTCCATTCAACAAGGTCCAACAAAAATATCATCACACGCAAGACTAAGCAGAACAATCCTTTTATAAAAAAATTGTTCAAAGAACAACAAGGCCCTCAGATATCATAGTACTGTTCAGTAGTATCATGATGGTGGATTGTGCTAATGGCAATTCATAGAAGTCCTCTCAAACCACCACAAGACATTGGGACAGTGTACATTACTGGGGGAAAAGATCAATGATGATATGGACATGGATAGATAGATAGATATATAGATAGCTAGAGAGGCAAAAGCCATGGCTATGGTTGTTTCATCTGGAGAAAGAGATGGAGAGAGAGAGAGAGCTGTGGTGGTGCAAAAAGACTAGCTATGAACTGAACCATGCAACCACCCTCATCAGTGGGTTACAATTTCCATCACTGGGCGGGCAGACCTAACTAGATATGATTCTGATAAACAGATAGTCATTAAACCACAGCCTTCAAACAAGAAAGCAGGAAAACGGGGGGAAATCACAATCCACTGCAATTGGGAATGGGCATTTCATAACACAGAAGGCTCAGAAGCTCTTATCTCTATCACCTTGAAACTAGTTCTCACTGGTTCTCCATTTACCCATTTCAGCACACATTCAAAGATTATGGCTTTTGTATGTTAACAAATCATGAATTCATTCCATGGCAGCACAAGGCAATAATACTCTACACTCTCAACTTGAACCCATTAAGCAAGAAGCCAAGATCATCCAAATGGGGAAAAATTCATAATCAAACATGCCCTCACATCCTTCCATCTGTGAGAATTCAACAGACGGAAAAATGTTTTTTTCTCTTCTCACTGTAACACTCCCCCATGCGTGAAAACCACTGCAGCCACCAGCAATGGTATGAGCAGCAGCAGCAGCCGTTAACAACAAGAAGAAGAATCAGTGGTCAATGAATGAATGAATGATGATGATGATGATAATAATAACCATTGCAACCATGGCGCATTTGAAGAGAAGAAGAAGAAAAGGATTAGGGAATAGGGGAGCTCAAGAGCAATCATGCAATCTCATCATTGGGCAGATTCAGTGAAAATAAACTACGAATCAAAGTATCCGATCACTGTAAAACCTTCTCTCGCCACCGCGCAGCGGTGAATGAGTGCGACGGAGGGGTGGGCACTGGCCGGTGTACGATGCGGTGGCGGAGGAAGTTTCGTCGGCGAACTCTTTGATAAAGGAATTGAAGCAGGCAAATTGAAGAAGGGGAAAACTGAAGAGCGATGGCAAAAAAAATAATATTAAATTAGCTATATTTACGTGGACCAAAAACCAACAGATCAATATGGAGTTTTGTACGTTTAGCCCACATTGCCCGAAGGGCCCAACCCAATTAAACAGGCCCAAACCGCTTATGGAATTGAAATGACCACCTTATCCTTATTTCTCTTTCTCCGAGTTCGGCACCAACAAAGAGACGGCGGATCACTGAGTCCGTGAAAAACCGCTAACTCGTTTCGCGGGAGATTAACGATGAGCGAACCTCTAACGACGACGGAAAGACGCCGTGAAAAATTGTAGAACATTTGCGACTTTCTCTTCACGTATTGAAATTGAAAATTCTGACTACTTACTATTTGGTTAAAGCAAACATATTTAGCAAGCTCCATTCTGATATTAAAAAGACATTGAAATATGCATGTCAAATTGTCAATAGAAAACAATACTACTCTACCATCACCCCGTCCAACCAAAAAGACAAAATCAAATGAATACAAGTCTATACAAGACAAATAAAGGAGTTACGACGCATTATCGACGAAGTCAACTGACAGTTGTAGATATCACACTAAACTCTAAACTTATATCTAGAGCATATGTTAGTTGAAGACAATCTCGAAGCATTCAAATCGTCGACCACATCTTGATAGACTTTAATCTCTTTGGATAGAGATTTCTAGCACTATAGTGGATCCCTTTTGGGTTGTCCGCATTGCAGGGGCATCTTATTGTAAATATGATACATGACGGAAGTGTAGCCGACCTCATCAGTCCCTCAGTTAAGCCCATTTGCTCTTGTTACATTATTCATGGAATTAATGATGTCTATTATGTTAGTGTGTGGTATAAGATCCAGCAAAACCTTCTCCCAACAACTCGAGTTATTGGGACCAACTGGTTCTTGACATGGTATCAGAGCCTCGAACCAAAAGGTCATGTGTTCGAATCTCCACGACCCCCAATATTAACCGTTGTCTTTCAAGCACATGGTATGGTGGGCCTGTGCAAACTTCAAGCCCATGGGTTGGCTTTCGTTTGAGGGGGCGTGTTAGTGTGTGGTATAAGATCCATCAAAACCTTCTCCCAACAACTCGAGTTATTGGGACCAACTGGTTCTTGACATATTAGACGGTGACTTACTCATAATGCCTTTACTTTTTTTTTTAGGTAAATTCTCAACTGGCCATCAGAGACATTTCAGAGAGGAAGTCTTCCCATTTCAGAGCTGACTCCATGAGGGAAGTTCTTCTTTCTCTCTTCTCTCGCCCTGTGTCAGTTTCGTGTCTTTTTGCTCCTCGAAGTTTTCTTAGAGCTGCCCACCTCGTGGCATAATAGGCTCTTCCATTGGGAGTCTGGTTTTATACAGACTACCGTTCTTTATTATTTTCTATTTATATTGTTGTTGTCCGGCCATGCCCTGAAAGCTTATCTTGGATAAAAACTAAATTTTGTCTTGAATGTCACTCCTAGGAGCTCCACATGCAACATTAGTGTGTATGAAATGTGATTTCATATCTCCTACACTTTTTTAAAAGGTTTAATACACTTGTATATCCAAAATTTTCATGATTGTGCCAATAATATCCAAATTTTTCGAAATACCACTTATATCCATGTTTTAAAGTTGTTCTTTGCCAAATCTATTCATTTCCCAATATATTTTTTATTAAATACACTTGTATATCCAAAAACACCGTTAAAGAATGCGAAAGAATTGGATATAAGTGGTATTTCGGGAAATTTGGATATTATTTGCACAACCGTAAAAGTTTTAGATATACAAGTGTATTTGAACTTTTAAAAGCATGGAACCAACTGTCTCTCAATTTTTCATGGACTTCTTAATTGAGATTAAATTACATTAAAACACTAGCTCGTGAAGTCACCATGAGTTCTGCATAATTTCCCAACAAAATATTATTTTACACACCCCACATTTTTTTAACATATCCTACTGCTGAATTTTTTAAGTTATTTTTAATGACTTTATTGTTATTAATTGCCCTTGTTTTCTTGTTCCTAATCACATGGCGTGGAGGATCGTTGAATAAGAGTGTGGGTTTAAAAACAAAACAAAAAGTGAAAAAAACCCAATCCCTGTCATTAACCCACTTGATCGTATACTAACCACCATTATATTTTATTCGTATTATATTAATCAAATCAATCAGCCATAGATTTGACAACAACGTGGTGTAGTTTTGTTTCCCTCTTAGTTTAATTAATCATTCATGTCGACAAGAATTATCAAAGTTTCTTTCGTAACAGATCTTGAAGTTTGTATAAGTTCGTCGTCACTCAAATATAAATTAATTAGATCGATTACCAGTATTGTGCTGGCATGTACGATTCGTTCATATACATGACCTTCGATCATCAAAAGCAACTAGGAACCGTATCCAAATTAAAGGTACTCACTCCGTCCCAATTACTTATGATATATAGAGAGGACTAAGAACTTACGAATAATATAAATTTATATCCATTGTCATTGTGTTTAAGTATCCAATAAATTTGGGCATTACTTTACTAGGACTAGGAAACGCCTTTGAACACTTATATCATTATCAGATGATCCCAAACTAATGTTTATAACGACATTTTGTCAAAACGATGACAAGTAAGTCTACACGTTAGTACTCGCCGGCGCCACATCGATACTCAAATGTATGAATGCTAACCGAATGTTGGATTCACATTAACCCCAGCTGCCCATTGTTCGTGAAAGAGATTGGTTGAAGTACAACTGTCAAAGGGCTGCCCTACACCAATGTTCAAACAAAGGGGTTTTGTCCTAAACTTGGAGGGCCGCTCGTCCTGCAATGTTCTGTGTGGACATGTGGTGATGTGGAGGTGGGTGATTCGACTTGACTTGGCCCGACTCGTGGTTGTATTAGAGCACCTTGCAACAATCAAATGATTTGCACGCAAGGTAAATCTTAGTGAGAATGACAAATGAGATTTAAACGTTTTTCTTCGAGAAGTTTTGTGTTGGGATTTTATAATTAAAGCTCTGTGTTTATACATTGTCAAAATGTCACATAGCACAACCATGAAATCCTCGTTAGCTGTGTTTCGCATATCTAGGGTTTGGGGTTCGACTTATGAGTAGAAATAGCAATTAGCTTAGCCATTCCATATTAATTTTAACATATCCTAGTGTTGAATTTTTTTCGTTATTTATTTAACGACTTAATTTGTTTATTAATTGCCCTTGTTTACTTGTCCCTAATCACGTGGTGTGGGGGATCGTTGAATAAGACTGGGTTCAAAGTTAAAACTTTAAGCAAATAAACAACTCAATCCCTGTCATTAACCCACTTGATCGTCTACTAATAATTACAATTATATTTTACTCTTAGTATATCAATCAATCAGCCATAGAATTGACAACAATTTGGTGTAGATTTGTTTAATCATTTATCATTCCTATCGCCAAGAATTATCGAAATTTTTTTTATTCGGATCTTGAAGTTTGTACAAGTTCATCATCACATAAATATTAGATTAATTAAATCGTGCATCGGTTAAGCTCAAACAAAGAAGAGTCTTATCTAATATGAATTTAGGTCGGTCTGCTACTAGTACATACAAAATGTTGGTATTAGGCCGCCACAACTCGACCACATAGACCTTCGATAATCAAAATCACCTCAATATTATATCCAATAGGTTGACCATCCCAATAACTTATGATCTACACGTTAGTCCTCACCGACACACCGCATCGATATTCGAATGTGTGAATGACCGTTTTGCATGATAAACCGAGTTAGCTCTCTAGTCTCTCTGCCTACTCATAAGCTTGGATGTGAATGGCAGACAGGATAACAGTAAGCAACCCCATCAAAAAAGAAACAGATTTTACACCACTGTTGGATTCACATGAACCCAGTGAAAAAGGGATTGGGTGAAGTACAAGGCTGCCCTACACCAATGTTCAAACGAAGAGTTGTCCTAAACTTGGAGGGAAGGCTCCGTCCTGCAATTTTCTGTGTGAACATGTAGAGATGGGTGACTTGACTTGGCGTGACTCGTTGTTGTACTAGGAGAACTACGACACGACCTTGCAACAACCAAAACTCATCATCGCTTATTTCGTCGTTTTAAATGATTAACACGTGATGTAAATTTTATTGAGAATGACGAGGACAAATATAAAAGATTCGTGCGTTTTTATGCAAGCAGTTTTGTTTCAGAACTTTATAATTAAAATTTTGTACTTAAGAATGATTTATCGTATTCGTTCATTATATATTGGAAAGGGAAAGTAGTGCAAACAACTGTGTGTGTGGTGGGATTATTCGGAATGAGGTTCGTTAGGCTCGTTGACTTTGCGTGACTCGTTGTTGTACTAGGAGAACTAGGGCGCTCATATTATTGTCTCAAATGATTTTCATTGAGGGCAAATCTCATTAAAGTTGACAAAGAAAAACATAGAAGATTCGAACGTTTTTCTTCGAGAAGTTTTGTGCTTGAATTTTGTAATGAAATTTTCGTATTTAGATTGGTATAGAGTATTTAATTTTGTAATGAAATTTTCGTATTTAGATTGGTATAGAGTATTTATTTGTTACATTTGGAAAGGGAAAGTAGTGCAAACGACCGATATATGGAGGGGTCATTTCGAATGAGGTTCGTTAGCTCTGTTTGATATATACCTAGGGTTTGAGGTTCAGTCTATGTGGTGGTTAGGGAATAGTGGAATACCATTCTGTGAGGAGGTTTGTAAACTGCAATTGAGGTTCGGTTTATGAATAGGAATATGACAATTTGATAGTCCATGTGGTGGTTAGAAAGACCTTATTTCGTTCCGACAATCATGTTTGTATCCTTTTTCCTCTTTATCCAGCTTACGTTATAGTCTTAGATTGTTGATTTCATGACCCGAGCTCATGTTTCTACTTTCTACAATAACCTCCCAATTTCTCATTGAATAATAACCGCCATTTTCAGGCATTACAAGAAAGCACAAGCAAGAAAGGCAGTAATTTTTTTTTTTTGGAAACATGATGATGAAGATTGAACCATGGAGCTATTACTAGAAACACACACAATCAAGCGAATTAACCACAAACCCAGAATCAAATTCCCGTGTTCCTCTTCTTCTTCTTCTTCTTCTTCACCCATCCACTTCGTAGAACGTCTTCCTGAAATTCTCCATGGCATAGTTCTCCAAACATAGCGCCAGCGACAAATTCCCGTCGACGCTGTACTTGGGCAAGATATTCCCCTTCCCTTCAAACAGATTCGCCGGCCGATTGAAAATCGGCCTACCCCACCCAAAATCGGCGCACTCGAACGGCAATCGAATCCAGCTAATGATCTTCAGATTCGGCGTCCTGCAAGTACCCGGAACCTGCATAATCGCCGACGAATCGTTCGGATCCTCGAGGTAATCGATTGCAGATCTCAAGTACTCGTCGTCCATCTGCTTAATCGCGCCGTGGATCCGATCCACGGTCCGAATCAGCGGCTCGGAGACCAATTCCCCTGCCTCCGCCGTCGGCGTCGCGTGGAAGACGCAGTTCCCGAGGTAACCGGCGGGGAGCGGCGGGTTGAGGCGAGATCTGCCGTCCGTGGAGATGTGGAGCTTGGTGGGTTGGTCGGCGGCGAGATCCCGGGCTCTGGTGACGGCGCGCCAGATGTGGGCGGTGAGGATCTGGTACGTGCTGTATTTCGCCTTCGTATGGTTGTCGCGGGTAATCTGGTCTCTCAGGCTGTTGATCTGTTCGGGGGTGATTTCGAGGATCGCCATGGAGGTGGCGCCGTCGTTGCCGGCGGCGGGAGGGGGTGGGGAGACCATGGTCGGCGGCGGGTCGTACTCGACGTGGTGGAATTTGGGGCTGGGCGGGGACCGGGCCCGGAGGAGGGTTCGGTCGAGGTACGGTTGGACCGGGACGGGCAGACCGCGGGCGCAGTCGGCCCACGCGTTGATGAAGCTCAACGCGCCTTCGCCGTCGGCCACCGTGTGGTGCCAGCCTGTCCCCACGCACACTCCGCCGCACGAGAATCTCGTCACCTATTTTCACAAAAAAAAACATTACCCGTCAGTAAAAATAATTTTACACTAGTCACAGTCAGTAGAACATTTAGTGACGGAGGTGGTGATTTCTCGGTTGTCAAATTTCAATACCAAAACACTTTTTTTTGTGTACTATAAAAATTAAAAATCGCCGGAATAAATAAATTAGAATCAAAATCGGAATAGGTTTGACAAAACATTGGAGCGTGATATAATATTATCACTTATTGGATGTGACATATTCATACTAAAAAAGAGTAGACATCAACGTGGTATAATACTATCGTTCATCAGATGAATGTCGCAGACATTTTGTTAGTAATTTCGCTCTATGTATTAACACTATTTGATATCAATCGCTTGTTTCAAAATCAAACTAAACCAAACCAAGCCTACCCTTGAACAAATCCACAATGTTTTAACCACCAGACATCGTTGATCCTAACTTTTGGTGACCATGGAATTGAAAGTTGGCTTGGGGTAAATAGTTTTTCACTGGTAGTTTTTTACTTTTTCTCTTAGTGGCCTTCTAGGAAATGTTGCAAGCAAAAACAAAATTTCCAAGACTTTTTTCCACCAACCATAATGGGACCACTCTTTTATTGCAACCCATTTTCTATCACAAGTACTATGAACATTCAAAGCAAAGTGTCAATCAACCAACTTGAATGTTCACTAAACAATGGAAAGGATAAGGAAAAAAAAAAATATTCAACCTTAATTCCATGACCCAACTCAAAGGTTTCGAGAAGTCATCACGATTTCATTCACCAGATTGTCATACTCAAGATTCGAAATTCGGTCAAGTACGTCTTGATGCCTAACAGACATTTAATCTTTCATTAGTTGTTCCTAAACTTGCTGCCTAATATACAACCATAAATACGCTACGGTTGTACCAAGTATTAAGACCGATGTCATTAATTGTGACACCGACACGTACATAAGTTGGGCAACAAGACACATTGTGAACAAAATGTGGTCCTATGGAGAATAACAAGTGGCGGCAAAAGAACAAAAAATGACCTGGTGAGCTGTTTGATTGGTACTTCTGTCTGGCCCTAACTAACCAAGTTGTGTTTCAAGTATGAATTTGATACTAAGTTGTCCCCGTCCGGTCGTCATTATTCACTCTCGTCACTAATGTAGCAAGTAATTCTTTTGTAGCCGGTTGTACCCAAATTCCATGACCCAAATTCAACAAGCAAACGATCCTCAGTTCGTGAACCCCACGGACTTGTAAATTCCACATATTAGTTTGGAATTTGCAAATCCTTGATGGTTAGTTATTTATTTAACAAATCCATAAAAAATCCATCATCAAATCTATCAGGCAAACATTAGACTCTTTAAATCCATAATCCAATAAAATCCAACATAAATCCCAATGTTTTTATTGGGCAAAACCCTCATTTTTCAAATCCAACAAGCAAACAACCTCTGAATTTCGCACTTTCAAAAAAAGTTCGTTTCCTACCACAAAGATAATGTATAGTCTATCAAGGTTTTCTAACACATTTGTTGCTAGCCAATTGTACTAATTTACGTGGTTCACCGCCTTCATCTCCACTTTGTGGTGTCCAAACAATTGAAGATAAAAAAAAAAACCAGGAAAGTACCTAAATGGGTTTTGTCGCATTCCATCACATGGTCACTAAAAACTAGGCCACAATTTAAGAATCCATTGAACAAAACGACGCACCACTCATAAAACGACAGAAAACAGAAAAGAGGACGAGAAAGAAGAAGAAGAAGAAGAAGAAGAAAAAGAGGCATTTTTACCTGCGTCACAAAAAGTGGGTAAGAAGACATGTCCGCCGAGTAGTCAACTCTAGGGACAAACTGAAGCAAATCCGTCCCGGGCATGAACTCGCCCAAATCGCTCATGGCGAGATCCGTCACGGCCTCCCTGAACAGCACGCCCGCGCCGTTGCAATCGATCTCGATCCGTCCCTTCTCGTCCTTGGCCAGCCTCCCCGCGGCGGGGTAGAACGTGACTAAAACCTTCGCTAGGCCTTCCTTGAGGGCCTTGCCGTCGAAGAAGTTGTCGCCGGCGGAGCCGTCGGGCTTGTAGAGGTAGATCGTCGGGAGGTGGATGCGGCCGTGGAGGAGGTCCATGTTGGAGAGCCATATTTTCTCCCTCGGGGTCTCGGAGAAAGGGCGGACGATGGTGGTTTCCGTAACCGTGACCTTCATTGTTTTTTGGGGTTTTAGTGACGGGAGGAGGGTGACGAGTCGTTGCTAAAGAGTGGAAGGAGTGGGGAAGGGATGAGAGTTGAGACGGTGGGGAGAAATGGAGGTGGAGTTTGGCTTTTTATAGAAAGGAGGAGCATGTGATGAAGGAAAAAAGGGTATTATTAAAATATATGGGGGAAAGAAATATAAAATATGGGGGGGATTCTATGGAAGTAAATGGGGCAAGAATGGTAGTATGTAAAATTGTGAAGTCATCATTGTATGGGAGAGAAAGAAAAAAAAAAGAGCTAGCTTTTGGTTTCTACTTTTTAGTTCCTTTGATTTTTCAAACCATGTCATCACTAATATTTTATACTTTCTTTGTTTTAAAGAGTGTTTGAACAATCGTGTTGTAGTCAATGGTACGATCAGGAAAAAAAACTCTCGTTGAAATATAAGTCGACAGGTAAATTTCAGCAGTACAAAACATCGAACCACGATTTCAACATAAAATGCTAGATTATTGACATTTTTTGTACAACCGTTGATATGGCTTTACAATTCTTGGGTTTAGAAAAGGGGGTTCGTCCATGATGAGTGCATACAGACGTTGTCGGATTGTTCTGTGTGTCGTCTTTTACTGTTCAATAGCCATGATGATGTGTCATACACACAACTTATCGTCATGTTCGGTCAAACATATTGGTGGGTAATCCAATACTGTCGATATGGACAAAATCACCCCCCATTAGGTCGTTACGTTGTTGTAGATGGTGCCCCAGACACATTGCATCTGGATGATGCAACAATAAGCAGAAAAACGGTCAAAACCCTAGCTGATTTTAGTGAAAAGGATTATATGTATGTTCCTGTAACAGCTACGACCGAACTATCATGTGATCATAAAAAATCACCATGATTCTCGTAAAGATAGCTCTCACCACCTATCATGAAGTTGAATATAAGTAAATCGAAGTATCGTTTGATGAATTCCCTTTAATCCTATGTATCATAGGATTGTAACCTCCAAATCCATGATTCCTAGACCAGAGCACTCCACTATAGAGGCTTGTTATTATCTTGCTCCTCCCAAACCTAACATTGCTAGATTTTCAAGATCCAAGAACATATATAATAATATTTTATAATGTCTTTAATTGTTTTTTTTCCCCCTTCTTCTTTGGGAGTGTAAAGTGATATGAATTAAACAAATAACTAATTGGCATGTGACATGGGTTAGCATCTCAAGGTGGGGAAACAGCGAAACCAACTTGGTTACTACTATACCTGTTAGATTTGTTTATGCCTACAATAATTAATAGTTATTTGGTGACAAAAGAGTTGGTCACTGTTTCATTTCTTATATAAAAAAGCAAAACAAATAATTAATATTGTGCCCTTTTCATGTGAGGTCAGGATTGTGGAGATCAGATCTTTGCAGGGTTTTATTCTATTTTAGTCCTCCTAATCTGTCTATGTCAAACTTTCATTTTCGTTTTACTTTAATTACCTTACTATAGGAGAAAATATGGGTTTTTTTTTTGTTATTTCACACTGTAATATTCTCTTGACAGTGAGGATGGAAATGAAATCATATCAAGAGAAGTGATGAACTTTCGATGAGGCTATTACACTATAGGGTTAATTAGATAAATGGTCACTGAGCTTGCTTTCATAAACAACTTGGTTACTAATGTTAGTAAATTGCACAAGATTCATAATTAAAACATTCACAATCACTCGTATTAGTGTTTTTGATGTGTGATAGGCCTTGTGCTCAAATTTCAGTGACCTAATGTTAAATACATGGTATTTGGAATTGTAAAAATTTTAAACTCATATTATTTGGTTTTCGTTTGAGAATATGTGCTAGTAAATTGTATAAAATCCATAATGAATCTTTTCCAACAACTCGATTTATTGAAAGTACTGCTCGTTCTTGACAACTAAAGCCTGAAATTTAATTAAGTAACAAAATACGACTCCTTTCCCATCACTCAAGTTTTTCATCCGAATTGTTCATACTAGTGTGAAAATCTAGAAGGAAAAGGACCACATGACGTTAAACACAGTCTACGAGTATCAAAATCATTCTCGTTGACGGTATGAGAATTTGACTACTGTAATTTAATTTATCAAGTTTTTCCAAATATAAGATCATATCATGGATCATAATAAAATTTAACAAAAAAATATTTCATCATGTATATATTTTTTTTTTCTCTAAATAGATTCACTTTGGAGACTGGACGAAATCCAGACTTTGACCCTGGTAGTAATTGGTACAATTCTATCTATCAAGTTGCATGAGAGACTGATAACAAATTAAGTTGTGTCTGTATTAGAAAAGGATCACAATGAGCATCTAATCATGATTAAACATTAAACACAGATCATCAACCACTTAAGTACATATGGATACATGCATATGGCCTAACCTAACTACCACACTAATAAAAATGAGAAAGACAAGGCAATTAACAACTTTATACAATGCCAAACGTAAATAACAAAAGAATCATCCAACTTCAAAACCTGTACAAAGAAGTCCAGCAGTCTCCTTCTATCATCGTCATCTTCAATCTCTACTATACAAATGGAGCTATCTCATCGCTAATTATTGATACTTTTATATTAAGAAATCATTACTTCCATTGGATGAGAGTGGTATTAGGATCATCTACCACCATTCACAAATCGTTTATAAAAACAACTTCTAATCATTCAAGTTACAAAATGCATGTCAATGATTGAACTTGAATTCAGGATGCCAATGAATGAACTAGAGCTAGTTTGATCCTTCAAAACCCACTGGCTGATGATCGCGCTCAAAGCGGAGTCCTATTGAGTCACGTGTACGTAGTCGAAAGAGATTCGATGTGCAAGTCATCTATCTACAGAGTTGGTAACCTCTGCATGCATGCAGTGCAACAATCTGTTTTTCACGCCATGTACAGAGTGAGCATGTCTACATGGGACACTCGAACGATTGCAAGTACCCCCCACTAGCAAAACGAAACGGGAAGCCAAAACAAAATTCCGAAACTAGCTGGAAATAAACAACTCCTCGAAACTGCATCTGGGTCTCACAAGCAACAAAGTAATATCTATATTTGGTAATTTCTCAATATTTTGTTTAATATACGAAATCATGGTATTATTATAATCTGAATTCAAAACACCAGAAACGGGTCACAAACTATCACATAACTTCACGTATGAAAACCATTCAATCAAATTCCAAATCTTGAGACACCAATCATCTCAGAAAAAAAAATGTATTATTCCACCTTTGAATCTTCTTTCCTACTAATTAACAATGAAATTAAACCCCTCCCAATTTGTTCCACTAGTTGAAACTTGAAAGTAGTGTGTACTACTGCTTCTCCCTTCTAGAAACCTTTTTCTTGTTTCCATTGCCCCCGTCGTCTTCCTTCCTTCTGTTCTCCATTTCCCTTTTCCCTCGTTATCAAAAGACAAAAGGCGCCATGGCCACTAGAGCTTTGGCTGCCTATTGACTTGTCCACTTGTTTCGTGGTTGGTAATGTGGAGAAGTACTAAAAGGCAAGGCAAGGGCCATTCAACATTTTTTTTTTAGGTTGAAAGCAAAACCAAATTTATTTATTTAATATAGACAACGCATGGTACTAAATAATTTATAAAAAAAAATAGTAGGAAAAAAAAAACAAAGATATATGTATATAAAATATGAAAAATGCCGCCAGAAGTAATAATTCATGTGGTCCTGTGGATCTGCAATATAATGGGGGAATATGTGTACGAAGGGTTCTCGTGGTTGTGGTGGTCACTATAGGTTCTCACATTGAGCTTCTAGAAGAATTCCAAAGTGTTTTTTTATTTATTGATGTGAATCTGAATATTGGGTTAGCAAGATTTGGATCTAAGGTATGTTATCGTTTTCGCATTATCGACATTTTCGCATTATCGACGAACTCTTGAGAGCGAGAGAGAGATACAGGTCGCATGAATTCTCGAACCTACATCAAGCTAGCCATAGGTTATAGGGATATTATAAAAAGTATCTAAAAATGCATTAATCATCTAAACTATTGACTATGTCACTCTCAGAGTATCCAATCAAAAATATCGTGAATGATTTCATCGCTCATCCGATTTTCGAAGTGTGTTTTCCGAGTAATTTATTCCAGAGAATGCTCTTTCAACAATTGCAGTGGCGACGATCGAGTAGCAATAATGTCTATTTTCGAAGTCGATACACTAACTACTCTATGTTGTTTTGGCACAACTATTTCTCAAAAAAGCTCGGTAATTCTCTTAAATCCTGCAAACCTCTCAACTGTCTTACGCAAATGAACTCGCCTCTGATAATTTGAGGGCAAGGATTAGGGATTCGAGAATAGGTAGACGAAAGTGGGCTTCTTGTGTTTGTTATGTAAAAATTAAAAAAGGGTTTCATAAAATATTGATTAGAGTTACCTATTGATATCACAAAGATGCACTTAAGCTTATCAATGGGAGAAAATGCGACCTTTATAACAACGAACCACTATACCAATATTTTTCAGGTTTGATATGTATTGAGCCAACAGCATATATATCATATTAATAGTCTAGTAAAACCATGATAACAAACAACACTAGTACTACTACAACTTAATTATTGAGTGGAGTACCTGAGTTTCGGTGACTTCATATACAAAAATCTTAATAATATATGTTTCATTAATTAAGTTTAATTTGGTGGTAATGATCTCAGCTTGGAGACATTAACAACTCTTTTGTTCTTGTCTAACTCTCTACGATCATAATGTGACCTGAAAAGAGGGGTTTTTTTTATGGTTTTTAATTCCATGTTGCCAAGTAATATAAAGTTGTTGTCAACCTTACAGCTAGCAGAAACAGTACTCAAATTGAAAAAATAATCACATATATATTATGAAATTATATAATGTGATAAAAGTCATCGATTGAATTTCATATTACATATTTAAGTAATAATATGTTGTTTATTAACCAAAAATAAAATAAAAATATGTTAGTTTATGAAATTGTAAGTTTGTCGAAATCGAGATTTATGAAGGTTGCTTTCCATACAATTTAGTGTGTGGATTGGACGTATCGGTTTGTCTAATTACAACTTATATATATCGTCGTATAGGTAATGTGATTTGTTGGATGCTCACTTCTGATTTAGAAGTATCTTTCACCTCACTTTTTTTTTTCCAGATAATAATTTCACACTGTACATCGATCTTTTGCCAATCAGGGCCATGACTCGTTCTTTGATTGTCATCTCATATGATCATTTCGATACTCCGAGTTTGAGTCTAGTCTATGTGCTTTTGTACCATGTCTAGCTATAAGGTCTCTAAATCTTGGTTTAGGAATGACAAAGTAACAGATCTGGGCGGGTATACTGATAGTTGATACCCATGTCCGCCTCATAACAAGTCGGGTATGTTTTAATGGAGCGCAAGTTGAGCAGGTCAACTCATATGGTTATATAATTTAAAAGTTTTCACATTGCATCATCAATTTCATGCATGTGGCCATTTTCATTGTCGGGGGAAAAAATGTGCATGTGTTGCATAGTTTGGTCCAGCAAAGTGGCCACTAATTAATCCATAACTAATTAATTTATGGATTTGCAAGTTGCACTAAGCCAGCTAGCTAGGAGTTAAAATTTATAACAACGACTCTTACTATTCCAATATGCAAAATGAATTAAATGAGTGGCTACATGTGCTATCCATCCCAAAAATAATGATAAAACGAAGTAAGAATTTAAGAACGACTTTAATCCGATTCAGAAATAAGGGATAGACATTGGATGAATTGGACGAATTTTAGACGAAAATCACACATCCATAACTAAGCGCGTAAATTTTTAATTTGACTCATGCCCACCCAAGTACATAGCATTGGATGGTTTGGCCCGGTTGATGCGGTTTGCAGATGGATTGGTTGGGTAAGGTTTGTGGTTTCCAATTTATATAAATTTGAATTTTTTTCTTTGAATTGGAAACAAACATGGATGATGAAGTATTTTGAAGAATTTTTCTCATGAATCATCCATGGAGGCTTTTGATTACATTAGAAAGTTATATTTTTTTTACCAGAAATAAGGCATGTACATATATAATAATGAAATCATGAAGAGAATCATGTTCAATGGAAGAATTTTGAGATTTAAAATACAGTACAGAAATGTGATGAGTTTGGCGGGTCGACCCACATTCATCTATATATATTTTGGTGGATTAACACAGAAACAAACCGTCACAGCTCATATTTATAATTATACCCACCCGCATCATGGCAGGTCGAGTTTTATTGGGTGGATTTGGGTGGGTGAATTATAGCATATGCTAATTAAGAGAGTTGCATGGTATAGTCTATTCAAATTACCATTATGTTAGATTATCAATTGATGATAATGGAATCTAATCTAGGTTGGAGGTAGAGCACTTATAGACATATGAATGGTTGTTGGGAACTGATTGATGGTCCAAAAAGTTTGGTCCCCGTTACATTATTAGTTGTCAATTTTTCATACTTGAGTTGAATGTGTTGGTTGGTCTTCCAGTTCTGGTGCAGAGCTCTATAGCCCAACTCATCACCTTGATGGAAAACTAGTTGTCATGTTTTTTAGAGGTTTTTTTTTTTTTGTTGTTGTAGAATGTTTTTGAGGTTTTTGTCCTCAAAGAGCATCTATGAAATTGTAATGATGTTTCATTTCATGATGAGTTGAGAAGGATAGGACCTTAGTACAGAGAGATGATCATTTTGCCATTTTGAGTGGTGTCATTTTACCAACCAATTTGATTATGTTCTTGGCTTCTTGCAGCCATTCTCCATCCACACACACTCAAACAAACTCATAGCATTCTCACTTTAGTGGCCAACTCATTTGATATGATCACTCTATGAACTTAGTGATGGTGCTGAACAAAATTTTCGAACTTACAGTCATGTCGGATGCATCCACGATCCCATTCGTCGGGAAAACGAGTGTTGAGACCACATTAGTATAAGAGGTTATCGAGGTGGTTTTACTAGGGGCTCTCATTTTCTAACTATCTAGAGCAAGCGAGCTGCTCCATAACCCAAGCAGCAATTTGGAACTTGCATATGCCAATCAGAGTGTTTAAGGGGCATAGTGCTTCAAGTGTAACTCATCGCTGGTGGTTTCCTTTCTTATTTCAACCTATAAGAATATGGTCCATCGAACTGGTAAACATATTCTCTGTATTTTCGAATTCGAGCAACACGAAAAAAAAAGCATTTTCATATATACGTGTAGAAACCAAATGCAACTTTTTTAAAAGTTTACAAAGGATCATTCTTTATGTAAGAAGTTACACATAAATCGACATTTTCTACCTAAATGTTCAAACATGGATCAAACTTGGAATGGTGTGGTTGGGAGAGTTTCCTACCTACCAAATATCTCATGTAAGCCACATAATGCTTTGTAGTGGGAACCACACTAAGAACAAATTAAAATATTTTTGAGAAAGCATCCCTGGGGAATCTATAGTACCTAGTACAGAAAGTAAATGATTTGTGTGCATGTGAACCATGAACAACAACAAACCATCAATAATTGAGTGCAACAAGCAAATGGGTACTACACAATTATTTCACCCCAGAACAAAAGCAAATTGGAGAACTCAATTATGAGCTCTGTTTGTCTGTCTTTTTAGGTCTAGAAGAGGGTAAAAATGGCTCTAATAAAGGTTTGGAGAAAGCAATAATATTATGAATCTGATATATCATCATGAGATAGAGGTCATGGGGAAGTGTTAGCAAAAGTATGGTTAGTATAGTTTGGTGACCTTTGACAACGGGCAAATTGGATGGAAGTGGCCACAACACTCATGATGTATGGTTGGATACTGTTGAGAATTGTATCGACAGGCTCTTCGATCCAAGGATTGATTAGATGCAGATTTATATTTGATCCGCCAGACAGTTGACCAAATTCATATATTCTTTGATCTATCAAACAAATGCATATGATAGATTTCGAGGCCACTGAATGACGTCCACAACCCCGGATTCAAACTCTGAAATCAGGCTCTGATACAAATTGTTGAAATCATATAGTTCCATTGGTATGATGTTGTCATCTTTGAGTCGAGCTTGCACTTATTTATTTTTGGGTTGCTTTCCAAAAGGCTACATAGTACATACTAATTGGCTAGGTGGACACTTGTATACAAGGGTCCTTCCCTTGTATTTCCAATGTGATGCTTAAGATTGTATCCTAACAGATACCAATAATTCAAATTGTTCGGAGAGGTTTAACCAAGTTTAATACGAAAACACTCATTGTACTTGAAGTTGACATGACATGTGTTGTCGTATCTTGCTTAAACCAACTGTGTTAACACGATGGTCGATCGTGAGGATTTGAACACATGAATTCTCACACTGAAACTCTAATATCATTCAAAAACCAACTTATTCACATAATTGGAGCTATTCCCCCAAGATTTTGCCAAACCCGATGATACTCTGGTGTCAACTATGCAAGTCAAATTATGGACTTCGACAAACGTCCAAAAATTGGTCTCAATAACTCGAGTTGTTGGAAGAGATTTATGTATGCTACTTAATAACTTCTTTACACGCTCCCTCAAATGAAAACCAACCCATGGTCTTGAAATTTGCACAAATCCCAATAACTCGAGTTGTTAAGAGATGTTCATATATGTTATTTAACAACTTCTTTACATTAAACATTAGCCATGATAAAGCGTATTTTCTGGTCACAAATAACCAAATTCTTATATAGCATCATGGTCGCATTTATCATCCATAGGAGAAACGTCAACAAATATGATCTCCCTTCATCTTCCTCGCAAGGTACAAGTCAACCAAATAATATATAACTTCGACCCTCAATTATTTACTCTGGTGTGGGTGTTTTACACGTTTAATTTGTCTTCTTCTACATCAATTTCTTTGTACTTTTTTTTTTTTTGACAATAGGCATCATTCATTTCATTCCAAACCCAACCAAGGGGAGCACAACGATTACAATAATGGAGCGACAAGGTTGGCAATGAAAATCCATTCCGGATGAAGGAGATCAAGGCGAGAGTTCCTAGCGATCCAATCAGCCACCTTATTAAATCGACGAGGAACAAACTCAACCGTGATCCAAGGAGAAACACAGAGAATGGAAACCACACGAGCAAGGGATGCCCGACACTGCCAGGGCCACAGGCTCGGATCTTGTCTCAACGCATTAGTCAACCTCTGACAGTCAGAGCGAACACACGTTGGTACAGGGTCCTGGGCCGCCCAGATAACTGCATTAAGAATCGCAAACGCTTCCGCTTGAAGCGGGGAAGAACAAAAGAACCGCTCAGCCTTCCCATCGATAACCTGACCGTGGGAGTTTGCAATAGCAATCCCATAAGCCGCCACCTGTGCATCAGAAACAAAGGAACCATCACAATGCACAACCTTACAGAAAGGACCAGGCGGTGATAAGGTCGACGATCGAGAGCTCTCAGGCTGAGAAGGCAATCCAGCTGGACATGAGTAGAAATTGGCTGAGGATCCGATCCTAGCTTCTTGGACATTCAAAACATCACGTTCGGCTAAAATTGCCACAGAGGACGGAGAGAACGCCCGACTCTCAAATACCCACGCATTTCGAGCAATCCAAATGTTCCAAAGGGAACACACAATCTTGGTAATCTGGCCAACGGAAACCCTGTCTTTTAGTCCAAAGAACCAATCCACAAAGCAAGAGTCAGCCACAGGAAGCACATTAAGCAGCCCAAGCTGAGTCCAAGTCTCAAGCGCCTTGGGGCAATGAAAGAAGCAATGCATAATCGTTTCCTCCTGGTTCTCACAGAGTGGGCACAGCGGGTTAGGAGCACACTTGCGGTCGAACAACCTCACTCGTGTTGCAATTGCATTTTTACCACATTTCCAAATGAAAAGGCGAAGCTTAGGAGGCAGCTCGAGACCCCACAACCACTTCCAATCATCTCGGCTAGGTCTAGAAGAGGAAAACAAGTCATTACCCAAAGTGGAATCTCGAGTCTCTCGAAACATCCGATAGGCAGACTTAACACTGTAACCACCTGACTCTGTAAGACGCCAAATCCAGCTGTCCTTAGCAGTACATGGACCGACCGGAACACGGGCAATAGCATGAGCAATCTCATCAGGCACCAGATTACGAATGGCCTCCATTCTCCAACTTCGAGAATCACGGTCAATCCAATCACTAACTTTGGATGGTTCCAACCCCAAGTGAGACAGATTGTAACATGGAATAGAAGGAAGCCAAGGGTCACAATGGAACCACGAATCCTCACCAGACATAATACCTCTTAACAAACCACTCTTCATCTGCTCCTTAGCCTCACACAACCCATTCCAAACCCAGGAGCTCTTTCTCCCCTTCGTTGCCGAGAACAACTCCTCATATGGAAAGTAAAGCCCCTTCAGGAGCTTAGCCCACAAGGCATCGGGGTTATCAAAAATTTCTTTGTACGACTACAACCATAATGTCTCATTCTGGCCCAAGAGGACATTCACTCTTGGTGAATAAGTAAAAGTTAAAAAATATATATGAGTGGAGCTAAAAATAGGTAAATGGTTGCAAAACCCAACTTGGAGACTTACAAACGCACGTTAGAACTTGTGGTTGGTCGAGATAAACTCCACCCAACAATTTGAGCGGATCCATTTTATCTGACCTGTTTTTACCTGTTTAGTGCAAGTAATATATGCTCAGCAAGTAGAGAGGGTTGGGGCGGTTATGAGTATTTTTTCCGATCTGATTTGTTATGACACACTTCATTCTCGACCCATTTATTACCTATATAGATGACAACGTCAATTTTCTAATAATTTAGCTAATTTTTTTTGTTTCTCAATGTAATAAAAAATGAATATTTGTATTGTTTTTCTTATAAATTACATAACAATATGAGTTGATCTGCCCAGACTCGTGCTATGTGATAAATTACTTGACATGTACTCGATTTGTCATAGGGCGTGTATGGATATCGAGATACTCGCCCCATACCACCTATATAATCCCGTTTTTCCCCCTTTTTTAGAAAATTTAAACTACTGCTTATTTAAATTCTACTTATTAATAACTCCATAGTCGTTAGACTGGATCCGTTACTTTTGCTTATGACTTGAACTATGAAGCTAAACGGAAATTCCTAACCTTCTTTTGGGGGTTTCCATTGAAAAATTGGGAGGAGAATGATGATAAATGATATTATTCAAGCCGTCATCTTAGATAATGTTGAATTGGCAACCAAATTCTCCGTCAACAAAAACTCATCATCGTACACTTCTCCACGGCAAATCAAAGAAGTGAATGGTAAGTAAGCCTTTTATTATCACCCTCGCCGTCGCCGGACAAACATCCCCTTTGGCCGTAGACGATTGACGCGACTTTTAGGCCATACGTTAATAATTAACCATCTAACACCTTTTGTCTCTATAAAGTTGGCCGCCGGCGGCCACCCCAACGAAGGTTCTGCTTCTATGAACAGCTTGATGAAAGAAGAGTTTGACAATAGTGAAACGCTACAACGGCGAAAGTTCAATTATTGCATCCCATCATGACTTTGTAAGAAAATGGTTAACATTCATCTATTAGAGCTCTCCCAATAACTATTGAAATTATTTGGTTTATGATACGATATTAGAACTGGTTTGATCATGAAGTTGGCTTTTCGTTCGAGAGAAAGTGTAAGAAAGTGGTTAATATCTATACATACACCTTTCTCAACAACAACTCAAATTATTGAGACCAATTCATTCAAAAAAAAACTATCCTATTTTTATTAGATATATTCGATGGATTTACGAGAGTTGGCGATTCGAGCGTGTCGGTACAACCTTATGTTTTATACTAGTAATAACCTAGAGTATATAGTAAACTGGAATTAAACAGAACTCAGAGACCAATTCCCTAACCATGGTTCACACTAACCTGAACATGCTGGCCCCTCACGGTTTTGGTTAATCTAACTTCAAAAAGTTAAATTCGATCACACGATTGCTGTTTCGGACTTCAAAGCATAATATATGGTCGACCTGAATTCGTTTGCCATTATTTCTTGGTTAATTTACAATCTCGACCAATGGATACACTCACCTTGTAATCCATTGGATACACTCAACCCGTAAATTCACATCCGTACACGAATGAAATCAACTTGGTTCGGTTTCCATTAATCGAGCACAAGACATTAAAAACCAACCACTTATTTTTTGTATTTTTCATGATAGGGAAACCCACTTGGTGATTAGATAGCGATATGCCTTTTTTTTCTTTTGCTCCTTGTTTGGCGGAATTTGGCAAAGGATTGAGGTAATCTATTATAGTGGTGGAGATAGTCCCCAATATTAATGATCATTCAATTGGATACGTTGGCTCACATGCGTGATTGAGATTGAACTTCGCCGGTCAAGGTTATTGAAATAGGAGCCCAGCAAATTAAACTTCAGACAAACTTCCTAGCTGGGGTGATAAATGCTGATAGGCATGACAATTTTCATGACTCAGCTGGTATTGGGTCACATTCAAAGGGATTCAAATGGGCTTTTAATAATTTTGAGCTTGAGTTGGTTATCAATTAAGTCTAATTTGGGTGACCTCATTTGGACCCGATCTCAACGGGTTTATTTGGATCCAGATGAACGTACATAAAAAAGATAATATCGATCATATCAACTGTCTTCAATCCAATTGCACTTTTAGTATATGGTTGTTTCCATCTTTCTGGTTGTTTCATAACAAAAATAATAATAATTCAAAAAATGCTTTGGAATCGGGTATTTATTTTCTTTTGAGTATCCAATGACATGAGTTCAATTTTTTTTTTTAACAGGAGACATGAGTCCAATTTAGATCCAACTATACCTTTAATGTTGGGTTTCCACGCATTTTTATTTGTTTTATAATAAAAATAGCACGAAAACTGCCTTGGAATCATATATATTCATTTTCTTTTGGGTATCCAATAATATAAATTTAATTGAAACCCATAAAATATTTCTTATGATTCTGTTCGAAAAGGAAAATTACTCAAATATGATTTAACCCATAATAAATCGGGGTTTTGGAAAATACCCAAATATTGAGCCTTTTTTGCAACCCATGCCCGAGACAACCTGGTGGTCATTATTACATCTTCGTTGCTAAAAACTCTTTCCCCAGTTTCCCATGGTGCGTGAATGCGACAATGTGTCCACCTAACCACTTCCGTCGCTAAAAAAGAGTTATGGATATCAGTCAGTCCTCAGAACGACGACCACCACACCATCCTGAAAAATCAGTCAGTCGAGAGCTTATTATTGCTCTGCTTGTACTCCCCAATGCAACAGCAAAAAAAGCAGATTCCTGGAAGTTTGTCATATTGGCTCAATGGGCTAGCAGCTGCTTCTTCTTATCAATTGTCAGCTGTCACTCAGAGATACTAAATCAAATTTCCAGCTGCTGGTATTGCCCCTGTATGCACAGACAAAACAAAATGCTTAAAAAGCTTAAAGTTGTCACCTTTATTCACAGTAGCTCTCTCTTTTTAGTAATAATAATGGCAAGAACTAGAACCCTAGAACGACATAGCACAGTACGCACCACAACCTTTTCCTTTCTGAAAGGAACCCAACTGTAGTACAATCAATGACAACCACCGAGCTAGCTAGCTAGGGTTGGGCCCATTCAGATAACAAGGAGGGTTGGTACGGGCCGGGTTTGTTCTCGCGTTCGAGCTATGTTTGTTTCTCGAATCGTGTTATCGTCGGGGTCTCGTGGTGATTGGATTGTGTGTGTCTGATGGACTGTGTACTGTCGAGGACGTATCGAGCGAGTATCTGCGTGTGTGGGAGCTGTGGTGTTGATAATCTTCGAGAGGCCTGCAGCAAGAGGAGGATTTCCTTGTCGCAAAAGAAACTAATTGGTAAGTAACATTAATTAACGTATGTACGTACATGGAGTTGATGGGTACTAGTGGTGGTCGGGCTACTTGTACAGTAGGGTTTCCCATCTTCTCGATTGTAGCTAAAAAAATACACGTAAAATTCATAACAAATCAAGGCAATAGTACTATGTTCAGCGAGATTTCGATTTCGTTTACTAGTTCACATACTACGTTCAAATCTATTAAATTTTATTATTATTATTATTATTATTATTATTATTATATTTCTTCATTCAGATTTCTAACTCCGTACTAGCTTAAAAAATATATATTTTGGGTTGGTGAAATGCATGCATGCCCGCATTGAAAACGAGAATGTGCGGCTATCGTTAGCGTTGGGTTTGTATGGGCCTATCAACACACACTTTTAAGGCCCAGATGTTGTGGGCCAGTCTACAATCTGCCCGGGCAGAAAATAGCCCAAGGTAAGGGGGCCGTGGACCTGGACCATTTGATTTTCCAAATGATTGGGCGGGGAAAGGCATTTCTCAAAGGCTTTCATGATCCGTAGCATTGTTGTCTGTTGATTTAGTACATGATTTGTTTGATAAATTTTGATTTACGCACATGGTAAATTCAATATATTGTCTTTTTACGATCTAATATGTTACAAAGTGGGGAAAAAGATTGATTTCTTTAGGTTCAAGTGGGCGAGTTGGTTAGAGTGGTTGTGTCGTCGAATTTGAAACTTACATATTCTAATTTTAAGGTATGTAACGTGCAGATTTGTAAGCTATTTTCTTTAATTCGTCGTTGATTGAAGCATCCAAGTAGTACACTTTAACTCATTCTTGATTTGATTCAGTTAAGTATCATAATGTCTTTTGAAAGGATCAAATTAAACTTGTGTTCTATAAGTCTTATCAAGGCATGCATTTATAGTGAAAACATCGCAACTGAGATACTTGAAAGAACATAGTGAAATACGAAGGAAAAAAAAACATATCCAACTAGTATATCTTTCACGATAAAATCAACCAGAGATCATCGTTTATTAGTGAATTATATCGCTACAATACTTGTCATCAAGATGTGCATAGATCCAAAAGGAAATATAAGTATCATATTCACCTCTCTTTTCTACATACGATTGAAGGGGGATTTACGGGAGAGAAAAAAAAAATCAACGATAAAATCGTTAGACCAAATCCGTTGTTCGTACTACCTATTGAGTTTGCATCGCTATACTTTCCTCCACACAAACTTATAACTAATCAACACCAAACGCACTTTCAAATCCCAAGTTATGGGCGACAATGTAATTAGGACTTGAATTAGAAGGCGTCGAAGAAGATCGACATGACAACTGCAACGGCAAGCCGTCCGGCCAACGACGAGAGGCAAGGGGCAACCATCATGGAGGAAGCCGGCGCCGCGTTCTTCTTCCCGCCGGCCCGTGGCCGGAGGAGATCTCCGCCGCCGTATGAGCCCTTCGCTCGTCTTTCCACGACGTCGCTAATCCTTTCGTCACCATCCACAACTTCTATTTGTGAACAGAAAGGGCAACAAACGAGCGGATTATCAAACCGGTGTACAATGAGGTATATATTTGTCTGAGCCGACGTAGAAACACTATGTTACGTTACTGAACCATGTACAAAGTTTCCAAAAAACCGATCGATTTTGAATAACGTGTAACGATGGCTTGACATCTCGTCGAGATGAAACTAATATGCAATTAGTTGAACTTGATTAATTACTTACTTACCCTTGGTGGTTACTTGAAGATGATGGTGGGAAGAGGAATAATGACTTTGGTGATCGTCATGAGAAGCACAAAGTGCCAATGAGAGGCAAACAATGGTGATGATGAAGAAGATAAGCTTTGTAACTGGTCTACTGATCACCATGATTGCCTCCTAGCTAGCTTGGTTCTTGTGGAATTGGAGATTAATCGAATATAATTGAGAGATCTATGACGTCAAAGAAGTCGTTAATTACTCTATATATAAGGTTCGTAAAAGTCACTTGTACTGATAATAAAAGGGTTAATTAACAAGCAATCTTAAGATTCTGATTTGGATTTGACAATTAAGTATACTAATCCACCGTTGAAAGACAAAGAAACCGAAAGTTAACAAAGGTTAAGTGGCCGGGTTAGCGACGTATCTTGTCATCGCCAACACACATTTACATGTGGTCCAAAATTAATCCATGTTAGAAAAGAATAGTTGTGTGAAATCATATTGGAGATTGTATCATAGGTTGGTGGATGGTATTTTAGTGGAACAATAGTGGTGTTGATGATAGGAGTTGAATCAGATTATATGTCGTTGACTGGAAGTAAGAGCTTATAGCCTTGTACACGTTTACTTTTTTGTTTTGGGTCTGGTTTGTAACATTTTCTTTATTATATTGGATTAGAGGTTAGGTCGTCTGGAGAAGTACTATATATAATTCTCAATCGCTTTGTAATATGTATCTCCTCAAGTATAGTAAAACAGGCTCTCTCTCCTGTCTGTGGACTAGCTAACACACGTTGTGTTAGTGAATCACGTAAATCTGTGTGTTTCTTTACTTTCTTACCGTGTTGATTTCCCAATCCGTTCTAACAAGTGGTTTAATAGGTAATATACATATAGAATATCACTATTAAAATAATTCTAATAAAATAAGATTATATATTCAAACAATAATGTACCATCTTCATAATAGCAGATACCTATTTTTCTTATATTTTTGTGTGCATCGTACCGATCGAAGTATCACATAATCATGAGATCAACAAGTGTTCAAATTCTTTGCCTCGTTCGTACAAATTTAGATTACGATAAACGAGTTTTCGTGATCGATACGATAAAGTATCACGAAATCATCAAATTCTAATTTCCAAATTGGCTGCCTCCTCCTTTGGCCAGCTTTCGGTTGTGGGTATAATTCAACTGTGTAATAAAGGCGAATCCTTAATGCCCATATATGCATCGTCAGTGGTTGGTTTCATTTCACTTCAACTGTGTAAATAAAGGAATCTGAACTAAATAACTGGCAACCTTTTTTTCATGGTTCCTGATTAATTTATTATTTACGTGCAAGCAAATGAGAGACAACGAATCTGATTCCATGTCATTACGTAAACAATAATAATTGATATTCCTGTCTTTACACTTTTTACATGTGGATGGCAGAGCAGCAGCAGCTTTCCAGGCTAGTTGAACAGATCGTGGAGGAGCTGCTGGTTGAGCTTCTGGAACGACGAAACTCGACACACTTGCTTCGCCAGTTCGTTGGCGACTCGATCCATGTAGAGAACATAAAGCCCATGTCTGCACTCGAGAAGCTGCAGTGCTTTCCTGGCATGGAGAAAGGATGTCACCCATCCTTCCATTAGCCCTGCATCAATGGCATTACAAGTTTGTTCATTCTCAATTCGTCGAAATTGGAAGCATTAGGGTCGGAATATGTACTGTACCATGATCAAATCCTTCAATGCTTGACCAGGCTTGCAAGTGATCCGATATCAGAAACTCAACCAGCTGGATCCTATCACAAACACAAGAGAGTTGTTACATTGTGATAGCAATGCCGGTTCTTTCGAGCAATGAAGAAAGAGCATCAGAAATTGGGTAAATGGTTGAAGGATAGTAGAATGGAGTGTACATAATGAATAGAGACTGGTGAATGTTTGGGAATGTATCGTCGAATGGATCCATGCAGAGCAAGTTCCCAGCTGTTGTGGATATCCTTTCACAAACTGAAAGAAGTGTGCGCTGTCCGATGAAGGGTTCACCTCCCAGCTTTCGCAGCAAGTGCTGGACTCGAGGCCGGTGATCAATGGCTACGCAATTGGAGTCTGGAATATAGGATAAGAAAATGAGTGATCCAAAGATGCAGAACATGGAGAAATCAAGGTCGTACGTTAATAAGATTGAGTTTGAACCCAGGAATGAAAGCCAAGAAGAGGTTACCATCTCGATGTGCAGGGCAACAGATCCTTCTCAGCAAACGAACTATTAGGCTAGTAACAATCCCTTCAACAACTTCCATGTTCTCCCCCACTGGTAATATCTTCCTAAGCGACTCTACATTCACAAAGGCGTTTGAGCTACCCTTTCTTAAGATCTAAGATGAATTTCTAGCAAACAAGAGGTACCATTTACAGGCATCAGTACCTAGAATGGAGTCAACAGCCTGGTGAGACCAGTTGGCGAAATTGGCCTCCTCCATCTGCAAATTTCAGAGATAGCATGTGCACTGAGAGATGAAACCCATGAACAAGTTCATATCAAAGCTATAAGCAAAAGTGTTCCTACAGGAGAAGCAGTGCCATCGCAGAGCTCAACAAGGAAATCAACGGAAGCCCTAAGCTGATCCACTTCATTTTCACTGCTCAACTCTGCAATCAGGAACAAAACCCTCAATCAACATTCCAAAAATCCCACATTCCGCAACCACGAATATGGCGGTGGCTTTCAATTCGACCAATTGGAAGCAAGGATGGTACCTGGAAAGCGCAATCTCAGACTCGGATCGTCTCTATTTCGCCGCCTTTGCTTCATCCTCACTGCAGCTTGAGCGAACAGCACCCATATGAGCACATGACAACAAGATGACGAGAGGTCTATAAGTGTATGAACTATTAGGCAGTGAGGAAATCGACCTTGTCTGAAGAACCGGCGACGGATTACATCGTCGAATCTAGAAACGGATCCGTCTCCGGCGCCCTCGAAGCGTAGTTTTCCCACATCGTCAAAGAAGTAGCACTTGCAAACGGCGGTTTGGGGAAACAGATCGCACTGAGAAGAAGCGTCTAAAAAAGTACCCCAAAAAAGGAAGAAATTCTCTATTCAAGGATTCTCAAGCTGGAATTTCCTCTCCAGGAAGAAGAAGAAGGAGATCGTAAAAAAAAAAAAAAAAACCTTCTGCTTCCTTGAGATCCTCTCTCAATCGAACAATCTCCTGCTTCCGATCCTTCGCCTAATCAAAATTCAAAACCACAGAGTCCACCATCACCACCACCAATCAAACGGCGCAAACCAAAGCAAATTCGGCTCAATTGAACTGACACAATCTTCAGAGAACCAGAAATTTGATCGGCTCAATCCATCCGAGAGAGTTTACCTTACGCTTCCAGCGAAGGGCGTCAGATCCAGAAGAAGCATCCGGCTGCGGCGGAGGAGGTCTTTTATGAAGGAGCTTCGACTGGAGAAGAGAGATCGCTACGGCGAGCTTCAGTTGTTCCTCGCTCGACGGTCGGTTCGCCGTCGGCTCGTTCGCAGCCATTCTCTGGAGTGTTCGAAAATCGGGCGGGAACTCTCTTCTTTTCGAAACTCCATTGTTTGTCTCCATGTTTTTGGTTTTCTTTCTTCGCCTCTCCCCCCTAGCTAAATGAAGGCTGGGCTAGAGGAAATGTTGGGCCGGCTTTTTTTCTGTTTCAAATAGTCCATGAACAAAGAAAGGTGGCCCAATCTACAATGAAGAAATAGCCCGCCTTGGAGTAGGGTTTGGCATATGGTTTGTGAATTCCTACTATAACACAATCGGACCACAAAAAGCCGCCTAGGAATAGGGTTGTTAATGAATCAAATCGCTCACGAACGGTTCGGCGTCCAACTTGAGAAAAATTTGTTCAAACACTCAACTTGTATTTAATTGAGATGGCTCGCGAACAAGCTCGTCTGTAAACGAGCGAAGCTCGAGCCATTTTATGTTCAGCTCGATAGGCTCGTGAGCAAGTTCGAAAGCCTTTAAGTGTTTGTTGTTGGTGTCCTGCGAGCCAAGTTCACGCTTTAGATTGCCCTACAAGCGACATTTTATGAGCTAAACACGATTTGTGCTCATTAAGTTTATTTGGTTGGCCAACACGATTCGAACTCAGATTTTTGTTAAATGAGCCCAGCTCGAACTTGCCTATTAAAATTTAAAACTCACCTCGAGTTTAGAATTATTTTAACGAGTCGAGCTCGAACCATAACAACGCTTGGCTCAGCTCGAATCATTAACAATCATAATTAGGAACAATTGGTATGATACACTCTACGAATTAATACCATTGCTAGTAAAATATGATACACCTAAATTATGATATTAGTTACAAACAAGGTTCCTTATAGCACCAAAAACGGAACCATCAAATTCCTTAACAAATATCCCATATGACATTATGACCAAATTTTCAAAAATATACAACTAAAAACAATTGCAAAATTATCAAAAATTAGAAGGAAAACTTCTGACCTGTTCTTCAAAAGAGAGAGACTTCACCCGCCTTATGAAAAATAGTACAAAAAGGTTCTTTTTTTGCTTGCCTCACAGCAAAAGAAGAAAAAGGAAATAAGAAGAAAAAAAGGTTTGTAGTGTTTTCTCCAGACTGAGCCACAAAAACAGAACCAGTTCTTCCACCATTCATAATCATCATCACTAAAACAAACTCTGGCAAGCCTCGACATCCGCGGATTGTGAGTCCAGTATACCTTGGTTGCTCGATTTCACGGTCCTAACCGCTGCCTCGAGCACCAGCTTCTGGTACATGTCATCCTCCATCTTCTTCAGCATATCGTGCACGGCCTTGAAGTCCAGAACCCCGGCCAAGATGAGCTTCCCTACGATCTCCCCAAAGTTGGGTGGCGCTCTTGGCAGGTCAATCCCGATGTCGTCCAGCATTGTCGCGTAGAGCATGCATCCGGAGGAGATGTCACGACTCGCGAGCACCTTCTTGGATGAGAGATACTCGAGGAGCTTGAATGTGGGTTCCACGCAGGGAGGGTTCTCTTCTAGGCCGAGGGCTATGGCTTCCTTGACGAATTCACAGTGGTACCCGGGGGAGTTGAGCTCCTCGACGCACTGCAAGGCTTCGTCGAGGAGTCGGATGCTGAAGTACTCCTTCAGGATCGAGACAGTCTTTTTCCTCAGCTCTTCGACGTTCATGGTCATTTTTCCAGCTGATGATACAGGAGCAGGAGTGACAGCAGGCGCAGCAGGAGCAACAGCTGGCTTCTCAGTGAATGCTGGCTTCTCAGTGGCAGGAGAAGGCCCACCAAGTCCTTGGAGGAGGGCGCTGCTTTTGCCGCTGATGAATCCACCGCTGCCTTGAGGTAAGAATTTGGTGTTCATAGAAGTCGACTTATTGAACATCTGGGATGGTTGAACAGTTCGAGGCTGAGCATTCGAGGGTTCACCCCTTGGCATGGATCTGGTTCTCGCCATCTCCCAGTTATTGGCGTCAATCCCAGGCATACCAGGCATTCTCCTTGCTCCAGGCATTCCAGGCATCATGCCTCCTGTCCCGGGTCGGTTAATGGGGAAGCCACCAGGCCCACTAGGGCCGGACCCCGGAGAGATGATGCCTCCACCTCCGCCTCCGCCTCCACGGCTTATGTTTCTCATGCTCCCTGGACGCAACCCTAGATTCTTCTCAGCCTCTGAATGGATCTCGGTGATGGTTTTAGCTTTCACCTGGGGAGATGAGGATCCAATGATTAGGGCAAAAAGATTTGGAAGGGGGGACACCAATGGGCGAAGAAAATTGAGAGTAGAAAATCAAAGCTTACCTCCTCACGCCTGGGAACCCAGTTGTTGGATCGGAGATCGAGAACATCCTTAACCATGAACCTCAAACGAGCAGCCAACTGAGAATTCGACGACAGCTCTTTCAAACGTTTCATGTACACGTCGTTAATCCGCCGTGATTTAGGGCTCTCATCGAGCTGCTTCCCGATAGTGTTGAAGAACTGGCAGATCGCTTCAACGTTTTCCTCTTCCGGACAGACTTTGCTGTCAGGGCCCAGAAGCTCCTGCATCATCCAATGAGAAACAGAATAAGCAAATGGCAAAACGTGTAAAATCATTTCCAACTTGGCTAAAGAAAAAGCTTAAAAGAATGAATACTAACCTGAACAATGTGATGAACAATCTTCTCAGGGACCATCTTCTGCTTCAAGAGCTCACCGATCAAGCGAATATTTCCAAGCGTACGAAGCTTCACCATCCTTTCCTTATCCTTGCGCTCTAGCTCTTGATCAGGAGCTGTCATTTCCCTCACTTCTTGCCTCAGCTTATCAGCGCCCTCGAATGCCTCTTGGCAGTTGTTCAAGAGGACTCTCTTGAAGGTTATTTCTTTGCCACCGGGCTCATCAGAGGGAAATGGAGGAAGCTTTTCATTGAGATCGGAGCATAGCAGCGCGTACATGGGGCAGAATGTGGGCTCCAGCACGGCTTTTTCGAATATGAGAGAGATCACCCCCTGCATCAAAGGAAGGTCACATTGATAAATAAAAAGTGAAAACAACTTTTTGACATTTCAGGGTGAAGAACTCTGGAGGAACACACACACCTTCAGGATATCGGCTGATGTGATGCCTGAGTCGATGAGTTGGCCTTTGAGAAGGTCGAACTTTTCTGGGGTAAGTTTGTTGAGAATACTGCAACAGCAATATGAATCAGTAACCCGAAAACCACAAAGACTAATAGATCGGAACTATCGAGGGCGGGTATTCCTGATACCATGTATTGGTTGCTGCAAGGGAAAATAAAGAAAAGAACGAAGTCGGAAATATAAAATTAGGAAGAGGGAGGGCGGGGCAGGATTGGGGAGAGACACATGTGCTATGCATGCTGCCCTGTCCTATTTACGGGTCAGGGCACAACCTACTACTCAGAAACAGAGAACCCGCCCCAGGTCGGGTTGAGGAAACCTAACGCATCGTGCTCAGAAAGTCAACCCTACAGCATACGCAGAGTAACAACGAGAATAAGATCTGGGGGAGAGCAGTTACCCTTTGACGGTCTTCAAGACACGATCTTTATCAGAAAGGGTGCCTCGCCTAGCTGACCATGGCACCTCGGCCTTGACTAAGGCGGGAGTAGGACCACCCTGGTCAACAAAACAAGAAAGTCAAAATCAATTGATAAGCAAATGATACATGAAACATCGAGGAAACTGGAGTGAAGAACTTGAAATTAACAAATCAGACAGTTTCGAGGAGAACATCTTAGATCATCTAACACTAGATGAAAACAGTGAATATCAATGTCTGTCAATAAATCTCAGAAAGTCATGATTTCGTTATCCTTGGAGCAAAGAATCTATGTGCTATCTTATGCGTGTATACAAGAACTGGAAAAAATAAAGAAGCTAATACAAGTACACAAACAAAATTACCGATTGATTTGGGCGGACAAATTGGGAATTGGGCTGATCCTGACGATTGAATTGGTTTCCATCGAGTGGCCTGGAGTCATTCCGAGGCACGAAGTCTCTGTCTTTAAGTGAGTCCCAGGACCTCTCTTCCACAGGAGTAGGACCAGGAATTGGGGTGGTGGTACGGGTTCGCCAGTCACGATTGTCTGGCTCGGAATAGCGATTCTGGGGTGGCTGAGTTGGTGAGGGCTGGATACACAAAAAAGGAACATAATGAAGAAACAGTCATATGCTTGGAAAACCTCTGATATTTTTCAAGCTTTTTAGTGTCATCCTGACTAGTAAGATAAGAGGTAAAGAGGACTTACATTACTTTCTGCTGCACGAGTCCAGCTTTGATCTTCACCGAAAAGCTCAGTTTCAATTTCCCGTTTGATTTTCAGAAGCTCCTCCGGGATTGTAACAATAGCCTATAGGTAAAAAGTATATTTCAAATATCGATTACCAGAATCAATTAGGAACAGGAACATATATCCAGCCACAATAAAACCAAGAACCTATAAACTGAAGACAGCAGAAAAGGGGAGAACCAAGTGAACAAAGATATATATATACCTCTCTTAGCTGCAGAAGCTGGTCCCTGGTGTACTTCACCCTCTCACGGGCCTCGAAGCGTGAGTCACCAGCCTGAACAACAAGGAGCAAAGTCAATAACTTGCACCGACCATAGATGAATTCAGACTATCTTGACAAGTAAAAACAAGCATTACAAACATGAATGCCTAAAATTACTAAACACCAAACTGCAGTTACCTTTGGCCTGCAAACTGCAGATCCCTAAAAGCTACCTAAGGTCGACATCTGAGGAAGTAGAACTCTCTACAATTATCCCTCTCGTTGAAAACCTTACAAATTTAACTAATCAGTTCGGTCCGACAGAAAAAACTGAGTCAATGACACAAAAATTCAGAAAAAAGGGGGAAAAAAACTACAGTCCACTAAAAAATACAAGTCTAACCTTCCACCCACCAGACACCTAAATAAAGCACTAGTTCAAGTAGCCTTTGCCTGCATTAAACCCCCAACACAATCCACCCTCTCTCTGAAACCCTTACATCAAACTACTCAGTTTGATTCAATTACATGCTACACTAACAACTACATTCCACTAAGTCTTGACTTCCTCTCGCCTAAAAGCCTACATAATAAAGCACCAGCTCGAGTTGCCGGAGCAGTACTTTGCAAGCGGCTGCCATTGGCTTAGAACTGCAAATCCTAATAGCCACCACCTAAGGTAACAACACCAGTGATTAAAAAAACTAAAAACAACTCCCGCTTCCCTTGAAGCCCCTACATTAAAGTACTCAGTTGGATTCAATTCCCTACAGAATCCAACGCAAACATCATAAATTACATCCAAGAACACAACTTTTTATCCACAGACATGAATGCACACAAGCCCAGTAGCCCAAAAATCCTACGCAATTCGTTCTAGCCAGATTAATCGATTCTCCCAAGAGAACAACCCACAGAAATTAGACAGGAGAAGAAAAAAAACAATTCCAGATCCAATACAGTTCGTATAACCAATCGAAATCACAGGAGCAATCCATTCGAACGGAAACAGCAAAAGGGGCTCCAGATCCAAACACGGGCAAGGCCAAAGACTGAACCTTTAGGGCAGAGGCGCCGCCATGAGGACGAAGGAACGAGAGATCGCCGAAGGAAATAGCGGTGGCGGCGGCTCCAGATGAATTGCTGTTGCTGCCAGGAATCAGAGAAGAAGAAGACTGGTTGAAGAGTCTGCTGCTTCCACGACCACCACCAGGCCTCAAGCTCAACACCGTCTGATCACCTTGCTGCATACCTCGATTGAATCTCCGTCGTCTGATGAAAGGAAAAACGCACACACCCTCTTTTTTATTCCCGTTCGCTCCGTTCGATTCAGCTGGAGCTGAACCAGGTGGAATCAAAGCGAAGATTTCTCTGACAAACTAGATTTCGTTGCGATTGGGTTCGGGATAGGGGGGAAGAGGCTTTCCGCTCTTCGCTTGTTCTGTAGTTCGTGGGGTTGGTTTTCTCTCTCTTCTGCGGCGAAGAGAGGGAAGAATGCGAGCTTATGAGAGAGGGAGGCCGGTGGAGATAAAAAGGGCCCAAACCCTTCTTAAAAAAGAGAGAAGCTTTGTTTCTCTTCTGGTTTTTCTTTGCCCTTTCCGACTTTGATTTGGTTTCACATTTTCACCTCGGATTTGGATTTGGGAGGTGATTTTTTTTCTTACTTCCAAGTCCTAGGTGGTCGTGGATGAATTTTGTACGCCAATAAAATTGTGCATTGATAAAATATATGATGGTAATAAATATGTAATAACGTTATGTTTACTCTTTTTTTTTTTCAATGAGTTTCATTCATATTAATTACAAATTTTATTGTGTCTTATGTTTAGCTAAGCGTGTTTTTGCATGGCTTACATGTCATATGTATGATGGAAAGTTCAGATCTTTGCTCTCGATTCAACTAACGAACAAAAGGAAATCATGCACATCACGTACCGGAGTAGGAACTCGATTCAACTAACGAACAAAAGGAAATCATGCACATCACGTACTGGAGTAGGAAAGCCTGATCACCTTCACTATGTAAGGGATCATGTATGAAGTTGGTTAGTTAACGAACCGACGATGGGTATGGTAGAGACTGTAGTGTTATTATACGAACAACTCTAGTTGCACCATGACGAGAAACTTAGTGATGGGAGGGGTGATAAGAAATTCATTGGCCTCACAAGTGACAACTCAATCATGTTGGGCTATCACTAGGAAAGAAAAATAGCTAGGCATCGTTGCTTCAATTGTATTACCTTCAACCATCTCTTCTTATAACCTTCATTGGTGTTGGAGAAGTTTATGCTCCCAAAGCGTCATAAGCTTGATGGCTAACATATTATTCCGTGTTTATAGAAATATATCATTATCTTTTCGAAATGCCCAAATAAGATAAATAGTTAAGCAAAATTTTGTTATGGTATACATAGCTTGAATCTATCTCGTATTGTTGGATATTGATGTACTTTACCTTGAAAGGAAAAAATATAACATATCGTGTTAAGTTGGGATTAGGTTAAGTTGGGATTAATCACCTAGTGGCTATGGATTTTTTAAAAAAATGACAATATTGAAATTGAATTACGAAATCTCACCTACTTTACGTGATATTTCGAAATCCATTAATATTTACATTCAAAAGTTGATTTAACGACAAAACATACCACAAAATGTCTTAAAACTTTAAAGCATTTTGGACTATGTGTAAGTTATTCGTCAACGAGATCTGAATCAATAAAACATTGTAAGTTGAGTCAAATTCACAATTCAATCGATATGCTATGAATAATGAACTATAACTTAATTCGTACGTACTTTATATGTATTGTATAATATACCCTACGGTGCTCCTCGACCACTTCGTACTAGCCAACATCTCATGTCAACCTATTGTTATGTGTTGACAGAAAGAAAACACGAAGACGAAAACCAACAAACTGACAGCAGTAGTCAAATACGACACAATACTTAACTAACACAATTCGTTTTTCACCAATATGCTAAATCGTAACCTAATTTAAGCACAAAACGATGTTCAACTAAAAGTTCACCCATATTGGGATCATGTATGATTCTTGGAAGATGACAAATACAACTCATTTTCAACACTCGTGAATAATTATACGATGGTTGATCACTTTCTTTTTTAGCTATGAGGTCAGAAATTTGATCACTACCTATTGGAATAGAATCACTCCATAACCAACTATTTACCACTTCACGTAATCACATGGGCCAGAAAACAATGGGCTTCAATATGAAGTAGCCGAACGAATGGGCCCTCAAAATAGGAGAGAAGCCCAGCCCGCAGTCACCATCAGAAAATTTCCCTCGCTCGCTGCTGTTACACTCAGACGGATCATCAAAATCGTGGATAAGGAAATTCGGTCGCTGCTCATCCGCCAGTCTCGCCGGTCGAAAAAAACTCCGCCGCCGTGGTAGCCATGGCTGGAATTACCAGCACGGGCAGATTTCCCTTCACGCCCCTCCCTACCGCCGGGAAATCGGCCACTCCCTTGTCTTCCCTCGACTCCAAGCTCTTCGGCATCAGGTTCCATTGCTCCCCTCTGTGCCGAGCAGAGTCACTAATCTCCTCTCCCAGGACATTCCCTGGCTCCGCCGTGGTCACTGCCCGTTACGGCGGCGGGGGAGGAGGCGGAGGCAACCGTTCGCGGCAGAGCGAGCCTGATGATGAACAGGCTCTTGACATTTCTGCAGTTCGGTAATTGTTTGTCAGATTGAAGTGGGGTTTCGTTGTTCGTGAAAAGAATGTCCGAAGGGTTATGTGAATGTAAGACTGTGTTTTGTGTTTGTGACAGGTCTGCTACTGTGAGGCTCATCGACCAGAAGCAAAATATGGTTAGTTTTTTTTTTTTGTTGATCATTTGATTTGTTGTAAGTTCATTTGCTGGAATTGCATTTTCCATAGAAAGAAAGTTGTTTGAATAGATTTATGTAAGAGTTAGTTGGTGTTAATGAACATGTGTAGGTTGGGGTGGTATCGAAAAGTGAAGCTATTCGGATGGCTGAAGAAGCTGAGCTTGATTTGGTATGTTCTGATTTAGAAGAAAAGAAGCTGCCTTTTTCCTCATTATATTCAACACCGTTCTTGAATTTGATCATTCTTGTGGTGGTGGTGGTTATAGGTTGTGCTGTCTCCAGAAGCAGATCCTCCGGTCCTCAGAATCATGGATTACAAGTGTGTACTCTTTTGATTTTTTTTTTGTTCATTTGATGAATGAAACGAAATGCTAATTTGGTGTCATTGAGGTTGGAATTATAGGTTCGTCAAGCTGTTAGGTGTGTTTGAGAATTTAGAGCCACTTTGGACTTCAGTTAGTAACAGTGCATCTTCGTAGTACTCAACATTTTTGGTTGCGGGAGAAATTTCAATATAAGTTAGAGGGTTTTGTCAGGATTCGTCGTTGCTATGATGAAGTTTCATACCTTCAATATTGTTCTGTGGGTAGGGATTGTTTCCTTATTGTCAAAGTAGTTTAATGACGAAAATGTTGAGTGCACATTGAAAGTTGTATGGAAAATAAAGATGTTAGCTTTGTAGGAGGGAGGGGGTTGAGAATGCTGTACGTTCAAACTTCTCGACGATAACAAGTCATTTGGTGAATTGGTACAGGAACTGAATTAAATAATACTCTTCTGTTTGTCTCCAGCAAATATAGATATGAACAACAAAAGAAGAAGAAAGATCAGCAGAAGAAAAGTGCAGGTGAATCTCTATTCTGATAAGATATTTGGCTGAACTTTTTCTGATTGATTTATAAAGCCTTTGGCATAGGTTTGATCTTAAATTTCTGACCAAATTGTGTACCTTCCCTGGTAATTGCAGCGAGTCGAATGGATCTGAAGGAGCTTAAGATGGGGTATGTTGCTCTTGAGATCTGTTCTTTGAATCATCAATGCCTACTTTTGCAAACCGTAGCATGTTAGCAACTTTGGGTACTTCAAAGGACCTGCATTTGTTGGTTCAAACTGCAAAGTGGAGGTGTTGATTTATCACTTTTATGAACTTTCTAAACAGTTATAGCATCGATCAACACGATTATGGTGTACGGCTGAAAGCGGCTAGAAAGTTTTTGCAAGATGGTGATAAGGTCCTCATCGTGTGTGTTGTATTCTCACCCATTCATTCTATTCTCATGTACATGATTTCTTACTGTTCCTGTGCTTTAAACTTCCCTCCTTTCAGGTTAAGGTGATCGTAAATTTGAAAGGTCGTGAAAATGAGTTCAGAAACATTGCCATCGAGCTTCTCAGACGTTTCCAGAATGATGTTGGGGAGGTATTCAGTTCTCCTTTTCTACTTCAATTCTATATTTCTTACAATGCTGCATCGTTTCTGTTATCTATTTCCCTAAAACGACTGTCTTTTCGGTTTGCAGCTGGCAACTGAGGAGAGCAAGAATTTGAGGGATAGAAACATATTCATTACTTTGGTTCCAAATAAGGCTATTCAACAAAAAGGTCAGGAACCTCCCAAGAAGAAAGATAAGCCATCTGCTGTAAATGAAGTGCCGGCCGTGTAAGTTAACAAGAAGGAAGAGTTTTTATCTATGAAGCAGAGGCTAAAAGGTGTATTGGAATCCATCTGCTGGGTGTAGAAAACTCAGCAACTGTACAGCTACTGTACCATAGCACAATTCGGATCAACTTGGTGAATGCAAGTGCATAACTTCCCAGAGAAAAAGAGAGGCTTTCGAAGCTTCCCTCCTTATAAAGTATCTTGGTGGTGGGTTGCTGGGCAGATAGTGGTTTCCATGGCTGACAGCTGAGGTTTCATCAAGGTTTTTCGTGATGCAATATGTTCATTAAGAAAAATGGTACAGTGGTGACATTCTCCCTTCCTTTGATTCGAACTGATAGGACTCTGAAAATGTACCAATGTACTCTGTGTACCATCTATCTCACATGCCTATGGCCCAATGTTAATCTTTCTCCATCAAAATCTGCTCATGTTAAATGGCCTGGATTAGAACAGGGTGCCAACATAGGCTTGTGACTCGTCGGGTATACCATATACGCTTTGTTAATGAGCGTTTGGTTCGGCGTATTTGAAAGTATGTCTGCCAATTTGTTCTGCACGTTGTTAGGTGATGTAATTTGAAAAACCGCGCGAGACTATACAATGCACTTCTTCGAACACCTCCTCGAACTATCGTTACATCTGCGAAATGTGATAGTTTAGTCACTGTAAGAGTAGGAGAAGATGATCCATCTGGATGGGGAGACTCCAACTCACTCAACCAACGAAATGACTTTCTGAGTTGAGAGTTTGGGAGCCACTGACTTGGCTTTGAAGTTGCTCCATCTCCCGTTAATATTGCCTCTCACACTTTCGGTTTCCCAGTTAGATCCACGTTGGGTTTTCTTGACAATACTGCTCCACAGCCTGGAAAGCAACCATTTCAACTCTGTTGGTAAAAGCTTTGTTTCCTCGATCTAGAGTTTCGAGATTCACCTTTACTTCGGCTAACAAATTTCTCACAAAAAGAAGAAGCATTTGGTTGACAGTGACACTCACCATAGCTGAAGCTGAATTCTACCAACACTTGTAATATGCGACTGGAATAAAGGAGCCGTAAGCCGTTGTGTGAAAGACGCTTAGCAGTAAAATAGAATGAGGGGAGAGAGGAACCGAATGTTAGTTGGCGCGAAAAGGAGAAAGAAAAAAGGAAAACAGCGGAAGCTTAACTTGACGGCAATGGCGACTCTGCAACCAACTGAAGAAACTCATCCAACATTAGGTGAGGAGCTGGAATTCCCCACATCCCTTTCACGCCTTAAAGAAACCCTCTGATAACATCCATTCCTCCTTGCAATCTTCATCTCCCATTCCACACACTTCCCTGGCTCGCCCTTGAAGTTGCCATGGAAGCCAATGCTGGACTGGTGGCAGGCTCCCACAACCGAAACGAGCTCGTCGTCATCCATGGCCACGAAGAGGTAAACAAAGATGGAAACTTTACTCAGTTGGGTCACTGGGAAGCTTGATTCTTTTCGGTTTGTTCTTCATGTAGTTCTGGTTCCCATTTTGTAGATTAAGCCACTGAAGAACCTGGATGGACAATTTTGTGAGATATGTGGCGACCAGATTGGGGTTACCGTCGAAGGAGACTTGTTCGTCGCTTGCGACGAATGTGGGTTCCCTGTCTGCAGGCCTTGCTATGAGTATGAACGAAGGGAAGGCACTCAGAACTGTCCTCAGTGCAAGACTCGCTACAAACGCCTAAGAGGTAAGTCAAACTGCAGAATATGATTGCTGCACGATTTGAATTCTGGAAATGCATAGACTGCTTAAGAACGAGATTAATAAGGAGAGTGATCATATAAAACACGAGCATTACGTGGTTCTGTTCGTGTACTTACGTCCAAGGAGTTGCTGTATATAAGCTGTTCTTCTGAGATTATTTGTGTCTATGTAGGGAGCGCCAGAGTCCCGGGAGACGAGGATGAAGAGGATGTCGATGATATTGAACACGAGTTCAATATTGAAGATGAGCAAGAGAGGACCAAGCATCTTACTGAGGCAATGCTTCATGGCAAGATGACGTATGGAAGAGGCCACGATGACGAGGAAAACAGCCAGTTCCCACCTGTGATAACAGGCATCAGATCAAGACCGGTAAATAAATCCAAGGAAACCCATTTGACTGGCCATTTGCTGGTTCTAAGTTGCAATGATAGAGAATTCTTCTGTTGGTTGATGGCCAGGTGAGCGGGGAGTTCCCAGTTGGAGCATATGGTGATCAGATGGCTTCTTCACTCCACAAGAGAATCCACCCATATCCTGTTTCAGAACCTGGTAAGCAAAAAGCTCTTCATATTCCCAAACAACATTCTGCTATAAACCGTAGCGGTAGGATTTCTTATAAAAACCTGCAAGAACAATAACCAGGGAGTGCAAGATGGGATGAAAAGAAGGAAGGAGGATGGAAAGACAGAATGGACGACTGGAAGTTGCAGCAGGGGAACTTGGGACCTGAACAAGAAGATGATATAGATGCATCCATGTAAATATAGATAAATATACATTCAATTTTTTCAACAATCTATGTCATATTTGAAGCTCAAAAGTAGTCCATGGCTGATAAATGCAGGGTCGATGAAGCAAGGCAGCCACTTTCAAGGAAAGTACCGATTGCTTCGAGCAAGATCAACCCTTACAGAATGATCATCGTGGCTCGTCTGGTCATCTTGGCCTTCTTCCTTCGCTATCGAATTCTTAACCCTGTTCATGATGCCATTGGCCTCTGGTTAACTTCCATCGTCTGTGAGATCTGGTTTGCCTTTTCATGGATTCTGGATCAGTTCCCCAAGTGGTTCCCTATTGATCGAGAGACCTACCTTGACCGCCTGTCCCTCAGGTAGGAAAAAGTTGATGATCAATTCACAAGATTCTAAGGGGCCGTGATATGATATATTTTGAGAACGCATGCATTTGATACTGAAACTCCTCTTTTTCCGCATAAAACTTTCCTTAAAATGAATGAAGGTTTCTGGGAAACAATGCATTTCTAATAGGATGGTGTCTATCAAATACAACAAGATTGCATTTTAAATCTTAACTCCCCTCTCCAGTTATAGTTGCTGTAAAATGAAAACCACCTCAAATGGAAATATATTGAATTCACTAAAGAATTCCAAACAATAATGTTTTTTTTATAAGGCCAAACAATAATGTATTCTTACAAGCAACTGATTAACTGGATTCACATATGTCATATACATGCATTCTAGTACTCACAGATTTCCCTTCACAGGTATGAGAGGGAAGGTGAACCAAACATGCTTGCTCCAGTGGACGTATTCGTCTGTACAGTCGATCCAATGAAGGAACCTCCACTTGTCACGGCAAACACGCTATTGTCAATCTTGGCTGTGGACTACCCTGTGGAAAAGCTCTCGTGCTACCTCTCTGACGATGGTGCTTCGATGTGCTCATTTGAAGCCATGTCCGAGACAGCTGAGTTCGCTCGCAAGTGGGTCCCTTTCTGCAAGAGACACAGCATAGAGCCCAGAGCACCTGAGTTTTACTTCTCCCTGAAGGTTGATTACCTGAAGGACAAAGTCCATCCTAATTTTGTGAAGGAACGTCGAGCTATGAAGGTTTCTAAAAGTTCTGATCTTTGGAGGATATTCATTTTCTGCAGCCTTTCATGAACTGTTCAAGTAAAGCTGTTAATATCTTTCCCCCCTATGCTTTTTTGACAGCGGGAATACGAAGAGTTCAAGGTGAGGGTCAACGCAATAGTAGCAAAAGCTCAGAAGGTACCTGCCGAAGGCTGGATCATGCAGGATGGAACTCCATGGCCTGGAAACAACACAAAGGATCATCCCGGCATGATTCAAGTGTTTCTTGGTCATAGTGGAGGCTATGATGTTGAAGGAAATGAACTACCTCGCCTGGTTTATGTATCTCGTGAGAAGAGGCCTGGGTTTTCACATCACAAGAAAGCTGGTGCCATGAATGCCATGGTAGAACGATGATCTTCTAATTTCTTCTGGTTAATCGCATGGCCCTCTCTAACCTTTGTGATATAAACTTTCAGGTTCGAGTCTCTGCTGTGCTGACCAATGCTCCTTTCATGCTGAATCTTGACTGTGACCATTACATAAACAACAGTAAGGCTGTGAGAGAAGCTATGTGTTTCTTGATGGACATCCAAACTGGAAAGAAAGTTTGCTATGTTCAGTTTCCTCAGAGATTCGATGGCATTGACAGAAATGATCGTTATGCCAACAGAAACACGGTTTTCTTTGATGTAAGAAATCCCCAGCAACCTTTTCATTTCCAGCATTCTCATAACATCATGGCAAGGATGAAAACTAAACCTGTGTTTTTCTTATGCAGATTAACATGAAAGGACTGGATGGGATTCAGGGCCCAGTTTATGTCGGTACAGGATGTGTGTTCAGGAGGCAAGCTCTGTATGGATATGATCCTCCGAAGGGCCCCAAGAGGCCAAAGATGGTTAGCTGTGACTGCTGCCCATGCTTTGGACGTCGCAAGAAGAAGCTGGCGAAGCCTGGTGCAAATGGAGAAGGAGCCAGCTTAGAAGGTTCACCAATGGATCTTTACTGATGGTGTTTTGAATTGCTTCTATCTCTCTCATCTGTGTTCTGATGTGGTTTCTTTCCCCATTTTCAGGAGTGGATGATGACAAACAGCTGCTGATGTCCCATATGAACTTTGAGAAGAAATTTGGACAATCAGCCATTTTTGTAACTTCAACCTTAATGGAAGAAGGAGGTGTCCCTCCTTCCTCCAGCCCTGCAGCCTTGCTCAAAGAAGCCATCCACGTTATCAGTTGTGGATATGAAGACAAAACAGAATGGGGGACAGAGGTAATGTCCATATTCTGCTTCCTACAGGCTAAATTGCTCTTATGTGAGCATCACATTAACATTCTTTCTTGTTTTGTTTCTCTTGGCAGCTTGGGTGGATTTATGGTTCAATTACAGAAGATATTCTTACTGGATTCAAGATGCATTGCCGTGGCTGGAGGTCCATCTACTGTATGCCAAAGAGGCCAGCATTCAAGGGTTCAGCTCCCATCAATTTGTCTGATCGGTTGAACCAAGTGCTTCGATGGGCTCTTGGTTCAGTTGAAATCTTCTTCAGTCGTCATAGTCCTCTCTTGTATGGCTACAAGGACGGAAACCTTAAGTGGCTCGAGAGATTTGCATATGTTAACACAACTGTTTATCCCTTCACCTCGCTACCACTTCTGGCCTACTGTACTCTTCCAGCCATCTGCCTGCTCACAGACAAATTCATCATGCCTGAGGTAACAACAATTCAATATAAAAAAACACAAGCTCAATTGATATATATGGCTTAACTTGAAACAAGAGACTGATACGATTATTCAGCCACTAAAACTGTAACTTTGGATTTCAGATCAGCACCTTTGCAAGTCTCTTCTTCATAGCTCTCTTCCTCTCAATCTTTACCACGGGTATTCTCGAGCTACGGTGGAGTGGAGTGAGCATTGAGGAATGGTGGAGAAACGAGCAATTCTGGGTCATTGGTGGTGTATCAGCTCACCTCTTTGCTGTTGTGCAAGGTCTCCTCAAAGTTCTGGCCGGTATTGATACAAATTTCACTGTCACCTCCAAAGCCACTGACGACGACGACTTTGGAGAACTTTACGCCTTCAAATGGACGACCCTCCTCATACCTCCAACCACCATCTTAATCATTAACCTTGTAGGAGTTGTTGCTGGAGTCTCGGATGCCATAAACAATGGATACCAATCATGGGGGCCTCTGTTTGGGAAGCTGTTCTTTGCCTTCTGGGTTATTGTTCATCTCTATCCTTTCCTGAAAGGTCTTATGGGAAGACAGAATAGGACTCCGACCATTGTTGTCATCTGGTCTGTGCTCTTGGCTTCAATTTTCTCGTTGTTGTGGGTTAGGATTGATCCGTTCGTCATGAAGACCAAGGGGCCTGACACCAAGAAATGTGGGATCAACTGCTGAAAAAGTCTCTCTTTCTGTAACCTTTTGATACTTGTGCCAGATTTTTTCTTACAAGCACTTCACTTTGTCTTGAAGGAATAAAGCCATAGTGAGAAATTTTTGTGCAGTAATACAACATGTACCTAGTTTTGTCCTGAAGTCAGAGTGATACTGAAGTGGCTGTCATGATGATATCTCTACACCTTGAGCCAACTGCTCAAAATCAGTTCTTCTCTTCTTCCAAAAGCAATAGCATACTAATCATGCCCACAGTTCCTGTGGCTCAGGGACAAGTAATGTACAGAAATGTGATAACAGTCTGCGTTATGCAAAGCTTTCACCATTACGAATAAAGCATTTGTATGTTCAATTGGGCAATAGATATAGAAGTTAAAACCTGATCCAGAGCTTGGAAAATTAACTCAACAACCAATAGCTTCAATAATATCAAGCCAAGTGCGGCGCAGGAAAGTCCAAAAAAGACCACCGTCCAGGCTTTTCCCCCATGCTGAACAAACTTTCACCAGTAGTCTCCACAAGAACACACACCATCCTCGAAACGATGGAATCGATTGGCATCCCTTGCCACAATAACTCTCTGACTAACCTTAGATATGTACTTTGACGCAGTATGGCAGTCCAGACAAATGCGGAGGTTCTTGAAGATCCTTATCTCAGTTCCAGGCTCAGTAGATATTAGACCAAAAGCAATGGCTAGCTTCTCACTATGAACCTTCACCATCAACTCCTTCTCTTCCTCCTCCACATCATGCAATGAAGCCATAGTCTCTGCCTGATACCCTGCTTCCTTCATCTTCCCATTCAATCTCTCCAGCTCTGCATATATAGCTCTCGATTGTGGATGAGACCAGTCACCCGCCTTGAATACATGAGGTTTCTGATGAATCTCAATCAGAGTACATCCTGGAGTCTTAGAGAGCTTCCTCTTCTTAGCTACTTGTCTTACAAATGCAGCTCCTGGGAAGTTCTTATCGGATGAGTATATATTTGACATCAGAACGTAGTACCCCATATTTCCCGGATCCAACTCAAAGAGCTTCTCAGAAGCTATACGAGCTACATTAGTATCTTTATGGACCATGCAAGCACCGAGCAATGTTGACCATATAGGAGTTCCAGGGTCCCCTGGAATCCCCTCTATGAATTCCAAAGCTTCCTTCAACTTTCCAGCTCGTCCGAGAATGTCAACCACACAAGCATAATGTTCTGATATCGGTTCAAATCCATGGTCACGTGTCATTGACTTGAAAATCTCTTCTCCTTCTTTCACCAAGCCGGAATGACTGCAGGCGTATAGTATGGAGAGGAAAGTTATCCTGGTTAATGGAGTACCAGAGCTCACCATCTCATGGAAAAGCTTCAGTGCTTCCTGCCCATGTCCATGGAGGCCATACCCAGAAATCATTGCGTTCCAAGTCACATTGTTTTTATTTGGGATCGAGTCAAATAACCTCCGAGCCTCCACAATGCTGCCACACTTTGCATACATGTCGATTAGAGCAGTTGAGACATAAATGTTGGAGTCAAATTTGTTGCTCTTAATCAAACCATGAACCCACTGGCCGAGACTCAATGCCCCAAGCTGGGCGCAAGCCGAGAGAATACTTGTGATAGTGACAGGGTTGGGACTGATGTTAGACATTTGCATCTCCTGGAAGAGAGAAACTGCTGCTTCTGTTAAACCGTTCTGTGCATAACCTGATATCATTGCATTCCAAGAAGCTAAAGTTTTCTCTAACGATTCGTCAAAAGTTCTTCGAGCAGAATCCATCTCGTTTAATCTGCTGTAGATTGTGGTCAGTGCAGTTGAAACAGACGGGCGGGAGACCATGCCTGATTTGATGCTGAAACCATGAATGCAATTAGTAAGAAGCAAATGGCTAAATGGAGAATGGACAGGAATCAATCCCACTATAGTGCTTGGATTAACTTTCTCTCCTGTCTGGAGCAATTCTCTAAACAATTTCAATGAAGACTCAATGTCATCGTTGCAAGTAAACCCTGCAATCATAGCATTACAGGATATCAAATCTCTCCTACCAATCTGCCCGAATAACAGCTTTGCTGATCCAATATCCCCGCATTTTGAGTACAAAGAAACCAGACCAGTAAGTACAGAGACATGAGAATAAAAGCCAAACTTTATTGCCAGACAATGAGCCTCCATCCCCAATCTCAAATCCTGCAACTCTGCAGCAGCAGGTAGAACTGATATCACTGTAGTGCAGTCAACCTTAGGCCCATCACCAGAAACCATCCGCCTGAAAATCCCTATGGACTCCTCAAAACGAGAGCACCTCCCCAACCCTGATACCATCGTGTTGCACAGAACTGCATCTCTCTCAGGCAATTCATCGAACACCTTCCTCGCCATATCCACTCGCCCAAGTTTAAAGTAAAAATCAATAAATGCAGACCCAATAAACAAATCCGAACCAAACCCACCAACTATCACCTGCCCGTGCAACGATAATCCAACCTTCACATCCCCGAGACTCGCCGCCGCCGGAATAACGAAAGCGTATGTGAAGTTATCAGGTCCAAGATCGATACTTTTTTCCTCCCTCAAACGTTTGAACGCCGAAATCGCGGATCTCGGAGACTCGTTGCTCGCCAATCCTTTGACGAGAACGTTGCTCAGAAACCTGTCGGGTTCGGGGAATCTGAAGAAGAGAGAGAGAGCATGATGGGCGGCGCTGAAATCGAAGAGGCGGTGGGTGAGCTTGGTCGTTGTAGCAACGTCGCTTCGGAAGCCGTGGTGGAGGAGCAGCGCGTGGAGCTGGGTAAGTTGAGAGAGAGTAACCGCTCTGGAGAGAAGATAGAGGAACGAATCGCGGGTTCGAGGAATGTAACTGGCCGCCGCCGTCGTCACGGCTCCGGCCGCCGCCATCTTTCGATCTTACTAACTACTTATTGGCGGCTAGAGGAAGAAAAGGGTTTTCCCAGGAAGTTGTTAATAGGCGGGAATTTTAAACACCATATTTGTTTCACAGTGACATTTTAGTCCCTAAAATTAAAATTTGAACAAAATATAAGATGACCATTTTGAATTAAATATACAATTAAGTGACTATTTAAGCTAAATACCCTTATCTTCCAAAACTTCCATCCCCTGCTTTCAGAAGTGGAGAAAAAAATCCGTTCTTTACTTTCTGCATTTCCCTTCCTTTCCTCTCCCGCCATGCCATTACTTCAATCGAACTCGCTTCCGCTCGCTCTCGGCCCTCTTCCAATTCGAACCCATCTCAACATTCCCAATCCTTGTCGCTTACGGATTTACCAAGCGCCGCGAATACTCTGCGCCGCCACGAGGAAGCGGACTGGGAAGCAGCGGTACCCTTCCGAGAAGAAGAAGCTGAAGCAGAAGCACAAAGACACTCTCCGCGAAGTTGAGAACAAGTTTGAGGGTATCTGGCGGCTTTCGAAGCTCGCCGTCCCTATTCAGGACGATCCCGGGAAGGACTTCACTGGTGTCTCCGATGGGTTACTTCGAGAAATTGCTAAAGCCATTAAATTCCCGGTAAAGTCAAATCTCGCGTTCTTCTGTTTGGCTCGTGAGGAGCTTGTGGTGCGAATGAACTGTGAGCTAGATTGGTATGAAGATTGACAGAAGTTTTCGTCTCATTTTGTTTCTAGGTCGCTTCAATGCTGCCTGCAGAAGCGTTTTCGGTAATTAGGAAGTCGTTTGATGCAAGGAAGGTCAGTTTTTTAATTGGGGATTTGAAATGTGTTAACTCTGCCTCTGCTAGTTGTTACTATTAGGTTTAGATTGCTGATACCGTCGAAATGAAAAAGAATGATGGGACTAAGAGTTAGAGATGGCTCATGTTTGGTCTGCTGTTGTTTCAGATTCTTAAAGAGCCGAAGTTTGTTTACACAGTTGACATGGATGTCAGTAAGCTTGTCGATTTAGAGCCTCGTACTCAAGATTTCATATCCGACTTAACCTTGAGAGTTGGACTTATAGATCATATCACTCAAGGACGAGTGACGGGCGACCTGATTAGTATAATAAGGGATGCTAGAAAAGGAGAGGAGGTACAGGCATCTTCTGGATGTGGAGATCATGATAATGGTTCCAGTAATGGATCTTCAGGCTTGGTCAAGTGTGGAAGTCGAAAAGACAGGCCGAGAATTGCAGTTGTTGGTGGCGGTCCTTCTGGCTTGTTTGCTTCTCTTGTTCTTGCTGAGCTTGGTGCAGATGTTACCTTAATGGAAAGAGGTCAGCCTGTTGAGCAAAGGGGTCGTGACATTGGTGCTTTGGTCGTTCGCAGGATCTTGGAATCTGAAAGCAACTTTTGCTTTGGCGAGGTTTGGTCTTGCTTAGTTTGGCAATTTTCTTGTACAATCTGCTTGTTCCTATGATATCAGGTGGAGTCTATTGTTCTGTTGATTAAGGACTTAAGAATGACAGGGTGGCGCAGGTACTTGGAGTGATGGGAAGCTAGTGACGAGAATTGGAAGGAACAGCGATAGTGTCTTAGCTGTGAGAAACATATTCCTCTTATGAAATGGATTACAGCTCTTCCTCTGGATATTTACATGTTTAGGTCATATTGCATGGACTCTCACACATGTTTCTTTATCTTTTATATCAGGCTATGAAAACTCTGGTTCACTTTGGGGCTCCTAATAACATATTAGTCGATGGGAAGCCCCATTTAGGAACTGATCGGCTTGTTCCATTGCTCCGACACTTTAGGCAACATCTGCTTGAGCTTGGAGTAAGTTTCTGGATATAATTATACAAGTGCCTGTTATATTTTTTATTGTGGTCTTATTTTTCTGAATGTGCATTTCTTTCCATGGTGAAAAAGGTTTCTGTCAGGTTTGGAACAAGGGTAGATGATCTAATAGTAGAGAACAATTGTGTCGTGGGAGTTGAACTTTCTGATTCTCGAAACCAGTTGCCACCAGAGAGATTTGGATGCGATGCAGTGGTTCTTGCTGTGGGACATTCTGCGAGGGATGTCTACCAGATGCTTCTTTCTCATAATGTTGATCTAGTTCCCAAAGATTTTGCGGTAAGTTCACTATTCTTTTTCCTTTTCCCAATTTTTATGGAATTGGTAAAAACTAAAAAGAATCTGCAAACGGTTATTAATGCACAAAATGCCTAGTATAGTACCCAGCAATCATCTTGACTCTAGGGAAGAGAAGCCACTTGTGAATGATTTATCTGGCTATTCAAGCAAGTGACTTGTGCTTGTTTTGGTGCATGAACTTCCATCCAAAATCATCGATATTTGCAAAACTGTTTCACATTGAGGAGTAACCAGCTTGGTTAAACAGGTTGGTTTTCGGATTGAGCATCCTCAAGTGCTAATCAACAACATACAGGTCCGTGATGCAAATTATTTTCTGATGAACTAATTTATTGGTTACCACATTTTGAAAGTTTATATGTTTGCTGACATGCTTATGCAATAAACTTTGCACTTCTTATGTAGTATTCTAGCTTGGCCACTGAGGTGCAAAGTGGACGGGGCAAAGTACCTGTTGCTGATTACAAGGTTGCAGGAGTTGTCAGCACAGAGAATGGCGACATTTCCTCAAATTCAGTACCCTCGCCGCGCAGCTGCTATTCGTTCTGCATGTGTCCTGGTGGACAGGTGTGCTTTGGTTGTACAAAACAACATTGCCTTAAAGACATCAGTTTGTTGTTTGAGCATGCAAACATTGTGGTCGCAGGTGGTTCTTACCAGCACAAATCCTAAGGAACTCTGCATCAATGGTATGTCATTTTCTCGTCGTGCTTCTAAGTGGGCAAATGCTGCACTTGTTGTTAATGTTTCGAAACAAGATTTCGAGACCTTGAGCTTTCATGGACCCCTTGCAGGAGTTGAGTTTCAGGTATAAAACAATCTTTTCCTTGTACCTTTAGTATGTTAAGAACGTTCCATCTTAAAACAATGATTTTCATTATCTCAATTCATAACAATGTCCTGATTTTCAGAGGGAATTTGAGCGAAGAGCAGCTTTAATGGGAGAGCAAGACTTTGTGGTGCCTGTGCAGAGAGTTACCGACTTTCTGGACAACAAGTTATCTGGTACCCTCTTGGTTTCTTTGCCCTAAGACTTCGTGTAGAACTGTAAAATGAGTTGGAATTATTTCTAGTTGTGAGAAAGTGTTTTTGGAATTTGCTTGAACTTCTAGTTAAAGTGCATGGAGGAGGAAGAAAATGAAAAGCTATATGTTTGACTTTCAATTGTTCATTAACTTGAGTAAGCCTCATGTTGTCCAGGAACATCTTTACCATCATCAAGCTATCGGTTAGGAGTCAAGGAAGCCAATCTCCATGAGTTGTTTCCTTCTCATATTACACAAGCATTGAAGCGTTCGATCTCAATGTTCAACCAAGAGGTTCAACTTATCTTCACTGTGCTTTTTCACTTTCAGATGTTTTCCAAATCTTATGCAGTTGAGTTCATAAATAATATGAACTATGTGTTTCATTTACAGTTACCAGGATTCATTTCGATGGAAGCCCTTCTCCATGGTGTAGAGGTATCTTTCTCACTGCACTCTGGCTTTCTTCTTATTTTGGCATCACAGTTGGTTAGTTACTCACATTTATGATCTATTGGCTTTCTCATTTCCTTCTTGTTAGACAAGAACCAGCTCTCCAGTACAGATCCCTCGTGGGGACGAGTCCTATGAGAGCCTATCATTAAAAGGGCTATACCCTGTTGGTGAAGGGGCGGGGTATGCAGGTGGAATCGTAAGTGCAGCAGTTGACGGAATGCAGGCTGGATTTGCAGTGGCAAAGAACTTCGGTTTGTTCCCTGAAGACATGGACTTGGTCTTGGGCAAAGCAGAACGAGCCGGGTTTGTAAAGTACTGAAAAGCCAGCCTGGATTAACTGGAAACTTTATACATAGCTCAGTGCAAATCGAAGAGACATCGAATTCTTACCTCCAATCTGGTAGCTCACTGTGCATTAATATTGGTCAGTATGGTTCCTTTCCATTCTGTCAGAATTTAGTTTTGATCATTTGCTACTTTTGCCTGCATTCGGGAATCAATCCTATTTTGCTTTGCTTCCTTCTTTGCAGCCTGTTTAGATCCAGACCATGGCTGGAAAGACCACAACTCTGCCTTTTCTTCCCGCCTTTTTTTCTCAAAGACTTGCAGAGAATTCAGGATCCTTTCCATAGCTGCTTTAAGAAATCTCTTATCTCCACTGAGGAATCACTCCAGCTATGCCATGGAATGGGTGAAAGACCAGATCAACCAAAATTTTCCTGGCAGCCTAGCTTTTCTTGGTCACTTCGTTACCCGAGTAATTAGAGTCTGTAAGAGACCTTGAAGGTTTCATCTTTCTCTACAGTATTCGTGTCTGAATCTCTGTACCGTGACACATGCGAATCATAACGATCTCTTAGCATAGCGTTACAGAAATGCCTCCTATGATCCAACAGGCAAGGTTCAAATGTCTCACTTGAGAGCAGAATGTTGCAGTTTGAATCCAGTACAAGGGAAGTGCAGATGCAATGTTTCCAGACAAATGCAGAAATTATTGAACATGTCTTATTGTGATCAAAATTTCTCTCTTCTTTTTTCCTGCCTCAGATCCATAAGTAACAATTATTGAAATGTTGCATGCAATATATGTAACATCCCGCACCTTTTCCTGACAAGATACTGTCCGCTTTGGGCCTCTACACCCGCACGGATTTCGACTTGGGGTGCAATTCAAGGTGACTTCGCATAAGGTCACCCATCCTTGTTGTACTCCACACTGAGCCCGTTTAACTTCGGAGTTCTCACAAGAACTCTTCCATTACACCCCAAAACGCGTCTTGTCAGTTAAGGTCGGTTTCCTACTTATGAACCATGGATTTCTCCCGTGCTTTGTCGATGTGGGATTTGCCTAAGGTGTTACATACACCCCCCCTTGGGACTCAACGCCCTCGTTGAGGTTTGCCCCACCATCGTTCAAGAGGGACGCGGAGAGGCTCTGATACCACTTGTAACACCCATACTGATGCAACCCAAAAATGAGCTGGCAAATTAATACAAGGAATGGAGTTGCAGTGTCGGTGCTCCCTCCTTCCACTGAAATCAACCCCCTCTTGCTTCCATAAGTAACTTAGTCTCTCATCCATAAACCATCCTATTTCCCAGTGCATCTCTCGGCTGCTTCATATCACTACTGCTCCCTCAAAATTCTCATCTCGTACATCCCTCACCATCAACCTTGTCCATCATCGCATCACACAAACCACCACCGATCCGACCCTCCAATCACCACAACTGTTATACCACTCCTTGCTCTCGATCCAAGTAGACGAACACCTGGAAACTACAACCAACGACACCACTCAAGTCGCCAACACGCACGCCGAAAACCACGTTAAAGTTGCCCGATCCTTTTCCCCGTACGACGTCGCCACGACCCTAGTGCATCATCTCACATCCACTAGGTAATGATCACGAAACCATCTCGGTTCTAAAATCAAATCCATCAATAGCTAACCAACTCGACGGTTGTGAACCGTAGTCTTGATGGCGACGACGAGGACGGAAATCTACGGGTGATAGAACAACGATTGAATCGAGGAAACAACGACTCTAGCGACTCAAATCTAGATCTGGGCACGCATACGAGGTAAGAAAACCCAACTCCTCGCATTAAAATTTCATGTTTATGCGAGTAATATGAGCTTGTCCAAATCTGGGAATTTAGCGACAGTTTTACAGGTTTTTAGCAACGAACTCTTAGAGCTTTGGTAACTGCCGGTCTAACGGTTGCTAAAGATACTGCATAGTGTTTTTTTATTCATTGCAAGTAAATCCACATAGTTATGCTTGTTTGCAGACAGATCCTCAAATTTTGTTAAATGGTCGTTTTATTCTCTAAAATATCATAATATTGAAGTTAAACTAACTAGAGACTATTTTAGTAGTAATCAAGATAATTAGTAATAATATTCCTTAGTTTTCGTTACCAGAATAACATGATTAATGTTAATAGCACGTGATGAATGAATTAATAGGATTAGCTAATGGGTAAATAATTTGTTATCTAGTTTGCTAAATTGATTAGTAGAATCTGGAGTTAACCCACGTAGGTTATTGTAGCACAATTAGTTTCAAATGATTAAGATTGATTAAGAACTTAAATATTATATGTAAAGAATTACGATTCTAATATGTTAGATTAATTGGTACATTAGTATACCATACCTTGCACATCTTGCAAAGTATTTTCAAGTCGAGAAAGTCATCGCTAAGAACCCAAAACTCAACCAATCTAATTTCGAATTTCACCATAGGACCAAGAGGCAAATCAACCAAGTCAAGGGCCCCAACCTTCACGTTGTAACTTCTTGAATCAATAAGGTGTGTGGTTTGAGGGGCTAGTTAGTATTTCGCTTTAATTTATCTAATTATGTTATTTAATTAAGTTATGCTCTATATGTATGTCCACGGTAAGTGTATTTATGTTAGTAAGCATGCCATTGCATTCCATCATGAAGTTATGTTTTGAGCAAGATTATAGACTTACGTTCCATGTTACCAAGTTATCAAGTAAGAACATGTTTTTAACTACTCACTCGACTAGTGCACGCGGCTACCCTACTTCCCGCCAGGTGGAAGTCAAGTTCAGGATTATGTTACTCTCCGCTAGGTGGAAGTTAACATTCATGTTATAATAGTGTACTTTCCGTCAGGTGGAAGTTACGCTCAGGATCGTGTTACTTCCCGTCAGGTGGAAGTTACACCCATGTTATATCTTCCCATCAGGTGGAAGTTTACGTTTGGTGGCCGTTAGTGTGCTAGTGAGTCGAGTTCGGGGCCCCCTTTCACAACGAGTAATAAGAATACTAAATTTAAGCATGAAGCATTGCATGAGTATATTTATTTATTCCAGTGTTGTTATTAAGATTTTTCAACATTAAAGCGAAACTAGGATTAGGACTGACCCCAACGCCCGCACTCAGGAGCTGCAGGAAACCAGGAGCACCCAGATCAATCGCAGGGACATAGCTGTTGCCCAAGATGTCATCACAAGGGTTAGTGGCCCGAAGAGCTTCCAGCGGAACTTATTTAAGTTTATGCATTGTTGGTGGACTTGAGACTTAATGAGGATTATGTTTGAATACTATTTTAAGATGGATTTTTCCTTGTATTTTGGAATGATGTTTATGGGACTTTTATGCATTTATTATTCGACTAATAACAAGGGTATTTTGGTAAAATTAGTCACCGACCGGTCTAGGGTGTTACAATATATATTGAATTGTTTTCTAATTTCCTCTAGGGCAGTCAAGGGAGGAAGATTTGGGGCAAAGATCAGCAGGAGCATATCTTCTTGGGGCAAAATTATAAAAAAAATTTAATATATTCTAAAAAAAAAAAAAATAGCAAGAGCATGGAATAACTTTTGGACATGGGCTTGACCACAATCATTGATTTGCACATGCCCTCAATTTTATCTTCTAATAATTGGGGGAAGAAATGATGTTGGGTTTTTGTTCTTTTATCTTATTATTATAATAACTAAGCTTAAAACAGTTTAAAAGATGTGTTATCATTTTTCTCTCTCTATTTGGTAAGTTCACTTTTATTCTATGAAATGGTGTATCTAATTAAATCAAATGTGCTTTAAGTTTGAAGACATTATGTTATGTATTGTTTTTAAATCAACTTTTGAATGTAATTTTTGTTAGATTTCGAAATATCACTTAAGGTAGGTGAGATTTCGTTTCAATGTTGTCATTTTTTTTTAACAAAATCCATCGCCATTAGGTGGTTAATCCCAACTTAGCTCGATATTTGATATCTTTTCCTTCCAAGGTAAAATATATAAGTATTCAATGATACGAGATAGATTCAATTTGTGTAACCATAACAAAAATGTCTTTAACTATTTATCTTGTTTGGGCATTTCGAAAAGATAATGGTATATTTCTATAAACACGGAGTAGTATGTTAGCCATCAAGCTCATGAGTCATGACGCTTTGGTAGGATAAATTTCTCCAACACCAATGAAGGTTATAACTTATAAGAGGAGATGGTTCAAGGTAATACAATTGAAGCAACGATGCTAGGTGTTTTTCTCTCCTGGTGATAACCCAAAATGATTGAGTTGTCATCCGTAACGCTAATGAGTATCTTATCACTCCTCCCATCACTGAGTTTCTCGTCATGATACAACTAGAGTTGACCGTATAATGACACTACAGTCTCTATCCTATTCATCGTTGGTTCGTTAACCAACCAACTTCATATATGATCCTTTACTCGGTGAAGATGATCGGGGTTTCCTACTCACGTATGCGATGTGCATGATTGTACTTTTGTTCCGTTAGTGGAATCGAGAGCAAAGATATGAACTTTCCATCATACACGCGACACGTAAGCCATATAAAAGCACACTTAACTAGCTATAAGCACGACACAATACAAATTGTAATTAATTTGAATAAAACTCTTAAAAGAGAGTAACTATAACGTTGTCATTAGAGATCAATTTTAATTACATATTTATTACCATCGTAGATTTTATCAATGCACATTTTTATTAGTGTACTAAGGGGTCGTTTGGAAGTTGCGATGGTTAAATAGATGTATTGTTGAGAATGCATGTATAATATTATACATGTATTGTCGAATTTGATGCATTGTAGAATACAACGTTTGGTATGTGTGATTGTGTATGTCGCATCAGCTAAAAGCTGAGACAAAACAATCTCAACTCAACTATCTCAACAATCACAACTAAAAGTTGAGATATAACAATCACTCAAAATGAGTGATAGTTTCTGTCACATCATAGAAACAATCTATGTATTGTTTTTGTTAAAAAAATAAAAAAACGATGCATTGTAAACAATACATACATAATAACAATCTCAACAAAACTATCGCAACTTTCATAACCAACCCTATATTCATCCACGACTACCTAGGACTTGGAAGTAAGAAAAAAATCACTCCAAAATCCAAATCCGAGGTGAAAATGTGAACCAAATCAAAGTCTGAAAGGGCAAAGAAAAACCAGAAGAGAAACAAAGCTTCTCTCTTTTAAGAAGGGTTTGGGCCCTTTTTATCTCCACCGGCCTCCTTCATCTCACAAGCTCGCTTTCTTCCCTCTCTTCGCCGCAGAAGAGAGAGAAAACCAACCCCACGAACTACAGAACAAGCGAAGAGCGGAAAGCCTCTCCCCCCTATCCCGAACCCAATCGCAACGATATCTAATTCGTCAGAGAAATCTTCGCTTTGATTCCACCTGGTTCAGCTCCAGCCGCTATTTCCTTCGGCTATCTCTCACTCCTTCGTCCTCATGGCGGCGCCTCTGCCCTAAAGGTTCAGTCTTTGGCCTTACCCATGTTTGGATCTGGAGCCCCTTTTGCCGTTTCCGTTCGAATGGGTTGCTCCTGTGATTTCGATTGGTTACAAAGTGTATTGGATCTGGAATTGTTTTTTTTTTGTCCTGTCTTGTTTTTGTGGTCTGTTCTATTGGGAGAATCGCTTAATCTGACTAGAATGAATCGCGTAGGATTTTTGGGCTACTGGGCTTGTGTGCATTCATGTCTGTGGTTGAAAAGTTGTGTTCTTGGATGTAATTTATGAGTGTTTACGTTGAATTCTGTAGGGAATTGAATCCAACTGAGTAGTTTAATGAAGGGGTTTCAAGGAAAGGGAGAGTTGTTTTTAGTTTTTTTAATCACTGGTGTGTTACCTTAGGTGGCTATTAGGACTTGCAGTTCTAAGCCCATGCCGGCTGCTTGCAAAGTACTGCTGTGGCAACTCGACTGGTGCTTTATTATGTAGGCTGGCGAGAGGAAGTTAAGACTTATATTTGAGTGGAATGTAGTTGTTAGTGTTTGTGTAGCATGTAATTGAATCAAACTGAGTAGTTTGATGTAAGGGTTTCAGAGAGAGGGAGGATTGTGTTGTGGGTTTAATGCAAAGGCTACTTGAACTAGTGCTTTATTTAGGGTTTCTGGGGGTTGGAAGGTTAGACTTATATTTTTTAGTGGAAAATAGTTTTTTTTTCTGAATTCTGTGTGTGACTCAATTTTTTTGTGTCGGACAGACCTGATTAACGATAGTTTGATGATGCTTCATAGATGGTCATGCATTAGTTTGATGGAGTCTCGATGGTAATTGATTTGGCTTGTATGTCTTCCAGATTTTTGTTTCTTAAATGCCTACTGAAGAGTTTCTGGCACTGATCCTTAGAACGTTGAGCTTGCATGGATATGAATCTACTTGAAGAACAATCCAGAACATGCTCTCACTGAGATCTGTTCGCAGATTTTTCCATTACTCTGCTGCTGTTGCCTCAACTGGAAACTGTACTGCTGTATCTTATCCCATCATGAAGCAAAAACCATTGGAGGAACCTGCTCTTGTTAAGCTTAAGGCTGAGAGAGATCCTGAAAAGCTATTTAATCTTTTCAAGGCCAATGCTAGAAATAGGCTTGTCATTGAGAATCGGTTTGCATTTGAAGACACTGTTTCTCGCTTAGCTGGTGCTCGACGATTTGATTACATTGAGGAGTTGCTTGAGCAACAAAAGTCCCTTCCACAAGGGCGACGTGAAGGGTTCATCGTAAGGATAATAATGTTGTATGGGAAGGCTGGGATGGCTAAGCATGCTATCAATACCTTTTATGATATGCATTTTTATAAGTGTAGAAGGACTGCCAAGTCTTTCAATGCTGCACTTAAAGTTTTGGCAGGATCCCGGGACATAGCAGCAATCAAAACATTTCTGAATGAGGTTCCTGAGAAGTATGATATAGAATTAGATACATATTCAATGAACATTGTCATTAAGGCCTTTTGTGAAATGGAGATTTTGGACAAGGCATTTTCAATCATGGTGCAGATGGAAAAGTTGGGAATAAGGGCAGATGTTATCACATACACTACACTTATTGCAGCATTTTACAGAAAGAACAGGTTAGAAATCAGTAACGGTTTGTGGAACCTTATGGTACTTAAGGGTTGCTTACCAAATCTTGCAACTTTTAATGTTAGGATACAGTATTTGGTGAACAGGAGACAAGCATGGAAAGCAAATGATCTTATGCTTTCAATGGAAAGAGTTGGGGTCGTACCAGATGAGATTACTTATAACTTAGTTATCAAAGGTTTTTTCCAGGCTGGATATCCTGAGATGGCAAAAAGGGTATATTCTGCATTGCATGGAAGGGGGTTTAAGCCCAATGTTAAAATATACCAAACAATGGTGCATTATTTGTGTGAGGGTGGGGAGCTTGATTTGGCATTTAAGATGTGTACTGCCTGTATGAGAAAGAACTGGTTCTTGAGCGTAGACTCTATTTCTGCGCTACTTATTGCCTTAAAGAAGAATGAGAAGATTGACAAGGCTAGGATGGTCATGACATTGGTCAGGAAGAAGGTGCCATCATTCCCTTCAAACCAATTAAGCTTGTTGGAGTCTATTTTTTCCAGTAGTTGAAGGGATTAGAGATGTGGTTAATTCACTCATCGCACGGGCTGAATTGCAAGCTGGACTCTGTAACGTATCACTCCATGTGATCCCGAAAATGAATGGTGCCCTTGATTGCGCTGATTCAACTATAGCAGCACTCTGATGAATAATTGCGATGAAGAAGACAGGTATTGCAGCTGGTGACCTGATTCTTGTAAGTTGGCAATGCACTTTTGCTTTTATAGCATTCAGAATATAATTGTTTGAGTAAGAAAAAGTACTGCAATGCATGTTTTCACTTGGGGGATTTTTTTTACCGCACCTGTCTCAAGAACTATGTTTAAGATTAAGCTAGATGCCATGACTTTTTTTCTTTACTTTACAGTTAGTAGCAGATATTACATGTCTTACTATGTCGTTGGCTGTCAAAGAAAGGTCAAATGAAACCATCATGTTGCACTCATGCCTTTTCTGACCCAAATATTTCAATTAAAGGGTGTCTAGGAAATAATTTGTCATATGGACCTTTGTTTTGTAGATCCTGTTATATATGCTTTTGCTTTTAAAGCACAAATTGTTGGTGCTTCTATGCCTTTGAATTGTCTTCTCTATTTGCGATACCCCCTTTGCTGTTTTATGACATATTTCTCATTGGGGTGGAGTGTGAGATGGTCCAGGACCATCAGTGTTTAATTTTTCTCCTTTGTTCCCTGCAGGAAGTGTTCTTGAGTTCTGACTGCAAAGAGTGCCAGAAAAGGTGCCTCTGTTCATACTTCTAAACTCAACGTGATTCTTTCCTGCGCCATAGGTTACAGTGGTTTGCATTATTTTTCATATGCAATGTCAGAAATTGTTGCCCTGGAACCGTATCAGAAATAAATCCTTCTGCTTTTTCTGGTTTTGTTCTAGAGTTGTGCGCTCACAACTTTTTCTACAGCCATTTATCCAGTTTGTAATTATGATCTGATTCTCCCACCTTTTAAAGATGATTATCTGACGTTAACTGAAAGTTGGAAAATATTGATGGTCTAAACTGATGATAAGTGCTAAATCATCGTTTTCTTTAGCACCTTCAAAATGTTATTGTGCCGATATCCAGATGTAAAGACTGCAATGTGAAGGAAGGCTGCAACAACTGATCCCAGATATATCTTCTTGGGAATTGGTATGTGAGCCTAAATTTTCCTGAAATTAGTCCTCTCCTGTCTTTGGTCATAGTGTTACCTTGAAAGAGACATTGGCATCCTTTTGTCCTGTGGTTTGAGCATGGCTTAATGTGGATAGTCTTCTACTATTGTTTATTTACCCTGTTTCTCAAGTGCTGCTTTTGCCATATTTTCAATGCACGCTGGCTTAAATATTTTGTCTCCCTGATGGCTTCTCTGCACTTGCTTTCATTTGACAATAGGTTTTCATATTGGGGATAGCTACTGCAAGCTTTCATTTGATATGAAATTCTTCATCATTCGATGTCATGTAAGCCTTTTGTATGATGGCATGAACATGTTCATCAAGAACGCCAGAAACAGCAGTCCATGCAATGGCGAGGCCAGGTTTCTTTCCATCCTGTTAAGCACATACAACGACAAGATGGATATCTTACGAAGGAGGATGTAACACAGTATTATCATGTGTTTGAGAGGCTTTTTATCTTTTAATCAAAGCTTGTAAATAGAAGATGGTAGTTCACCAAAAAAAGAAAAAATCCCTGACGTGTGCTTGTAATACTGTATGACTGCATTAGCTAGTATAGAAACTTATAGATGCCAGATGGAATGGCATTCACTGTTATTTTCGGGGATTTAGCTCTTGGTTGAGAAGCTTGATTAGCCTATTGAACAACATAAGGATGACATTATGAATCTTAAGGCTGTCTGGGAGATTTGCTCCATAATCGGAAGGACTCCTTAAAATCGAAAGGTTCTGTATGCCAATGAGACGAGATTCTGGGCACCACACCCATCTTAGCTGGTCATCTAATTCCCTGTGGTTTATTGTTTATGCATTGCCAAGGCAGAAACCAGAATCAAGCAAAATCAACTTCTGTGGCCATCAATGACAACGGTCAGCATGTACAACGCAAAAGCACAAACACAATGAAAAAGAAATTATGTTGAAGATCCTATGTAACCCTGTTTCGAGGTTTCAAAAGTTTATCCTAATAAACAAGTCTTGCTTCACAATTTTGCAGACTAACACCCCATATCAAACCATTTATTTGATTTCCAATCAAATTCAGAGACAACTTCCACTACAGTTTTATAGCTAAAATAGCACCATCCCTGCCACACCGGCAATTCAAAGGCAAAATATACCAAAATGATGGCTAAACATTAGCGTAATAATCCATATAAAGAAAGAAAAGGTTTTCAACAACTGCAAGCACAGTTTTCTCCTCATGGAAAATTATTTGGCAACAGTGAAAACTGGAAAGGTCTTCTTCCACCACATGCATGAGCTCAGGGGGGGAGCTCATAGTATACAGCAGTGAGCTGTTTGTTGGCTCCTGCCTTTCTTTCTTCAAGTGTAAGCTCTGTTTGTTATTGTACCACGCACATGAATGAATAGAGAAATGGAAAAAGAAAGGGAAATGAATCAACAGGATTGAGAATCTCAATCTCATTGTCGAAACAGAGGAAATGTTGTCAGAACCCGCGATAAAGATAGATCACACAAGTGTAAATGCGCAGCGGTAGTGCCATTGTATCTTGCCATAAACCCTACCCTTCAGCCGATTGTCGATACAATGATATCTAACTGAGGAAAATAGGCGACATTGCTCCTAGATCGACAACATAATTTCAATCTTTGAGGAGCATCACGAAAGCAAATGCATTCGGGCATAACCCTAAGAAGAGCAACAGCAAAGCAAAAGAGATGAAAAAGCTGTGAATTGGGAATATAAATGTATCTTTAGGTTCACGCTTTTCATTAGCAATAAACTCAAAACATTGTTCATTGCTCGATTCTTGACTATATAACTTCCTAAATGCTCGATGTTGCATTCACTCACCAGAAACAAGTCGGTGGTAACAAACACAAACATCCAAGGCTGTTGCATCAAATCTGAAATCTACACCACTAGACCTACACTCCTCACATTGCAAAGCTGAGCAGTTCTCCAAAGCCAAAGGCCATTGATGGGTCACCAGCTGCCACCTTCTGCATCACGAGACTGGTAGAAATCGTCTGGGCGAACAATGTTGACTTCTTCAAACTCATTGCCATCTGGATCGGAAAGGAATTAAACAATCAGAAGCTTGGTTCCCCGAAGTCAAAGGTGAAATCCCCGATAGACCAAGAAAAAGCCTAACAAGACTATATGCTAAGGGTATGGAGAACAACCTTTCCGCAAGGTGAGAGCCACTACAGCATCATTCTCAACCTGTTGCAGATATATGGTAACGCAGAAATTTAATTGAACATCGCTAGCAAGATAATTAGAAACCATGGCATGAAATATAGAGCGACTTAGTGCACATAAATGGGCAACAACCTTCTGATCTGCCAATGACTTGGAGTCCTCTAATACTTCCCCCGACGGCATAAGGATCAGCCTCTGATCATTAACTGCTTGCTCAGTCAGGACATTCAGCTTCTGCTTAATCTCAAGAACTTTCTCAGTTGGATCACATTGAATGAAGTACGTCGTCTTGATCCGCTTGACCCGAATGTACATAGCCTGCAAACAAATCATGAACCAGTCAACAAACATAAGCTGCGAGAGTGGGGGGGAGGAAGGAGAAACTTGAAAGGCCTTCTCAACAATAGAATTGGCAGCTCTCTATCAATGGCATTGATGTTCCTTTTCGTCCAAAAGTCCTACAATATTATGCCAGTAAGCTCATCTAGTTCATGCCTCCAATCCAAATTCGGGCCCCCAAAACTATCATCCAAGAACCCAAACGAGGTATACTACGCTAAATTACTCATATTACCTCAATGGTACATTCTTCAATGCAACTTGCCAAAATCCAAACAAGGAGCAATCAGTCTTTACCCAAACCCCATACCAAATTGATACAATTGAACATCTCAAAGTACCAAGATTCAAAATTTAAGCGAAAATCCAAAACAGGAGACCATCACATACCATAATTCAAACGGGGCTCTTGTTGAGAGAGAGGTCAGGAGCTTGCCGGAATCCTCCCTGCGCCTGCAGAAATTGGACAGGGGTGAACCAGAGATTTGATTCCAATGAAAAGGAGCGACGAAACAAGCAAAGATCTGAACTTTCTGGGGACCCAGAACAAGAATCCATGAAACCACAGAGAAAGAACTTGCCGGACCGACAACTCTACGCCGCCGAGGAATCGATTTTCCGAGAGCCCTAGGAGACACCTTCCTTCCCCTCTCTCTTGCTCCGGTTTCTCCTATGTGAATGATTGTTGCAGCACAAGACGAAAGGTTAGTGGTGAATGTCATAATTGATTAATTTCTCTGTGTAATTTTCTGTATTTTCGTGTAATTTTCCAGTATTTTTCTTCTTTTTTCCGCTTATTCCCGGGAAATCTTTTACCTCCGTGACAAAATATCGCCGGACACAATATATCGCAAAAATATCGTAAATATCTCGATATTTAGTAATATATCGCATCTCGTCAATTTCTCTTTCTCGTCAATTTATCGCGTTTCGGTTTTGGTTTTGAGGACACGAAACGTTTCGCGTTTCGGCGTTTCTTCTGTATCTTTTTTCGTTCTTCTAGCCGTTTCGCATGTGTGTGCAGCTTCCGCGCTCATGGCCCAGGGGTGGCTAGTTCGGCCCGTACAAGTTGGGCCTAATCGGGCATGAGGCCAAGAAGTTCTAGCTGGGCTTGCTCATCTAGGCCTGGCTTATCCACAGTTGTCTGGTGAGACTAGTCACTTAGGCCCATCAAAATACTGGGCCGTAGACGCCTTGCTACAGATGAACCACGAAACCCGTTAATAAATCGGAGAAACGTGAAAGGAAGGCCGAAACGGGAAACGTTTCGACTCTTCAAAACCAAAATCGAAACGCGATAAATTGACGAGAAAGAGAAATTGAAGATATGCGATATTTACTTAATATCGCGATATTTTACGATATTTTGTCGATATATTGGTTACCGACGATATTTTGACTGCCATGTGAATTGAGAATCGGGAAAGCTTCTCCGGAGGGCGACCATCTCTCTTCTTTCCCTCTCTTCCGCCGTTCCCACATGAAACGGCGATTGTTCGCGCCTTATTCCTTCTCCCTATTCACCTCCGCTCACTGAAACAAAGATTCGGAGATTAGTTCCCACAGTTTGTTCGTGGTCTTGCAAGTCTGGAAATGGCGAATAAGATTTGTCCCCTCCGTGAAGCAACTCCTCAAAGTAGGATTCATTGCTATTCCGTCGAATCAATTCAAACGATTGGGTTTCTGGGGGTTTCGTGCTTTGTGCTGAATCATATCTTTGCTATTCTGAATCTGGAAAGGTGAACGTTGAGGGGAAGAATGGTTTTCGATCTTGTTGGTTTTGCTGGAGGTTTTCCCCTTCTATGTTATGCTGATTTTGATGCTTGAAAATGGTTTCTCTGTATTCTTCTGTAGGGGTGTAGGAGTAAGTAACTAATAAACCCCCTCAGGTACCATTCAGAATCTGGGTGGCAGACATTGTGGGTGGTAAAAGCTGAGCACTACGGTCTTCAAGTTTATCAGTCCACTATCACCATCTTCATCCGCTTTCTTCCGGTTGTAATTGATGCACGAGTGAAGCTTTGGGTATCTTCTAATCTATACTCTTTATCCTTTGCACGCAATAGCTGTGATCACTTAGTTTCCTTGTTTGCTGGCTCTTTGCAATAATTTATCGTAAAAGCTGAATGTAGCAGTGTTCTCTGCTTTGCAGTCTTGATATCAGTTGTCTTTTGGTCCATTTACAATTCTCCATGTTCTCTGAACACAGTATATCATTTAGCTAGCTTCCAGTGGCACAAAATGGTTGTTCTTGTGATTATAAATGCTTGCAAACGTGAAGAGAACCTGAATCTTACTGATACTAAGTTCAATAAAGCTAGTTAAATTTTTGTGGAGGGCTGCAGTGGCCTGGCTCTTCTAGTAGAGGCCAACAGCGAGCTCTAACTGCAATTCAGTCTGAATTGCCGAAGTACTGTGGCAGCTAAAAACAAGAAGCTACAGACTATTTTTGCAGAGCAAGTGTTAGAGCAGAGAACTATAGCTGTATTAGTGTTTTCGGGAATAGTATGTTTCTTTTTCTGTATATGATAATTAGATTTTTTGTGTTTTCTATGAGAAGGTATAAGCTTTGGCGTTTTTGGTTATGAACAACATTGGTGTTGTGAGATAACTGAATGAGTTTTGAGAGAGATAAAGAGAAACAAAACTGTATTTTTAATCTATGAATGATGAGTTGGAGCTCAACTTTCTTTGGTTAGATTCTTTAGGAAATGAGAGTTGTATATTGGAAGTAAGTTTTAATCCTGAGGCATTTCCGATACTTGGTTTCTGTTTTTCTTTGGTTTTTGAGATTGTTTTTCCATCCTCAGAAACAGAAAACCTCTTTTCTCACAATTTAGTAAGAAATTATGGGGATGCATGCAACAGAAGAACTAATAGGGGTTTTCCCCCATTTCCCACCAAAAGAAAGAACTATAATCAGCCCTGCTTCTGTTGCTATAAATAAAGCTACACAATAGTTTCATCCACCAAGCCATATCCAATTTTCAAATCATCAACCATACTTCCAATCTTTTCCTTTTCCTTTTCCTAATGGCTTCTCCAAGAACATCTTTGGTCATTGCAGCCATCTTTTTTACCCTCATTTTTCATTTTCTTCCTCAAACAACCGCGGCTAGAGTGTCAAGACCAAGCTCTCCTCCTTCCAAATTAATTGAAGAAGTATGCAAGAAAAGTAACGACTCCAACTTGTGTGCCCAAGTTCTGCAATCTTATCCTGAAGCATCATCAGCAACTGACATAAAATCCTTAGCTATGGCTGTCCTGGAAATAGCCAAGAAGCAATCAAAAATCGTGGGCAACCTGTTTACTGAATTAAAGAACAACGGAGCTACCGACCCATCCATCAAGCCATCATTAGATCTATGTGCTTCCCAGTACAATGATGCAGCTATTTTTTTCTCCCCTGTTGGGTTAGTAAATGTTGCAAAAAGTTTGGAAGTTCATTCTGCTTTAGATGATTCGGAAGGTTGCCAAACTGAACTAGCTACGAAGGATGTCCACGTTGAATCAATTGCACCTGAAATTCAAAAGTGGAAGGAACTTTATGAAGTTTCTAGTTCTGTAATATTGTATGCTGAAGATGTGTTTGGAGGCAAAGCTGCAGATCCAGAAGAAGAATTTTGATTCTTATTTTCGGAACTTCTGTTGACTTGAGAACAGTTGTGAGGAATTTGCATGCGTTGATTGCTGATGCCATGAATCTCCACTATAACTGCGGTCTTAATTGTTGTTCTTGGCAGTTGCATCAGAAAGGTTGTAAAAGGAAAAACTCCTTTAGTGCTGTTAACTTCTCGAAAGATCAAAAATACTTACTTACTTATCATTATTAAAGTAGCTTTAGCTTTGGCTCTTCTCATCCTTCTCCACAACAAAACTCTTTGAATTTTTGCCTCCAACTAATGCAAGTCTTTCTCTACATTCGTTTCTTGCACAACCTTCTTAATTAGTCTATGTACCCATTACTTGGCAATGGAGGTTTACGTGTTCAGCTTCTTCAAAGACGTGTTTTCTTCAGAATGACCGAGCTTGGTTCTGCTTTGGTTTGGATGTTTGACATTATTTCTCCCTTTCTGTCCCGGCAATACTGTGCTCATCATTTTCCTCTTCATTTCATGCAGATTCCCGGAAATCCCCAGTTGAAGATGGAAGTGGAGGTTGTTTCAGATCATGAAGAAGACATTGAGTAAGGCTTACAGTCCCAATTCACCAGTGTATGCAGCAAGCTCCCAACATTCTAGTGCCGTGCACCATCCACAGCTCTGTAAAGTAAACCTCCCTTGCTTATAAGGTATCTGAATTGGTATGTAGTTCATACTCCATTGTTTCTAGCTGTCCTTGCATCTTGCCAAATGCCAATGGAGAGCTGTACAAGATTTTCTCTTGCTGACTGACTAATAAAACTCTTTTGGGGTGTATTGATATAAGCATCATTTCACATCTCTGGAGGACTTCTTTTAGCTGCCATCTTCAACTAGAGATGTAAGCATCTCTCTCTTTTGACCCTGTGCTTCATCCACCTACCTTTTCCTAGTTGAAATGGTAGTAAATCTGAACTTCTGGTGCCAAATTCATTTATCATATTTGGTCAGTTTGCTTAAGTTGACTCCCTCTGCAACTTTACCATATAAAATACTTTTTTCGGCTAATGAATCCTGTACCTTCATGTGGATTTCATTCGGTTGAAGAAAATGGAAAAGGGGAAATGACTCGGTCTTGGAAAAATTGACTTCCTTTCCCCAAACATAGTAAAGTTCTGAATAATGCTTTGCTCGGTTTTGTTGGAACTTTTATTTACTTATTGAGTTTGTGCATAATTTACCTCACTAAATTTTAGTATAGTCTTGAGTTCAACTTCTACGGATTTGGCTACGATGTTAATGCCCCTTGGTGTGAGATTCAGCGTCCTGCGATTCCCAGCCATTGGATGCAACCTTTCGGTCATCCAGTGTAGAAAAACTTCTGCAATCTCAATGCTATAATGACCGAATTTCGGTGGGAAGTGATAATCATGAAGCTTACCATTGACATGGAGACAGAGTACAACCATAATGGAGCGTGACCTTTCCCCATATATTACTCAAAAGGTTTTCTCTTTTCTCTCTTCAGGCCGTAAAATATAGATTTGGTGCAACTTTCTTTTCTCAATATCTGGTTGTCTGTCTGCTTTGCATGCTGGCGACCATTGGCAAATAGTAGCAAAGGTCTAGTATATGGTCGTGGGTGGCTCATGATGATGAAGTGGCCCATCCAGTAGCCGTTGAACCCGCCCTTTTAACCGCTTTTTTCAAAAGCCTTTATGTTAATCTGGACCCACATGGCACTGAAAAATATCATTATATTGATTAATAAGTTTCTTCCTTTATCGTTCTTTCTTAAATAGATTAGGTATTCGTTGACGAAAAGGAATTAAATTTTAAGATATTGTACCTTGTTTGGTAGGATTTCATAAATTTCCGTCCCTCCTGTTCTTATTGGTATTTTTTTTTTGGCAGACGAAGTTATTCTTTTTTTGTTGAACCAAGTGAATATGTTCAGTTCTTAATTCTTATTGATTCTTCCACTTTCTAGAAAAGCAGAACCATTATTTCTCATTTCCCCCTCCTTTTTGTCTCTCTCTATCTCTCTCTCTTGGGTTCCTTGTGGCGGTTCTTTATCAGTTGAGCTTATTAAGATGGAGAATGATGCAAAATTTCTCTAACCGTTACCTCTGCAATTAATGAACAGCTAGAAAACAAAGTAAAACTGTTTAGACTGCTGTTAAAAATCTCGTGTCTCTACCTATCCCCCAAAAAAGTTCCTACCTTTCTTGTTTCTGCCTTCTGGGTTTCGATCGTACTCTCCAAATTTTGCTTTTGCAGAGGTGCGTTTGCAGATTTTCAGGCCATTCCTCTTCCCTCCGGCAATCTGTCAGTAAGTGTGTTCTCATCCTTTGGAAAAGTCCATTCAGTTGCCCTTTTGCTTGTGATTAGGGAGATGGTGGGGGAGACTCGATTACCTGATTTATTAAGTTTAATGTTATGACCAGGGATTCCTTCTAAGTTGTGTAGTGTATGAGCATGGAGAAAGGTTCTGAATCAGTGACTTGATCGGACTTAAAATCCTTTAACAACCATGGCGGAAGCCGATGACGCGGTTAGTCTAAGACAAGCGCTCCAAGCACAGCAGCAGATCCTGCATAACCTCTACCGCGAGCTAGACGCAGAGAGGGAAGCCGCTGCAACTGCAACTAGTGAAACCATGTCCATGATCCTGCGCTTGCAAGGGGAGAAGTCTGTGCTGAAGATGGAAGCGAATCAGTACAAGAGAATGGCGGAGGAGAAGATGTGTCATGCTGAAGAGGCACTGGCATTGTGCGAGGATCTCATGTTTCAGAAGGAGATGGAGATCGCTTCCCTTCAGTTCCAGCTTCAGTCGTACAGAAACAGGCTTGTCGGCATGGGACTTAGTGATGAACCAGTACAGCTGTTGTCTCACAAAAGTGATACTCTATTGGTGGAAAAAGTTGTTCATGGTAATGTGAGGAGGCTCAACTCCTTGCCTCCGTGGAAAGTTGGGTTTGATAGAGACCAAGATGGTACCACTGCTAGAACAGTTGATGAGGGAGCTGAATTCAGAGAGAGTTGTGAGCCAGAGAAGAAATCAGTTGTAGCTCTGAGTGGTGGAGATGTAAATTCGTACTGGGAAAAGATCAGAAAAAGATTGGACGAACGACTGAAAGAGATCCCCAGTAGAAGCAGAGATCATGAAGAAATCAAGCCTACAATTTGGAGAGGTGGAACTTGGTCTCCTTCATTATATTCACAACTAGGAGAAGGAAAGTGTATTGTCAACGAGCAAGTAAAGACAGTGTTGCATAGTTCAAGTAATGAGAAGAAAGCTTCGAAAGATCCACCTGTTGATGATCAACATGGTTTGCCTCCTCCTCATCCTCCTGATACTGCTGCTCTATCATTGGTTTCTGCGACTGAGTACAAGAAGCTGATGCGAAGAATCGAGAGGCTCGAGAGGGAGTGGAACACTGGTGAAAGACAACAGGAGATTGTTTCTTGTGGAGGGCCAACAGGAGAGGTTGAAGAAACGCATCTGTTGAAGGCGATTCAAGAGCAACTGAGTGGAATACAGAGTGAACTGAGAAGCACAAAAGCTGACAGAATTCCAGACGATGAACCATGCCTTGACGTTCTCCAGGAGGTATTGCTTCCTCCTCTTACAACTTGTCCTTTTCGCGCACTAGTCAAATGGAAGAAAAGATCTCCATTGACAGGTCATTGGAAGTAAATGTGGTATCTGGGTCGGGTCGTTATGTCATTGTCTCTAGCTGTTCATTATAAACTGGGTCGAGTCATGAACACTAGTCACAAGTCAAGGTTTGGATCGGATTATGGGTCAGGTCGTGATGGATGTTTAACCCCTGACCGAATCATGAACAGTTTTGGCCAAAACACTAACAACTGACACAACAGTTGGGTTTGCATTGAATCAGACAGGGTTGGGTCATAATCGGTCAGGGGTTAAACAGGTCGAGTCTTGATGGATCATTATGTGTGACAGGTCACTTCTGGACGGGTCGGGCTGGTGGGTTGGTTCAAAACTTCCTACCCCTTCACTGGAAATGCTGGCTAATGATGGGTTGTTTCTATGTGTGCACAGGCAATGCTGTACTTCTGGCTATAAAGCAATCAAAACAGACTTCCATACATACACCATTGCTGTTTGCTGTGACTATAAGTTTCTGGTGAGAAAGTAGGTTTAGTGAAGAAGATAACGATACAAGGGGATGATGATGATGGTCAAATTTTCCCCCATACAGAAGGCATTAACTTTTGTAAATGATTATCAGGTTATATGACTGAGTTCGTGTGGTTTTGGGTTGTTGATTGTAAAAGAGGTGGTGCATGTTCTCCATAGGGATTTGGCACCATTGGTTTGTACAGCAGTTGTTTGGTAATGAAATATGAGGTACCTTTTTAGAATCTCCCCAACAAGTTTGGGGTTGGTGTTTTTGTATTATGTTATTTATCTCGTTCTATTTAGCCTTCTTACGAGTATTTTATTGGTGGAATCAACTCACAATTAGTAAATAAGTGTTTGATGACTCACATATTTTGTTTTCAACCTGGTTCAAGGCCGGGTTCAAGTATCGATTCATTTTGTAAATGATGGATGCATTGTGAAAGCTAAAGAAGTAGCCGAATTTGGGGTTTAATATAATTGAGTCATCTAATACGTGCTAACTAAACAGCTAACTAAACATGATTTTGATGATAATTGTGTCAATGAAATCTTAATGAATAGACCAAAAATGATCAAAATAATATAGTAACAAAGATGTGTTTGTTGCAAGTCATATAGTAGAAAACATATTTGTTATACAAAGATGCAATGTAGGAATGACAATAGACTCATCTAGGTTAGGCCCCAAGAGTACATTTATTGACTATTTTCTTGGTTAGTAGGAATGACAATAGACTTATCTAGGTTAGGCCGGAAGAGTATATTTATTAACTATGTTCTTAATTATTTTTTCTTCATTTATATAAGACAAACAATACAATTGCATAATGCAATTGCAAATGAATGCCATGTCATCATAATACAATTCTAATTGCAATTCCAATGGAGATGCTATAACTTTTGGTTGGATCGAAATTGGGTTGGGCCAAAAATTGTCCACACTTCTCCTACCGTTCGCTTGCGGCCCAATGGGCACATGTAAAAGCCCAAAACTGGGCCGTCTAAGAAATTTGTCTCTCCTCTGCGCGCCGCTGATACTTCTTCTTCTTCTTCCTCTCACTCTCGCTCCATAGAGAAAACACCGGAAAGGAGTACACCCGGCGGCGCAAAACCTCTCCACAGGTATGTCTCCGGGGCCGGAGCCTCCGGCGGTCTTCTCTCCCGTCTTTTCATGCCATCTATTGTCTTATTTACTACTCATCTCCCTGTGAAAGAATTTCAATATATCCCCAAATTCGGTAGCTTTCTCAGGGATTCATTAAACCCTAGTTTCTTTTCTGTGTTCCAGAAGCACCATTCTATGTTAGAAAGTGAAATCGTTTGAAGAATGTGATTCTGATTTCAGTTTTCATTGTTCCCGTCGATTAGATTATCATTTCTCATTCTCTCCTTTGCTATTCCTGGGTTTATCGCAGGCATATATTCACGTGCTTGGCATTTTAATGAATGGGTTCTGTTAAAGGAATGCGCTTTTTCTGTTTACTAACATGACATGATGGATTTGGTGAATTTTTTTCAGATGGCCTTAAGAGGTGTTTGGCAGCTGAGAAAGCTGATTGTGAGTTACTCTGATTGGGGTGGAAGTAGCAGGGGCATCAGGTGAACTATTTCATACTGTCATTATGAGCTTGGACGCAATGTTTCGATGATGGATCATACAACTTTTCATTGGCATAGGCGCATAGCTTCTTTGTTCTAGTAATTGAGTATTATGCTATTCATCTTCTGGTATCAGTGGATTTATTGATTTGCTCCTATCAATGTTAAAAGGGCATTCATGGAGAAGCACCTTCCATCGTTCAAAGAGGCGAATCCCCATCTGGATGTGGAAACTGAGCTCATTCGAGGCCAACACCCCCACTTGAAGGCCTTTTACAGTAAGCCTGCTTGCTGCTTCCTCTCTTTATCTTTTTCTTGTTTCATCAGATCAGTCAGTTTGAAAAGTATTCTCCTTGTTTGTCTGTGTGAAAAGAGAACAACAATGAGCGCGTGGTATGCGTGAGGAACATGACTCCAGAAGAAGTACTGCTGCATGCTACCCGGTTGAGAAATGCCTTGGGGAGGAAGGTGGTGAAGCTGAAGACGAGACACGTGACCAAACACCCGAGCGTGCAAGGTACATGGACGACTGATGTGAAGTTTTGATGCAATGGAGATCATTTGAAATGCTCTAGTTCAGAATCTTCCCAGATTGGACTCATGATCGAGTTTTTTAGTTCACTATAGAACTTTGGAATCATATGGAAGTAGTCTATGGTAGTGTGTTGTAGTGGCGATACCCTGCAAGAGGATCATTCTCCTAGTTCTTGTGACTCACCTTGGCAGATTTGGAAATGTCTTTTGATGTGCAACATTATCGATTTCTCTTATCAATAACTAGCAGAGTGTGTGAGCGGCTCAAGCACTTGAATGCATTCGTATATGAAATGATGTCATTAGTCGATTTGCGAACTCACTGGCAGCATGAACTGTCTACTCTAATTTTCCTTTTGAGTGGAGAATCACAACTGGCAATTCTGAAGCAAGAGTAGCGGCTTGGATAAAAAGGATTCGCAATGGATATGATAACCGTTATGTTAGTTATTCCCAAGTGTGCTTGGTGTGAAAGATCTTGAGCCTACAACCTAAGCGACTGTTGGAGAATAATGTCATTTGCTAGAAGATTGCATATGCAAGCCAAATCTTAACATTTCAACATATAAAATCACTAATGGGATAGTTGGAAATGCTTATCAAGAAGCTATAAATTGATTCACTCGTAAGTTATAGATCAATTCGCGCACAAGTCGCTAGCCGAGTTGGCTCGCTAGCCGCATTAGGAGCCGACTCATGGTTCAAAACAAGGGAGTTCGCTAGTTGGGTTCAACAAGTCACCAAATCAAACTGGCGAATGTGTCTTCCGAGTGGAACAAGTTATAGTTTAATCTCGACTTCTTAGTCAATAAATTGAGTATCGAACGAGATTTTCTCGAGGATTATTCACAGCTACAACAAACATTAACGGAATCCGAGCAGTCCACTTTGAAGACAGTCCGGACCATGCTTCCTCTTGTAGACCCAAACCAGAAATTTCAGTTCGGCCCTCTATTAGGCCCAAGCCAAAAATAACTCAGAAATTCAGCCGGGAAAAGAAAAACCTAAACCAGCTTTCCCTCGCTTCCTCTACTCTACTAGTCCGACTGTAGCCGGCTCTCACGAAGCAACCCTAGCCGCCGTCGCCGTCAGTCAGTCCTCTCACCGGTCACCGCTGCCTCTCATATGTGCCGTCAGCTCTTCTCTCCTTCTCTTATTTTTCCCTCTCATTTCCGTATGTAACTTGATGTTTGATTGAATCCTTTCCTATGAATCACAATGGTTGATGACTTGGTATGATGCCCCAAAGTTTTCGTAGCTCTCTGTTCTGCTATCGGATACTTGACTATTCCACCTGTTGTTGTTTAAATGGTTTCAAGCAAGCATGGTGGCGTTTTGACGGTGCTTTGATTGGACGACTGAGGGATGGGAATTGAGAAATCTTTTAAGTTTAAGGATTGAACCTTTCTGTTCTGCAGAAAATGATGAATGCTGTAAATGCTGAGCTAACCCAGGCAATTGGAGCATCCATCAGGTCATCGTCAACCAAACTCGATATCTCACGTCGAGCTGTAGATAGGTGTACTTTTAGCCCTTCCTTCAAGAGACGCGCGCTTCAAGCAGTAGAAGTCACTGGTGCAGCTAAAGACAGAGTCTTTGCAATGGGAAATGAAAGTGGGAGTAGTGGGTCTAGCAGCGGGCTGACTTACAAGGATGCCGGTGTAGATATAGATGCTGGGTCGGAACTCGTGAGGAGGATTGCTAAGATGGCCCCTGGAATTGGTGGTTTCGGCGGTCTTTTCCCTCTCGGTAACACGAATTCTGTTTTTCATCGGTGGTATTGATGGTCTTCAGCCATTCAGTTTTCTGACAATCTGGGTGTTAATGTTGTTTTGCAGGGGATTCATATCTTGTTGCTGGTACAGATGGTGTGGGTACTAAATTAAAACTTGCTTTTGAGACAGGAATCCATGATACCATCGGCATTGATTTGGTAAACCTTCAAGTGGACCCATTTCACTGTTTCATTAAGGGTAGTAGTTTAACCCCCAGCTTATTCCTGATTATAGGTTGCAATGAGTGTCAATGATATAGTCACTTCAGGTGCAAAACCACTCTTCTTCCTTGATTACTTCGCAACTAGTCATCTTGATGTCGACCTGGCCGAAAAGGTAGCCATTGTGCTTGGCTTAAACATTCATACGATTTTATGTGGTAACTTGCTGCGGATGAATAAAAATGTTCCCTTTTTTTCGGTGGTCTGGGGTAGGTTATTAGAGGCATTGTGGATGGCTGCCAACAATCTGACTGTGCACTGTTGGGAGGAGAGGTAAACTGAAAACTCTATCTTGCTCGTTTTGCTTAAACTAACGTGAGTAGCATGAATCAAAGAGCTTTTTTCTTCCAGACTGCAGAGATGCCAGATTTCTATGCAGAGGGTGAATATGATCTCAGTGGTTTTGCAGTCGGTATAGTTAAGAAGGAGTCGGTCATTGATGGGAAGAACATTGTAGCTGGGGATGTTTTGATTGGATTACCATCTAGCGGAGTCCATTCTAATGGGTTCTCTCTTGTCAGAAGGTTGGCAGTGAGCTAGGATTATTTATCATCTTTCGAGCGAATATTTCCCTGGGTAACATTTCTTAATAAGCTGTATCCTCTTGAAACAGGGTTTTAGATCGAAGTGGTCTTTCTCTGAAGGACCAACTTCCTGGAAAGGACCTTACGTTAGGCGAAGCTCTAATGGCCCCTACTGTCATATATGTCAAGCAGGTAACTTTTTTTTTTCTCTCTCTCTCTCTCGTCTCTTCCTGACCATGCACACGTATATTTCGTATACTGATGTGTTATGTCCAAATTATACATACAGGTGCTGGACATAATCGGCAAAGGAGGTGTAAAGGGCATAGCCCACATTACAGGAGGTGGCTTTACAGATAACATACCGAGAGTATTCCCCAAAGGTCTTGGAGCTGCTATTTATAACAACTCCTGGGAAGTCCCGCCCGTCTTTAAATGGATCCAAGAGGTAAGATCTAGTCGCGTAACTGCATCTTTCAATATCCTTATACCCATTTTAGGTCTCCTTTGAGTCTGCTCTTGCTCCCTCATCGTGGCTGGCTCGTGTTTCAAACAGGCTGGAAACATAGAAGATGCCGAGATGAGAAGAACATTCAACATGGGCATCGGGATGGTCATAGTGGTGACTAGGGAAGTAGGAAGAAGAATTATCGAGGATGGACAACACAAGGCGTGCCTAATTGGCGAGGTCGTGGGGACCGAAGGAGTGAGCTATCTATAGCTGACAGATCGTTGGTATCTTCCTTTTGAGTGGTTCCTGATACGAAACCAGATATCTAGAAGTTGCAGGCTGTTTATGTGCTTTGCTTGTAACCAGGGTGAATCCTCAATGATGGGTAGCTAGATCTCCTTCACATAAAATTTTGCCCTTTTCTCATTCCCTCCGTAACTCAATGGGATATAACATGTCTTGAGTTGGAGAATGCTGTACCAGAGGTCATACCGAATAACTTAGCCGGAATAATATTCTAGTGGTACAACCGTGGTTCAATACGCGTTGTAATATATTGTTGTTAATCCAGAATTTAGGGGGGAGAGTTTTGCCGTTTCCACTATTTTTGCAACAATTAGTCGCGTTTTATATGGCAGGATGGAGCCAAAACATGAGAATTGCAGCCAAAAGGGAGAAAGAAGCTTTACCATTTTTGTAATTAACACAAGACAACATCAATATGGTACACTAAAGAACACCTGAAACATCCTAAAGCTTACAAAACCAGATTTACAAAAATGGTGAGATCCCAGATCGTTCTACGCTGATTGCTGCTTTCCCACGAGGACATAAATGGCGTATATCATACCAGGAAGGTAGCCAAACATCGTCAGCAACAAGTCAATCCAGAATTCCACCTGCGTATTCCATTAGAACACATACGAAAATGACAAGGGTGATTGTTGACTCCAAGCTTAAAAACATATGAAATAATACTATGAAAAGGAACAAGGATGACCAACAACAACAAGTCTGAACTTACGTACCCCGCATCCAAAACGGAGAAAGACGCCGACTGGCGGTATCAAAATGGCCAATATCACCTCGATTAATATCATTGAACCCATTCTCCCGTTCTTCCTATGTTGTGTGTTCTTGGTTAAGGAGAAGGATTTTGTGCTGATAAATTTTGTGAGGGGAATGTACAAGAAGATGGAGGGTAGGAAGGAATGATAGAGAGAGATGGAGGGAGAGGAAAAGATGGCCAAAACCCTCTTATTCTAGGTGATATTGTAGAATGGAAAAGAAACATGGTGGTAGAATGCTGCTAAAGAGAGAAATATGATTATGTTGTTGTCGCGCTTAAAATAGATCATAATAGTATATTTTCGTACTTTTGTGTTCACTCGAAGGTAAGGTTTCAAGGTTTTTTTTTTAAAATGTCCCCCACCCGTCCCAATCCGAAGATATCTATCTCATGGAATGAGCATTTTTAGTCAAGAGATTGTGTATGTCTCTGGACAATTTGATATTAATTTATTGTCGCATATGAAAACCGAAAATCAGGAAGATTTTGGAGAACAATATTGCACCATTTTTGGTGATCATTCTCACTTTTGTATAAAAGACCTTGAAGTTATGTCAATAAATTTCCCGTATTTGTATGCACACTAATATAATTATGCGTCTAAATAACAAAAATGGATGTAAAAGTAATCGAATAGAGTAACTTAAACTTAAAAGAAAGGAAACCTAATTGAGGGATAAAAATGTAAATTTCGTAGGAATGAGGGGATTTTTGACGATATTACAGAATTCAGGGGCTAAAAGCGGAATTAACCCATTTAAAAACAAATATCTTATCTTTCAGCGGAGAAGGAAACAACGAAATAGCGGCTCTCCCTGCTGCCGGCAATGGCAGAATCTGAGGTTTAACAGAGGTTCCTCGTAGGCCGTAGCATTTTGCCTCAATTCCCTTCTCTGCCCCTTTCTTCCCCTCTGTTTCCCTCCCTTTTCCTTTACTCTTATCACCAACAAGCCATGGCTTCCACGGCGCCATTCTCAACTACATCTCAAATTCAGTACTCGGCATGGCCATCAAAACCTCCATCTAAATCCTCAAAACCCCACAAAAACCTCCACTTTCTCTCCAGCCAAGCTCCCCTCACTCCTCTCTCAGCTTCCTCATCTTCTTCCTCTTCATCCTCATTCCCCGCTTCCCTCAATCCCAAATCCCCCAGGAACCCACTTCTCTTCAAGCCATTAAACGATTCCAGCCACGACCATCTCCTCGAAGACCGGCAATCCCTCGAGAATCTCATGAATTTGGATTTACGGGAAAGAGATCGAATTGAAGGGAAAGAAGAGGAAACGAGAGTGTTCATCCAAGACCCACCTTGGATTTCAGCTCTGTTCCTGAAAGGTATGCAGAAATTGGCTCACCGGGAAGTGAGAGTGGCGTTCAAGGATATCGAGAAGAGGAAGTACAATTTGCTTAGGAGGAGGCAGATTAAGGATGAGACGGAGGCGTGGGAGGGAATGGCGGAGGAGTATAGGGGAATGGTTAGGGAGATGTGTGAGAAGAAGCTGGCGCCTAATTTGCCTTACGTTAAAGGTTTGTTCTTGGGATGGTTTGAACCGTTGAAGGAAGCTATTGAGAAGGAGCAGATGTTGCATAAGGGGAAGAAGCAGAAGACTGCTTTTTCGCCGCAGATTGAATCGTTGCCCGCGGATAAAATGGCGCTCATTGTCATGCATAAGATGATGGGGTTGTTGATGGTGGGACATGAAGATGGGTGTATTCAGGTTGTTCAGGCTGCTGTGCAAATCGGGATTGCTATAGAGCAGGAGGTAGGTTCTTGTTCTGAGACTTCAGCTTCTTTCTTTTATACCATTTGCATTGTTGAATGAATGTATGCCGGTTTATATGTAATATGTTTGATGGTTTAATGTATTCAGGAATCCAGAAGATTCCAACAAATGGAACATACTAATATAGACTTTTCAAGCAAGTGTTGTTAGATAGTGAGTAAGCTGTGTCTGTTTTGTGTAATTTCAGGTTAGGGTTCACAATTTCTTGGAGAAGGCCAAGAAGTACCAGCGGAACAAGACACCTACTGATGATGAAGACAGCCAAAGAGTAGAGAAGGAGATCCTTAGAAAACGTCTTAATAACTTGATGAGGAGGAAAAAGCATGTGGAGGTGCAGAAGTTGGTGAAAAGCGACGAAATCAAACCTTGGGGACGTGATATCCAGGCTAAGGTATACTTCATCTTCTCTTATTTATGTTCTTCCCCCCTGAATTATCTGTTTGACTTCACTTCCATATTGAGCTTTTATGATAGTTTAGGTTGCAAGTAGGACTTTGTTTGCCTACCATGTTGCCTTTTTTTTTTTATGCATGTCTTGGCTGTGCAGCTAGGAAGTCGGCTGATACACCTCTTGACCGAGACAGCTTTTATACAAGCTCCAGTTGACCAGTTGTCGGATACTCCACCAGATGTGCGACCTGCCTTTAGACATCGGTTCAAAAATTTGCCGAGGAGCCCAGGGTGAGAATTGTTATGTACTTTGCATGACCTTCTACCAATCCATTTGAAAAGTTCATCAAAATAATCTTCTCTGATGTCCATGAAATTGATTTGAATTAATCATTATAGGCAAAAGATCATGAAGAGATATGGAGTTGTAGAGTGCGATCCTCTCGTACTGGCAGGGCTTGATGGATCTGTGAGTAAGATGACAATTTCTGTTACTGAATGATTGATTCTTGTACATATCTTTTTTTTAGATAAAGGATTCTTGTACATATCTTGCAAATGTGTTTATTTCCATGAATCGTCCACCCTTCTTGGTCAAAAGCCATGCCCTTGTATAAATCCCACTAGTAGGTACTAGTTGAAATCCTGCATTTGGTGAAGTACTTATGACATGTGGTTTCGTTTGTACAAGACAATTTGCTCTAGATTTCTATATTATGGATTTCTATACCCAGGCTGCAAAATTTGGAGAAATCTAGAATTACCAGGTCTTCTTCTCTGGTACCTTCTCTGTCACTCAAACTAATGTACACTATGCTTGTCCAAATGCAGGCTAAGCATATGTTGGTTCCTTATTTCCCAATGCTGATACCTCCCAAGAAATGGAAAAGGTATGCCTGGAATAGTTGTGATAATTGGTATAATATTGCAAATAATCTCAAGGCTGCTTCCTTAACATGGTTTTTATGGTCTATAATCTATATGTGTAAGCCAAACATATTGACAGTAATATGTTTGTGATCTTCTTGCAGTCATGACAAAGGTGGGCATCTGTTCTTGCCTTCTTATGTCATGCGCACTCATGGATCAAGGAAGCAACAAGAGGCACTTAAGGGGGTGCCAAGAAACCAAATGCAGAGAGTATTTGAGGTTATAATCATTATCTTTTTTATTTGTTGGTGTAAATTGGTCCCGTTTTTTCTTTGAAGTAAATAGTCGTTGCACGAGTACCAAACTGAAGGACTAACAAACTTTTGTAATTATTGAAGTCTAGGTTCACCAATTAATTGATTATACCATGGGATGTTTCCTTGCATTCTTATGTGGAAGTACGATGTTATTTGTTCGTCAACAGGCCCTGGATACACTTGGTAACACGAAATGGAAGGTGAACAGACAAGTACTCGATGTAGTAGAGACCATTTGGGAAAACGGTGGCAACATTGCTGGCTTGGTGGACCGGGCAGATGTAAGTTCCCCTGAAAATCCTTACTGTTGGAAACTAGTACTTGTGAAATGATTTGTTGATGTCAACTTAACATCAGCAGCCATGACCTTTTTCAGAAGTTTGTCATCAATCCACCAGCATTCTTGGTTCAAAATTAGCTTCATATTTTCTAGTAATAAGTATTGCAAGCAATCCCTAGTGCTAGTTTTTTTACACATAGATTATGTATAACAGACAGTTTAGATCTAGAAACATCTAGCTAGCTGTTTGTAGCATCTTCTTGATTTGGCCATCACTTGAGTTTCAGGTTCCCTTGCCAGTGAAACCAACCTCAGAAGACCCAATAGAACTTCAGCAGTGGAGATGGAACGTGAGTAAAGCTAAAAAGATAAACCGAGAGAGACATTCTCAACGCTGTGACACTGAACTTAAACTTTCTGTGAGTTCCTCCGCTATGCTCTCATTTATTACTTTGTTATGATAAAAAAATACTGAGCATATATCTACTTGAAACAGGTTGCTCGGAGACTGAAAGAGGAGGATGGCTTCTATTATCCTCACAATCTAGACTTCCGTGGTCGAGCATATCCAATGCATCCACATTTGACTCATCTGAGTTCTGACCTTTGTCGAGGAGTTCTTGAATTTGCTGAAGGAAGGCCATTGGGGAAGTCTGGGTTAAGTTGGCTAAAAGTCCATTTAGCAAACTTATATGGAGGTGGGGTTGAAAAGATGCCCCATGATGCGCGCCTGGGATTCGTTGAGAATCATCTGGGTGAGATATTCGATTCAGCACAGAACCCTGTCGACGGAAAGCGCTGGTGGTTAACCGCTGAAGACCCTTTCCAGTGCTTAGCCGCTTGTATTAATCTTGCAGAAGCTTTAAAGAGTTCATCACCTCATTTGACAATCTCATACCTGCCAATTCATCAGGTATATCGCATTTAATACTTAAAAAAGTTTGCAATATCTTGAATTTCAAGTTCTAAATGTGTATAGTATTAACTATTAAGACTTCTTTGTCGGGATGTTCCAGGGGTTCTCTAATTTTCTATTAACCAATTTAGTGCAATTTTCCTATAGGAAATTTTTTTGAGTGACATAATCCAAAAAATTAAAAATAAAGAGTGACTTAATCCCGAACCAGCAAAAACAAGAAAGTGCAAGCTTTCCCCCCCTTGGTATGAATTGTGTTATGAAGTTCATTTGTTTATTTTTCCAGGATGGCTCATGTAATGGCTTACAGCACTATGCAGCTTTGGGAAGAGACACTGTATGTTACCTTTTGTTGATTATTTCCTGCATTTATTCTGTTCACGATCATATGGAAATCAAGTTATTTTCTTCATCATGTATCCGTATTATATACCTTCTGGATGAACTACATTATCTACCTCTGCATTTGTTCTCTAGCCCAACTATTTACTCTTCTCAGTTCCTCTTCTTTTCTAGCTGGAAGCAGCAGCAGTTAACTTAGTAGCTGGAGAGAAACCAGCTGATGTTTATTCTGAGATAGCTGTGAGGTAATACAGATTTCACCATGCCTAAAGTTAATACCTTCCGATTAAAACAACACTGGCATGAGCTTTTTTCAGAAATATGAATTGAATAAGTGCTACTGCAGGGTCCATGAAATAATGGAAAGAGACAGCACTAAGGACCCTGCTACATATCCAACTGCCTTATTAGCCAAGGCCTTGACCGGTCAGGTTTGTCCTTTTCTTACTCTATGCTATTCTGCATCGTACTGTGATAATTGTACTTTTGACACAGAAAATGGCTGATAGTATGGTAACTTTCAGGTGGATAGGAAATTAGTTAAACAAACAGTGATGACTTCTGTCTATGGTGTTACTTATGTTGGAGCACGAGAGCAAATAAAAAGAAGATTAGAGGAGAAGGGTCATTTTACTGATGATAAACTGCTGTTCAGTGCATCTTGTTATGCTGCTAAGGTAAGCAGCTTACTGCCCTCAAAATATCGTGTTTTGTGCTGCCTGATTGAACATGGACTTCAGGACATAGGCAAAATCGAGAGATAGTTGATCATTTAGTTTCGTTTGTGTGGGTCGTTTCTGGTGGTTGGGGTGGGTGGCATGGATTGTCAGGTTTTTGTCAATTTTGGTCACTCTATTCACTTTAGCTACATCTGTGGGTTAAGGAATCATCATCGAACTTGTCCAACTGCTCATGCAGGTAACGTTGACGGCCTTAGGTGAGTTATTCCAAGCTGCACGTGATATCATGGGGTGGCTTGGTGATTGTGCGAAGGTGAGGTTATTACAGATATTTTGGAGACCAAAGCTAGCAAGTATGATTTTCTCTATGAACAAATAAGATGGTGATTCTAACTTATTGCCGATGTAGGTCATTGCTTCAGACGGGCAACCTGTGCGGTGGACGACTCCCCTAGGTCTCCCTGTTGTGCAACCATACTACAAGAGTGAACGACATCTTGTGAGCATTATGTACTCAATCTTGTTTGTGTTACTTGATGCACATCTGCATCTATCGAGATATGATTTTACAATCAGTGAGATGCTGCATCTTTTCATGACAATTGAGTATTTGAACTTAATATCGCAGATAAAGACTTCACTCCAAGTTTTGGCCCTGCAGCAGGAGGGTACCACAGTGAGTGCAGACTGTTATCACTTTGATTTTGTGTTTCAACTTCCCTTGTTCTTTTTTGCGCAATTAGCTGAATGGATTAATCTTCCGACGTTTGACACCAGGTGGAGGTACGGAAACAGAGAACTGCATTTCCACCGAATTTCGTGCACTCGCTTGATGGGTCGCACATGATGCTGACTGCTATGGCTTGTAGAGATGCCAATTTGCGTTTTGCAGGTTTCTCTTGCTTTTCACTTACAAGTGTTTCATTTGCCTTATTAAGAAAGGGCAGCCTTGTTGAGAAAGGGAGTCGAGTGGTGAATTTATGAACACTTATTTATCTTGCCTGCAATTTAAAGCCTCATCAAATCTATTATTTTTGTAATAGGGGTACATGATTCCTTCTGGACACATGCCTGTGATGTGGATTTGATGAACCGGCTGCTTCGTGAGAAATTCGTAGAGCTGTATAGTATGCCCATACTTGAAAATGTGAGTTGCTCTTCAATTAAGATGATTCATGCCTATCATTTGTTTAAATGCCTTTTGTTTTGCTAATTATATTGTGATCTTTATGTTGTGCAGTTGCATGAAAGCTTCCAGATAACATATCCAGGACTGAAGTTCCCACCTCTTCCTGAGAGGGGGAACTTCGACTTGAACGAAGTGCTCAAATCACAATACTTCTTCAACTGAAATTCTTCCCTTGTTATCGTGACATATCGGCTAACCTCAGATGTATTGCTGCTCATTCATGATAATCCTCATGAATGGCTCTAGGATGTTGCCTGGAAACGATTCTTCGAGTAGAATCAGGGTTCAAAGCTGGCAGTGGGAATCAGGAAAGGCGGAGGGTGCTTCAACAAAAGTATGGTGCCAGCTTTCCTCTGCAATCTTGTAAAGCTTCCTGAGAGCCAGAGGTTTGTTCCCCTGCTTTGTTATGATCCAACAGGGAAAAGGGTGCGACTCGCTCTGAAAACAGGCAGATTGAGAGACCTCTCGAGAATCTTAGAGCGTGGGACCTTTCTTCTTGAAGGTGAACTTCTTCCTGGGAGGATGGGGTGCCTTTACTGGGACCTGATACGAATTAGACAGAGCCTAATCAACAGCTGAGTTTTAAGGCATGCTGTCTGGTGAGAGGGCATTGTGAAAACTGTTGACTCTAAATCATATACCAGATCAATTGTAGAGTCAAAGATCAGTCTGCAGAATGTTGGTTGCAAACTTTTTGTTTCCAGTTTTATGTATGGGGCGGGGTATAATGTAAATGAATAAGGCTGTGAGCTTAGAAGCCACATTTTTGTAACATAGCAAGTTTTCCGTTGACTTATAGGAATTGCAGTCCTTAAGTTTGTTTGAGAGCTTAACTTTATCAATAACGATAACACGTTTCGTTCTAAATAACAGTTGTGGCACGATATAGATGCCATTCTTGTGAATTGTGATAAAGAAGAAGAAAAAATAAATTTTCACACTATGCTTCTTTGCCAATACCGGCAGTGAGACGAGGTATAAGCTTGGATAACACAAGTCGCAACTTCAGGAAAGAAGCTTTGGCAGACTCCAACGATATCAACATTCATAATCATAAGCTATTCACCAAAGCAGATCAAAATCCCCTCCATTTCACAGATGAACAAGCTGGCAGCCCTAGTGGAAGATGGCACTAACTCAAAAGAAAAGAAAAAGGCTAGTCAAAAGGAGAAGCTAAATCCAAATGGTGGTGAAGGCTTCCTCGAGCGACCTCTTCTTGCTAAGCTCGAAAGTCCACCCGCCAGCTCTGCTCCCTCTTTCTGCTCGCAGCCTCATCATCTCTTGATCGTCGCCGCCCCTGATTGAGCCTGGTTGGCCCATTGGTAGTGGCTGCCCAGTAGCCATTATTGGCGCGTACTGCCCTGTCGTCTCTACCCCGAGCATTGCTTGGGAGTTCTGGCAGAATTCACAGACAAGATAGGTTTCATAAAGAGTTAACCAACATATAGCATAGAATCTTTCCAAAGCTTGTGGCGCTCATCTGGCATCCAATAAAGATGTTCCACAGAATCAAGAGCTTTGAAGTGAAGGTTACCAAATGCCCAGATAGGAGAAGAGATCCTCACCAGATCAGTATCTGTTTGCGGTGGAATCCCCTTGCATGCTTGAAGAGCTTTAGCATATTCTTCAGCCTGTAACAACAACAAGGTATAAAACCCAGAACAAAATCAATGGCTACAGGCGAGGTAAAGCACTTGAAAGCTTTTGGATGAAATAAACAATTGGAAGTTTTTACAAGACCTTCCGTGCTTGATTAAGCATTATTTGCTCCGCGTTCTCTTTCTTGTATTCTTCGATTCTTGCTTTAATAGCTTCACTAGCTTGGGCGTCCCTGTCTGACACTAAGATAGTAACTGCCAGCAGTAAACTTACATCTTGTTAGGACATGAAAGTCACGTCTCAAGCAACTAACCAACGAAGTACACAAGAAGAGCTTACTCATATCTTCCACTTCTTCCAAGTAATCATTGTACTCTGTCAGAGATGGGAAATCCTCTTCTCGCTTATTAAATCTGTTAGCAACAGATGCAACGGGAATCGAAATTAGAGTTTGAGTAGATTTCAGCAGCAACCAAACACAACTTCCCACTGGTTTTCAATCTTTGCTGGATACTGTGATGGAAGTCAAGATATTCCAACAAATGATCGATGCTGACCAAGCATCCTATGAATTAAAACAACAAGATCTTTGCTTCTCAAGCATTACATATCAAGGCCATCCAATGTGCAATAACAAAGGCCAGTACGAGTTTCGAATCGACGTGCAGAAGTAACAACGTAATGCGAGAAAAGCAAGGGGAACCGTAGAACTCACATGCTGGAGATGCTTCGTCTAATGGCAATCTCCTTAGGGTTATTATTTCCAACACCCATTTAGCTAGGTTCACCAGAGCTCTCTTTCCCTCTCCCTCTTCTGCATTTCAATCAAAGGTTAGTTCCCTTCTTTGGATAAAGCACACCAAGCAAACTACTGGCAGCTTCACAAGTTGATTCATAAACCATGAAAAAGTATTGAAGCTACCCATTAACCCAGAGCAGCTTCAGAAAATCCATGTCGAACAAGGATTCTAACCTTTTGGGCTTCCGGTGAAAGATGCAAGCTTTATCAAGTTTCAATCAGTGCCCATCTGAGACACCGTCGGGAGAGAAGAACCAGAGCCCAGGAAAGCAGAACCTCAAGCAAAAATGGCACAGCTTCTACTTCCGCCGCCGACGCACCAATGGCGGCAAATGGGGTCAGTGCTTTGCTTCACGATTCAATGGGGAAGGAAAGTTCACTACTTTGATTCCACTCCGCTCGGGATTCAATTCCATTCCCGATTATCTTAAGCGGCCGGGAGAAATTTCAAGAAGCAGAAGCCGCCGCCTAAGGTAAAGGAGACGGCAACCGTGGCGCGACGGAGAGATTACCCGGGCTCTCCAAAACAAGCTGAGTGGACCTAAGATCACGGGGCCCAATATGAGGTTTGGGCCTAGAGCCTGGGACCTAAGAAACGGGCCACCTCGAGCCCGTTTTAGGATTGACGCGATTAGCGCTATAGTTGCCTTAAAGCAAGGGCTAATGGTTTTCAATTAACTAATTAATCATAAGCACCAACAAGAAAAAAGTGTTTAATTTTCACCAAAAAAAGTGTTAAATCAAGTTATAATCACATTACTTTATTCAAATTATATTAATCAGTTTCATTTAAGATAATCTGTAAGAAAATAGGAAAATAGTTACTATTTTTAATCACTCCTGATCTGGAAAAAAGAATTGACAAACTCTCCTAGTTTCAATTTCCTCGGATTCGCATCATTCGTGAGAGTAACAGATCCAATGAGTGCGATTCGATGGGCATCAACATTCAAACATTATACCACCTTCGCCATAGTAATCACAATAGTTTTACTATGGAGATCGAAGGCAGCTAACGGATTAAGGTTCGTGATTGATAGAGAAGAATGCTTCGCTCATAACGTCGATCAGGCAGATACGTTCCATGTCTCGTTCGTCGTCATTAAATCTGATGCCGTATGGGATTACACTCAGGATGGTGTTGATTTCAACGTAAGATTACCGACTCAAAAAAAAAAAAAAAACCTTTTGTTGAACCTTGATCTCCTCTCTCTATAATTTACTGATCTTATATGTATTGTTTATCATATACTTCAAACTCGCTCGTGTTATTTAATCATTAGTGACGGATTTTTTTGTGAGAATTAATTAGATAACAGCACCACATGGGATACTCGTCCACGAAATGAAAGACAAGATAAGTGAGAAGTACGAATTTGTGGTTTACTACACAGGGATTTACCGCTTCTGTTTCACTAATAAGTCTCCTTACCATGAGACCATCGATTTCGACGTTCATGTCTCCCACTATACTTTCCACGACGAACATGCCAGAAATGGTACCAACCAACTAGCTAGCTATAAGTCTTGACTAATATTCGTATGGTACTTCTTGAAATTCATGTATTCTACACTGTTGATTGTCGTGTTTCAGAGCATTTCTGGCCGTTGATGGAGGAGATGACGAAGTTGGAGGAGACACTCTACAATATCCAGTTCGAACAACACTGGCTCGAGGCTGAAACTGAACGCCAATCAAGAGGTAATTTAGCAAAGAAAATCGTTGTACCTACTCACAAGATTGACTTGATGGAGTCAATTTGTTGGGATTATGTTCATATCAATAATCTTTTTCACACAAAAAAGTCTCTTGCACACAAATTATTGAAAGAAAGGGAAAAAATGATAAGTAGTTGTCCATTTTTCTTACACATGATCATCTGTACAAGCCTATTGTTGTGCATTAAGCTCAATCCAAACTGTTAACAGTATGACTTTCATGATTTAAACGCAACATTTTGTGATCGTTAAAGTCTTCGATTATTACCAATTTACCATGTTCATTCTAATAAATCGAATGTGCTGTGTTGTTCAATGTTAGCAGTAAACAACGACTTGAACCGAAGAGCAACACATAAGGCGATGTTTGAATCAGTTGTACTTGTTGGATCCAGTTGCCTCCAATTTTATCTCTTGCGGCGCTTGTTTGACAGGAAGTTCGGTAAATTCAGGGTTGAGTATTCCCCCTATAGATTGTAGTATTTTACCTCTTCAATAGCTTTGCTTATTGTAGCAGCAGCATACTTCAATCCCTTTTTCGTTGTTATAAGAGGAACGATCTTGTCCGATTTGATATAGACGTTAAACGTTGATGCAGTTCGATTTTATCTAGTGTAAAAGTAAGGAGAAGTTCGGTTGAACTTCTTATTTCTAGTTCAAGTACAATTCGTGAGTAAATAGCATCCTCTCTAGTGTCTAAATCTGTGTGGCTTTAGGAATGAAGTAGTGGGGAAACAAATTTGTTCTTCCATTTCCCTATGAATCATTTCTGAGACTTCAAGAATCACTGACCAGTTCGAGCGCAGCAGCAGGCATCGACGATCCAGCTAAGAAAGACTTGGCCAATGTGAGGGCTAGTTTCGGTTTGTGCAGGGGGACTTCATGGCCAGCTCCACGAACAGCAACGAAGGTAAGTCCATCATATTCTTGAGTCCATCCTCCAACCTGCAGGCACAGGGGTTTCATTCATCAGCCAAATGGTATGTGGAGAAAATTGGGGAGGAAGTAACAGATACTTTGAAAGCATGGCCAGCTTCACCGTTGGAAGCTTAAGAGCATCGATTGAGTACCGAGTGGATGTGACTGGGATGACTGTATCAGTGTCCCCACTGTTTACATGACAATGGAAGAATGAAGGTTAAGATGATGAAAGGTTTATGCTTTTGGGAAGCAAGAGACCCTTAGCATGATTCAATTGACCTGCAACCCAAACTAGTCCCAAGTTGCCCATTTGACGACACCTCTAGGACCATATTCAATCTCAAAAAACAGGAATCGACAAAACAAACAAGATCTTGAAGTACCTATAAACCCATATGCGAAGCCCTGCACCAATGAGTTCCTTATAAACATCAAGCACTGAGCTGGGAGAATCGTTCCAATGCTCATTTATCACGTCACTGCAAGAAAAGAATAAGAACATGATCAAATTACTGACTGTCCTTTTAGGCTTTAAGCACAATTGGGTTTCTAAGTCCTTAGGCTATGAAGCATACTTGCAAGTCGTCCATTTTGATGGTGCAAGTTCAGCTGGAACATGGAGAGCCTCCTGAACCGCTGGCCGGTTGAAATAAGCTGTAGAGTGCTTCTCTGTGCAAGGATCATATTTCTCTCTAACAGTGCCGATTACCTATCGACATTCAAACAATAAGTTCACTTTTCTCTATTTACTATCAACAACATAGTAGGAAGGAAAAATTATGGATGGTTTTTTTCCAACAGATAAAGAGCCATGTCCCCTTACACGCCTTCTCTTCAGCAGCTGGGTGGACTGGCTGATATTGGGAGTGCAGGGAGGGGTGAACGCACTGTAAGGATCAATGCGTCCGACTTCTTGATCTGCGATCTCAAGATACCGAATGCAAGCCTTTGACGGGTGGATGAAGGAAACAGAATCACAAGCATCATTGAGTTGCTTGTAGGTCTGATCAGAGATCATTCCAGCTGACCACAAGAACTGGAAGACCCCCAAATGGTCGTGGTAATCATCTGTCAAAGCATTTCCCACCTGCATCACGCAATCCAAGATTGATGGTCACTAGAAGTGGCTCATGATCAGAAAGAGCATGTGGCATTCATTGAAAGGGATAATTAGTCCATACCATAAAGCCTTTAAGGTTAAGTGTCTGGGAGTTAGTTGCTTTGTTATGCAACACAACAGCTTGGCTTAGCTGAGGAACATAATGCCCTGGATCACCACATTCTAACAAGTTACAACCACGGACTTCTGCTAGTAAAATGTAGAGTTAAACATTAGGGAGAGGTACATCGAGTTGGTCAACCTGCATAGCTCTCTCCAGTAATGTAAAAGTCCCTTCCTTTATACTGTGGGAAGCGCTCAAACCAGTTGATCAGAAATTCTAGAGAGTCCTCAGCTGCCAAAATGGAAGGATCGTATAGTTTATCAATCACAAATTTCTTATGGTTTGCAGCAGAGGTTTGAAAACAAGTACCAGTCCTTTTATCTCCACTTGTCACCATATCTGAGGATGTGTTCGAATATGAAAAACCCACTCCGGCTGGAGAATCAACGAACAGAATGTTGGCAACTGCAAGGGAATATGATGAGAATGTTAGATAGACAATCACATGATCAATAATTGGTCGAGGGAGCCACCAATTCCAGCCCAAATGTAACCAAAATGATACAACTTGGGGAATAAAGATACTGGAAAGGACCACAAAGGACATAGATACCCCACACAAGGCCACCAATGTCCTGTCTCGGAAGAGCCATAGCCAGAAATTAACATTAATTACCTTGATTCCAGGAGAATGGGTTTAGATAAAGGGAGGCACCATCTGGCTTCACATGAAATGGGCCAATCTCTTCAGCCAAACCATAAGCAATGGAGGAACACCCAGGTCCTATAAGCAAAAAAGAAACAGTCTTTCTGATTCAGAAATCAAAACCCACCAGCTAGAACACAATGAATCGTCTCACTAACATAAAAATTAAAAAATAATTAAATTGGGAACGTTTAGAAGCTTGATTGACCTCCATTGAGCCAAAGTATCAGAGGCTTGGACCCAGGATCCTCAACAGCTTCAAAGAACCAGTAGAACAAAGCCCTCCCAGCCTTCTCATTCACTGTCAAATACCCAGAATATTGGGCGAAGCTAACTTCGAAGTTCTGACCTGGTAGCTCCAAAACCTTGTCCAGCTGCTGCTGGGCAGCTGCTGAGTCTCTCAATTTTGCAGCAGCAGAACCATAAAGGCAAACTGCAATGAAGTAGATTTTGAGCCAGCCAATTGCCCAGCTAATTTTGGCCATGTTTTCTGGAAATGAAAGCGTTTCCCTTCGGTTGAGGAGAAAACTGAATGTCCACTCAACACTGGGATGCTATATAAAAAAACTGTTCTTTGCAGAGAATTGCATTAAAGTTTAAACAAAAGGCGGGGAAAGGAAAGAACTCTCGAAAAGATCAAAACCCCATCAATCCACTACTCATAAAGGAGCCAACTTGTTTCCTCGCCTTAAAGATGACGTCTTTGTCTTTGAGCCTTTAAGAAGCAATCCTCGATTCCTCATGTGTTCCGAAACCTGGGAATGTACATTACACAGAAAACAATTACTTCAATGACCACTACACTTTTGAGATACTGTCAAATTGGTCCTTCAACATCTTTTTTTTATTTTATAATGCCTTCAACATCTATTTTTAATGGATGTGTTCACTAAATCAATTGATAATGGAAAAAAAGTTCGTACTATATCTGTAATTTTAATTTGGGATAAAGTAGGAGAAGGAAGGGAATTGGTGTGATGTTGAGTAATCTGGATCGGATTGGGTCAAGTACTTGGCTTGACCCAGATAAAATTTTGGATAAAACGGGTATCGATATTATAGTTTTTAAAGGATTTTAAATTTTTTTATGATTAAATTTGAAGTTAACAAGTCAATGTACGCAGAGGTTATTTTGCTATTCATTCTAAAGTTTTGTAAAAATGTGCTGAAGTTCAAAAACTCAGGGATGATCGTTCAGTTACCACAAAGTCCAGGGATCATTTATGTGATTGACACTCATAACTTCATAAGAGACAATTTGTGTGACCAAACTAATCATCAAAACACAACTGATCATAGAAGTTGTTACAACCTTTTCAATATCAAATTAATATTCATACAAATCCTTAAAAGACTAATTTAGCTTAGCTAGCAATTGAAGGGGGAGCTAGAGCTAGCTTATAACAACAAACTATTAACACCATGCAAACCTCTGATAAATTGGGTTGCCTTATAACAGAAGATCAGATTTAGTAAAGCAATTAGATCAAAATCATGAAGGAAGGGAACTACTTAACTTAAATACTACTACTACTCCTCCAGAACCAGAGGTGATCATCGTCTCTGTTATTTTTATAGCAGAAACAGAGCACACTCTTATGAGATGTTCTTCTGTTTGATTATGGCTTCTCAATCATCCAAAAGAGGAAGTGGCAGGTCACCATTTTGTCCACCCATCGCTGTTCTCAAACGACAAACCTAAAACATTAAAAGAAGGGGTTCGAGGATACAGAGGGTTTGGTCGGCAAATATATATCATCATTTTCATTCCCATCCACGTATATGTGATACTCTTTGTATCCGATCGGCCGACTGTATCAGCTAAATTATGTGTCAGTAGTGGTACTTATGTCGACTTTTTGTTAGGTCTTGAATCGTTAGTCTCATCGGTTTAATATTCGGTATAGTTTCACGATTTTCGATTTGTGTCACTTATGTCGTAGAAGGGATCGAAGAAGCATGTTTTCTACAGTGACCATGATCAATCAGCTTATGGTCATCGCGGGGCATCCGTGAGAACGTATTCTAAAGGGTGTTCAGCCATTGAATAGCGTATTGTGCACTTTGTGATCGTTTGATAAATAAGGTGGCGTTTTAATTTTACAAAATTGTCGATACGCCCATCCACGCAATCTGATGATGATCATTTATCCTTGCAAGCACGTTCTTATATTTCGAAATGTGAGCGCCATAGCCGAGTTAGACCAGGATGATGGACATTGGCACCTATTATGCTCTATAGGTGAGTTGCATGGAGTGGAAGTAAACCATGGTGAACCATGAACCATGAATTCTATCTCTTTCGCGTTTCATACTCCACAGAGGAAAATTTTGTCGAGAATCAATTGGTCTCGTTAACTCTACATATTGGAATTAGTTCAAATATGTCTTAATTATGCCAGTCATATACATGTATGCTTTAGACAAAAGTCAACCCATTGCTCGAGGTTTGCATAGGTCGGCAATACTACTTGTGCTCAACTTGTTGATATTGAAAGCAGTTGAGAATTCGAACATGATCGAGACCCTCTAGTTATCAAATCTTTTAGAACCAGTAATCAACAAAATTAAAATCAATCATTAGGTATGCTTTTCTCTCGCTTTGCATTGCTTCGAGTTGTACACATCTCTTAAACGAAAACTAATTGATGGACTTGAAGTTTATACAAATTCAAATATCATATGTTTAACCGAAGTATAAATAATATGTATTTAGATGAACTGTATTCGATAATCAACCGTCTATATATCCATCCAATTTTTTTAATTTAAAAATGATTGTTTCTTTCCTTTTCAATTTCGGGACAAAAAATAAAAAAAATTATCATTTTGAATTGAAAATTTGTTTTATTTTTTTCATTCAAAATGATAAAGGAAAGAAAATGGAAATAGGTGTAAATTAAAAAAAAAATTGAAATTTGTTGAGTTGGCAGTGACATGGCGCGTTGACCGTTAGTCAACGCGTTTAACCGTCCAAGTTAACGGTCAAAAGTCGGATCTGGCCAAATTGTTTATTTTGATGTATAGTTTGGGTCAGAATGTTATAGATCGAAAAGATTGGCCAGAATGTTTATTTTGGTCAAAGTTCAGGTCATATAAAAATATTAACCCTATATTTTTTTTTGTCAGTTACCCTTTGTTGTTTTTTTTTTCCATCGAATAGAAATCATCATAGGAATTCATAAAACAATAACAATTAATCCTCAATTACAAGAAAATTTGTCCTGTTTTTCCAAGAGAATATGAAGGGAAAAAAGAAATAAATTAAAGCAAGAAGGAAAAAGAAGAAGAAAAAAAAACTTTGTCCCTGTGGGCTGTCTGCGCATCACGACATGGGCTTGGATTAAGCCCGCCCCGTTATTCCCTATGTTTTTTCACGTACCAATAATTTTATATGAAAAATAAATTAAGTTTTTTGTCAAACAAATAAATAATCTTTTGTAGATAGAAGAGGGGAAAATAAAAAATAATTTATGCTCAATGCCAAACAACCTCTTAACTTAACTAATGGCTCGATTCATGATTTGTTTATTATTAATGGCCTACTCTTTCCTCTTAATCATTAGATTAATTACAAAAGTTAAATTTGATTACTTCAAAGGAGATTATATATGATTCTTCATCATGTTCACTTTCATTCCCTTTGCTCTCTCTTCCTTCCTCCTATGTTCTTTGTTCTTCTTTTGTTCTCTCTAGCTTCTTCTCCTTATCGGTTTTGAGTCTCATTTCTTTCCATCTTCACGAGGCAATTGTCTTGCCTCTTGAAGATGGAGAGAAATGAGAAATCGCTTCTTATCATCTGGTGCATGTTATGCTTTGTTTACTTTTCAAGTTTTCTCACAAACGAATTTTGATCTCACTTCAAATTCGAGAGTATGAAGGCTTAGATACTTCTCTCTTTTGATTTTCCATGTACTTCTGAAACTTTTAGTGGTTAGATGTAGGGTTCTTTTAGAAGTATATCTTTTACAGCTTTTTTCCCAAAGTATGTAAGAGAGTAGGATACTGATCAGTGTTGACGATGAATGCGAGCTCCCTTTCCCCAAGAAACCCCAATTTCAACACACCACTACTCCCCCATCCCAAATTAGCCCCCATAATCATTTGATGTTGAGTTCTTCATTACCCATATGGATCATCAAGCACTAATTACAACACCAAGAAGAAGAAGAAGAAGAAGATTAGACGATGATGACGACGATGAAGAAGCCGGCGGATTGATTAAGCTAATTGGGACCGGTCGTTGGAGTAAGAATGGTGTGTTTTTAGTGAAATTAATTGGTTGTCTTTGTTGGTTTCACAAAGGCTCCAATTTATTAATTATTATTAGTAGTATTATTACCCTTAGCCAATTATTATTTGCAGACTTTTTCTTTCTTCTTCATGGTCTACCCAATTTCTGTTGAATGCCACCCTTTGATCGTTCAATGTAGGCGTTTTGTTTCTTCTCAATTTTGTTTGGATTTCGGGTTGGCATTTTGGACTACTATAGGTTGGAGGCCAATCCAAACCTAATTTCCTTCCAATTGTGTGACCCTTTGTTATGTTAAGTGTTATTGTTGTTGGGTTACTATTAGGAAAATGGAAGGCAAGTGTTTGGATCTATTATGGCATATATTTTAGAGATTAGGTTCATGATGCGTGATCGGTTTCACACATCGAACATCTCGAATCCGGAAAGAAATCAACTACGAAGAACTAAAGAAAAACGATAAAACTACAACTAAATAACTACTAATACTTTACTTCTTCATTCCTTCAAGGGACATCGAGAGAGCTTATGTTAGATGGCATGTCTTTCTTCATTTTCGATATCAGATGATAATGGCATAATGATATGTCCTTTTAGTTTCTGCTCTTGCACAAAAGTTTGGTTGAAGGTGGGGTTTGTACTCTCTGAGCTATGAGGTTCGAGACATCTAGAGATCAGGGAAAGAGTATTTGCACTTTGTAAGGGATCTCATTGATCAGACACGATTGAGACAAGTCTTTATAGCTAAGATTCTAGAGGTTGAAGACATACTTTAGTATGATAAATTGGTGCGAGCTTTCTCGTCTCACTATCATTTGAATTGTAACCAAATTGTCAATTCATAAAATCAAAATCAACTTCGCACCATAAAAACAACACAGAGTTAGGCTTCTACATATGTGTTGTGTATTTGTTAGGCCATTTTGTATTGGTAATCAAAATTCTAAATCGATATCTACAAACCTACCTATTTTTTAATTGATACTTTCAATATATCATATACTCATCCTAATTCCTACATAAAGGACTAAATTGTCTAGCAATAAGATGAAAGATATCCGTTATATATTAGATTTAAGGGCTAAGAAACATGATCATCCATGTTACAGAAACGTGAGTGTTCTAGTGTATTCTTAATGCATACACTAATCAGACATGTAACATCTCAGTGATGACGAATTCGACTACCCATTCACAAACCCTGACAACGATAAATATGTGACACAAACAACACATTTGGTCCAGACTTTAAATAGGGACACCATAAGGTAATTTAATGAATGGAATAGTAAAAGAGCATGGTAGTTAAAGATCACTAGACCTTTACTACTACAAAACCATGGGACGGGTTAGCATGCTAACCCTTTAAGGGGTTGGTTTTTTGATACGCCCCTTTTAATTGGTCAATTTTTTATTAATTATTGACAAGTATTAATGAAAGTAAACATAATAAATGTTCTGTTATTAAATACAAAGTAAGCATTAAATACACCACATTAATTACCACTTTACTGGTATTTGTACCATTGCACTGATACTCAGATATGACATTGCTACCAGTGCACTGATATCGATACCAGTGCAGTGGTATATCTACCAGTACAGTGGTACAACGTATCAGTACAGTGGTACACCGTATCAGTGCAGTGGTATATTTTTTGGAGGTGGTCGGAGAGAGTCTGTCGATGGGATTTTCACCGGAGAAGCGTGGCGGTCGGAGACTGCTGAAAAAGGAAAAATCAAATATAGTGAGAGAATTCCTAATGTGTATTTAATGTGTGTATTTAATTCCTAATGTGTATTTAATAGTGAGAGAATTCCTAATTAATATGGTACATTTAATTCCTAATGTGTATTTAATGTGTGTATTAAATTCTATAGTTGTATTTAATATACTGGGGTGTCATTTTTCCAACCCCTAAGGGGGTTAGCATGCTAACCGACCCCAAAACCATATATTTTGCTTTGTTAGTGGCACATGGTACATATGCGATTATGCTCAATTGACATATATGCCAAGTGTCATACTAATAGCATTACTTAATTCCTTGGTCAACTTTAACTGGTCCACATGTTAGTACATACTTTAAACAACTTAGTTATTCATATTTTGTTTATGCATGAAGGGTTCTTGTTTTAAATGCTTTCAAGCTCCATCCTTATCTTAAATAGTGACAAAGTTACACATTACAATTGCTAAAATCACGATTCTGGGTTTGAATTCTCGTACTATGATAATTCAAACAATCTCCTGTTAACATAAATGAGTGTTCTATTCAATAGATATGTTCTTTCTCTTAAATAAGTAGGTAACTACAAATGAGAACAATAGTCTTTGAATCTCAAATCACTAATGTTGAGAATGGTGACACCTCAAACAAACAACTTTTAAATATTAATGAATGGAATGACAAAAGGATTAAAAGTGTTATTTGGCAAAACATGGGAGGGTGAAATGACAAATAGTGGAGCCAGTATTCTCTTCTTTTGATATCTACCGGACTGAACTTCTTCCGATTAGTAATAATTTTTTTAATAGATAGATCTAATGCACATGCAGCTTGATTGTAAATGTTTTGTCTACTATAAATTGGTCCAATCTCACTAGTTGTGGCCACTTATGTGTTGTTTCTCAACCCAGATTGGGTAGATAAGCATTGTGTAATACTTCTTCAAAAAGTATGAAATCAGTTTACAACATGTCATTGTTGATTAGGGCGCACTATTTCGATCACCTCCATCTTGGATCCATCATTCTAAAATTGTTCTTTCCTCGTGACTCGTTTGTTATATCACAAGCAAATCATAACTTGTTTGTTATATGTTTCATCAATTTTTTGTGTTAGATTATCTTAATCTTCATTATTAGACCTGGTACAGTTTTGTTGATGCTTTCATGACAAACAAAAGTATTCGAGTTTAATAATAAGAGACGATCGCATCTCGATTGGTAGAAAATATATTGTCAAACAACCGATAAATTTTGACTACACTGTTACACGGAAAGAGTTAAAAAAACACTTACAAGGATCAAAATGCTATTTTGCCAAACATGAGGTGTCCAAAATGACAAGTATGAAGTATCATCACACACTAACGGATAATTGATCAGATCAAACAAAGTACAATCACAGTGAAAAAACAAATAAATATCTGTAATTTATCTCGCCACTATAAAATCTGTCTGCTTTCTTCAGTTCTTCCCCAAACTCGATTCAGAGAGAGAGAGAGAGGGAGGGAGGGAGGAAGGAAGGAAGGAAAGAGAAAGCTCTGTTTGTGTTCTTGGCATTTTGCTAGCCTGCTGGTGGTTGCTTATGGCGGAAGGTTCTCTGTGAATATTTTTCTGTTCTGGGGTTGGGGAAGGAGGATTTCTTTTCTTTATCAATTTAAATCAGCTGCCCGACGCTTCAGAGATTTCGATTGCAGCATTTAGGCTTAACCCCAAAACTTTTTTTTTTTCAAATTCGTTTTTTATTTCCTAAAAGGAGGAGAATTTCTCAATCAATGAGGTTCCGTGAAGAGAACCCTTTATAGAGAAGACGAGTCCTTCTAATTCCTCGTCGGTCTCTCTCTTCACGTAATCGCTTTTCGATTGCTTTTGTAGTTCATTATTACTCCGCAAGCTTCTTGCTCAATCAAACTAACCAGCTCCCTTCTTTTCTTTTCTTTCCTTCCCCCCAATTATAACTATTTAATGTCTGACTGTTGACGTTCCGGAGTTCGATTTCGATATTGGGTCGGGGCCTGAACTGGGATTTTCTTTTGATAAGCTAATTTGAAGTGGGTCAGTTCGGATTTGGCCAAATTCGGCGGGTTTTGGAACAGGGCAGACAACTAGGGTTCTCCTTCTAGAGGTGGATTTTGTTTGTTTTCGCCTCTGGTGGTTGGGTTCGGTTGTCTCTCCTTCGACCCTTTTCCACTTGGCTTCGCCGCTGATTCTGTGTAAACTGTAAAGTCGTCATTTTTCTCTTCCGGGTAAATTCTCTGGTGGACGGTTGGGCTTCTAATCGAGCTCGAGTCTTGCTGAATCTCATGGGTTGTCGATGACAATTGTGCCTTTGTCGATTTGAGGTCTACTGGGTTTCTGTTCTGTTCGGTTGATTTCAGAGGATTGAAGCTTGATTTGGGTGTGAGAAATCCAGGAGGAGAAGATGAGTTCAAGTATCACAGAAGCTTTGGTTCAGCAGGGGAAGCTGCTAGTCCATATAGCAGAGAACGGCCATTCATTTGAGCTGGATTGCGATGACACCACCCCAGTTGAAGCAGTTATGCGTTATGTTGAATCTTATTCTGGGATCAACTTGAATGATCAGCTTGTTCTGTGTTTGGATATGAAACTAGAACCTCAACGCCCGCTCTCTAGTTACAAGCTTCCAGCTATGGATCGAGAAGTGTTTATATTTAACAAAGCTAGGCTTCAGAACAATTCCCCACCACCACCTCCAGAGGAAGTGAATGTAGTCGAAGTAGCTGATCCTCCACCTCCAGCTTCTAGCCACGAGCCTCATCCTTTGGATGATGCCACAGACCCTGCGTTGAAGGCGTTACCTTCGTACGAGAGGCAGTTTCGGTATCATTTCCATAGGGGTCATGCGATCTATAGCAGAACTCAGGTGAAGTTTGAAACTTGCGAGAGGTTATTGAGGGAGCAGAAGGTGCAGGAGAGGGCGGTGGAGGTTGGGAGGGGTAATTTGGATCAGTACTATAAGGTGATTAATCAGAATTATACCGAGTTCATGAAGCGGTATAATCAGCAGCATAGGATTCATTCGGAGCTCCTAGTGAATTTCGGTAGGGATTTGGAGAAGCTGAAGTCTATCAGGCTTCATCCAGCTTTGCAGGGTGTTGGTAGGAAGTGTTTGATAGATTTTGTGAAAGAGGAGAACTTGAGAAAGGCTTTGGAGAGTTGCAGCAACTCTCATAAGCAATTCGAGAAGAAGGTTTTGGAGTTTAAGCAGATGTTTGGTGAAGTGAAGCGCAAGGTAGAGGAATTGTTTGCATGGCGAGCTTCTGTACCAATTAAGAACTTGGAGCTAACTATTAAAGAGCACCAGCGATTCATCAGTGAACAGAAGAGTATCATGCAGTCTTTGAGGTGGGTTGCCTTCTATCCTGATAATTTTGTCTATATACTATGTTCTCATGATTATATATGAGTATGCGCTATCTTATTTTAAAAACTTCTCTAATATCTCCACTGGTAGACCATGCTTCTCCGCAATATGCAGCTTGCTGTTTATATTTAGGCTCCGGTTATCTCGAATGTCTCTTACTATTTCTAGGAATGAACGTTTCTTATTTCATAATTGATGGCCTTTGAGTTATGCTTATTATGAGCAGGGATCATCATTAGTTTCATCAACTTAACATCTCACTGTTGATATTTGTGCTAAGCTTGTGAAGTTGGTGAATTTCTAGTTCTTTCTCTTTTCCAATCACAATGCGGAATGAGCATGGACTTACTAAAGTCTGCTTCAGTTTCCATCTATATCTTATGATTTTATGGCATGCTAGGTCTAGTTTTGCTGTTAAATTTGAACGGTGCTAGATACCTTTTTGCCTCAGAATAGTTGGGGACACAATTTACGAACTGTATGTTCAAAGTTGGTGCAGTAGTAATTTTCATCCATCTAAGTCTCGAATAGATTATTGATGGCTAGCATGGAGTGTGGTTTCACGAGCTTGTAGTATAGAAATGGCCATTTCTGACATGGATTGTTGTCGACTGTCATGAGTATGGATTCACAAACTTCTGGTACTAAGTACTAACTAGGGGAGTTTTGGCGTAATTTGTTAGTTTCTGGTATCAATGATTGGGCACTTTTATGAATGCAGCAAAGATGTAAACACGGTAAAGAAACATGTCGATGACTGTTTATCCAGCCAATTATCTTCCTCCCTCCGTCCTCATGATACAGTCTCTGCCTTGGGTCGTATGTACGATGTCCACGACAAGAACCACCTTCCCAAGATGGAAACTTGCGGCCGTTCTATCTGCAAACTCCTCGACTTCTGCAAGGAAAAGAAGAACGAGATGAACATCTTCGTTCATGACTACATGCAGAAGATAACCTATGTCTCCTACATAATCAAAGATGCAAAGCTACAATTCCCTGTATTCAGAGAGGCAATGGTACGCCAGGACGATCTCTTCACTGACCTGAAGCTCGTTCGGGGGATTGGCCCGGCTTACAGAGCATGCTTCGCTGAGATAGTGAGAAGAAAGGCCTCAATGAAGCTCTACATGGGCATGGCTGGACAGCTGGCAGAGAGGCTTGCAACTAAGAGGGAAGCTGAGGTCAGGAGGCGGGAGGAGTTTTTGAAATTGCATGGTGTGTACATACCAAGGGATATCTTAGCATCCATGGGGTTGTACGATACTCCTAGTCAGTGTGATGTCAACGTTGCTCCTTTTGACACTAATTTGCTTGATGTTGATTTCCATGACCTGGACCGCTATGCCCCTGAGTATTTGGCTGGACTGCCTTTTAAGGGCGAGAGACAGGGAAGTCTGAAAGGCTCATTTTCCACTTCCAATGATAGCTCTCATTCTGCTGAGACGGAGGATATTTATGTGGATAATCTTGAGAAAGATGATTCTGAGGAGCTGCTTGAGAGTTGTGATTTAGTGGAGATTGCCGGGACAAGCAAAGTGGAAGTCGAAAATGCAAAGTTGAGAGCTGAACTTGCTTCGAAGATAGCCCTCATCTGTTCTTTCTTGCCTGAATTGGAATTCGAGTCTCTTGATGATAGCAAAATGGGAAGCCTATTGAAAAATGCAGCAGAGAAGACAACCGAGGCTTTGCTACTGAAAGATGAATATGGAAAGCATCTTCAGTCTATGCTCAAGGAGAAGCAATTGCAGTGCCTGTCATATGAGAAGCGGATTCAGGAACTTGAGCAGAGGTTGTCCGATCAATACATGCAGGAGCAGAAACAGGTCAATAATAAAGATGTATCATCTGATTCTGCACATTCAGCTGCAACTGCTGCCCATGACAGTAAACCTGAGATCTCAATCCATGGAGAAACCCACTTGCCTTACTCATCATCTACTTCAGAATCCATGGATGACGTCTCTTGTATATCTAGCTCTCTGGATGCGAAGTTGGGGCGTTTCACTAGGCAGCATAGTAGCAAAGGTAGGGAAGGGTTGGTCGATGATGAACATATGATGGATTCCTCAGGAATCCTGAACACCCAGTTAGATTCTTCAATGCCTGAACCACATAGAGAAGAGCTGCAGGCTAGCGACAAAGATGGGAAAGACAAGATGGTGGCAGGGCAACTAGGGATGTCAATAACAAATAGTTGCACGGCTGAGAGCATGCCCGAGCCTTCACCCAATCTGCCTTCTGATGCAGTCATTGAGCCTAAGATTACTGCCGGGGATCTTCTGGAGTTGCAGAATGAACTTGCAGAGAAATCAAACCAGTTGAGTGAAACCGAGGCTAAACTCAGAGCTGTGATGGGGGAGGTTGCCATGCTTACCAAGGAGCTGGAAACAAGTCGAAAACTTCTGAACGAATCTCAGGTGCTTACTATTGAAACTACGTTTCTTATTCCATTCTGATTCAAATAAATAACGAACTTCGCTATTACTAGGCTCTAGTAATTTTACTCTTTACAGCAAGTGGGCTGTCTCAGAAATTTTCTGTTCTTTGTGTCATGTGGACAGATGAATTGTGCTCACCTGGAGAATTGTCTGCACGAGGCAAGAGAAGAGGCCCAAACTCACCTCTGTGCCGCTGATAGGAGGGCTTCAGAATATAGTGCTCTACGTGCATCTGCTGTGAAAATGCGCGGTCTCTTTGAAAGACTGAGGAGCTGCGTTTGCGCTCCTGGTGGAGTTACTACTTTTGCAGACTCTTTGCGTTCTTTAGCTCAATCTCTGGCCAAGTAAGATCACTCTCACTGAAGCTTTTTAATTTGTTAGCTTCTATTCACATTAATGTTGCTGACTTACATCTTCATGTGTGTTTCTTTCTTGTGTCAGTTCAATTACTGAAAATGAAGATGATGGAACTGGGGAGTTCAGGAAATGCATTAGGGTTCTTGCGGAAAAAGTTACTTTCTTGTCAAGGCACCGAGATGAGCTACTCGACAAGTGCCCGAAGCTAGAAGCTGCCAACGAACAGCTGTTGAAGGACCTGGAGGAGAAGAAAGAGCTCTGCACCACTCTATACAAAAAGCACCAACTCGAGAAGCAGGTAAATCTTCTATCAATTATCCCTTTATAATCCTCCTGTTTAGCCATATGCCTTGCTGATGACATGCCAATCGCTCGCCCTCCAAATTGCAGGCGAACAAAGAGAGGATCTCGTACTCCCGATTGGAGGTCCATGAGATTGCTGCATTCGTGCTCAACGCTGATCGACACTACGTGGCGATCAGCCGCAGCTGCTCTAACTACTACTTATCTGCAGAATCGGTGGCCCTCTTTACCGACCATCTTCCAACCCCACCGAGCTTCATAGTTGGAAAGATTGTGCACATCGAGTGTCAAACCGTGAAGCAACTGCCTGGGGCAGCAGCAGATCAGGGAAGCTCCTCCGACGTCTTGGAGGCTGCTGCTGACCGGAGATTGACTTTGAACAACTTGGGATCGACGATGAACCCGTATAACCTCCCGATTGGCTGTGAATACTTCGTAGTGACGATAGCCATGTTACCTGATACCGCCATTCATTCTCCATGATCGATCCGCCCTGAGTTTACTCTTCGGGAAGACATGACATGATGGAAGAAAAAGTGTATATTAATGAAAGTTATGAGAAAAGGACGCCCAAAAAAAAAAAAAAAGAGAGGAAGAAAATGAACTAGGGTCTGTGACCTTGTTCTTTGTACAGCTGACCAATTCTAAGGTTCTTTTATTATGATGTTTGGCTCTGTTCTTTTGTATATAAAGTCACCTTCTACAGACAAGCCCTTTTGTGTATAAAAAAAACCCCAATGAACTGTGAATATTATGAATCATCTCCATCCACTCTTGTGTTTTAGTTACAACTTCCAAGTCTGTCTTCAAATGAGCTGAGTATTGGTAGTCCATATGGTGTCCATTGCTTCACACATGCGATGAGTGTGTGTACTAAAAATGAAAATGTGATCCTTGCTAGCAAGAAAATCAGTCGCAATATCACATTCAATCTAGATTTTAGATGCAATAATATTCTTAATGTGTTGATGCCAAATTTATAACATGTTTCAATATGCTTGAGGTTCGGCGAGCAGTGACCGACCAAAGCATTTGACCACCTCCGACTCCTAGAAGAAGAAAAAAAACGTCCCGCCGAGATAGTCAGTCGAGTATGGACCTCATACAACGCTCAAATTCGTAGCGGAATAAAACAAGATAAATAAGATAACATTCAACATGATATAGTTTCACGTTGATAACCGAGTTGTGACTATTCACAACCCACGTGAGTACATGCAAGGGGCAGCCATGGTTTCATTCAAAGTGGGTCTATTTAGAAAAAAATACACATGATAAATAGTTTTGTTAACTTCATAATCATCCATGATAAAATTTTATATTTATAAAAAAATTTGAAAAATTAAAATACATGAGTAGTAAAAAAATCAAGAATGTCACTCTCTTTGTACCAAATAATTATTCATTGTTTAGTTAATCCTCATCTTTAAAATAATGCTTTCTTTTTTTTAACCGTTTAATATCAATAACTCGAGTTGTTTAAAAAAGTTCAACGACGAATTTTACATACCCCGGTGGTGTATGAGTTGAAAAGAAAGAAGAGAGACGGGGGAGGCGCGGTGGTGTTGGAATTGATGTTGGTGGCGATAGTTGAGGGCGGAGGAGTCTTCTTCTTCTAATAATCGTAATTTTTTTTTTATTATAATCACTTCTAATCGTAATTAGAGTTCTACCTTAATTAGAAAATTAAGCTTTTCCTCTAATTCACTCTTTATTCTACTTCTCTGCCTCTATATATTAAACCGCGACAGTTTAACTCCAGAGAGAGAGAAACATAGCGACCCGACCCAATGTACCGGGGAATCCAGCGGGCGCAGGGGAAGCGAGTGGTGGACCACGGCAGGGAATTCACGCTCCTGGTCGAGGTCAGCTCGGCGGCGGAGATTGACGGGTTCGCCGACCACAGCGACGTCGGCGCCGAACAGCGGTGGTACCGGCTCAACATATGGGTCGACCCGGCGTCCCGGTTCTCGACCAGTACGGTCTGGACCTGGACTGGCCCGACGTGGAAGCAGAGCTGTAAGATCCCCGTGGAGATCGGGTCGTCGTATTACGACGGGACGCTGAGCGTGGAGGTGGAGCGGGTTGGCCGGCCAGATTGCGGTCGGGTCGGCCCGACCCGGGAACGTCGCACGGTCGCGCCATCGTCGGGAGGGCGAAGGTGGGGCTGCCGAAGTTGGGGGAGGAGAAGGGAGGGAGGTTTGGGCTCGTGAGGGCCGGCGGCGGGGAGTGTAAGGCGGAAGGGTTTGTGTTCTTGAACATGAAGTTGGTTTTTTTTTTTTTTTTTTTTTTTGATGAATAAACATGAAGTTGGTTAAGAGGCAGAAAATGAGTTTTGATGATTGATTTATTAATTAGAAAGGAAAAAAAGGATAATTAGGGTTTGGATTAACTCTCGGATATGTAGATATGGTTGATTTTTTAGTGGTGTTAGGAATTCGGGCCGATGCGTGTCTTGTTATTTTTGTCGGTGAATCAAGATCGAATATTTTCGATCGTTGTTACGTTGAAATGATGATACATTTTAATGTTTCGAGCTTGATCGTGTGTTTGCGTGTTAACTTTGGATGGGAATTGAGATGACAATTGTGTTGCCCCGTATGTTTGTCTGATGCAATGGCTGGTCTCCTGGCATGAGAGTGTTGATGCTGTATTGTATACTTTGATATGAGTTGTGAGATAGATCTTTCTAAGTACATTGTTTTGTTGTGTAATGCAATATTGGTCTCTGGAGTCACTTTATGAAGTCTGGTTTGTTTGGTATGAACTGAAATGAACTCAAATTGGTGGTTGTTTGGCCTAAGAATTTACTGATATTGCTTGGCCTTTTATTGAATGAAGTTCTTGAATTGGTTCTCTTGTTGTATATGTTGTTTCTGCCCATATTTTTTAAACCCAAATTAATAATATTGGCCTTTTTTAAACCCAATGTGCATTTGTCATTTTAGGTGGTTATATTGTTTAGATTCACAAAGACATTGACATATGAGTGTACTCATAATTAGATTAACAATATTGCAATTTCAAAGCTCTCAACCACAAATCTAACCGTTAGCGGCAAATTCTAGCTTAACACAATTTCTAGCTTACGACAGTGTCGATTCTAAATCAATTCTCTGACTGAATTCTCGTCGTAATGTCAATATCATATCAAGTATCGACAACTAATTTAGCATTTTTTCAAGTAAGCAAGAGTCCCACTAATTAACATTGCACGATAATCAAAAGCCTCCTCAAACATTACAAACCACATTATCACAACTCCTTTCCCACTAAAACCGGGATTCCAAACTAACAAAATATTATGCACTCGAATTCAAAAGCACAATATTATTATTATTAATTAATTTAATAATTATCACGACGAATTCTTCGGCTTCGGCAGCAGAGTAGCGGCGCAGATCGCGCTGACAAAAGCCGCCACCGTCCCGACGATGAACGCCGGCAAGTTCCCTCCGCCGAACGCCGCGTCAAACGGCCCACTCCCCAGCGAAATCACCATCTGCGGCAAACAGATCGACAGATTCACCACCCCCAGCGAAAGCCCCTGCCCGGCCCCAGATCCGTGCGAGTAGATCGACGCCATCGCAAACGGAATGCTGTACGTCACCGCCAGCGGCAGCCCCAAAACTCCGAACACCGCCAGCGCCGCGCTCTTAATCCCCGCCGACGGCTCCACCACCACCACCACACCGCCGCCGTGGCTCCTCTTCTCCCGCTCTTTCGCTGCCAATCTAGTAATCACGATCGTCATCACGAAGCAAATCCCTAGCACGAAATTGACGATCCCCCATAGCAATTTCACCCCCAATTTCCGCGCCAGAGGATCGATTGCGAGGGAGACGAAGAGGAGGACGATCGAATTGATCATCAGGCCCAACGAACCGGCCCGAACCCCGCGGTCGTAGAGCCGGACCCGATCCGGTTTCCCTTGTGAGCTCCCGCCGTACACTTCCGTCCCCATCCAATCGGTGTCGTATAGCACCCACGGGAACCACGCAATCCAGTTGAGACACGTCACCAGCAGGAGCATCCACATCGGACGGTCCAGATTTCGCAGCGCCAAAAACACGCTGCTGTTTTCCGACGATTTATAGACTCTGTCACGGGACACAAATAAGTTTTTTTTATTAGAAAAAATAATAAATCGTTATCAATGTTTATAATTTATTATGATGAAAAAATGACACACCTAGTTGATGGACTCAGCTCGTTCGATTGGTCGGTCGCGGTGTTGGGGTCCCACGGCTGCTCGCGGACGTAGGCGACGGCGATCACAGTGAGGAGGATGAGGAGGGCGGCGGAGATGAAGAAGCACGACTTGAGGTTCGCGCAGTAGACGTCGCAGGCAGGGGTTGCGGTGAAGCGGAAGAGTGGGAACTTGTGGAGGCCGTCCTGGGCTCCCGCGAGGTAGCCCAGGACGTTCCCCACTCCCATGAAGCAGGAGAAGAGTGAGTTGGCGACCTGGGTGAGCCGCTGGCTATCGCCCGAGAGGTCGCCCAGCAAGGCCCGACAGGGGCCCTGCAGCATGTTGTTGGAGACGTCCAAAACCCAGAACCCGACCACGAACACCGCGATGGCCCGGGTCCTGGGCCGGCCCGGTTGCTCGTGGTCGAGCCGGTCGCCGTACCGGTGGCCGATGTCGGCTGCGAAGCCGATGAGGAGGACGGCGACGACGACGAGGACCGTGCCGGCGAGGATGAACGGGGTGCGGCGGCCGAACCGGCCAGTTCGGCGGTCGCTGAAGTACCCGACCAGCGGTTGGACCACGATGCCTGAGATCGGGCCGCATAGCCAGATGATTGCGGCCCACTTGTGGGGGATGCCGAGGAGCTGGACGTATGGGGTGAGGAGGGACAGCTGGAGGGCCCACCCGAACTGAATCCCGGCGGCAATGGAGGCCACGGCGGCGATTTTCTTCAACGGACTTGGTGGTGGCTGGTTCGCCGGAGAAGCCAGCGACGTCGGCGATGCTGCTATAGTTCCCATGGCTGCTCAAAGAGAAGAGTGGATAATGGAAAATGGAGTGCCCGTTGTGGGGATTTTGGATTTTGTTTATATAGAGGGGCTAGAGAAGGAAGAATTTGATTGTGTTGTGAATAATTTCCCTTTTTTGCTCTTTTGGTGATAAGACAAGCTAGCTGTTTAATTTCGTGGTTTGTTTTGGTAATTGAATTTTGTGTTTTCCCATCTATTATAGTTTTACCTAATTTGTTATTCGGGTAGATGAAATGGTTGCTTTCCAATGGATATACCGCTCCAATCCATTATTCAAGATAGTTGTTTCGAGTAGATGACAACTCGATTATGAATTTTTTGATACGAAAATTTCATTAGAAGAAATGTTTTGGTTCAGTATCAAGAGACATCGATGCATACGAATGAGGATGGTGGAGATACATATAGTACAAGATGGGGTACAATCTTTTCCTTGAGGATTTAGCTAGGTTCAAAATTTTGCAAATTTTCATTTTTAGTTCCTACTCAATCTGAATCCTGACGTTGGCGATTTTGAACTCTTTAAACTATGTGAAAAATATATATAGTAACAAGTGATTTTGAGCATATAGACGTACCATTGTGAATAAAAAGGTTTTTTCATTCGATCCTTTTGATGGTTTTTATTAGAGGTACTATTAGGAATTACTTTAATCGAGTGAAAGTGAGAAAATCCTTATGGGGTAATTTAAAATCTCTATGGATAGTAATAGCATTTCAATATGGAAAGGATAATCAAATGGATAAGATGGTATTTAATGAAGGGTGAAAGTAAAATCATTGGTTGGTGAGCTCTATTTACATAATTAATTAAGAAACAATCAGTAAAATCATTTGGAAAATACTTGCAAATCTTGTTTTTTTATGGATGCTTCAACAAGGAGAAGACAGAAGAGGCAGAGAATGTTACGCGTCACAAATATTGAAATCAGAATCTCGTTCTTGATTCAAAATTAGACGGGGTTTCCTAAGTTAAGACAATATCAATAAAAATGGACAATTTCTTGAATATCAAGCCATCTATTTTATAGGTATTCCGATTTCCAAATGTTAATTAGGTGAGACTAATCTCTCACTATAAACTTGAAACTCGATTGAAAGAGAAAAGAAGTAAAAAGGCTTTGATGTGAAAATTTCCCCTCAATTTTCATCACTTTCGAAATGATTATATGGTCCCAACCAAATCCAATTAACTTAGTACCGTGTATAAAGTTGTACATAAATCATAAAATGGCTCTCTTTTAATAATCTTTGTAGGATATGAGTCATGGAAAGATAATTTTGACCTAATTACTTTCTTTGAAATTAAATCAAAGATCTTAATCTCAAATATGGTTTAGGTGGCTTGAGCTCCACGAATTATCCATTTTGAAACTTGGATTGAGAAATTTGTGTATTAGCTAGGGTTTAGTCAGCACGTATGAAAATGAAAGTGAACCCTAAAGCCCATGCATACGTACCATCTAATAAAGGTTTTTTTTGCCACCTTATTTTGAACCGACAAAGCCATGGAAGAACGGACGAATATGTTTAGAAGTAAGGTTGATCATATGGGGAAGTTTGGTGTGGTGTATTGGTTCAATTTTCTTTCCCATCGTCCTTAAAAGAAAAAATGTTGATCGTTAATGTAGTAAAAGTTAATCTTAATTGGATGTTAGATAATGTTATAGCTAGTGATAGTTCGAGGCGTACATTCGTATCATTTTCTGACTATGAATAGTTTCCTTGTTCTTTGCATCTAATTCGTGTCATTTTCTTTTCAAACCACCTGTTACGTTAAATATACATACTACTTCAATGACGTCCCTAACTCAGTCGAGCTAACCTACCTTCTATTTTACTCTACCAACAAATATGAATATCGAGATACCGGTCAATATCTAACCTACCCATCTGCCGGTACTTCTAAATTATGCTAATCAAACTAAAATTGTATATCCCAAGTAAAGTGGATCATTTCTAAAAGATAATTGGGGAAATTGTGTTGCTTGATAATGGCTTGACTTTACAAAATTGGCTATGATAGCAATTGGCGAGAAGATGGGCGGTGGGGAACCCTATGGATAAGGAAGCAGCAGTAAATATTTTTAGGGCAATGGAAAGCCACTGCCCACAATGTCATTCCTGTTTTGTTATGCATTGGAAATTGGTCGGTGGAGGCAATATCCCATTACAAAAATCGAGTGAGTTAACCTAATCCATTAGCAGTTTTGTTTATCCAACTATAGCTGGTTGTTAATGACAGGTGTTTGAAAGTGTGTTTCCTCAAATCGTTCGACTTCGGAGGTGAAGTTTCGGAATCGAATTAGTGTCTTTTCACGACTGTTCTTTTGAAGCTGTGTAAATAAGACAACTTGTTAGATTCGAAAGGGAAATTGACAATGTAAGAAAGTTAAGAGTACAGACTTATTACGTGGTTCACTAACACGATGTGTGTTAGCTAACCTTTGGACATGATAGACAAGTTTCAGTATACTTGGAGAGATACAAACTACAAACATTTAGAATGTATCTAATCAACGTGAAAAGTAAAAGGTGACGGACTAGGTCAAATATGTAATCGAATTCAATAGCAACAAAACTTTTTGTTTAGACCCAGATTGTATAACCCGGATCATTAACAATAGTGATGAGGGGCTCTGATTGAACTCCTTCATTCAATCTCTTCATGGGTGGAGGAATCTTTGGAGAGGAAGGGGTAACCCCATTATTGATCTACACTCTGACGACCTAGTTGGTACGATATACATGAATGATATATGTAAAGTAGAGAGATAGAGTAGAAAGAGAACCATGTGTGTTGAATGTCGGAATGAAAGATACGAGAAGTCGTCTTTTGCTTTGAGGGTTTTAATCTCTTTATATAGGAGTCTGTCGCTTCTTTGGTCTGACGCCTTGAGACTTCCTTAAGGCTGACCCCCCGGATCAAGCTAGAGGCCTCAGGAGAGGTGTCTTAGAGGCAGAGATCTCAGGATAGGTGCCTTAGAGCTGACTTAAACTCATTGATTATGTGTAATTGCCTTAGTAGGCATATTAATACAACAACCCAACACTTTTTCTCTCAAGATTTCTTGGGTCTTACGCTTCCCATTGAAGGACCCGCCTTCTTCTAATGTATTATTGCTTCACGGGTGTGACTTTACTTGATCAATGCATTGGTACTTTTCATAGCTAGATGATGGGCGAGCCTTTGTAAAATCAAAATCTAAAAGTAAAACCCCACTCCTACTAGCATTTGTATTGGTAGCCGATATTGCACATGAGTATGAGTACAATATCGTTCGTTTTCATTGTCAAGTTTGTATGGATTTGTTGTTGTATTATTTCCAAAAGGTTTTGCACTAGTAGAATTAGGGGATCTCTTATATAGTATGTGTTGATGTGACTTGAATCGAACTATCAGCCGCTACGACTGGTAGTCGGGGGTCTCGCTGATCGGTGGGGGTGCGGGGGCAACGCCCCCGGCCCACAGTGTATGGGCTCAATGTTATTTGGGTTCGGGTTCTGGGCCTGGTTTGTAACCGTTTCCTTTGCCAGATTGGATTAGGTTTAGACCTACATGGACAAGTACTATAAATACTTCTCATACTCCTCTGTAATCTGTAATCTCCTCGATATAGTGAAACTGGCTCTCTCTCGCCCGTGGACGTAGCTAACACGCATCGTGTTAGTGAACCACGTAAATCGTGTGTCAATGTTTTTCGATTCTCGCTTTCGTATTCTTGCTTTATCGATTCCGGCGATTTCCCGATCCGTAGCAGCGCGTTTATAACAGTATGGAAGTTTCTCTCATTTCCCGAACAATGATCGATCAATCTACCAGTCACCTTGCATCTATAATTCTCGACACAAGAGGCCAAACGAATACCTCCATTTTTTACATTCTCTGGATGCATATCTACAATCGCGCAGTCACATAATGAGGGTCTACACATCATCGGTCCATCGCCTTGAATATGAACATTCATATTAGACTCAGATACCACTTATTGTGATTGAACACTCGACATCTGTACTATATTTGTCCGCTTTGGACAATACGTATCTTTTGTATATATCCTCTCTCTTTATAACTTCTTGTTTTGTGCTTCTCCTTTTACTATATTTCGATTGATTTCAATCCTACAAATTATCTTAAGTACGAAGAAAAATAAATCGAATTTAAATCGTACATATACAAACTAAATAAATCACACATACTTTTGACCTAATTTTACTACGTCCTTTACGATTGGTTCACCCTATCTCAAATCCATTGAGTTCTATTCGACGGATCCATCCCTAACCCAATAAAAATAACAAGGATAAAATATGTATTGGGCCGAGCCCGATCAGACCGAAACATATATATTGCGTCCAACTCCGCTTTCTTCTCCTCCAAACGCTCTCCCCATTCTCCTCGGAGAACCAGGGCCGCCGCCGTCACCAACAAAATCCCCCGCGCAAATCCCTATATTCTCTCTCTCTCTCGCCAATCGCCATTCCTCCCATAAAACAAATCCTCCCATCCAAGAAAATCGCGGAAAAGAAAGAAGGCAAATCCGAGAAAGAATCAAAAGAAACCCCCCGTCGATTGATGCCGTCGGCTGTTCTTGCGAATCCAACTTCCGAACCCATCGATTTCCGGCGCAGGGTGGTGCAAAAGGTCCAATCTTTCTTTCAGGTAAGCCTCTCCTTTCCATCCATGGCGGGTTTTTGAGGTTTCCCCCAATTGGGTTTCCCTTCCGTTCAATTCTACGGTTTTGGTTTTTTTTTCTTCTTTCCTGTTTCTCTGTTTCGCGATTTCAATTTGTTTGTTTTGCGTTTTGTTGCAACGGAATTTGTTTGTAGAATCTGTTGACGATGGCTGGGAAGGGAGCGAGGAAGGCCGCCAACAACCGCTCTGCCGATTCCACCGCCGTCAAGAGGGTCGCCGGCGGCGTCGGGAAAAGGAACACTTCCAATTCCGCCGCGACGGCAAAACGGCAAAAGGCGGGGTTGACCGCGCCCGCGGTTAACCCTAGCGCCAAGGATGTAAATAACAACAATAACAACAAACAACCGACAACTAGAGCTGCTGCTGCTGCTGCTGCTGCAAAAGCTTCGGAAGAAAAGCTGAAATTGGGAGGTGGAGCGACGAAGGGTAATGTTGATTCCAAGGCAAAAGCTTCAGGAGGGACAGCAAAGAAGGAGAAGAAGCAACCAGTTCCTAAGAATGCAACTCTGAAGGAGAAACCTGAGGCAGCTTCTCAAGCTCAGTCTCAACCTACAGGGGAGAAGCTGAAGCTAGGACCACAGAAGACGAATCCTAAACCGAAAGGGTCGCCAAGAAAACAGCAGCAGAGGAGGAAGGGAGCGAATCCGTCCTCGCCGCAGGGAAAGGAAGCAGTGGAGAGAGGGATGACATATTACCTGAAGTGCGATGAAGCATTGTATGCAGGTTTGGTGGGAGGGGGTGAAGGGGGTAATGACTGGAAGCTAGGGCAGAACTGCATGATCTGCGAGAGGGATCTGGCGTATGCGCCCGTCCCACCGGAGAACGAATCGGGGACTATGAACTTCCCTGAAGCTGCGGTGCTGGGTTGCGGCCATGTCTTCCACATGCTGTGCTTGAACATGGCTTCCGATGAGCAAGATAGTGAGCCTGCTTGCTTCATATGTGCAAGCCTCGATTGAAAGTTGAAAAAGCACACACGAATTCATTGCAGAACTGTAAATTGTAGGGGGAATCAAGGTTGGTAGATATGATTGTTAGAACAGAGGAAGCAAATTTTTTGACCAGTTTCATCATAGGACCGAACTAGGAAGGTGCATATGGCCTTGTTTCTTCCATGGGTTTATACAGTAGCAGAGCATAGATAAAGAAAATGAACATTTTGATGTAAGTTCTTTTAAGCCTTGAAGGCAAAGTTGAACGTATTGATTTCATTGCATATGTTGGCTTAGAGTGTTTTGGTCCTATGCATACAACCAGATTCGCACTTGCCGAAATATAATAGATCAAAGACCGAGAAACGTCTCTGGTGCACATACTCGAATTTGCAGCATATCAGAATAAGATCACGAATGTGTCGAATGTCTTCGTCGATTCATGTTACAGGTAGCTCCTATTCTGGACACAATTAGCTTCAGTTCCATCTACTGATATAACATCGAGAAAGCAACCACTTGAGGAACATAACTAGATCACAAATAGCCTGTGCTAAACTATCAAATCTGCAGCTACCAGAACAAGATCACAAAGACGATCATCTGAGGAACATAATGAGATCACAAAAGATGCAAACTCTCAAATCTGGAGCTACTAGAATAAGATCACAAGGACGACAACCTGAAACTACGTACTGATGTGAAATGCTTAGAGAAAGAAGAGAGGTAATCAATTTACACAATGCAATCCACTTGGTTTATTTGTACATGGTGAAGGCAATCTGGGGATTCTTCATCAAAGCCAAATCTCGGAATCCCAGTTCACCCCTTAGGGTTCAAACTTCAAACCAATGCTCAATGAGTTTTTCACATCAGCCAGAGGTTGGACATGATAAATTTTAAACAAACAAAGCGAATCACTTCACAAGAGAGAGTAGAGGGAATAACTACTATCATTGATATCAACAATCATAGAGGGGGACTGAGCTGCGAACATTTCAACTATCATCTACTCTTATTCTCTCCTCAGTCTTCCTCCGATATATGGAAAAGGAACTTGGGGAGAGAGGCAATTCGAGGGAGCTGAAGCAGGAGATCCCCGAACGAGTCTCTTCTTGACATCCCTGATGGAGCCTTTAAGCTCGACGAAGCAACATCCTTCATGTTGTTACCTTCCGACGGTTTGAATTCAGGCAACAACAAAGATCCGTTTGGTTGATTCAGGTGGAAAACCGAGTCATTGCTGCTGCCCTCTCCGATAGTCTGCAGATTCTGCTGTGAAGAAGACGTGGGGTCCTTCTGCAGGAGGCAGCAGAGAGAGTTGACCCTAGCCATTAGCCTTTTCTCATCTGAGGGTGTGGTGTTTTGAGTGTCGCTTAGGAGGTATTGAGCTATGTCTGTCAATATCTCCTGGCATTCTTCTCCATCTGCGGACAGCGATGATGTATTGCCGGAGTTCATCTGGCCTGAAATACAGTTTCCAATGTGGTTCATGAGATCGCTCATGGACATTGAAGGTGTAAGGCCCGGCACTTTTATCTGATCCCAATTCCTGGGTGCTCGTGAATCAACAGACTCGAAGTTTCCCCTTCCTTCAATCGCATTATTATCCATCACTGATAGGAACAATTACAAACAAGCAGTTAACTCACAAACATGTAACATCAGTGAGATGTATGAACAAATTCTTCATTGTTCGGTACGCATAAAAAAAACTACCAGTCCCCCTAACATGTTATATAAAGAAGCTGATATCATACCTGAGCTGGGAGAGGGAGCTTCACGGGACATGAGTTCTGATGTTGTACCGGTATGATCCCCACGATCCATCTCCGAGGATGAATACCCAGCAGATGGTGAAGCCAGACTTTGGAAGCCAGCTGCTGCAAATGCTGAACCTCTTCCATTTTCCACTTGGTCAAGTTCTTGATCGTTGGATTCATCTAGCTCACTAAAGACATCTGCCCGCTTTTCAAAATAGGGTGAATCTACAACTATCTCTGGTTGCTGGCTCAAGAAGTTCAACCGCATATCACACTGTATCAGCTTCTCAAAGTGTTTGTTCAACAGCCCTTGTGGGCATTGAAGAAAATGCTGCCTGCAAGCACGCATATTTAACAACATAGCATTACAAGATTGCAACTTTGAGGCATGGGAGGGAACATATGATTTTCTACCATAGCAAATGACCCAAAAGTGCAAACAAAGTACGCTGCAATTGATAAGCAAGTGGCCCTAAGAAGGAAACATGATATTCTAACAGAAATAGGGTAAAGAGTAATACAAGTGTAAGGACTCAATCAAAATCTTACTTGTGTAAGCTGGCCTGTCCATTGGTAAAATCTGCAGTGGCCTGCCACAAAGTGTGCTTCCGGGGCTGTGGATTAGTTTCCCTGAAGAAAAGGGGCTGTCTAGCAAGCTGCACAACGTCCACCATCTCCCAGAGTCAATGAGATAGATCCATCCCAGCATTATACTTGCACGAAAAAAGTTCAGAACTTTACCACGACATTCAAAGTTCCAGGTCCATCTTCTGGGCAATTGGCCTTGAGACTCATGATATCAGACCACTGGATTTCTATCTTACTCTTGAGACCACCATCAAGAATTTCCCACACGAGCTTATGCTTGGCAAAGTAACACTTGGCCACCAACTCCCCCTCGTACCTCGCCGTATACTGTCAAAGAATCAACATTTAATCAAAAAATCCACCCCATTAAATCATAAGAAAATAAAAAAAAACACAGTAAAGCCTTGAATTGTACCTCCCATGACCCAATTCTCAGCACGGATGCCGGGAAATTCGAAGCCTTGAGCTTATCACTCAGCGGTTTGTCCTTCTTCGCTCCAGAGCTTGGTTTGTCACTCTGCTGAGCTTCCGCCGGCTTCGAAGCAACACCCCCCTGAGAGAGCTTCATCTGAATCAAATCCAACAGAGACGGGCTCTTCCTCAGCCGCAACCCCAGAGGACTCGGCTCATCGAGTGGATTGTATTGCGCCGGCGGCACGGGAAATGCATTAGCACCGGCACCCCACTGTACCCAGATCACAAATCAACAAACAAAAACATCAAAACCCCCCCCTCAAATCCACGACCTCAACGAATTGTTCAGAAAATCTAAAATGGGCTTCCCCTAATTTTGATTTCGCGTGGGGCGGGAGGAGAGAAAAGATTAAAAGCTGAAAACCTGTTGAAGAGTCTTGGATCGCTTGTTCAGAGGGCCATACTCTTCCTCCAAAGTGTCCTCGACGATCTCCAGCTTCACCGGCGCATCCTTGCTCCCAATCGTCGACGACAGGGATCCAGTTCCAGCGGCAGCCGGGAAGTTCTCCGATTTCATCAACTGCACCATCAACCTCTTATCTTCCTGCCGATTGCGGAGTATTGAGCTCCAGGAAAATTTGGGACTGGATATGGAACAAATTTCCCCCCGAGAAAATCACCGCTAAGATAGAGAAAGTAATTTTCCAGGAAAGGAGCGTTTGCTTTCTGTTTGGTGGGTTTTTTTATTTTTGGGATCTGAGGAATTCTGGGGAAAGACGATTCTCGGGAAAACCCTAGGAACGGGGGTTGGTTTTTTAACGGTGGCATTTCCGGCGGAGAGCACGTGCTGAGAACCCGCGTACGGAATTCGGAGACCGACTCGCACGTGCTGTTTTTTTTTTACTGCGTCCTTTGGATTTTCCAGGTTCATTCCCCCTGGGAGGGTTCAACAACCGAGAATGATTAGCCGGTCCGGTTTGACCCAAATTGAATCGTAAACACATTTAATTTCATTCTGTGTTTTTATTTTTTAGCAGATTTCTACATAACATATGATCTAATCGAAGTATCACCTCGAGTTGATATATCAATACGTCCCGGATATTGATTTGTACCTGCGATCCAACCCGAAAAACACGATATGGTTTAACCGGGTTGATAGGGGATCCGTTTGGTTCACGGGGCTGGTTGATTTCGTACTTTCTGACGGAAACTTAAAGGACAAAATAATAACATTCACGTGCTGGCCGACACGTAAGAGTCTGTTTTGGATAAAATGGGCGGGTCCCACGGTCCATAGTTCTTTTTTGTCGTATTAAATGACGGCGGTGGTTGGTCCGTTCGGACACGTGGCGTCCGATCTGGCGGTAGCTTCGAGAACTTCAACACGTAAGCTGGATGCCAAAATTGGGTACGCCTACTTTGCATCTAGTGGCGTGATACTGTGTGGTCAGCCTCACTTTATGCAGTGTGAGCTCGCATCTCTTTCCGCCGTCCGTCCGCACATAGTCGCCGGACGACCAATCAAATCCAGATGGAATTTCATTTTGTCTTTTTTTTTTCCAAAGTGTTTATTAAATTGTTTTGTATATTTGACATCCAATAGACACCCTAAAATGAACCATTTTCCAAGGGTTTATTCTTAACTGCCATGGTATGCAGGACAAGTGCAGTGAATTGGAAGAAGCAAAAGAAACCAGCTAAAAGACTGATCATCCTGTGTTAACAGAATTACAAAGAACAATGCATCAAGATTGAAGAGAAGTTCTGACCCTTGTGTACATAAACTGTTAAGCAAGCGGCCATGGATTCCAGTATTGTCTACTAACGAGACTGTGAAATCTACTTTGCCAATCTGTTCACTTTCAGGTACGGCAGTGCACCAATCACGTTGTCGTAGTCGCTCCGGCTGACTTCGTGCTGTTTCAGAACAAAGAGAGCAAGAGATGGTTGAGAGAGGGAAGCTATTGTATATGCTAGCAATGGAAGTAAACACAGTGGATATAGGCATTAGCATTGAATAGAAAATTACACAAATGGCTAGCTAGTTCCAATGGCTAATTTCGGGCTAATGAGATAGGAAGTTGGAGGCAAATCAATTGGTTTAAGCTAAGAACTGCAGATACTAGAACCAAATACAGTGCAAAGAGATGGACAGGATGGGTGGTACAGAGTCATATGCACTTTAAGTTTTTCTATTCCTCTCAATTGTTCCATCTTCTGAAGCAAGAAAGATTCCCCTATTTCCCGGGACTTGTCAGAAGAAGCATAGGCAGATAGAGACCATATCAATAGCCAAAGAGCAGTAGATATCAGGACATATCACAATCAAATATTCTCCACTAGAAAAAAAGCTAAAGTGGATAACAGAATTGATTGAACCTTAGAGCAGCGATATAAGGATATCACAATCAAATATTTCTCCACTGCAAAAAGCCAAGTGCATACTGCATAGCAAAATTGATGGAAGCAAAGCTCCATGCTCTTTTCATACTCGGTAACTAACTCCACATATGTTTTCTCAAGGTTGCAAGGAGCAAACAGAGAGTCAGAAAGCTCTCTAGTCCAGTACTTTGAGTTGCCTTCATCGGAATTTCTAGTGCCGCTAGCATCAACATCTTCAACACATGTATTCCAACCTACAACGTGAAAGCTTTGTAGTATCTACAGTCCATTTTAGACTTGTTTGAAGATTTCTTTCAGCTTGCTGTCAGACAGATTTCACTAAAAAGCTCCCTTTTCTCCAGCAAAGCTAACGGATTATACTAAATGCTTATGATTAAGCAGTAGGAATTCAATGAAAGCAGCCTTTTCCAAGTTTCAACCAGGAATCATCCAACAAGTAAATGCAACCAGTAGGGAACATTCAACTAACTGGAAACTCGGTTCTTCCTCACAATGGGGGTAATTGCCTTAGACCCTCGTTCAGAACACAATAACTAAAGCCATAAATCCTGAACTAGAAGCAATGCAAGACAAAAATGTTTTTTGTCAAAAAAGGAACTAACCATTTTGGATAGGCGCAATTTCCTCTTGGTGTTCTTCTTAGCCAGCAAATGCTGCTTCCCAGCTCGCCTCCTCACTATCTTCCCTCTTCCCGTCACCCTGAACCTCTTCGCTGAGGCCTATTAACAAACACCTTAGCTTCGTTCTCAAACACCACCAACAAAACCAGACCAAACTGAGAATTCACCTTATGGGTCTTCATTTTGTACCCTTTGGCAGCGAAGACGGTGAGAGATTGGAGCCTCTGAGACAGCGAGGAGACGGGGCATGGCTTCGACGAAAGAACTGAGAGAGAACCCGATATGCTGTGCGTGGAGCTGAGCTTCAGCGAGCTGTGGGACTTGGCGAACGAGATAAATCGGGTTGAGCTACAAGAGACTCGGGCTGGAGCGGATTGGGCTGGACAAACCCTTGCATTGACTGACATGAAGGTTAGAGAAGCCATAGCCGTGGATTTTCTGCTCGTGTTCTGTTTTTCCCTCAGGGAATGAGAATTGGAGTGGGAAACGAAGAAAAAGGAGAGGGAGTGGATGACGCGAGGAGGGAAATGTAGAATATGGATAGAGGATGAGGTGAACTTTTTAGTCCTCAAAACTTTTATTTTGCTGCATTCTAGGACTTTCCCTATGAGTTGTGCAAAATGACTATCTTGATAGTGATCTTCTATTGTAATTTACATCCAATTCGAGTAGAATAAAGATTACCAAACATTACGATTTTTCTGGAAAAAAAGACTGTTCTTTTCACAAGAGAACAATTAAAATTACATTGGGTAGGCTTCGGATTCTTCATTACAAGATGGATTTGTTTTGAAATCCTCGACATTTCATGGACAGAAGAAACTGAAAAGCTTGGGAAGAATCTTCAGCTGGAAGAGGCCATGCTGGTCGCTGGTTGCCTGCGGAAGGTTCCATACTGGGGAGGATCTCGACCGAAATGGCATCATCTGTGCCCATTTTAAGGCCTTGATACTATGGCTATGGATTCCCATTCCAAACTACAAATTACCTCCTGCATTGGCACCAAATGTGTTCATTGAGTAAAACCCTCTCTAATGTTAAAAAATAAGCGATTCAGGGTAGAGGAGGATCTGAGTATACCGAAGGGTTTTGTCGATCAATGTCCAAGCTGTTGATGGCACATGGTTCTGCCATAAGCTCTGTAGGTTCTTCGCCTATAAATGGCGAAGGGTTCCAAACAGAAGAAAGTCTCAGTATCAAGTTTTTGGCGTTAAGGTTTCAGGTATGAAAAGAGAGAGTAGAAGGCATTCATTCGTTACCTTGCTCAATGACTCCAAGGATCCCATCTTCTGAGCAGAACATGGCAGGCAGGAGTTTCGAGGATGAGAAATTGTTGATTGAAGACTTAGTATAGGAGTCGTACTGAACCTCCCAAACCTCGCTCTCAGATAATGACTGAGCTGCAGTATCACTACCAGTTCCTGAGAGGATAATGGGTTGCTGTTGGTATCTCAAGTCCCAAGCGAATATAGTTCCTGCAGAACCTCCAGCCTACAAGATAATACTAAAATTAGATGTGAACACCATGAGAGAACTACGGATAACAAAAAGACCATAGCTTCTATACCACATACTACACAAATTATAAGGACCCTGGAAGCACCTCTAACACCCTCATTATCTCCCAAAGATGGACACATTATAGCTTATCGGTTAGCAGGCTGTACCAATTTCTCACACAAGATTGTTCTGCCCTAATTCTATAGCTTCATGAGCTCCAAAAATATCTCGCTTAACCAAACTAAGCCATCTATCAACAGAGAAGGCAACACCTAAGAGCTAAGAGATGATACACGGCCCTAAAAGCTGGCATTTCAAGCATGCTATGGCAAACCTGCAAGCAAGACACAAGCAACAATATGGCTCTAATATGTCAAGGCACAACAAGCACAAGTCTTTAGCCTCCAATAGTACGCAGAATTTTTCGAAATTGCCAGTATCGATTCACTACCCCCTTATTCATTCTACCACAAGCCCATGGGGGAGTATTCATATCTTACCAGACAGGTGTGCTTCCTAGACGGATGAACATCAATAGAATGTATGATCCCAGAAGTTCTTCCCTTCTCCCTACATAATCAATCAAACAGAAACCAAGTCACTAAGCAAGAAATATCGTACCTTTCGGTCCAGTAACCATTGAACACACAACCAGCAGATTCAAAACATTTCCAGGAAAAAACAACTCACAAGTTCCCTTTGAACTGAGCAACAGCAGAGCCAGGCCGCCGGAGGTCCCACCACTGCAGCCCGAACCCACACCCTCCGGTCACAAACTCGGTCGGCGAAGCCCACTTCACCGCCGTATACGAAACCAAACCGTTCCCATCGAAAACCTTCCTGTAACTCCCATCCAAAACCCTAACCAAATTCACCCTCCCGTCCTCCCCAACGCTGACGCACTCGTTGCTCCCGCCGTCCATCAAATCCACCCCGTTGATCCGCCCCATATGAAACCCTTTCCCATCCGCGGCTACAGACACCTCCGACCGAAACGCCGACGAGGGGTCCTGCGCTTCGGTGGCGCTGAAGACGTGGAGTGACCCGGAGACGGTGGAGGCGACGGCGAACGCGTGAGTCGACTTCAGCGAGGAAATGCGGGAGGGAGGAGCCCACGAGGAGACGAGGTCGAGCGCCTTCGATTCTTGGTCCAGGGAGTGGACTTCCAGAGATGGAGAGTCGGCGTCTGTGTCGAAGAAGGCCACGATGGCGGATTGCTGGAGCGGGGAGACGGAAGGAAGCCATCGGATCGCGTCGACGTACTTGGACTGCGGGAGTCTGTGGATCTGCGTTTGGGGAATGCCGATTACCGACATTGTTAGGGTTCTACTGGTTTCCTTACGAGAAGAGCTCCTGGCCTTGACTTGAAGTCAAACTACAGAGGTTTTTGCCGGGGTTTCTGCCGCGGGTACAAGTAAATCGTCTGTTGTTCTGGCGTTTTCAAGCAGAGACCGGCAGGAGCTTTAGCGGCTTTCATTTGGGCTCCACTTAGTGGTAAGCTGGCTTTCATTTGGGCTCTAGTGAGAGTTGGGCTACACTTAGTGGTAAGTTCTGCAAGAGTTGGGCTCGCCATTATACACAACATATGGCTTTGTTTTACCCGAGTTCTTTGAGTATGAACAAAATTGTTATCTATCATCGGATATATTGATAAGGTGCAATTTACTCGTGGTAAACTAACTTCTATGTTCACAATATAACTAACATCATTTACATTCTTTGATAGTGTAGTTTGAATAGGTAACGATTGGAAAATGAATCCTTGTTGCATAAGGATTAGAGTCATGGCGTCAAATCTAAAGTTCAAAGAAGGGTATATGTATCTGTAGTTAAACTTCTATGTTTCTGCCGCTACTACCCCTTCACATGTTACCAGAGTCACACCTACGACTTCAGGCTCCGCGGCCGTTATCAACGTCTGGTTTGATGGTGCTACCAAGCGTGGTCAAGGAGGTAGTATTGGTTTTGTCGGGTTTCATGCAACAGATATGCATCATGTTCAGGGTGGCGCTATTTTGGAGGACGCTAGGAGCTTGGCGTCTTCTTACACCAGTGTTTTGCACTGTTTTGTTTCTCGTCAACTCAATAGGGTTGCCCATCATGTGGCACAAAAGGCCCTCTCATCGGGAGTTCGACTATTGGTCGACTCCCGCACTTTTCTTTCAATTTGTTTGTGACTCTCGATTAATCATCCGACTTTGCGGGGGGGGGGGGGGGGGGGGGGGGGACTGTGTCGTTTTTAAATTACCTGTGTTAGGTCCTTATGTTTTAATTTATTTGCATTTGAGTCATGTGTAGTGGGTTAAGGTTGTTGAGAGCTTTCAGCTCATTAGGAATTCAAGTTGGTTGTTAGAGATTCATGGGTGCTGAAAACCAAGGTTGCTGGAGTTAGGGTTGTTGATTAAAGGCCGAGTCTTGTGGCCAAGATCACACTATTTTATGTTTTTCAACGTCAATAAAATTTGGTTAGTTTGCCCTACAATTGTGTTCGACATATATACTACAGTAACTACGTACTATGCTCTAGTTGTAGACGAGTTTGAATAACGAGAGGAGAAGGCTACTTGAACTGAGGTTGAGATGAAAAGAAGATGGATTTCTAAAGAAAAATATTAGAGGTATACTTTGAACTTTTGTTTATGATATGTCGATGTAATTAGTAGAACAACTTATCAAACCAAACATGAATATCTTTGAGCTCAAGTGTAGTGAAATCATTTCATAAAACTTTGGGATCTAAAATTTCCCTCGTGAAGTGATAGATTGATCATATCTATGGCTGGCCCTAATCCGGCAACCCATCATTTGTCTCTTTCCAACGAAAGAAAAATACAAAAATAATTTGGACGTACACCTATGAACTATGACGACATTTTCCACTCTCAATTTTTTGTAACCGTTGAAGTGTTAACCTAGTTGGGACTTGACTTTGTGCCAATAAATTAATTGTCTTTTTTACAATGTTATATGTACACAATTAATAATTGTACTTGTAAAAATATAGCACACGCCAAAACTATGTATAAGTAGGTCATTTGAAAATAAAATATGAAAGAAAAAAAACCGGTTGCACCAAATCATACTAATTGGCCGGTCTTATATACATACAATACAACGTCACGGCTTGTAAATAATCAATTACGAACTTCAATTTTCATCTAAATTGTTGAGCTACATGTCCTTTTATTCGAATTTCTGTTTTCAGTAGCCCAACTTCTCCAAGGACAACTCCATTGTTATAGGCAAACTCTAATCTCACGAGACCACACAGATATGTTTGCCTTAGATTCTCCTAACCACATGCCTCCAACAAAAAGGTTTTCACAATGATAGTTTGATTCAAACACAAAATCTTTGCACTCACCAAGTTGTCCATCTAAAAAAATTAAATTGTGTGGTCGATTTTGAAACATTTATTCGAATGATTCTGACATTCTAGCTAAATCTCATCACAATCTCTCTGCTAGCTTATAGCCTTTTGCTAAAATATTCAAACCCACACTCATATGATAGTTGCAAAGATGCTAGTCAGTTGTGGCAGGTAGTCATCAGTTGCGCTTTCCATTTTCAGCCATCGAGAACATTGATCACAACGTCGATATATTGTTGACATGTAGTCTCATTTTGTGTTATTAGTAATTAACAATAATTCATCTCCAATTTAATATGATAATTACAAATTTTATAATAGATTATGTCGGCATATGACAATGAATTTCACCGGCCATTAGCAGTTTTGGCATGTTCTTATGAGTGGTTAATTGGTTATGTTTATTGGTAACATATACACATGTTTCCAAAACACAAAACAACTGAATTGAAAATCAATTACTTGTTGCTCGTATAAAAACTATGGTTAAAAAGAGATGGGGAAAGACAAGTACGTACTATTATTTCATCACAACCGGGGCTCAGTTCGTCCAAACAGAAGCACATGAACACAATGTCTTCATTACTTTTGGACTAATAAGTAATAACCACACTATATATAAGCCGTCTTTTATGTGTATTCCAAGTTCTTTTGATGCTCAAAATTTTAACCTCCAAGCATACATTTTTTTTTTTATATATGTGTTGTTCCCACTATTGAAACCAATTGGGTGATGAATATAATCATTGTAATCTTAATCAATGAGGTCTAACTATGCTCATTGATTTTATCATTCAAACATTACAGCTACGTTAAATCGTTAACTATGTATTACTACAATCATAATACAGTTACGTTGATGAGAGTTATCCTTACCATATTTCCATTAGATCAATCGATCGAGACAGAACTACCCTCCCTTAGTAAGCTAGACGCTTAACCTGATATTGTTACATGGGTAGTTGTGTTGAAATCGCGCGGTTCTGAGATCCACATTGTAACTAGCAAAGATCTTCGAACCGAGTCCATCTAAAAACTTACCGCGGTTACCAACATCGGTGTGCCAAAGTCCTCTGAAGCAAACGATTTCGCCTCGTCTTATCACAACCCATTTCGATACTCCATCGATTACACACACTTTATCGTGTTCTCTAAAACGCAGTTAACTATAAAAACCCGAATCAAAACCGATGGAGAATTAATGGGGGGCCCTAGAGGATGATGAGATGAGCCAAAAAAAAAGGGCTGAACAGAGTAGACAGGAAGAATGGTGGGGGAAATGAGAGGCCTGAATTCTGCCTCCTCCAACCCCAAAAACATTTCATTCTTCTTCCCCTTCCAACCCACTTTTGTTTTGCACATAGGCCTAATTGCCTCCAAAAACCTTTACCCTTATCCTATCAACCACCACCATCTTCTTCATTCTCATTCCCCCTCCTCCTTCTTCCTCCCCTTTTTTCTTTTTTCCCTTCTGTCAATTTTAACTGTCTCTCTCCCTTTTCTCAGTCATCGCCAGCAAGACTCCATTGTTCATTTGCTGTTCACAAGCATTACTTGGACCAAGTAAAAGGGAGGATTGATTCAGGTTGGTGGGTTTTGGGCCATGCAGAGAAGGGAAAGATTCAGATTCTTCGATTAACTCAAGAAGCTAATTAGTCATATAATATAGTTCTCATCGTCTTGTCGGGTTTGGAAAGTTGGGAGTATAAGTTGAGCTCTTCGATAGCGAGGATTAACAGAAATGGCGCCTAAAACCGGCAAGGCCAAGCCTCATAAAGCCAAGGGCGAGAAGAAGAAGAAGAAGGAAGAAAAAGGTCCTCCCTTCATAATTTTTTTCTTCCTCTATCTTGTTTTTCCCATGTGTAGTCGAATCCGAGTTGTCTCGATGAAGTTTCTACGAAGTTCTCGATCGAACCCCTCTCAATAGTTCGAGTTTTCGTAGTAATATAGATGTTTTTCTTGGCTTTGTTTTTTGGGTTGGTTCATGATTTGCGGGTTGTGAGAGTATAACTTGGGTTTTGCTGGTGGTGCAGTTCTGCCGACGGTCATTGAAATCACCGTTGAAACGCCGGATGAGTCCCAAGTCACTCTCAAGGTAAAGCAGTAAAAATTCATCTCTTGTTAATTGTTTGTAATCTTTTAACCGTGGCTGTGAGTTCAAACTTGCGTTTTTCTCTAGGTAGCTCAATGGTTTCCATGTAAAGGAATAATGGGTTCTTCTCCAAACTTAATTTACTCGTTGTTTTCTCTATTGGGTAACATCATATATATATATATTGTTTGAAAATTTATCATAATGTTGGATTTTATTTACCAAAAATAGAGTATTTTTTTAATAAGAATAAAATATACAATATTGAAGGTCCCCACATTTGCAACAAGAACAAATATATAGTCATTGAAAAAAGGGGGTCATGGGTTGGACTTGACTTGTAGCATTTTTTACTCTAAGAAAGAATATAATACATTTGGATTTTATTTACTTAAAAATAGGTGGCCACATTTGGAGTTTGAGTTCAAGCTTTTGCTTGATGTGTAGGGAATTTCGACGGACAGGATCCTGGACGTGAGAAAGCTACTGGCCGTCCACGTCGAGACATGCCATTTAAACAACTTCTCCATCTCCCACGAGGTACCCTTCACACTTACACTTTCCGACCATTTATTGCTACTTCATCTGTTTTCTAGGGCAATAACTAGAGAGTATACTTAATTAGAAAAATATTTAGTAAAACGCCTATGCCGTAAGGAAGTGGTTAAGTACTATATATGAGCATGTATAAGATTCAGCATAACATTCTCCCCACAATTCGAGTTATTGGGATCGATCAACTGGTTTATGACATGGTGTCAAAGCTGGTTTGTCCTTGAGGTCACGTGTTCAAGTCCTCACGACCCCCAATATTAACCGTTGTCTTTCATGCACATGACATGCCCATGAGCCGGCTTTCGTTTGAGGGGGCATGTAAGGAAGTGGTTAAGTACCATAAATGGACCTGTATAAGATCCAACATAACCTTATCCCAACAACTCGAGTTATTGGGACCAACTGGTTTATGACATATACAGAATAACTCGGTTTATTAAAAGAAGTACAAGAATGAAATTTACGTAACTTTCCTACTTATAATATGAGTGTATTTAGTAAACTCGTGATCAATATCTGTATAAGATAATATATGCCACTGGCGGATCTAGGGGGGTGGCCACCCCAGGCCCCGGCCCAGTCCTCCTCTGGATCCGTAGTTACTATAGTCCTTATGAAATTTTTGATTTTAGACATTCAATCTAGTGTTATTCTATGATAAGATTGGGTTTAACTAGAAAAATTATCAAGTTGAACATATTCAAATCACTATTCTAAATTTAGCCTAGAAATTTTAGCCCCAAAGATTATGCGTCTTAAAAAAACAATGAAACCTAAAATTCTAAAAAGTAAAAAACGTAAAAGACTAAAAGAAATATGAGCTTTGTTCCCTTACAAATTTACTAAAGCAGCTGGTGTGTAGGGATGGACACACAATGTAAATTGATTAGTCGATTGATTTATCTAGTGTTGATGCTTCTCAACAAAATGAGCGATGAATTTCTCGCCGAATGCTCAAGTATTTTATTTGAAACAGTGTATACTATTGGTATGGATGTAGATTTCATTATTGATGCATTTCCTAAATTAAAATACAGTTGTGTACAACTTACATTGCAAAAAACTATAATCATTATATTTTTGTACGGTTCTAATTTTCTAATGAAATGCGGCACAGTGCTCTTCTGTGTTCTGGATCCGCCGCTGATTTATGCATGTGAAACTCTCCATTTTCGTAACTCTCTTTAAAATGATGTCATCATACATCAATGTGGTACGACAAAGTACAAGACAATATCATCTTTGTATTCAATGCAACGGGCCCAATATATCTACCTAAATTCATTATGATGTTGGTTGTGAGTTGTGACCTTAACTTTACTATTTTGTTTCTCTAAGTACTAAACTTACATCCTTACATAAGTTCAGGTATGAGTTCAAAAAATTTTGACTCTGGTTTGTATCGTTTGTAAAAGTTCCACTTTTAATCCCCTGCAGGTAAAGGGTCCCAGACTAAGAGATTCGGCGGATATCGTCTCACTCAAACCCTGCCACCTCACCATCTTTGAAGGTAAGTACTCAATCCAACGGCTATCACTTCATCCGAGCGCAACATTTCCCCCTACAGCTGCCAATAGCAGATCATAACCCCCCGCTTCACCCCCGCCATATTTTCTCCCACCGAGAATTTAAAAATATTTTTATGATTTTTTCCTTTCCGCTGCAGAGGAATACAGTGAAGAGCAGGCCGTCGCTCACATCCGCCGGCTCCTCGACATCGTCGCCTGCACCACTTCCTTCGGCTCGTCGCCGATCAAACCGGCCGAAGGCCGTACGAGTAAGGACGCCGCCGGGAAGGATGTTAGTTCGACGGAATCGGAAGCGGGTCAGAGCAACGGCGGCGATGACGCGGGAGTCGCGAAGTCAAAAGGAGGCGCGGGAGGAGGAGATAAGAAGGCCGGCGCGGCGGTCAACAGGAGTAAGAGCTTTGGAAATGACACAGATCTGTCTCCCAAGGGAGATTCGGCAGCGGCTGCGGCTGCGATTAACATGTACCCGCCGCCGCGGCTAGGGCAGTTCTACGAGTTCTTCTCGTTCTCAAACCTCACGCCGCCGGTTCACTGTAGGTGTTTTCCTTTCTCCGTTTCGAATTTGCTATTGGAATGTAGTGTAGTGCTGGAATTCGAACGAAATTGAGTGGATATGGAATTTCTGGATTTTTTTCGCAGACATTCGAAGATCTGATCGGCCGTTCCTCGAAGATAAAACGAACGACGATTTTTTCCAATTAGATGTGAGATTTCTATCGATTTGTTAGGTTTTAATTTTGGATTGTGAACTACAGACGTTGTAATCGGCAGTATGGATTTGAATTTTGCAGGTTAGGGTTTGCAGTGGGAAGCCAATGACAATTATTGCTTCGAAGAAAGGGTTTTATCCATCTGGAAAGCGCATCCTTCTTTGCCATTCATTGGTTGGCTTGTTACAACAGATTAGCCGGCCTTTTGATACTGTAAGTTTCACTGAATTCATCGAAAGCATTGCTTGTTTGTGGTGATGTTCTTATGCCATTTTCTGGAGCTGGTTGCAGGCTTACCGAGCTCTTATGAAAGCTTTTATAGAACACAATAAGGTCAGGAATAGCTTTTTTCTCGGTGTTCTTCTGTTCTGATTCTTCTCCATAGTCATTGTCATCTGAAGGTTGTTGAATTGTCACTTATTTTTCATTTCAGTTTGGCAATCTTCCTTATGGTTTTCGGGCAAATACATGGGTTGTGCCACCAGTTGTCTCTGAAAACCCATCTGTTTTCCCCCCACTTCCAGTGGAAGATGAAAACTGGGGTGGAAATGGAGGCGGGCAAGGAAGGAATGGTAAACATGATCACAGGCCATGGGCAAAGGAGTTTGCAATTTTAGCAGCAATGCCTTGTAAAACTGCAGAAGAGAGACAGATCCGTGATAGGAAAGCCTTTCTACTCCACAGTTTATTCGTCGATGTTTCCGTTCTCAGAGCTGTGAGAGCAATCAAGCAGATCATTAATACTAATCAGTCTTCTCTAAGCAAGACTGACCTGTTTCCCCACGAGGAAAGAGTTGGGGATTTACTTATTAAGGTGATAAGAGATGACTCTGATGCAAGCACCAAGTTGGATCGTAAGAATGATGGTAGTCTGGTACTTGAACTGCCACGGGAAGAACTCGCTCATCGAAATCTGCTTAAGGGCATTACTGCTGATGAAAGTGCGACTGTTCATGTGAGATTCTAACATTCCTCTCGAATTTTTCAATATAGAAAGTTTAAACACGTTGAATTGGTTTCTGAAGCCTCAATTTTCTACTTCTGTAGGATGTTTCTACCATAGGAGTTGTGATTATCCGGCATTGCGGATACACAGCTGTTGTTAAAGTCTCGGGAGAAGTAGACTGGAAAGGGAGTCCAATTCCTCAGGACATTGATATTGAAGACCAACCTGAAGGAGGGGCCAATGCCTTGAATGCCAATAGGTTAGTCTGACATGGCCCATATACATTCAAGAATATCATAATCATCTTACTTTCCTAATAATTCTCTCCTTAACTTTCTTCAGCTTGAGGATGCTATTGCACAAGTATCCAACATCTCAATTGCCAAATACAAACCAGAGATTACAGAGTGGAGACGCTGAAAATGCACGTTCTGCTAGGGCACTTGTCAGGAAGGTACTAGAGGAAAGTCTACAGAAGTTGCATGAAGAACCCAGTAAACGTGTAAAGTCCATCAGATGGGAACTAGGCGCATGTTGGGTCCAACACTTGCAAAATCAGGCTTCAGGTAAAACCGATCCTAAAAAACCTGAAGAGAAAATACCTGAACCTGCCGTCAAGGGACTGCTGGGAAAGCAGGGTGCCCTGCTGAAGGAGATAAAGAAAAAACTGGATGTAAAAAATGGCAAACCAGAGGATGGAAAAGATATTTCTCAAGGTAACAACACTAAGACTATGAGGAAATCAGATGGCATGGATCAGAAAGAGGAGGAGGAGAATAAACTTGAGGATATGGAGGTCACATGGAAAAGATTGCTTCCTGAAGCTGCATATCTGCGGCTTAAAGAATCTGAAACTGGTCTTCATCTCAAGGTTTGTTTCCATATCTTAAGTGGAAAACCCATCGGCTTAAAATTTCCTTTTACACTATTGTTCTTATTAAGTTCACATTTTAATTTTTGTTTTTGTTCTTTTCTGTCTTGCAGTCTCCTGAAGAGTTGATTGAAATGGCACATAAATACTATGCAGATACCGCTCTTCCGAAACTGGTCAGTTATTCAACCACTCAGATTTCCTTGACCCTGTTAAAATTTTCCTAAAACTAACTTGCATATGTGCGTAAATCGCAGGTAGCAGATTTTGGCTCTCTCGAACTGTCACCGGTTGATGGGAGAACATTGACAGAGTTTATGCATACTAGGGGTTTACAGATGTGTTCTTTGGGCCGTGTGGTAAAATTTCTCTGCTATACTATCTCTTAGATGCTTCATTTCTTACCATTTTGTTAATTAGTTTCCTGTATTCTAGGTTGAACTTGCAGACAAACTCCCTCACGTACAATCACTCTGTATACATGAAATGATTGTTCGAGCCTACAAGCACATATTGCAAGCTGTTGTAGCTGTTGCTGACGTGGCTTCTGAGCTGACTGCACTAATTTCAGCATGCTTAAATATATTGTTGGGAACTCCTCCAGTTGAAACAGAGGATGCAGAGATTGTTGAGGATGATAAGTTAAAGTGGAAATGGGTGGAAACCTTCCTTTCCAAGAGATTTGGGTGGCAATTGAAGCATGAAAGCTGCCAAGATCTAAGAAAATTCACAATACTTCGTGGACTTTCCCATAAAGTAACCACTCATGCCACTCTCTAGATATTGCTCTCCGATACCTTAGAATTACATTCTTACTCTATCATTGGATCATTCTATTTTCAGGTTGGGCTTGAGCTCCTTCCCCGAGACTATGAGGTGGAAATTGCATTTCCTTTTAGGAAGTCTGATGTCATAAGTATGATCCCTGTCTATAAGGTAAGGCGATACTCTGAGAACCGGGCCGTGGAAGTTTAGCTATTAGCTCATTTTCTTGACTTTGTTGTGTTCGTACTCTGCAGCATGCTGCATGTTCATCAGCAGATGGCCGTACATTATTGGAATCATCCAAAACTTCCTTGGATAAGGGGAAGTTGGAAGATGCTGTTAACTATGGCACCAAGGTGGGCATTATTAGCTCATCTTTTTTTACCTGTGTACTCTGTGCCTCTTGCTGATAGAATATTTAAAAGTGGATTGTGTGAATTGATATATTTGTTCATATGTTTAAAGGCACTCTCGAAGCTGGTTTCAGTCTGTGGCCCTTATCATCGAATGACTGCTGGAGCGTACAGTTTGCTTGCTGTAGTTCTTTATCATACTGGCGATTTTAATCAGGTACAACATCTCAGACAGTTTCAGGCATCTATGGCTTTGCTAATCAATAAGTTATTTTATGTTCCTGAACCTAATCATCTGACAACCCTCGGGCCAATTCAACTGCTTTTCTCCGGGAGATAGTATTATACTTGCTTGCTACTCAAACTAACTCATTTGAGTTGTCCAGGCAACCCTTTATCAGCAGAAGGCATTGGACATTAATGAAAGGGAGCTTGGACTTGACCATCCTGATACAATGAAAAGCTACGGAGATCTAGCCGTCTTCTATTATCGTCTTCAACATACAGAATTAGCATTGAAGTACGTTTCCTTTTTCCCTTCCTAAACATTCCTACGAAACTTAAACTTTGATTCACTTCATGCTTCCAATGATAACACTTTAACTTCACTGCCTATCATTTAGCATGTATCATTGATTGTTGTCACTGGCTATCATTTAGCACCTACCATTGATTGTTGTCACTGGTTCTTTCAGGTATGTCAACCGGGCACTCTATCTCTTGCACGTAACATGTGGACCATCTCACCCGAACACAGCTGCCACATATATCAATGTGGCGATGATGGAAGAAGGACTGGGAAATGCCCATGTTGCTCTTAGGTACCTTCACGAGGCTCTGAAGTGTAACCAGAGACTACTTGGAGCTGACCATATTCAGGTAGCTCTATCTCTCTCCCTCTCTCTGTGATTGCAATATAAATCACAAAGATACCGGACTTACATCTGGCCTTTTTCAGACTGCTGCCAGCTACCATGCCATTGCGATTGCTCTTTCGTTGATGGAAGCTTATTCATTGAGTGTTCAGCATGAGCAAACAACATTACAAATACTGCAGGCGAAGCTTGGGTCTGAAGATTTACGCACTCAGGTGGGATCTAAGTTTACTGTCTAGCGGAGGAGTGATCTTAAGTTCTTAACCACTGATTAGTTCTCATATTCGCTTATGTTATGCCATGTTTTCAGGATGCTGCAGCTTGGCTCGAGTACTTCGAATCCAAGGCTCTTGAGCAGCAAGAAGCTGCCCGTAATGGCACTCCCAAGCCAGATGCCTCCATCTCCAGTAAAGGACACTTGAGGTAAAGGAGTGTTCTTCAAAGAACTGAGAGTACCACTACCCTTCACCATCCATAAGTAAAGTGTTCGTGGAGAGAACTAAACCATCACCCATTCCTCAATTTTCCGGTACTGGATCAGTGTGTCGGACCTTTTGGATTACATAACTCCAGACGCGGATCTAAAAGCTAGAGAAGCCCAGAAGAAAGCTCGCGCAAAGGTAATGCATTGGTTCTCCATTCTACCATTCATCCACCTTCAGCAAATCTTTCCATTTCCTGAACTTGTTTATATCTCCTTCCCTTCTCAGCTGATTAAAGGAAAACCAGGCCATTACGGGGAACCGGGCTTGTCAGACAAATACCAGAAGGACGAAGAAACACCATCCCCAACAACTTCCCACGTCGATGATAGCTCCAGCGACAAGGAGAACAAATCCGTGACCCAGAACAATGCTCCACAGGAAGAGAAAAAGTTCGATCAGAAGCAGTCTATATCGATCGAGACCGAAGTCGCCATTGTTACTACACTGGAGGAAGACTCCGACAAAGGGTGGCAGGAAGCCGTCCCCAAGGGCCGCTCCCCTGCGAACCGAAAACCGTCTGCAGGTAGCGGTTCGAGGAGGCCGAGCCTCGCGAAGCTCAACACCAACTTCATGAACAATGCTTCTTCCCAGTCGAGATCTCGCGGAGGGAAGCCGAGTCCAAACGATTCTGCTGCTTCACCTGCGGCAGTTACTGTTCCCGCCAAGAAGTTCGTTAAGAACGCGAGTTTCGGCCCTAAAGTCAACCAAACCGGTGGTGGACCGGAGAAAGTGGTGATGAATCCCAAATCTGCCCCTGTGACTCCAGCTTCCAACGACGCAGTTTTGAGACCAGTTTCGGCGGGAAACCAGATCAGCGTTCAAGCAGCTGGGAAGCTTTTCTCATACAAAGAAGTTGCTCTGGCTCCTCCAGGGACGATTGTGAAAGCGGTGGCCGAACAGGTTCAAGTTCAGCCACCGCCGAAAGAGGGGAGGCGTTCGAGAGAACCGAGTCCTGAGGTCTTCACTCCTACCACTGACTCGGCGAGTTCAAAAAATGGAGAGGAAGGAACAAAGTCACCACCACAAACAGAAGAATCGGCCGAGACTAAGGAAGAAGAAAGAAACCCTGCTGAAACTCGAGCTTCTGCCGCTGCGGCTGACGAAGTTGGGATTCAGGAATCAGGAAATGCAGTTGAGGAAGCAGTATCATCGACCAATGTAAGAGTTCCCAAACCTGCTCCTGCAACTGATGAAGAGCAGCAAGACGCAGAGGAGGTTCTTCAACCAGGGGAGAAACATAATGAAGCCCAGAATGGCAAGGATGGAACGAAGAAGCTCTCAGCAGCTGCACCACCGTTTAATCCATCTCCCACAACGATTATTCCAGCTTTCGGTTCTGTTGGGCTTCTGGCGTTTAAGGACCTCGGTGGGATTCTGCCTCCGCCGGTGAACCTCCCTCCGATGCTTCCGGTGAACCCGGTAGCCATACGGAGGTCTCCTCACCAGTCGTCGGCTACGGCTAGAGTGCCCTATGGTCCCAGGTTGTCCGGTGGGTATAACAGGTCCGGAGGGAATAATCGGGTGCCAAGAAACAATAAACATTTCCACACTACCGGTGTACATGTTCCCGCCGGAGACGGGAATCAGTTGAGCCCGCCCAGGATCATGAACCCACACGCTGCCGAGTTCGTCCCGGTCCAACCCTGGCTCCCCAATGGCTACCAAGCCGGCTCGCCCAACGTCTACCTGGCTGCTCCGACGACGATGATTGCCAACGGGTTCCCTGTTTCCCCGACCAGTATTCCTCTCCCTCCCCCCAACGGATACCCGGTTGCTCCGATGAACGGGTTCCAGGAGTCTTCTCCTGTTAGTCCGGTAGAAGCCACTGCCACTGCTGACAAAAAACAAACTGAAACCCCGGCGGAGGAGAATGATGATGTCGAGAGTTCATCTCCAGCAGCAGAAGCAGAGAATCATGATCACAATGAGGCGGTGGCTGAGAATGCTTCCACAGAGGAAGAAGAAAAGTCGGCTAATTCAGCTTCCCCTCCTGCTGACATCGCAGTGAATCCGATCGTCCATGAGAAACCGGGGCAAGTCGTGGGCTGATTACAGTGACAGAGAAGCCGAGGCTGTTGTCGAAGTTTCAAGTTGAAAGGAAGGGATCCGAATTCGGAACAACCACGAAACCCTTGATCCATTTTGTAGATTGTCAGGTTGATATGTCTGAGCGAAGGAAGGAAAGGAGAGGGGTGCAAATGCAGTCGCCAGTCGGGAAGAGAAACAAGCCTAGAATAGCAGCATTCTGGCAAAGAAGATGGGCGACAGAGCATTTCACTCACCGCCAGCAGGCAGGTTTTGCTGCTGCAGATAATCCCTGGTATCGTTTCATTGACAACTTTTCGACATTTGTTCGTTCGTTTTTGTTTACTTCTTTTTTGGTTACCTCCATCTTTTATTCTTCCTTCATTTGCTGAAGAAACCTTTTTTTATCGGATGATGGCACTTGAAGGTACTCAGTAAGAAATCCAATCAATAGTTCTATATATCTCTTATAAGTTCAATGAACTCTACTTACGAATGATAATCTCGATCTGATAGCTTACTTTTGATGAGTATCGGACTAGAGATCGTCTCTAATCTAACTTACTCCGATACGACTCTCATCCAGCGTAGGAAGAGTATGACTAGTAGTAGTAAGATACACACTTCGCCCCAACTAGATTGTCATTCATACCTCTACTGCTATTACTTCTATGATGCTGGACTTTTGGTTAGAGGAGAAGAGTATTGGCCCTAAACCACATTGTCTGATACGACCCTTTTTCGCTCTTTCGATGTAGAACGAGTATGAATGTTCAGATACGCATCTCGCACCAAACCGAATTGTCATTCCTAGCTCTACTACTACTGATACTACTGAGCTTTAGTGTCGGATAACATTACCAATACATCTTGTAATACAAACAATTGCTGCAAACATTTCCCTCTTAACATGAAGGCGTCCCCTGCCGAAAATGCATGATGATAACCGTCGCAAGGCTGTGAGCCACAGCAGCCATAACCACAAACACATGGAAGATCTGGTGACTCTGTCCAGCAATATCGAACATGCCGGGCCACCACCGCTCCGGTATCCTCCCGACGTAGAACCCAGCTCCGGCGCCATACAGAACCGCCATGATCACCTCGAGCAGGACCGAGACGAACACGTGCGGGTGGCCCCAGTGGATGCACACGCCGTGGACAGCCGGCACGGTCCCGGAGAAGCCCATGGCGAGGAACAAGGTGGCCCGGAACTTGCGGTACCGGGGAGCCGAGAGCTGGGGGGAGAGCAGGGTGACGATGGCCATCGCTCCGAGGACGGTGATGGAGGTGAGGTAGAGGAAGCGGGAGATCGGGTTGCAGTGGAAGATGTAGTAGATGGGTGCGTAGAATGAGGAGACTATCATGACGGAGATTCCGGCGTAGTCGAGCCGCCAGAAGAAGAGGTTGAAGGTCTTGGAGTGGCAGGCCAGGAGGTGGGAGAGCGAGCTGCAGGTTAGGCAGGTCATTGCTCCGGCTAAGTAGACGAACCATGGCCATTGTGCGATGGGTTCCGAGCCGGTTTCCAGCTCCGGGATTCGCCGGAGATTGTAGTCCTGCAACAAAGGTACAATTTATAATTGAAATCAGAACATCGTTTCTCAGAGTCAGAGAAGGAAAACAGAGTATGGAACAAAAGAAGGGGAAAATTGTGTCATCCCTCTAGCTCTAAGAGCTTTTCTTCAACTAGGAGGAAAAGTATCAACCAGACTATATGTCCGAATCACTTAGTCTTGTGAATTTGTCGAGTATTTAACGATCGGAGTAATATCCGATGTATTCGTAGACCTCCCATCTACAAAGTTTGAAACTTTTCTTCAAGGCATCACATTAAACAGGAGACATTCACAAGACCTTTCAGTGACAAAATCCAAATGGGATGAAGAAATATCTCCTTCAATAAGATTCTGCAGACAAATTCATTGGGTAGGAAAAACAACCTAAAAGACAAAACCTTTGATTGGCTACCAAACAGAGGTTCCTTTAGCCAGCAGACATCAATAATTCACATGGCGTTTAGAAAAAAAAGGAACTCATCAGTCATCACATGATTCCCTTACCTACACTTTCTTTGAGCCACACAGAATATCCTCTCTTCTTCTGCATATACTGTTGATTTTCAATTCAAATTGAATTTAAAACCAAGGCTATCAAGCTTTCTAGTTAACTAATCGTTTCCTTCATGGCTACCGGGCAGAGCTGTAAGCTCAAATCGCTCACTCTCGTCGACTTGGATCGACGAGAGTAACTTCGGACAAATAAAAAAAAGAAGGGAGGGATGAAGAAATGAAACTTACAGGAACCAAGCTGTTATCAGAGACGTTGAAATCACTGCCATTGTTCTTCATTATCATTGCCATCAACGGTCCAGAGGCTTGACCTCTGCAATCAAACAGTTGCAAAGCAAAATACACTTAAATCGAGAATCGAAAACTAAAAGACAAAGTGAAATTCGGCTTGGCATACATACCTCGATAAATCGGTGAGAAATCCTCCGAGCTCATCCAATTTCCCCATGAAGCTCATCACCGTCAGTCCAGCAAAGATCAAGAACCCTCCCAAATGCCTAACACAACAGAGAGCAACAAAAGGAAAGAAAATCCACGAATTCAAAACCTTGCCACCATTCAACAATCGGAAAAATGGAAATTACAAATTGAGTTTTTTTCTCCGGCTCCGTACGTACGTCCAGATGTTGAGGGTTTCGTTGTGCCAGGAGAAGACGCTCCACAGCGCGTCCCGGAGCGGCCATTCCGACCGGTAATGGTCGAGGATGAACTCGTTGTCTTTCAAATACTCCGGCAGGTCATTGAATTTCACCAGCCTCCTCTCCTTCTCCTTCCTCCTTCGATCGCCGCCGCCGCTGCAGCAGGAAGACGAAGTAGCAATCACTTCCTCTTCTTCCTCTTCCAACATCGCCGCCGCGCTCGTCTTCCTCCTTACGCCGCCGCTCATTTCTTTCTATCCTGCCTCAGGGAAACGAATGATTATCTTGGTTTCCGGTGAGTGACGCGGCCGCGGATCTGATAAGAAAAAAGCCTTTTCCCCCTTTTCCACTCTGCTTTCGCTCTCTCTTTCTCTCTGTTTTTAGCTTCTTCTTCGCTTCTGCTGCTTTACCATTTTCTCGCCTTTCTGGTTTTCCCGTTTTTGGATATATATTTTTACAATGAACCGGCAGGATTTAGCCGCGTGACTTGTTTTAAAAAAAAGGTCAAACCAGAAGCCATCCGCCACGTTTCGCGGTGTGATTGGCGGGTGCAGGTTTAGGAACTTGGTCCCGGCCGGACGTGATTGCTGCTCCTTCCCGGGGAAACCATTTCTCTGCAAATTTGTTTGGGAGATATATGCATTAAATTAGGTGACCTATTTTGATGATTTATGGCACTATTTTCTTATATAAAAATTAAAAACCATGTATTGATGTATGGAGCTTGAGAGGGAAATAGAGTGCACCTTTTTTCATGTGTCCCATAAGGTAGAAAGGCAATGCAATAATTATACATCATGGGACAACTAGATTTGCTCGATCAAGTCTTATAAAGGCATAATCATGCACAATCATTGTTTTACCCATAAAATGATTACATGTATTCCAATTGGGCATCCCATCTTCATCCAAAACTACAAACATGTATCTTACTTCTCCAAGCAACAATGAGATGTGCATGTAAATGTCGGTTATTGATGAAAATGTACCACGAAATCACTTCTTTTGGTGGAGCATATTCCCTAGAATGTCATCACTCGAGTCACGACTGACCAGCGCACGTGTCAATTCGATCACGAATCAGAGGCGGTCGTGCAACAAATTGGGCTATGTTACAACTTACAACTAGACCAACCTTTTTCTTTTGTTTCTTTGTTAATTCGAATTGAGCATCGTGTTAAACTTGACAAGCTCCCGATTGGGCGTACAAAAACATAACTGTTGTATTTATTGAGTTGGCAGCAAAGTGTCAACGTTCTATCTACTATCTAGTGTGAACTAATTGATGTAGTCTTGAAACAAATAAATGGTGGACACAAGGGAGGAAGCTAGCTAGGTTTGGAAGCTCACCCACTTGAGTAGGGCACAAGTTAGGTAAGTTATTTTTTGACCCATGAGACTAATTGTAGCTTTAGGTTTCGTGCACCATCTCAAGCTAATGTTAGCAAAGAAAATACTTCTATCACGAATGTTTAGCCAAAATGAAAAACCTAATTGTGTGGAGCAATCACACTCTCCATGCCCTAAAATCCTAATGGGAAAGAATTATGGAATGGATGAGCCATTTGGTACATGTCTACGTTGTTAGATTTAGTAGAAAACAGAGAAAGAAGAGAGGAAGGGGTTTAGTGTTGAGCTAGCCGGTTAGGGTTAACATGTGGATGATTGGTGTGTATATGTTATGGAAATTTTCACGTATATCGGGATTCTTGCAACACAAGTCATATATAGAAATCAACATGAAAAGAAAATTAAAGGAAAATAAATCGCGACTCATGTATAAACACGTCCGGACCAATAGAACGAACGTACCTTTTTTGGCGTACTGGTACTTGAAACCCCAGAAATCAGCAAACGCAACGAACGGAGAGAAGTCACACGACTCTATTTTCCTTTATGCATTTACAGAGAGGAAAATTTAATTAAGAAGAAAACATATTTTCTTTCTTTAGACAGAAAATCCTTTTAGGAAAACTCACGTATGAAAATAGAGGGTGTTGGTGTTGTTTATAGAAAATGAAGGGTGTGAGTGAAGGGATGTGACCCTTCGGGTGGGTGGTTACACCCCAACCAACACATTGGTTTGTTTTAAAATAGCGAATCGTTGCATCGGTTTGGCTCATGGTATTGGACCGGTTGGTTCACTCCAACTGCCACATTAGTTCGATTCAAATTGGTTTGGTTTGGTTGGTAACACAAACCAATTTGACCAATTACAAAACGATTTAATCAAATCAATTGACCGAATCCAAGGCCTCCTTCCCATATATAAATAATATGGTATTTCAATAGCTTCTCATGATTCCTCCTCCTTTCATTCCTATTCACATCATTCAAAATCCCAACAGTATACACAACACAATCGGACCATCTCGAACAGTATGTTAGTTGTTCGTCAAATAGGCTTCTTCAATGATCCTATAATGCTGACGAATAGGGTAAAGCACGAAAGAAAAAAAAACAGAAAAATAATAAAGTACATTATTGTTGTTCGATTTCAATAGTTTCTTAGCATAACCAATCGAAATGGGTTTCATTGCATTCATGTTGAAGATTATAATAGACAGAAATGGGGTATGCAACAGTTCAATTTGATATAAATCGTATCATATCATGATAACTGTGGTTTAATAGTAAAAGAAAACTGAGAACCATAATATGATCATTATGGTTTTTTTCGATTCAAATATAAAGTTGATCAATATTTTATTCAATATTCAGAAAATTTATGAGATCAAACTAATACTTGGATCGAACTATACCGAACCAAATACAAAGCAGTGGGTCATACCGTTGCACACCCATGCACTGGACGCAAGGCAAATCACAAGAGAATGAGTTCATCTCAAAATAATTATTGGGCCACATAAAGTAACTAGCTAGTTGGTAATGAACTTGGATCAGGTCAATGCATCAAGGGCTACCTAGTGATGTCAGTTCTGGATCACGCCTTAATTATTGTAGTAACTAGCCCAATCCCAATCACAACCAAAAGGAAGCCCAAAATTTTGTATGGAATGGATCATTGACATAGTTGTATTGATAATAGAATGACCGACTGTGATGCCAATGTGGCCGCTCATATAATCGCGCACTCAGAAACAAGATAGAATGAAGCGGAAGTTTGGTTTGACCGCCCGTCAGTGTTTTTGCTTGACTAATTAAGTTTGGATAATGTAACAGTTTTGATTTATCAATAAAGCTTAGCGCAGGTTTCTATATAAAAAGGTGGTTGGTTCGAAATTCCTAGATTTTTTTGGTACGAATATCATTCTTTTTATTCCACGTAGAAGTAGTGTAGAAATTGCTCTTAGGATGCTTATTGATATTAAACTCAAATTGGACTAAATGAGATTGTGGTATGTTCGCTGTATGTCTCGTTGTTGCTGCTCAATTCCTTAGTTTCTAGCTTCCATAGAATTCTGGCTTGTTCAGTTAATCTCGATCTCGCCTTCACTTTAATAAACCACGTACAAAAAGATGTCGCGACGAGATAGTACGCATACACAGGGTTTATTCACGTACATCATGATTGAATTCAATTAATAATAGTTATATTCATCTAAGTTTATCTTCAATCCGATATCATAATCATTCGTCGTAAATATTTAAAATCGCAATCCATAGTGAACTATTACACTTGAGGCAATGCTATTTTTCTCGGAATCACGCTCTATTATAATCACTTATCTCTTCTTGTTGTTGCATTGATGTGTATGTGCCACATCAGGATATATAGGCTTTGTTTTCTTTAATTCGCATAGAATGTGTCGCAGTCAATTTCTAAGAGTGAAAATATTTGTCCTATTCAAGCATTTGTTTGTGTATCGTGGATATCTTTGGCCTGCAAATCTCAATACATGGAATTGAAAGCCAAAATTTTGTATCATTCTCATGTTTTTATGGTAATGTTGAGGATAGAGATGTTTCCTTTGCTAGTCGTACACTCGTACTCAACTTTCGTAACAATAAGAACAATCAGAGGTAGTTTAAATGAGACTTCTTTTTTCTTTCAAGGCAAGTCTAAAGTACATGGTACAATGACTCGATTAAAAGACTGATTACAATCAAATACGGTACAAAGACTCGATTACAACAATGATTCCAATCAAATAAGGTAGTCCGTTGGCAACCAGACTTACGATGAAAGAGTCTGTTTTGCCATCTATATATGTTATAGTTTTGAGGAGCAAAACGACACGACAATAACTGAAAAGGAGAAAAAGGAGTGAACTTCTACCAAGATGACCCCTGCTCGAGAGTGGGTAGAGTCTTTTGACGTTGCGTGCCAGTCTGCCAGATAACTAATTGAACAACAATAAAAAGGTTACGTAGACTTCATATCACAACATCCCAAATATCAAGGAGTTCAGGAATAAAGCCTTTGAAGTGAGATTATTTTGTTGGATTTCAACATAATTTCACAGGATGCGAGGTTTTGACTTTTGACCAAAAATATCGTTCTGAAATGGCACAACAAATTAGAGATTACAGATACTTAAAAGTTCATAAATGTGGGTTTTCGAAATAGTTACCCCCAATTATTTTGAAATCTCACATTCTTACTTCTTCTATCCCAAAACGAGCTCATCCTATCCGTTGACTTCTTCCTTCTCTCTAATTCGTCGATAATTTGTTCCTTCGACTTCTTCCTCCTTCCTTTTCCCTCCATCTATGACTTCTCCCTTACAATCCCCTTTAGCAACAATCACCAGTTGTTTCTCCATCCAAATCAACTTCTTCACTCTCTCTACCAGCTCTTCCCGTGCGTGCATCCGAACGAAAGACAAATGACAAGCAGGGATTGTTGACATCGCCGACCTCTTCACTGAAATCTCCTTCGTCCCTCTTCAATCCAATTCATCTTCTGGATTTTCATCGATTCATGCGACGAGTGGCTGGGTCGACAATTGTGAGTTTGCATCGACTGGTTTGTTGGGCGAAGACGTCACTAGCGACTGGTTCTTTGCAGACAACTAGCTCTTGGCACGATATATATGAAAGTTGTGAAACAACTATATAAATGCTCTTAACATTCTATAGGTACAATTAATTTCTCATGTAATTCACATGAGCTCAAGTGCTACAAATCTTGATTTTATTATGTGCCTCTCCTCTTGTTTTACAGCTTTGTACCCTTTCATAATTCACTCATCTAGGTTTTGGATCAGTAACAAATAATGAACACAAAATAAAAACGTCACCTTTTACAACATTATGAGACGAGGGAAATTATTTATCAGGAAAAATAGCTACTTAAATTAAGTGAAAAAAAATTTCCAAAGAAAAAATCATATCAGGTTTTTGTATTAACTGGATTTGTCTTGAATGATATATATTTTTTCCTAACAAAACTGTCCGGCCAATACACAGCCAAGGTACGCTTTATTCTCTTTGCTCATTTGTTTTTTCTATTGTATGCATAATTTCCCATTTTAACTAGTATAAGAGAATGAAACAAGGAAAAAAAAAATAGTTATCTAAGATCTATTCTTAAATCGGTATAGTACACTTTTACATGTATACATCCTTCTCAGCCTTGCACCATCGATTCGTGTTGAGTTTGTTCCTCGACGTTTGAATCGATTAGCGAATTGGGTGGCACGACATGCTAGAGCGGGATCGTTACCGGTGGATTGGATTTGAATTGTTAATATTATTGCTCCACTACTGTAATGTGACCACTAGGGCGGGGAAACGGTGTGGTCTGGTCTAGACCATATATACGGTCTATGGTCTAGACCGAGAGGCTGAAGTATAGACCACAAACTATACGGTCCGGTCTAGACCATGCCTGTGCGGTCTAGTTTGGTTTGGTATGGTCCAGATAGATCACACTCAACGAAAAATGAATAATTTGTTTAGTCAACCACACGAAAATTGAACCAATAACCAAGAAAAATAATTGTTATTTGCCTTAAAACATTCATCCTAACTTGTTATTTGCCTTAAAATAGTTGTTTAGTACATAACAAAGATACAAAGTAAAAGCATCCAAACTTGCACTATAACATCATAAACATTAACATAATGTCATATGGAGACACGATTATCTCTACTCACTGGTTAAATGTGGTTGTGAATGAAGGAGGGACGAGATTCACAAAACTAAGGTTGAGACCTGCATGTCGTCATGGGAGTTGGGAGAGTGGTCGATTGGGCTGTTAACATGTATTGACAAGTCGGTTGGGTCCACGGTTTGGTCCGGTAAACCGCGGTCTAGACCAGACCAGAACAAGAGATCAAAACATAAAATAATACAGACCATGGACCGGACCAGACCATACTTAACGGTCTACGGTCTAGACCAAACTGTGGGTACGGTTTGAACCACGGTTTTTCTAACGGTGTGGTCTATTTTCCCAGCTCTAGTGACCACGATTTTCCCGGTTTCGGATGGAATAGAAGGTTGCTTATTGTATAAAAAAAAACTCAGCTCATAAATTTTTTTAACTTGTTGACTCGTCACTCTTACGTAAAGTTTATCATAGAAATCAAACAAGAGTTAGAAAGCCAGACTTCACCCTGTTTTGGGTAGATTGATAAATCAGAAATGTATATATATGCTCCAGAAGCTGCTGCTAAAAGTCTGAGCAGCATAACCCATATATATTAAAAAAAAAATTAATGAACAATTAAAGGAAGTAAGAAAATAATAAAAATTACAATTTCCGGCTGGATGTAAGTTCTGTACAAACCTAGTTATCTACGCTTCTTAATTGTTCTTAAAATTTTGTCACTAATCAGATTTTGTCTCTACTGTCCCATACTTAACAAAAAGAAAGTTCACAATTATATAAATAAAATCAAGATTAACAAAATATTAAAAACCTGACAGTGTCATTACAGCGAGGAAGGTAACAATTAAATAGATAAATAATTACCAGGGCAATCACACAAGGCAAATAAAAAAAATTTCTTAATCAATTCAACACAATTCATTAAAATCATCTTCTAATTAAACTTATATATTTAATCTCTAATCCAACCAATAAAACGATCCCATTGGATCGGAGGGCACATAACAAGTAAGTGCCGACGCTGGAGATGAGACGACAATCCGCTTAAGGACGGCGACGTCGCTTAAACCGTTATAATCTTTTTCTATTAATCATGGATTAATTAATATATATATAATTCGTACTGTTTAACCGCCGGCAACCCCCTTTCATAAATTGTCAAGATAATAATAATTAATAAGAATGGACTTAATTTAATTTAATTTAATTTAATTAATTAATGCGCTCTGATTTCCATGCCAACCCACGAAAACTCCAACCTTATTCTTGCTCGGCTTCCCTTATATAAGCCACTGGACTTTGGGAGAACCATCAAATATTCAGTCTTTCTAATTATTCCTATATTTTTAATTTGATCCATTTTAGTCCTTCTCGTCAAGAGAAAGCCAGAAGAAAGAAAACAGTGCAATTCCCCCTCTTCGAACTGCGCCTCCAAATGGGAAAGCAGAGGGCCAACAGCAACGGGAGTATTATTAGCAACGGGAGTGGTAGCAGTAGTGACCAGCTTGGACTCACCAAGACTCCTTCGTCGGCTTCCATCAACGGCGGCGGCGGCGGGGTGACGAAGGTGAAGAGGACGAGGAGGACCGTGCCACGAGACTCGCCGCCGCAGCGCAGCTCCATCTACCGTGGCGTTACAAGGTGGGGGAGTAGTTTTGATCAGCAGGAATTTAACGTTGAGATTCGAACTCACGACCTTATGTTTTCGAGATGATAATTTCAAATTTGTGTTTATGGTCGTTTTTTGTGTGTGTGTTTTTGTTGGTTCAGGCATCGATGGACGGGTCGGTATGAAGCTCATTTGTGGGATAAGAACTGCTGGAATGAGACACAAAACAAGAAAGGACGTCAAGGTTAGCAAACTGTGCATATTGTCGCAATCCTACCTTTTGTGATCGAATTGGTGTGACTAACGATTTGTTCTTTTTTTTTCCATTGTTGGGTCGTGTTTTTTTTTCCAGTGTATCTAGGTGCTTATGATGATGAAGAAGCGGCAGCTCATGCTTACGACTTGGCAGCTCTCAAGTACTGGGGTCCAGAAACGATCCTTAACTTTCCGGTACAAATTAAACTCATCTCCATGTATACACAACTTCAATTTATGAAATTTCTCTCCAGCGAAAACGAGTATCGAGTTTGGTTCATTTGGTTGCTGTTTGTAGTTGGCTACGTACGATAAGGAGATCAAGGACATGGAGGGGCAGTCGAGAGAAGAGTACATTGGGTCGCTCAGAAGGTATCAAAGTGTTCTCGGTTTGCGGGTTTCTTTCTCTATTCACGGCCCTCGCATCTTTTTTTTTTAATGATTTGACGATGATAAGGGGGACTGAAGCTAATTTAGGACTTCATTACTTGCCAGGAAAAGCAGCGGATTCTCTCGTGGGGTTTCGAAATACAGAGGGGTTGCAAGGTATTAACTAAACTGGATATATATATATATATTTTTTACCATTTCATAACCACCTTGTTATGTAAATAGTAAAAATCTTCCATTTTTGTGAAGTTAATTTGGTATTTTGGGGGGTGTTTGGTTATGGAAATAGGCATCACCATAATGGAAGGTGGGAAGCCAGGATCGGCAGAGTGTTTGGCAACAAGTACCTCTACCTTGGGACCTATGGTAATAAATCAGTCTTTATCCTTCCTTCACAATCCCAAATGGCACCTTAATTAAGAAGAGATTCAGAAAAATAATTACCTATCAAGTTATAAGAAGATAATTCCAGAGAGTAATAAACTCAAACCTTTGCCATGATAGTGGCATTTTCCATGTCTTATCGTATTGTTTTTTGCATAAAAAATGAAGCGTACAAGTGTGCTTCTCGATCTCTCTTTCTCTTTGTCTTGAGTACCGAATTATACATTTTAGTTTTTCTCTGTAGACAGATCGAGTTCACTAATACAATAACTACTTTCTGTGTTTACTTTGCTCGTACAGTCGTACACATGGTAAAACCCTAACTTTGTATTTCTCCAATGAAAGTTGAAAACTCAACAAAATAAGTTTTTTTCGAGTGAATATATTATAAAATTTACGTATGAAGGAATTGTTTTGATAAAATAGTTTATTTGATTATTATGAATTAAATTAATTAGATCTCCTTATTTTGGCCAATTGGAAGAATTAGGGAAGCTTCTAAATGGACCTTGAGAGAGTGGAAGTTTGTTTGTTTTCTTGGCTCTAAACTCTTAAGTATTTAAGATGTAGCCATTTGTCCAAAAACCATGGTATTAATTTGTCAATAAGTATATTTAAGACGGTTGTGAATTGGACTACGTATACTACATCTTTTATTAATTAATTAATCACTTTGCCTAACTGATTTTGAGTTTGGGACAAGTGGATACAGTTATAGTGGAGGTTTAGTAGGGAGGTTGGGCAACCTCTAGCTAATTAGGGTCTTAACTAACTCTTGATTATTTTATATAAACATATCTCAAATATCACATAAGTTAGATACATATAATGGTTCCACCAAAACCTAATCTCATCTTTATAAAATGATTTCACTTCGGGGTCGTTTGGATTAGTGAATGTGATGAGGGATTTATGAGTGATTTTAAAACAATCTCTCATTGTGTAGGATTTTAAAACAATTCTGCGTTTGGAAAGGTGAGAGATTGTGGGCATGAGGAAATTCTAAATCTCTCATATGAGAGTTTTTAAAATAGCTTATGGGGATCAGCTATTTCACAATCACTCATTTTTTCTCATTCTTTTCCAAACTCTGCCCGTCTTTTTGTTCTTCCTTTCTTATTCTTCCTTAGGGATTAGGGATGGGTATAATTGTAACTTTAATTTTTAATTAAAATCCTTCATCTATTCCCAAACATGTTATTTGGATCAAATCCCACGTTTAAAATACCTGGGTTTTTAATTGAGAGATTTTAATTCAAATCCCTCATTTACACATTCCCTAATCCAAACGACCCCTTCGTGACTTCTAAATGGGGGTTTGGTTGATTTTTTTGGTCTTAGAAGGAGTTGTTTGATTAAGTTTATAGGTTCAACTATTTGAGAGTGACTTAACACAAACTTAATATGAAGATAGTAGTTGTTCCACCAATATTCATATGCATTTTGTACATGCATATAATCAATTAATTATAAATGTTGCACTCCAATAACTCAAATGATCGAGATTCTAGGAATGTTTAATAACTTTAATTACATATATTTTTACTACTATCCTGCATACTCAAGTCTCAAACTAAAGTCTACTCATTAAATTGGCATTACGAAAATTCTAATAAACGAATTTCAGCTATCAGAAAATATCGTTGGATCATGGATGGATACTGTTGAGAACTGACAGGTTCTATAATAGAGTATATACATAATTTTTCCTTTTGGTCCATTACATATAACATAAGATGGAAAGTCGCTTTTCCCTCGAGAAAGTATAGACAAGATAATTAATGGTTGCCAAACTTGTTTAAGATTAAATGCTATTTAAACTATGGGTGTCAATTCGGTTTCGGTTTAAACCTAAAAATAAATGATACGAAGTTTAAAGGTTTAGGTTTTCTATATCAAACCATTTTGCAAAACTTAATGGTTTCTACTTTTCAGTCTCAAGTCGATTAACAAAAAACCAAAAGCATATCATGACTGTTGCAAGTGAGGTGTCGATTTTTTTTCCTTCTTCTGTCGTTCGGTTTGATAAACCCATTATCTAATCCGACTTTGAAGAACTTATTTACCTTGAATTTCAACTTTTCCTTCTCAACGTCTTGCTTAACCAAAACGATCGAGGAACCCTAATTTACTATACTATAGCCCACAAGGAAAACAGGCATGTGAAAATCACTCTGGGGGCAGACAATTTAATTAGTATGAGATTGGTCCCTATAGCTATCTTTTCAATTAATTATCGTACTTCCTTATTACTAAGTACAATGACTCCTTAATTACTTGGACTAATCTTCACTTCCTTTCTTCCTTCTAATCTAATCACAGCCACTCAAGAAGAAGCTGCCACGGCGTACGACATGGCGGCAATAGAGTACCGAGGCCTTAACGCCGTCACAAACTTCGACCTCAGCCGTTACATCAAATGGCTCAAACCCAAACAAACCGGAATAACCGAAGGCGGTACCGACCTTAATCACGGCCAAAACCCTAACCCTACACTACCCAACTCCCCGCCCAACCTCGGGCTCAACAACTTCTTCCAGACCCAACCACCACAACCGAACCACCAACCCCCGCGGCCCAGCCCGATCGAACCAATGGTCCAACCTATCAGCAGGCCGGCCAACACCACGTCCGCCCTGGGCCTCCTCCTCCAGTCCTCCAAGTTCAAGGAAATGATGGAGATGACGTCAGCAACCGACCACCACCACCACCATCAACCGGCTCCGGCGACCGTGACGAGCCTCGAGCTCGAGCCGCCGCAGTGCAGCTTCCCGGAGGACATCCAGACCTACTTCGGGTCCCAGGACTCGACGAGCAGCTACGGCGGAGACGGCGGCGGCGGTAGCCATGACGACATGATCTTCGGCGACATCAACTCGTTCGTCCCACCGATGTTCCATTGCGATTTCTGACGATGCATAGAATATCGTTTTGACGAACGGTGGATCGTGGTCGCCGGCCGGCGGACGATGACGTTAAATTTCAATCCACGTAGGTTATTTGAAAAAAAAAATTCTATTTATTAATTACTTACAGATTAATCACAGGTTAAAATTATTGATGAATTATTAGGGTTTTTACATTTGTGAATACGGGACCGTTTAAGTATGGTCTCTGGCCTTCCTCTCATTTCTGAAGGGTGAAGAGTTTTAGAAGGTTATCAACACATTTATCCAAAACTATAGGGTATGATTAGCCAAAAATATTACAGAAACTATAGAAGATTTATATGGGTCTAGATTATTTATTTAGTTCATTTATTTTGTGGATCAAAACAACATGGAGAAGAAAAAAAAAGGAAAATCCATTTATAGTGTTCACTTCACTCTCTTTTATTTGATTAATTCGTTTGTAATTTTTTTTTTCTATAGAATAATATACGAGATGTAATTTTTGTTCTGTCTTTTGGGAAAATTAATAAAATGTGGAGTGATTTCTCTCCAATAGTCCAATATATCTTATTTTCATTTTGTATTATGATTTTTAGTTTGATAGTCATTGCAAAGGGAAAAAATACGAGAAAGATATGAGGGTGACTGGAAACGAAAAAATTTGGGTTGAGTTTTACTGGAAAGAGAGATGAGCATAAGGGATGAAATGGTTTGCAAGAACCAAAAGTTAAGTTGGCGAAATGGGAGCAAAAAATGATGATAATCAATATCAAGAAGAGCAATATTCATCATCAATATCGGCTAGACTATTTGTGCATGACTTATCCAAGATTGTTCTTCCACCTTTGGGTGTTTCAACCTAAACCCATGATCCATGGAGATCTAGAGGATGGATCATTTATTTTCTCCCCTTAATTCAAAATACAGGCAAATAAAGTTTACTTTCAATCCACTTCTTCTCGAGAGCTGTTCGAGTTTGTGTTCTGTCGAGAGAGAGTATGTTGATGTAACTTGAATCGGATTATCAGCCGCTACGATTGGAAGTCATAGGGAGCTCACTGTCCGATCAACGAGTGGGTTCCAGGGGCCCACGACTTATGGGCTCAAAGTTATTTGGGTTCGTGTTACGGGCCTGGTTGTAACTGCTTTCTCTTTACCATATTGGATTAGGGTTAATCTTTGAAGAAGTACTATAAATACTTCTCATACTTCTCTGTAATCTGTATCTCCTCAAAGTATAGTGAAACTGACTCTTTGCTATCCGGGAGCTAGCTAACACACGTTGTGTTAGTGAACCACGTAAATCGTGTGTCGTGTCTGTGTGCACTTTCGTTTTTTCTTGTATTGTCAAATCCTCCAATTTCCTGACCCGCGCAGAGAAACAGTCGTGACAGAGTATATAGATAACACATGTTGTTCCTCATTATGATCTGTAGACATGCTTAGAACAAAACTTCTCATCGAGATGTTGATGATTGCAGATGCTGAGAGGCATTTATGGTGGTGTGCCGGTGTTGGCACGCATTCCCGCCTCTTTCTCATCATAGGGGGCTCTACCTTGTCGACACTGAAATCTATGTGTTTTTCGCCACCGACATCGCTCTGAACTTCTTCGATGCTTCCGTCGATTCCAAAATTAATCTAACGGTTTACGATTCGAGAAGGATAACAAAGAGGTATGTAATATCGATCACTTGATCTCAACTAAGGATCATTCTTTTGTGATGAAATTCAAGATAGATAGTTTGATTAACTAATGGTATTATTATCATTATTATATGTTCCCATCAACATGGTTTTTCATGGATGTGGCATCTACCATCCCTTACAATGCCTTGTACCTCTTGTTCACGGGCAAGCAACAAGTATGGTTGTGTTATTCGCTTCTCGGGTTGTTTCGATTTTGGCGATTGGTCCGAGTTGACCAATTCTTCAACAATAATATTATTAAATAAAGTATAACAAAATTATGTTTTTTCATGAAGAAAATTAAAATAACTTCTATGATTCTCTTGGCATGCTTGAGAAGAACATCAAATTCAACTATTTTGCGGTCCGGCGCTTTAAACTATCTTGTCCCTGTGTGAGTAAAATCATTGGTTAGTTAGATTCCGGCCCAGCCCGTTCACCTTTCAAAGGAAATATAAGTGGGCTGGAGGGTGGAGGCCCAAATTTGATCTCACTTCCCGACGGGCCAGCGTATCGGCCTCTTTTCCCTATCTTGACGGTTTCCCTTGCCGTCACCACCCGCCGGCTACCTGTAAAACAGCTCCACCACTTTTTCCCGCCAATTTCTCTAGTACAGGCTAATCCTTTCAATCGACGCCGTACCTCGGCAATGCCTGGTTCAGTCGATCTCGCTGCTCTGCTCTCAAGAATCTTCGTCCTTCTCCAGCTCCTCCTCCTGATGGCGAATTGGATGAGTAACTGCCCGGTAGATGCAGAAGTGACCGGCGGTTTAGTTAGGTTTCTTCCCGGCGGGGCTGTTGTGGCTCGTCAGATCGAGGCAGAAAATGACAGCGGTTTCGGAGTGCTTGGAGGATTATTTTTTAAGCCGATTTGGTCCAGAAGACGATGTAGTTGGATGCCTGGACATCTCATGGCTGCGTTCCGTTTATCGGCCGGGGAACGAGAATGGTGGTTAGGGTTTCTTTTCCTTTCTCGCCTGCGTTCTCGGTTTCTCCTTGATTCATCGAGTATCGAAGTAGAGGTGCCTCTAGGTCTAGGGCGAACTTTCTCGTTTGATTTCGTTCGTATCAGGACCCCACAGTTAATTTGTTATGCAGAAGTCAACTGTTTAGGATCGTCCATTTCTCATCCAAACAGCCGGCAAGAGATAGGGGGCTTTTGATATCTTCAACATAATTTTGGAGTGGAGTTTCCCATTGTCTTGAGATTTATTCGCTCTCAGCTACTTGTTTCAGAAGAGATATGGATCGGAAGAGCTGGATCATGTGGTTAATCGTCTCGGCGGTGGTCGGACTACTCTTCGCGGTGGCTATACCCTTCTTTACCAAGAGCAGCTCTAAACCATTGGACGATTCTTCTTCTTCTTCGAAGTCAGAATCATCAATGGAGCAGCAACAAACATCCGCGGCTCCTTCCTCGTCGCCGATGGAGTATGAGGTCTTCTTGAGCTTTAGAGGCCCTGATGTCCGTAACAACTTTGGGGATTTTCTCTATACATTCCTAGTTCGTGAGAACATTCGGACCTTTCGCGATGACGAAGAGCTTCCTAAGGGGGAGAAGATTGATCCTTCACTCATCAAGGCTATTGAAGAATCGAAGGTGTACATTCCGATCTTTTCTCCCGACTATGCTGGGAGTAAATCGTGCCTTCAGGAGCTAGCTCAGATGTTGAAGTGCTGCAAGCAAGAGAAGGACCACATCATTTTGCCCATTTTCTTTATGACGGAGCCCGGTGATGTGCGGCGTCAAGAGGGTGCTTACAAGGAGCCATTTAAACAGCTCATCAAGAAGAAGAAGCTTGATGCAGGCACGATTAAGGAATTTGAAGAAGCTCTCTGGGAAGTCGGGAAACTAAAGGGATGGCACGTTACTAAATCAGATGGGTAAGGTATATATCTGTATGTAGATATGTATTCATGGACCTCAGATTATACTGCTGCAGCTTTGCATCTCATTCTCAATATATATAGAGGACTCTTCTCTTAATAATTTTACAAATTGAAACTGGAAGTGAACTATCTCGATACAGATATTTTCTGCAGTTGGCTATTTCCCGTTGAAGTAAAACTTGTGTTCAATTTCCAGGCAAGGAGCTATTGCAAAAGACGTTGTGGAAAAGGTGAGGAAGCACCTGGATATGAGTTACACTTTAGTGACAGATGAGTTGGTTGGAATCGACTCACATGTAGAAGAAGTGACAAACCTGCTAAATTTAGGATATGAAGGTGTGAAGATTGTTGGTATTTATGGTATGGCCGGTATTGGTAAGACCACTATAGCCAAGGCTGTGTATAATAAGGTTCGTGGACAGTTAGATTATTATTGTTTTGTGGAAGATGTGCGAGAGATACTTTTGGGGCACGACGCTGTCATAAATTTGCAGAGTAAGATCATCTCTGGCATCCTGAGGACTGATCACAAGGTTAAAGATGCTAATGAAGGAATCCGTGTGATAAAAGAGAGAGTTTTCAAGCGCAAGGTTCTCATTGTTCTTGATGATGTGGATGATCGGTTTAGATTTAACCAAACCTTGGGAAATTTGGATGATTTCTTTCCGAAGAGTAGATTTATTATTACGACAAGGAACAAAAGGGTTTTGGAATTTCTTGGAGAATCTAAGTTGTATGAACCCAGAGAAATGAGTCATGATCATGCTCTTCAACTTTTTAGCAAGCATGCATTCAGAACAGATAATCCTCCAAAGGAAGAAGCAGTTCTAAGCAAGAAGTTTGTAACAGTTGCAACGGGGCATCCTTTGACTCTAAAGGTCATTGGTTCACTTCTGTTTCACAGAGATAGGATATTTTGGGAAGCAAAATTGATAGAGTTGAAAGATATACCTCCTACTGAGGTGCTCGAGAGACTAAAAATAAGTTATAATGATTTGGAGTACAATGTTCGACAAATCTTCCTTGATATTTCTTGCTCCTTTATTGGAGAAAAGAAAGACTTTCCTGTCTACATGTGGAGTGATTGTAACTTTCATCCTGTCACTGGAATCAGGACTCTTGTGGACAGGTCCTTGCTAAAATTGAATGAGAGAAATGAGTTCTGGATGCATGACCTAATCAGAGATCTTGGTAGAACAATTATTCGTGAGGAAGACAATCTACATCCTTGGAAGCGCAGCAGGATATGGTCAAATGTAGATGCCTTGGACTTGTTAGAAAGTGAAGAGGTATTGAGTTTCATGGTTTTGTGATTTTTTTAGAGAATTACTCTTGAGTATTTTCTTACCATATTTGGCATTTATAAATTGTAATTTTCCCCTTTCTCTTTCAATCGTATTGGTTTTTGATTCCCTCATCCATCTTAGTTCACTATACGTGATATATGGTTGAAAACTTTATAGGATCAATTGTTTTTTTTATTTGTTTATAATCATCATTTGATGAATATGATCAATTGTTTCTGTTAGTGTAAGTACCGAGTAAGAATACCAACTGAGGGACCCATTATGATTGCTCCAACAAAGTTGAATGCTTACAGAAATTACGATTGTTATTTCATTTTTCAGGGAAGTGACCTGGTGGAAGTTCTTAGAGTTAACATGGCAGAAACAGATCTTGAGCTGACAGATAAAAACTTTAAGAAGTTGTCAGGATTAAGGTATCTTGAAGTGCATAATGGAAGACTGACTGGAGATTTTAGAGGAATTCTACCACATGTGCGTTGGCTTCGACTGCATGAGTGTAACTCAGTTCCCAGTGATCTTAATCTGAAGAAATTGGTAATTCTTGATATGCATGGTTGCCCAGTGGAAGATGGTTGGGGAGGCTGGAGCGGAATTAAGGTTATCGAGTTTTCCTAATTTCTTCCATTTTCACTTCTATTTCAATCAACAATAGTAAATTTCTCTGATGCATGTGTAACTGTTGTATTTCAACTTCTTTGGTACAGGCTGCACGTAAGCTGAAAGCTATAAATCTATCGTTTTGCGGCAAGTTAAGAACAGCTCCCGACTTGTCCCAGTGCAGAAGTCTTGAGTTCATACATTTCTGGAACTGTTGGGAAATGAGTGGGGAACTGCACATTGGCAATTTCAAGAATCTAACAGTGCTTAGCCTCACCATGACTGAAATAACAAAGTTAACCGGCAACGTTGGAAGGCTTAAAAATCTCCAAGAAATCGTCTCGGGGCATTTGATAGAATTGCCTTCTGGCATCAGCAGGTTATCCTCTCTGAAAATCTTGAAGCTGACATCACTTAAGCCACAGTCACAGGAAGTAGTAGTAGTAGTACTCCCCACAAGTTTAAAGCACTTGTCCCTCTCGTCCTCCCAGGTTCCCAACCTTTCAGAGCTCCAGGACTTGGAAGAGCTTTCCTTTGAGCGATGTGATCAGCTTGAAATTCCGGGAGATATATGGAAGATGTCCAAGCTGAAAACACTTGAGCTTCGGGACTCATCTTTTTCTAACGGTGGTATGATTTCTTCTACCCTTCCATCCTCGCTAAACAGCCTTTTGATTCATGGATGTGAGCCTTTGGTGAGACTGCCAAGCCTTGCTAATCTGAACAATCTGAAGGAGCTAAAATTGATGAGGATTCAGGTACGAGAGATTCAGGGTTTGGGAGATATGGAAATGCTGGAAACTTTGGTGATATCCAATGCTCCAAATCTAATTCATCTCAATGGCCTTGAAAATCTATTGCTTCTGAAGACACTCAAGGTGGAAGGCTGTGATGTACTGGAGAAACTGCCTAGTATATCAAATTTGACCAATTTAGAGGTGCTAGAGATAATTTCCTGTAGGAGCCTCTCTGAAATTCAAGGCCTAGGAGAGCTAGGGGAGCTGTCTTTGTCGACTCTATACATTGTTGATTGTCCAGCGGAATCACTGCTGCGTTCTGTCTGGAAGTTAGGTAGACTGAGAGAGCTACACTTGTATCCTTTCGAGACCGATGGTCACCATCTCTCGTCTCGAGAACAGTTTCTTGATCTGTCTGGTCTTCGGGATATCAAGAAGTTATTTATTTTTGGGTTCAAAGGGTTGGCCAATGTATATGGGCTTGAGAGATTGGAGTTCTTGACATTGCTATGTATGTCAGACTGCACGTCAATGAGGGAATTGCCTGATCTATCTGGTCTCAAGAATCTGAAGGTTTTAAATATTGCTGGATGCACACAGTTGATGGAGATTAGAGGACTTGAGCAATTGGAGTCATTAGAATCGATAGATATGTCAGGCTGCAAGTCAATTAAGAAGTTGCCGGATCTATCTGGTCTTAAATATCTGGAGAAATTGATTATTGATGAGTGCACACAGTTGACTGAGGTTGCTATACTTGAGAGTTCAGAGTCGTTGACATCACTCAGCATGGCGGATTGCTCATCCATTGCCCAGTTGCCAGATTTATCTCGCCTCAAGAATCTGAATTCACTGGAGATTAGTAGGTGCACAGGTTTGACTGAGGTTGTGGGGCTTGAGATGTTGGATTTGCTAGAATATCTATTTATGTCGGGATGCAGTTCAATTAAGGAGCTGCCAGATTTATCCGGTTTGGACAGTATCGTTACTTTAGATATTAGTGAGTGCACAGGGTTGACCGAGGTTGTGGGGCTTGAATACTTGGAGTCATTGCAACAGCTGAAGATGGCGAATTGCAAGATAAAGAAGTTGCCTGATCTATCTGGATTGAAACATTTGCATGAGTTGGATATTACGGGATGCGTACAATTGGCCGAAGTTACTGGAATTGAGAACTTGGAGGGGTTGACGATCAAGCGTTGAAATGGCTCCATGTCTACGGCAGATTGAGAAGATTATATTGGGTTGTCTTCTGTCTCCCTGCCAACCTTCAGGCAGAAGTCTCTGAAAGATTGCCAAATTCTAAAATAGCCGTCCAAAACTCCGCGTTTCATTTTATCATCAGCAGCTTCTTCTGTTTGGTGTAATGGTAAAAATGCTCCATCGTTGCCGAACTTCTTCTGATGAACATTTCAGTCCCTCGGCACTCTTTACCTCAGTCGATGAGCTGCTGGCTGCTGCTGCAGTGAGTGACGGAGACGCTCGGGGTGGAGTTTGGAAAGAATCTTTCTTGCTGCAGTTCCGCTTGAAGTGAATTTTGTCTGTTTGTGTGTTGTTGTTGTGGCCGCCGGCCCCAATTGCTGGAGCCCGGGAGAGATGGGTGGCGGGTGGGTATAGTGCGGTGCCAGTGAGGGGACGCCGGCGGCTAGGGGGAGATGAATGTAAGAGGAACTGTGATGCTGCTCCGGCAATCGGTGGCCGATTGACGAGTGAGTAGAAGATTAGTGAAGCGGAAGAGTGAAAGGGAATTTTACTCTGATGACTAACGACTTTATCCGATGACTAACGACTTCTTAAGGGTTGACTGCAAACTGGTAAACATAAAGCAATCCTTACACCTCTAGCTTTTTCCCCCTTCTTTTGTACAACAACTTTGCCCCTCCTGCTGATCTGCTCTCCTTCATTCCTTACCCAAATTAAGACGACAGATTGGTGGGTTCTCTGATTGATGTTTACTACTTCCAATCACTCGGGGAATTCGTTTGCAGACTTGGCTTACTTACTCACTGTTATCTTTGTAGCTCTGGGTTTCCCTGCCAGTGTGATTTGTTTTTGGACGACGATGGAGCAGATGATCTGGTCTTTCCTTTGGTCAGAGGTCGGAGTAGTACTTCTCATGTTAGTTCTACTGGCCGGCCCACTACTTTATCTTCTCATCAGTTCCAAGTCTTCCTCCCCGTCTTCTGGTTCTTCTTCTATGAACCTCCCACTTCCAGCTGGAGACTACGAAGTTTTCCTGAACTTTAGGGGCGCTGACGTCCGCTACCATTTCGCAGATTCTCTCTATACGTGCCTGGTTAAGAATGGGATTCGAACTTTTTTTGACGAGGAAGAGCTGCGCAAGGGGATGGAAATGGGTCCCGTACTCATGAAGTCTATTGAGGGATCCAAGATCTACATCCCAATCTTTTCTCCAGACTATGCTTCTAGTAGTTGGCCCCTTCGGGAGCTAGCTCACATGGTGAAGTGCTATGAGCATGGGAAGGGGCACATTATCCTTCCCATATTCTATATGGTGAAGACTAGGGACGTGAAGTATCAACAGGGTCCTTTTGAGAAATCATTTCGACAGCTTGCCAAGAAATATGATTCAGAAACAATAACTGGATGGAAGAAAGCTCTCCAGACAGTCGGGGAAATGAAGGGATGGACAGTTTCTCCATCAACTAGGTAACTATTGTCTGGTCTACTAATATAAGAGATTATAAAATGGAGGTCTCTTTTATACTCATGGAACTGGACTGTGCGTATCTTGATTCTCTTTGATGCTTTAAATCATTTATAGCCACGTGCTTTGCTTGGGGATGCACACATTTTGTATTGAAATTGTTGTTCAATTTCCAGACAGGGAGTTACTATTGATGAAGTTTTTTCTTCGGTGAGATCACATCTGATGGAGAATTACAAGCTAGTGACGGGTCAGTTGGTTGGAATTGATCCTCACATTGAGCAAGTGAAGGGGCTATTACACAAAGGAGTGAAAATTGTTGGCATTCAAGGTATGAGCGGTATTGGTAAGACCAATATAGCCAAAGCTGTATATGACAGTATTAGTGCTCAATTTGATCGATGTTGCTTTGTGGAAGACGTGCGAGCCATATTGTCAAAGAGCGATGGCATTGTTACTCTACAAAACAAGATTCTATCTGACATTCTAAGGTATGACACCAAGGTGAGAGATGCTAGTCAAGGAATCCAAAAAATAAAAGACAGAGTTTGCTGCTGGAACAACATTCTCATTGTGCTTGATAACATAGATGAGTGGTTTGTGTTTGCGGATACCTTGGGTGATTTAACACATTTTCGCTCAAAAAGTCGATTTATTATTACAACCGTGGATGAGAGAGTCTTTAAGTTCTTTCAAGAATATGAGTTGTACCAGCCAGAGGGAATGAATGCTTATATCGCCCTTCAACTCTTTAGTAGACATGCCTTTGGGACTGATTATCCCCCCCAAGAGTACATCTCTCTATCTGAGGACTTCGTAAAAGTCGCAGCAGGTCTTCCTTTGGCTGTCAAGGCCATAGGTTCACTGCTTTTTCGAAAAGATAAAAGTTTTTGGGGTGCAAAGTTGATACAGTTACAGGACATACCTCCTGCCATGGTGCAAGAGAGATTGAAGATCATCTATATGGATTTGACGCCAGAGGAAAAACACATTTTTCTTGATATTGCTTGTTATTTTATCGGACAAGACTTCAATGAACCGTCCTACTTGTGGAGTGACTGCAATTTACATCCTCTGATAGTGATTGATACACTTTGTCTCAAGTCATTGATAAAAATCGACGAGAGAAATAAATTCTGGATGCACGATCAGTATAGAATCCTCGGTAGAGCTATTGTTCGTGAGGAAGACATTCTAAATCCATGGAAGCGGAGCAGGATGTGGTCCAACAAGGATGTGCTGGACATGCTAAGAGATAAAGAGGTATTATTTGTCTACATTTTTGTGATTTACCTTGACATAATTTTTGGATGGCATTTCAAAATGTGTGTTTTTATATTGTTTTGGACAAAATACATCTGTATAGTACTTCAAATTTTCTTTTATGTGGAAATTTCCGTATAAGCATGCTACAAAGTTGTTGTTAACTATTTAGGCACAGTACTACATGGCATTTTGCATGTTTAGAGTGTACAAAAGATGAGTTACTGGTTGTACCGTATGATATTCTCCCACCTCCTTCCCCTTTACCTATTTTGTTATTGCTGCTCAAGACAGATAAAGTTTTGTGGTATGATTTCCTTTTAGCAGGGAACTGAGCGGCTGGAAGTTCTTATAGTTGACATGACTGCTGCGGATTTTGTGCTCACACAGAAGGAATTTCATAAATTGTCAGGGTTAAGGTATCTCAATGTGAGCCATGGAAGGCTGAGTGGAAATTTCAAGAAGATTCTTCCGAATCTATGTTGGCTGCGACTTCATTATTGCCATTCAATCCCTATCGATTTCAATGTGAAGAAATTGGTAATTCTGGATCTATTCTTGTGCCCTGTAGGAGATAACTGGAGATGCTGGGACAGAATCAAGGTTATTAATGTTCCTACTTTATTTATTCTTTATGAAGATTAAATTTATGTTTTTGTGATAGTGGTCAAAATGGCTGACCACTATCTATTTGGAGATTACACAGAATCCAAATTTGGAGACTTCAATGAGATATTTTCAGTCCCTAAATACTTCCATAATTGATGACAAGATCCGTTTCTAACCATCTACATTATAGAATCACGCATCTAACGTTCTAACACCTATCTTTTCTTAAAGAACATAAATAGATGTTAACAGCAAATCTAGTTTAACGATAGTCCTTGTGGCATATTTTGTTATCGGTGTGTGTTTTCTTGATCCAGGAGGCATGCAGGCTGAAAGCTATAACTGTATCGTCATGCGACAACATGAGAGAAGTTCCGGATTTGTTCGGATGTAGAAGACTAGAATGGATAAATTTCGGGCTTTGTGTTAATATGGGCGGGGAATTTCACATTGGCAATTTCAAGGTTCTGAGGGTGCTAAAGTTTTCTGACACTAAGATAACAAAGTTAAAAGGTGACATTGGAAGGCTTCAGAATCTGCAAGAGATCAAGGTGGAATATTCACGCTTGAGAGAAATTCCTGCTAGCATTGGTAAACTTTCCTCCCTCAAGATCTTGGACTTACGAGGGCTTCAGATTGAAGTACCAGAACTCCCCACAAGTTTAAAGCGGCTAACCCTCTCATCGCCTAGGGTTCCCAATCTTTTGGAGCTGTCCAAGTTGAAGGATCTGATGTTGATGCAGGTTGGGAATGGGCAGGATGCCCTTGTTCTTCACCAAAAATCAGTTGATCCCAATGACCAGAATCATTATTCTCGACGACGTGGTATGAGAACCCTTATTTCTTCCTCGCCTACCCTCCCGTCATCTCTGAACACTCTACTGATCCAGGGTTGCCAGCCTTTGGAGAGACTACCGAACCTTGCAGATCTGAGTACTTTGACGTCTTTAACTTTGAGTATTATAGGGGTACGCAGGATTGCCGGTTTGGGAGAGCTGAGAATGCTGGAAGTCTTCCACTTATTGAGCGCTCCAAATCTAATTAATCTCAATGGCCTCATACATCTAGACCTTCTGATGGATTTGAGGGTGAGTGGTTGTACCATACTGAGAAAACTGCCCAGCCTGTCAAATTTGACCAGGTTAAAGAAGCTCGAGATTATTGATTGTCCACTCCTCTCTGAAATCCAAGGCCTTGGTGAACTTGGGGATTTATCAATTCTACGGATGAGGAGATGTTATCAGTTGAATGGGGTGATGGGGCTTGACAAATTGGAGTCATTGCAAGAATTGGTGATTACTCATTGCCCGTCGATTGTGAAGCTGCCTGATTTATCTGCTTTGGTGCACTTGTGGGATATGGAAATTGCGGGATGCTATCACTTAACTGAAGTTACTGGGATTGAAAGATTGGAGTCGTTATATGTCCTATTGATTGATTAAAGGCTGAAGATGCGAAAGAGGAGTACAAGAGGTTAAAAACGAAGCATTGAGAGAACGGAAAATTAAAATAAGCCGGCTACTTGGGAATGTGGCTATCCGTTACTTCATTCTCATCATTGATATTGAGTCGCCGGTGGTTGGGTCTGCGACAAGGTCAGTCTCTCCTGTAACTATTTCCCTTTTCTTCCGGTTTATCAGACTGAAATTATTATGAATTATTGGCTGTGTTCTCACAAACAGTTGATGTGATGACTTCTTTGGTTCAGAGCAGCTGCTGGGGAGGAAAACTAATATAAGCTAAATCCAGAAGCTCAACTCCATCTAAAAGGGAAGGAAGATAAAAATAAGCTGGCTGCTTGGGAATGGGCGGTGGGAAAGCAGATATCCTGTCTAGACCACCCTTCATAATTTAAATCCATGCTGGGTGACAAGAAGGGATTATTTTGTCTACATTTTTTGGTGCTCTTATTCCTTTTGGTCCTTCTTTATTGAGGACACTTTAAAAATGCTTTGGTGTTTTATTTTTGATGCAATATATAAGCATGTTATTTGGTCTCTAAAATTTGTTCCTGGTTGTTGAGGAAATGGTTAATCGCGGCTCGAACGTTAGTTCAAGCTGAATGTTATTGGATGCATACAGTTGACTGAACTTACTGGAGTGGAGAATTTGAAGGTTTTAATTTGTCTGTTGGTGGACGGCTTGCTGGCAGCCAAGTATGAATGTCTATGCACACATTGCCGAAATAAATCGGCTGGTGCCTATTGATGACTTGGATAGGGGTCTAAGGAACCAAGGTTTGTAGCTATCTTATACTTGTCTTCCTTGATTGTTCAGGTTGAGTCATGACCTGGTGTTTAGAATTTTATCTGTTAAACAAATTGTTCTTAACTTGATTCAGGTTGATCCATCTCTGTCTAGGATATTACTTTTCCTCATCTGCATTATTCTTGTTCCATACGGTTACATATGTAAGTTATGTCGCTGCAGTACTGGTTCTAAAATTTGGAGGCATAACCAATACCAACTTTCTTTCAATGGGGTTTCAGGTCTGCTTTAGAATGTTATGTTCTTCTCCTTTAAAATTGTATCGTGGTATGGGAGAATACAACTAACTAACTAACTAACTAACTAACAGTACCACGTTGTAGATTCGTGGATGCACACGGTTAGCCAAGATTAAAGGGCTTTGAGAAGTTGAAGTCGTTTGCAGCTCTCGATATGTTGGCTTGCTCATCAATGAAGGAGCTTCCAAGTTTATTCAGAAATGTAAGCTCCCTAGATATGAGTGGTTGCAAAGCAGTGGAGTGACTTGATGGGGCTTGAGAATTTGGAGTCATTCCAGCTTCTAATATGTCTTAATCTTGGACTCATATGCAGAAAGATAACTTACTGGAATGGCATCTTGCTCTAGACTCTGACTTTCGAGTACACTTGAAGCGAGCCAAAATGGAGAGCTGCTGTCTGCTGGTCCTGATTTTCGAGTTGTTCAGCCTTCTCTAGGCTCTGTTATGGGATTTGTGATGAGGTCTGCGGATGGTTGTCCACATCTGTTTGTTGATTTTCAGCACCCTGGGATCATCAATCTGTACTTGGCAGATCAACTAGCCGCTCGAGATCGCCTGCTCTTTTGAAGTCGTGATCCGCCAGCTTCTCAGTTGGGTAAGTCAGATGTAGTTGGAGACCTAGTGCTAAGAGTCTGTCTTCAAATGGTACTTGGAGTTTTGTGTGATCCCTACTCCCTAGGACTATCAATTGGATCCATATCCAGGTAGAGAATGCATATGGTATTCAGAATTGCATAACCGCAGTGGCAAGGTTAGAAGAGAATAGATCATGGTCATTTGTTCATTGTTTAATCTTAGTGCTGAGTTTTGGCCATTGTTTATTTTTTGGTTTGACAGGGTTTGGTGGTCTTTTTTTAATCTTTTGTTGAGTCTTGCTCATTGTTTTATTTTTTTGCGTTTGAGCAGGGGTTGCTCATTGTTTAATGATCGTTGGTTGAGACTTGGTCATTGTTTTCAAGGTTTTGATGAAGGTGACACAATTTGATCGAGTTAGAATTATAATTATAGGAAATAAAATAAATGCAGGTACAACTCTAGGTCATTGTTTAATCTCGATTAACTAGTCAATATCTACAAATGCTTATACTAGTACTATTGATTGGACAATTGGGTCAGAGTTGCTGTGTGTGAATCAAAACTTCGACATCACGGTGGGAGGGACATCACACCATTTACTTAGTATCCGAATACTGCGATATATTTAAGAAACTTCTTAACCTTTTGATCTTAAGGACCTGAACCTAGTCCTTGTATCCCCGCAATTTCAACTGGTCAGTGTTTAATTAACCAATAATAATCAGCCATTATTAATAGTCTGCAGAAGGAAACAGGTCGTATTGCTCTGTAAGTCTCCTCATTCATTTCCATTTCTCATCCAAATCAACATTCACAGGGTACAGAGAGAGAGAGACAAAGATGCTATCCCTTCTAGCAACTTCATCTTTCCCGTGGAAGAGACCGATTGATCCGTCTTTTCATCGGATTAACTCTCCAGGTAAGTTCATCTGGATGATACTCTGTTTCTACTTCCAATTAGCTGGGGGAATTCGTTTGTGAGCTTCACTTTACTGAGTTGATCCATCTCTGCAGAGCGGTTTCCTGGTCTGAAGCGACCGATCAACCTGTCCTTCTATCAAATTAACTCTCCAGGTAAGTTCATCTGATTGATACTCTGTTTCTACTTCCAATTAGCTGGAGGAATTCGTTTGTGTACTTCACTTTACTGAGTTGCCATACCTGCAGAGCGGTTTCCTGGTCGGTTTTCTCGACCGATCAGAATGGGGCAGATCCCTTCTTTGTCCTCTACGTCGAAGAACTCTCTTCCTGCCGCAGACTACGAGGTCTTTATCAACTTCAGAGGCTCCGACATCCGCTACAATTTTGCGGATTCTCTCTACAAGTTCCTTGATCATTATGGGATCCGCACCTTCTTCGACACGGATCAGCTGCCCAAGGGGGAGAAGTTCGACGACAAGCTCATCAAGTCCATCGAAGAATCCAAGATCTACATACCGATCTTTTCCCCGAACTATGCTACTACTATTCTCCCTCTCATGGAGCTGGCTCACATGGTGAAGTGCTGTAAGAAAGGGAAGGGGCACATCATGCTTCCCATATTCTATATGGTGAGCACCGAGGACGTGAAGAATCAAACGGGTGAATTCGGGGAATCATTTCGACGGATAGCTGGGGAAAAGGATGCAGAGACAAGAGCTGAATGGGAGGAAGCTCTTCAAACGGTCTCGGATTTACAGGGATGGACGGTTAATAAGTCAACTAGGTAAACCATATTTTTCTGGTCTATTACTCTACTAATTTTATTAAATCGTTCAATTGACCAAATCATACAAGTGCATATTTTCTGATCTTACAAGGGGACGAAGTGATAGAAATTTGTTTGTTCATTCTATGAAAGATTTGAGTACGAAATATAACGGGTGTGTTTGTTTCTCCTTCACTATGTATGCTCGAATAGGTTGGACATTGAGAAATTCATATGAAGTATAGGATTTTTCATCAAAATAGTTATGACATTCTTAATTTTTTAGTATACTATTACTACCAGGGTCTTTATGATCGTATTTAATTATTTTAAGGCGAGTAGTATTCAATATGTGTCTACATTTTGATGGCCTGCAGGGATTTGTATACATATCTTTATATTTTCTTTGATGCTTTGAATTATTTACAGTTACTGTTCCCTATAGACGCATATCTTTGTATTGAAAATCATGTTCCATTTCCAGGCAGGGAGTTCTTTTTGAAAAAGTTTTCTCTAAGGTGAGATCACTTCTGATGGAGAATTACAAGTTAGTCACGAGTAAGTTGGTTGAAATTGAACCTCACGTAGAGCAAGTGAAGGGACTACTAAGCAAAGGTGTGAAAATTGTCGGCATTCATGGTATGAGCGGGATTGGTAAAACAAACATAGCCAAAGCTGTCTACGACAACGTTTCTGGAAAATTTGATCGATGCTGCTTTGTTGAAGACGTGCGAGAAATATTGTCAGGGAAGGATGGGGTTGTGACTTTACAAAACAAGATTTTATCCGACATTCTAAGGCATGATACCAAGGTGCGAGATGCCAGTCAAGGAATCCAAGTAACAAAAGACAGAATTTGTTGTTTGAGCAGCGTTCTCATCGTTCTTGACAATGTAGCTCAGGGGTTCGAGTTTGAACAGATCTTGGGAGATTTGAAGGATTTTTCCTCGAATAGTCGATTTATTATTACGATGACGGATCTTAGAGTTATAGATCCGTTCTCTAGAGAATGTGAGCCGTACTCGGTAGAGGAAATGCATGATGACATCGCCCTTAAACTCTTCAGTAGACATGCATTTGGATTTGATGATCCTCCCCCAGAGTACATGTCCCTATCTAATCACTTTGTAAAAGTTGCAGCAGGACTTCCTTTGGCTCTGACGGCCATAGGTTCACTACTTCACCGTAAAGATAAAAGCTTTTGGGTGGCAAAGTTGAATCAGTTGCGAGACATACCTGCTGACAAGGTGGAGGAGAAATTGGAGATCGTCTTAATGGATGCGACGCCCGATGAACAACAGATTTTTCTTGATATTGCTTGTTTTTTTAATGGAGAGCACTATGATCGACCATTCTACTTGTGGAGTGACTCCAACTTACATCCGCTAGTAGCGGTTGAGTCTCTTTGTCTCAGGTCATTGATAAAAATCAACGAGAGAAAGGAATTCTGGATGCATGAGCAGTATAAAATTCTTGGTAGATCTATTATTCGTAAGGAGAACGTCAGAAATCCATGGAAGCGCAGCAGGATATGGTCCAACGAGGATGTGGTGGACATGTTAAGACATAAAGAGGTAATTATTCGTTTATTTTGCAGATTGATCTCCTTGACGAAATTTATCAGTAACACACTTCCATATGCTTGTGTTTATATTTTCTTAATTTTCTTCTACAGGGAACTGATGAGTTGGAAATTCTGAAAGTTGACATGGAAGACAATGAGTTTGAGCTGACAGATGCAGAATTCAAGAAACTATCTGGCTTGAAATATCTAGAGGTGAGGAATGGAAGACTGGGTGGACATTTCAAAGACATGTTTCCACAATTACGCTGGCTTCGATTGGATAACTGTAGTTCAATCCCCATTGGTCTTAGCTTGAAGGAATTGGTAATCTTTGATCTTTGCTCTTGCCCTATCACGGATGACTGGGAAGGCTGGAACGAAATTCAGGTTATCATACTTGATCCTTTCTTGCCTTTCCACTTCTTGCTTCACTCTCAATATTTTATAGTGACAGTAAACTTTCGCGTTGCAGGTGGCACCCAATTTGAAAGTCGTGGATGTATCGTCTTGTCTGAAGCTAAGTGCAGTTCCCGACTTGTCTCGGTGTCGAAGTCTAGAGCATTTAATTCTCCAGGACTGTCATCAGATGAGAGGGGAGCTGCACGTTGGTAATTTCGAGAATCTCAAAGTGTTGAAGCTCAGGTTTTCCAAAATAAACAAGTTAAGAGGTGACATTGGAAGGCTTCAGAATCTCCAGGAGATTGATGCAGGGTTTTCCGATCTGGCAGAAGTGCCTGCGGGTATTGGCAAGTTATCCTCGCTTACAAAGCTGGGCCTGAGACGTATCAGGTCGAAAGAAGTGCCCGTGCTGCCTCGCGGCTTGAAGGTTCTACACGTCTCATCCCCACGGGTTCCCAACCTCTCGGAGCTTGCGGACTTGGAGGAGCTAAGTTTTTCCTATTGTGATGGCCCTGAAATTCCAGCAGATGCAGTGTGGAAGCTGTCCAAGTTGAAGACCCTGAGGCTGCTACACTGCTCTTGTGATCGTCTCCCTCATGCCCTCCCATCTTCGTTAAACACACTCAGGATCAATGACTGCAGGTCATTGGAGGTACTGCCAGATCTATCGAACCTAAGTCTCTTGACGGAGCTGGTTTTGAGCGAGGTTGGAGTGCAGGAGGTCGTTGGTCTTGGAGAGTTGAGCATGCTGAAAACTTTGAATATATCTAACGCTCCAAATCTGGTTCATCTCAACGGCCTTGAGCAGCTAGTGCTCCTCAAGACGCTGCGTCTACTAAGCTGCGATGTGCTCGGAACACAGCCCGCGGGTGCCCTCATCCCTGAAATCCCGGGCCTGTATCGAATTGGGGAGTTGTCTTTAGTTGATCTGACAGTCAGTGACTGCCCCATAATAACGAGCGTTCTGCTCTCCCTGTCAAAGTTTGCTAAACTAAAACAGCTAGCCTTGGAAGACTTCGGAACCCACGATATCGACTATGGCTTCTTGTCACCTGATCAGCTAGTCCTCGACGTGTCCACCCTCCAGGATATGGAGCGACTGTGCATCGTCGGGTGCAAGCACGTTACCGAGGTCCAGGGGCTCGAGAGACTGGAGCAGCTGCGAGACATCAGGCTGTGGAACTTCACGTCAATCAAGAAGCTGCCTGGCCTTTCGGGTCTGAAGAATCTAATGTCTTTGGAGATTCGCGGGTGCGCCGAATTGAGCGAGGTTACAGGGCTCGAGAATCTGGAGTTGCTGGACCGGCTCGTCATGGACAGATGCACGTCGATGAAGGAGCTCCCGAGGTTGTTCAAGAATGTACGCTTCTTGGAAGTCAGTTACTGCGGGCAGCTGGCCGAGCTGACGGGGCTCGAGAAGGTGGAGGGATTGGTGTCTCTGAAGCTGCTTCATTGCGCGTCGATTGCCAAGTTGCCGGATCGATCCTGTTTCGGTAAATTGGTTCTCTGGCGTGTTTCGCCGGAGTTGGTTGAAGCCCCTGGAAATGAGGGTTGGTTGGACTTGGAGTAGTCGTCATTCCGGCGGAAGGAATTCTTATTCTACCGTTGATAGTAGTAGACCCCTTTCATTTCTGAATAGAAATATAGAAGATGTATCATTCGGCGTAATTGCATGTATGTATCTTTTCATGTTGGGCGATTTGGGCTTTCTTCCTAACATTGCTCAAACGGCGTGTTGAAACGATATTGGGCCGGGCTTTATTTTGGTCCAAAGATCTGCTGCGCAAACCCAAGCCCAACCGCGATGAATCGGTTGGAAGCCGCTACGCGGGCGGGGACACGAACTGCGAATGTGGACGGCGGGTAGCCGGTTTCTCGAACTACATTAGGGGATGCTCAATCCGGCAAGTGGAGGTGGGAATCAGATTCGGCGATGGCGGTTACGCTTATCGACGGGGGGAATCATCCCTTCAGGCGAAGGGCCTGGGTTTTGCTCGATTGCTCAGGCTAACCAGGTCGCCGATATGCTTGCTTTCTTGGGTCGTCAATGCACCGAAGGGGAAGAGGACTACTTTCTTTCACATCCTCTGGCAGAAGTTCTGCCAATTTTGGGGACTGATCATCGAAGGGCCGTCGTGCGTAGTAGCCCAGCCGTTTATTGCTAAATATGTGAGGCTGCAAATCAAGTAGGAAGTTGACGTATCCATCTGTTCTTAGAAATCTGGAGGAATTTCGATTATTGATTGTTGCGCTCAGTTGACCGAGGTTACGATACTTGAGAGTTCAGAGTCGTCGAGATCACTCAGCACGATGGATTGCTCATCGATTTTCCCAGTTTCCAGATTTATTTTGAGAGACTCTCGGATCTGGATTCATTGTGGAGTAGTGGGTGCTGTAGATGTTGGATTGCGCTCAAATTACCGAGTACGTCAGGCTGCAGGTCAGTCGAGGAGATGCCAGGTTTATCTGGTTTAGAGAATATGGTTACTTTAGGTATCAGTGAATGCATTCAGTTAACTGGGGTGGTGGGACTTGAAAACTTGGGAATCATTAGCGAGACCTGAAGATGGCAGATTGTGCGTCGGTTAAGCAGTTGCCTGATCTATCTGGTTTGAAGCATTGGCTGAAGTTTCCTGGAATTGAGAACTTGGAGGGGTTGGTGATGACGTGTTGAAATCGTCAACAAGATTAGGTAAAATTGGAGCAAGAGCAACCATACGACGCGGAGGTTAATAATCAATTCTTGGTTGTTGGTGTGCCTATGCTGTGCATTTTCTCTTGATATTCATACTTGACTTGCTTGTATTCTTCCAGAGGTCACTGTTTGCATTTCTTTTGATATTCATTATTGACTTGATTTTATTATTTCAGTGGTCATTGTTTGCATTGCCTTTGATGGTCACGGTTACTTTTAGTTAGCCATTCGTTGTTTAGCTGTTGCTTTCGGTGGTAATTGTTTACATTTTCTGTTATTTAGCTGTAACTAGTCATTGGTACTCAATTTTCTCTGCTCTTCATTCACCACCTGCTCATTCCTACATCACAAAAAGTAGAGCGTTTGTGATCAATTCCCAAAGTGGCTGCCCGATCTATCTGCTTTAAAGCACCTGTGGAAGTTGAATATTACGCGATGCAATCAGTTGATTGAAGTCATTGCCATTGAGAGATTGGAGTCCTTAGATATCCTAACGCTTGATGAAAGGCTAAAGACGCGTAAGAAGAGTAAAAAGAGGGTAAAAACGAAGCATTGAAATCAATGCAGTTCAGTGTTCTTCTATATCAGGTGCGTTCTGAGTGACTAACTAATTTCTTGAGCCAAGAATCCTTTGAACATGGGTGCAAGGTGAAAAGACCGGTATTGAGTTCTCATGGGGCTGAGATATGGTGAAAAAGGGTCATCACCAAGACTACTCGTAATCTATCTGGTCTTACAAATCTGGAGGAACTGAGGAATAGATTATTGATGAGAGCACACCGGTTTTCTAAACAAAAAGTTTGGAAAATCAAGTTTCAGCAGCTGTAACATTATTGCATTAATCAGGAAATTTCCAGGAATGTACTCCATCCACCTACTCCCCAAAGTCAACTCTTGACTTTGCTTTGGATCAGTCTTCAATTACCATTTGTTCTCAAAAGTCTTCGTAACCTTGGGCTGTATTCTTCCTTGAGTCCTCTCTAATTCATTTGTCTTCCAAATCAGTTAGCAATCATGTTGTGAGAGTTTCTGATCTACTGATAAAATTACATCCCTGAAGCCTGAAGGACACTAGCTTTCTTCTTCGAATTTATTGCAGGTGAAGTTTCTCAGATTGTTGTTTTTCTAATTCCAATTAAGTTTTACGATGGTGTGGTTTCCATTTTCCAATCTACCGGAAATATATTTTGTTACTTGTTTCATCTGTAGAACAGGATGGAGCAAATCGGGTCGAATACCATCGCTTCGTTATCCTCTTTCACGGCCCCTCTTCCAGGTGCAGAGTATGAGGTTTTCCTCAGCTTTCGAGGACCTGATGTCCGCACGACTTTTGCTGATTTCCTCTATAGACTCCTGGATCGTCCCAAGATACGGACCTTTCTTGACGATGAAGAGCTTCGCAAGGGGGAGAAGATAGCGCCTTCTCTCGTCAAGGCAATCAGGGAATCGCGAATATACATCCCGATCCTTTCCCCAGGCTATGCATCTAGTAAATGGTGCCTCCAGGAGCTAGCTCTGATGGTGGAACATTGCAAGAAAGATGAAGGTCGTCACATCATGCTGCCCATTTTCTATTTCATGGAGCCTAGAAATGTGCGGCATTGTGAGGGTTTGTATGAGAAAGCATTGGAACAGCATAGTTTGAGATATGGCCAGGCAGCCATCAGGGAGTGGAAGGATGCTCTCAATCAGGTCGGGCAAATGACTGGATGGCATGTGACCGCGTCGGATAGGTAATGTAATTCTGTGTTTTTGATTCATGGGTTTGTATTAACTGCTGCTTACTTTTTGCCGCTGGCATATAAACTTGTGTTTAATTTCCAGACAGGGAGCAGTGGCAGAAAGCGTTTTCTCTGAGGTTTGGTCACATATAAAGGGAAACTACACGCTTGTGACGAATGAGTTGTTTGGAATCGATTCTCACGTAAACCAAGTAATGGAGTTGCTGAAATCAGATTTTGAAGGCGGCGCCAGTGTCGTTGGCATTCATGGTATGGGTGGTATCGGTAAGACCACTATCGCCAAGTCTGTCTATAACAAGGTCTTTACACAATTCGAGCGTCATTGTTTTTTGGAGAATGTACGAGAAACACTATCGTTGAAGAATGATGGTGTTACAACTCTGCAGAGCAAGGTTATTTCTAGCATTCTAAGGGATGATCACAAAGTTAGAGATGTTAGTGAAGGCATCCACATTATAAAAGATAGAGTATGCCCTCGCAAGGTTCTCATTATACTTGATGATGTGGATGATCGGTTTGAGTTTGAGCAAATCTTAGGTGAATTAAGAAATTTTTCCCTTGAAACTAGATTTATCATCACAACACGAGATAAAAGGGTGCTGGAGCTGCTACAAGTATCTAAGCTCTATGAACCTGGAGGGTTGAGTCATGACCATTCCCTTCAACTTCTAAGTAGATATGCTTTTAGAATGGATAACCCTCTAGAAGACTGGTCAATTCTGTGCGAGGAGTTTGTAAATGTTGCAGCGGGGCTTCCTTTGGCTCTTGAGGTTATAGGGTCGCTTTTGTTCCGGAGAGAGAGAAAATTCTGGGAAGAGAAGTTGATAGAACTAAAGAGAATTCAACCCACCAAGGTGCAAGAAAGATTGAAAATAAGCTATGATGAGTTGAGTGGTAGTGAAAAACAAATTTTTCTCGACATTGCTTGTGTTTTTATAGGAAGAAACAAGGAATTTCCTTCATATATGTGGAGTGATTGTAATTTAAACCCTGAGAGTGGAATTAGTACTCTTATTTTGAGGTCCTTGATAAAGGTGGATAAGGATAATATATTTTGGATGCATGACCATGTAAGAGACCTTGGGAGAACAATTGTTCGCGAAGAAGATTTTCAACATTCTTCGAAGCGGACCAGAATATGGTCCAACGAGGATGCGGTCGACATGTTAATCAATGGAGAGGTATTATGTTTCTAATACTCCATTTTTTCTGGATAAGTGTCACTTGTAGGTTTTGAAACCATAATGTTCTATAATTTTTTCCCCCCGATGAATATTTCCTTATAAGCATTGCTGTAAAGTTGGTTGTTAACTATTTTGGCACAGTAGGACAACCAATTTTGCATGTATCCAAAATTAAGAGTATACAAAAGATAAGCTTAATGATCTAGTACCTAACGTTCAATTCAAAAGATTACTGGTGGTACCAATATGATATTCTCCCACGACCTTTCCCTTTTCCTATATTATTATGGTTCCTCAAGATAGGATGTAAAAGTTTTGTTGGTATGATTCATTTTGACAGGGAACAGATAGGTTGGAAGTTCTTAGAGTTAACATGACCGGCGAGGATTTTGAGCTCACGGAGAAGGAATTTCGGAAGTTGTCAGGGTTAAGGTATCTCGAAGTGCGATATGGAAATCTGTCTGGAGATTTTAAAAAGATCCTACCGAATCTGCGTTGGCTGCTACTTTATTATTGCAGTTCAATCCCTATTGATTTCAATGTAAAGAAATTGGTAATTCTGGATCTGAAGGGTTGCGGTGTAAGAGATGACGGGGGAAGCTGGGGCAGAATCAAGGTTCTCAATTTTCCTACTTCATTTCATCTTTATGTTTGTGTGATATCAGATGGCAATGAGTGTGAATGGTCAAAATGGTTGACTACAATCCATCTCATTGAATCTTATTTTGGAGATTTCAATGAGAGATTTTCAGTGGCTAAATACTTCCATAATCAATGAGACGATCCATTTCCAGCCATCTACATTATAAAACCACAGATTTAAACCTTCCAGCATTTATCTTTTCGCAAAAGAACATAAATGTAAGTTACCAACACATCTAGTTTAACGATTATCCTTGTAACATATTTTGTTACTGTGTTTTAATGATCCAGGAGGCACACAGGCTGAAAGCTATAGATGTATCGGACTGCGACAAAGTGGGAGAAGTTCCGGATTTGTTCGGTTGTAGAAGTCTAGAACGGATAAATTTCTATGGGTGCTCAGAGATGGGCGGGGAGCTTCACATTGACAATTTTAAGGATCTGAGAGTGCTAAACATTGCTGTGACTAAGATAACAAAGTTGATAGGTGACATTGGAAGGCTTCAGAATCTGCAAGAGATCTCGATAGAGCATTCGTGCTTGAGAGAAATTCCTGCTAGCATTGGTAAACTGTCCTCACTCGAGATCTTGGACCTAACAGGGGTTAAAATTGAAGTACCAGAACTCCCGACAAGTTTAAAGAGGCTAAACCTCTCATCTCCTACCGTTCCCAATCTCTTGGAGCTCAAGGACTTGGAGTGGCTATGGTTGAGTTGTAATACACTTGAGATTCCTGGGGATATGTGGAAGCTGTCCAAGTTGAAGGATCTGACGTTAATTCAGGTTGAGATTGGAAAGGATGCCCTTGTTCTTCACCAAGAATCAGTGGACCCCGATGACCAGAATCATTATTCTCGACGACATGGTATGAAAACACTTTTTACTTCATCGTCTGCCCTCCCATCATCTCTGAACACCCTGTTGATACAGGGTTGTCATCCATTGGAGAGACTGCCGAACTTTGCGAATCTGAGTAATCTGATAAACTTAACTTTGAGATATATTGGGGTACGTGAGATCACCGGTCTGGGAGAGCTGAGGATGCTGGAGAACTTCCACCTATGGAATGCTTCACATCTAATTATTCTCGATGGCCTCGAACATCTAGAGCTTCTGAAGGAATTGAGGGTGAATGGTTGTGGTGTACTGAGAAAACTGGCCAGCTTGTCAAATTTGTCTAGGTTAAGAAAGCTCGAGATCATTGATTGTCCGCTCCTCTCTGAAATCCATGGCCTTGGCGAACTGGGGGGTTTATCGATTCTATGGATCAGGAGATGTGATCAGTTGTGTGGGGCGATGGGGCTTGACAAATTGGAGTCACTGCAAGAATTGTGGATCACAGATTGCGTGGCGATTAAGAACTTGCCGGATCTATCTGGTTTGAAGCACTTGTCAGAGTGGAGAATTGCTGGATGCAATCAGTTGACTGGGGTGACGGGACTTGACAAATTGGAGTCACTGCGACAATTAGAGATTACTGATTGTGCATCGATAAATTATCTGCCTGATCTTTCTGCTTTGGAGCATTTGTGGGCGTTGAAAATTACGGGATGCAAGCAGTTAACTGAAGTTACTGGGCTTGACAAATTGGGGTCATTGCAACGATTGGAGATTACATGGTGCGATTCGATTAGGAAGCTGCCTGATCTATCTGCTTTGGAGCACTTGTGGAAGTTGAAAATTGCTGGATGCAATCAGTTGACTGGGGTGATGGGGCTTGAAAAATTGGAGTCATTGCAACTATTGAGGATTACTGATTGCGCGTTGATTGAAAAGCTACCCGATATATCTGCTTTGAAGCACTTGTGGGATTTTAGAATTATTGGATGCAATCAGTTGACTGCAGTTTCTGGGATAGAGAGATCGGGGCCGGTGAAGTTGCTAACTATTGATGGAAGGCTAAAGACGCGAAAAAGAAAGATTCCAGAACCCCAAGTCCACTGAAAAGGGTATGGAAATGTGTGTGGTGTTCATGTCTCGTTTGCATGAGTGTTGTTGCTGGGAGCTGGTCAGCATTTGGGAAGCTTATGCATTTTTCTTAAAAATCGTTTAATGCTTGTATATGAAGAACTCTAAAAGGTACCATACTCCAGTTAGTTACTACTGAAATTCAGAAGAAGCCTGTCGAAATTCCTGTTTGTTTTCTTGGTTTCTATCTGAATTTCTGAACGCCACTTGGCTAGTAGGAAGAAGGTTTGATGTGCTAGTTGAAGATCTCAAAGCAGCAGCCATATGCGAGGATGTCAAAAGTATTTTCGCTGCTAAAAGTAGCTTAATTTGTGGCTGAATCAGAGTCGTATCCAGGTCGAGAATGTACGGGCATGGCAGCTTGCTCACCCAACTGGGACAGCAGATGAATGCCTCGACTGAATGAAGAATCCTGCTCGAAGCGAGCCAAAATGGGCCAATCTCTTTACTTTATGGATGCAGCAATTCCTTTTGCATTTCCAGTTGCTACACAGTTGTCACAACTCACAACCATGGTGTGTATCTCTCAGCGGTTTGTTCAAACACATTCATAAAAAAACATTGTAGGTACAACATGACTACCACAGTACAAGGGGATAGCAAAACTTCAATCTACTACCATCGGTGAAGGATCTGTTCGCTTGTATAGTTTCGATTCTCAGATGTCCGCTCGATTGCCCACTCAAGGCACCTCTGAAGCAGTCAACTTCTCTTGAAGATTAGAAACTCTCTTCTGCAAATGAAGAGTTCCACATTTGAAGCCGAAGAAAACAAAAAAGAGACCAATACATCATCGGTGACCGGATCTACCTGGATTAAAACATTAACAGGCTCTAACAGACCAGGAAGGGAAAATCTCTGAAACAACCATTAAAATGATACCTTAAATGATTTAGAGCGACGCATGGAAGGTTCGATCTGCAAGCAAATTGAGTAGGATTCCTCAGCTGCATCATATTGCTCCATCGCCATGAAAGCATCACCTTCGCACAAATAAGCCTGCACATCAACAAGTATGTCATCACATTCTGACACTTCCGCCAAGAAGCATACTATGATCATCCTGAATCTCCCTCAGACACTTGCGCATCTAATTCGAGCTAAAACAGTTCTCCTGCTCACCTCAGGATATCGAGGAGCTAGCTCCAAAGCTTCCCTAGCATCTTCAAGAGCACCCGAGTAGTCACCCGTCCCCAATCTAGCAGCCGACCTTCCTTCAGGGGAGAAATCCTGAGTGAGATTAAAAGCAATTTCTCTATTGTTCGCCCCCCAAATGCTCATCGTGATCAGTAGTTTGAGATGTTCATCAGCACGTTAGCAAACAAACCTGAACTTGAGCATAATGTGAAGTCCACCAAATGGTTTCAAATCTATAGCCTGCAATTCAGCAAACAAGATGGTTGAACAAGACAATATTGTTCATCAGATTTCAGGTTAAATACTAGCTCGACCGCTGTTCGAGCAATCAAGCCAGTCTATGTATCACATTGGGCACTGAAATCCGTATTAGCGTTCATCAACACTTTATTCTGAAAAGAGGAGTTCAAAGTTTGAACCTTTTTACCCTTGAGAGCAAGATCTCGGCTTCTGCGAAATCCCCTTTCTCCATCTCCGCTTCCGCTCTCTTCCGAATAGTGAACGCCTCCAGCGTTTTCGCCACGTCGGCAGAGCTCGCGCCGATGGATTCGCACATCAAGGAAGCAGCTTGGGCGGCGGTGCCGCAGTGGTTTCTGATCAGGCCTCGCGGCAATACGGCGACATTGGGGCCGGCGCCGCAGCGGCCCAAGCAGCCGCTGGAATTGACGGACACGCTCGGCGGAGCGATTCCGGTGAGAATCTCTAGGGTTTGGAATGAGCCTTGCTTGCGGCAGGCCCGATTCGTGCAGACGCGAATTTCTCCTGTTTCTTTGCCGTTGTTGTTGTTGTTGTTGCCGCCGGCGCGAATTGCAGAAGCGCGGGAAGGGCGGATGGCGGCGCGGGGAGATGAATGGAAGAGGGACTGAGATGCTGCTCCGGCCATCGGCGGCCGATTTGACGAGTGAGTAGAAGATCAGTGAAGATGGACAGTAAAAGGATTGAGAGGAATGAGTGGATGATCTTTACTTTACCAGTTTTCAGAAATGATGGCGACTTTATCCAATCAACGTGCCCTTTGACTAAAAAGAGACTCCTAACGACCTTTTAAGGGGCTGTTTGGATTTTCTTCTTTTTCTAATTTCTTGCCAAACAACAATGAAGACAACTACCCAACACTAATACTAACAGATCTATGTTCCTCACCTCCAGCCATGGCACATGAATGTCTCTGTCAAGAGCTCAGCCATCTGGTGATTGAAAAAGTGAAAGCAAAGTCTCAGTGGGCTAGCTAATGGATATACCAACAGTGGCAGGAGAAGGAGTAAGTGTGAATGCCAAGAAAATGAATTCCAGACTCTCTCTCTCTGTAACTTCTATCTACCCCAATAAGTTGGAACAATAAAAGGCGGGAAAGAGAGAAGATGGGGTTTTCTTAAGAACCCAGCAAAAAAAGATTACTTTTTTACTTCCAACCCCCATTTCCTTCCTGAATATGCACTCGCACTCGTTTCTCTTTCCTTCACAGTTTCATCATTACACCCTCCACGTTATATGAAGCTTTGGGAGAGCTTTGCAGTTATGGAAAGTACCAATCCAGAAGGGGTCTTGGAGATCTCCGAAAAGGGTTAATGGTAGCTAATGCTCTCTTTCTTTCTTTCCTCATTTGGGCTGTTAATGTTTTTGAGAAACGAATCCCGTCGTCGTCCTTCAGTTCAGTTGGGGTTCTTCTCTTCCATTACCTGCAGTTTCTTCTTTGTGGCGTTTCAGTTCATTGTGCTCTTCATTTGCGTTTTCTGGGGGGGTGGTTTTCTTTTGAAAGTTCTGACATTTCAGTTTCTCTTTTGTTTGCTCTCAGAATAACAATGGTGGGTTGTATTGGGATTTTCGTCTGATGGACAGTTTTCACCTGAAGTTTTGTTAATTCATTAATGGAGTTCAGCTTCCAAGAGGGAGGGTTTGCTACACTGGACAGAACACTTGGAATGGATTCCATCGTTCTTAGAGGAGGGGACTGTAGGCCAATGCTAGGAGCCATGGGTCAGGACCCGTTCATCGATGATGATGATGGAGCTCCACAGATTCTGTTACGAACACCAAGAAGGAACCAGAAATGCAATCAGGTAGTAGAAAAAAAAATGTGATTTTGGGTTATAATTTATCAAGGTAAATGGCTTGTTCTTTTGAGCTTTCCACATTTGTTTCAAAAAGTTGCACCCTTTGTTTCTTTGTAGGCAGATGTAGAAATCAATTGTAATGTTTTTCACGCTCAAATTGGAGAAAGACGAGCCATGATGGGGATAATGTTCAAGGTTATCATGTTCCATACACGTTCCATTAGGCCAAATGTCCTAATTTTTAGTAAAGAACAGGCTGAGGCGCTTTGGAACTCCAAACCTGAGTGTCCTAAGAACTTCAAGGTAGTAGAGCTATATCGATGTTTCTGCTGCTTTTGGTAACATTGTTTATCTTTAAGTGTTGCCAATTGATGACTATTTTCCTTCACATATGGAACTTAAGGTTCTGGTTTCAGAAATGGAGTATGCTGCTCCAACTGGTTCACTTGTTCTAGAGGAGAAAGAATGCCTTCCTTGGGAAGCATCTGATGTGGTTGATCCATTAACGGGGAAGAACGCTAGACTGTTGAAGGATTTGAAAGACAAGGTTGAAGACCATGAATCCATTATTTTAAAGAAGCAATCTGTGCCTCCTGCCTTGTCTAGCAAGCCATCTAGTGATGCGAAGTCAGAGGAACCATGTTTAGAAACTAGTAGTATTGAACATGGAGGTGGGATGTGTGTTTCTTCTATCAAAAGCCCTGCTCTGTCGAAGAATATATGTTCTCCAAGAATCTCTCAAACTCCAGTTTCTATGAGGTATCCTAATGCATCAGCATACTTGGGCCTTGGCATTACAGCATTGTTACACGATCATGCTTCATCTACTGCAACTGATGAATCTGTGCATTTAAGTCCAGCAGCCATAGCTGTTTCCTCTCACGTTAGAAATGTCAGGAAACCTGTTCACCTCAGTGCCACATTTGATGTGAAGCTACTACCTCAACCTTCATCCCAATCTCATCATGACTCTACAAACAATGGAACTTCTTCCGAAGCTAAGAAATCACCAATTCCTCCTCCACCACCTTTACCTCAGTTACCCTTGGCTAGAAATTCACCTGTCAGAACAGTCAAAGCAAAGCCAACCAACAAAGCTGCAACATGCAATGATCCACCTCTTCCTCCTCCTTTACCACCTTTGCTTGCTAAGCAGGTAAAGTCACCACCATCTAAACGACAGCCAGATCCTCCCTCTCCTCCACCTCCTCCACCATCTACTTTACCAAAAGTAACCCTACCACCACCACCTGTTCCTCCTGCAAAAGGAATACTTACAAACAGGAATGTGCCTCCAGTTCCTGGGCCACCACGAGCAGGGTTGATGCCACGGTCAAGAATTCAAGCTCAACCGAGAAGGTCCAGCCTGAAACCATATCATTGGCTGAAATTGACTAGAGCAACTCAGGGGAGCATATGGGCTGAGGCTCAGAAGTACCCTAATGACACTTCCTTGTATGCGCTTCTTCACACACTTCTTGTGCTGGAAGTTAACAGTTTCCAAATCCAACATAGTTTACACTTTTGCTCCTTTTTTTATTATAGGGCTCCTGAATTTGATATATCAGAACTTGAGAGCCTGTTTTCAGCAGCTGCTACTCCAAGTTCTGAGATGAAAGGCATTGGAGCCAAATCAAAGCGTCGTGTACGGAAATCTGAGAAAGTTCAACTGGTAGTCTAGTGGGTTCTGCTAAAATTTGTTTTTTTTATCTCTTGTTTTGTGTATTGTTCTTTGCTGACGAACTGATGACTGCATTTATGGATGCTCTGCAGATTGAGCTTAGACGTGCATACAACTGTGAAATCATGCTGACAAAAGTTAAGATTCCTCTCCATGATCTGATGGTAAGATGAACTTTATCCTAGCTTAAAGCTAGTTGGCGCTACAATTTGTGAGGAGGCTCAATATGTTATAATTACAGATACAGAATCTGTATCATATTACAGTTGGGTGAACTAAACACTACCAATAATGCACATTAAATGGTAACATTGATTATATCTGATACTCTTTTTGTCCCCCCGTCACTATCTTCCAGAGTTCAATTCTTGCGTTGGATGATTCAGTATTGGATGTTGATCAAGTTGATAGCCTTGTTAAGTTTTGTCCAACTAAAGAAGAAATGGAATTGCTCAAGGTATTAATTTATAGCTATCTGTCTCAATATTTGTTTCTTATAGTCGAAACTCGAAACTCGAAACGTAGACAATAGACTAAACTTGAATCTTCCAACAATTCAGGGCTATAAAGGGGACAAGGAAAGCTTGGGGAAATGTGAAATGGTGCAAAGTTTGAACTCCTATTTGCCATTGATAATAACTTGGGGTGTATGTTACAGTCTGATCTTAGCTCACTCTGTATGTTCATATGATAGTTCTTCTTGGAACTAATGAAAGTGCCACGGGTAGAGTCCAAGTTAAGGGTGTTTTCATTCAAGATGCAGTTCTCCCAACAGGTTTCTGACCTAAAGAGAAACTTGAATGTTGTTAATTCAGCAGCCGAAGAGGCAAGTTTTCTTCTTCTTACTTTCTGTTATGTGTTTTTTTATTGTTTTTTCATCTCCGAATTTTTTTCAACTTACAAAACACCATGAACAATATGTAAATCACACAGATAAGAAGTTCAGTGAAGTTAAAAAGGATCATGCAATCTGTTCTCTCCCTTGGAAATGCCGTGAACCAGGGAACTGCAAGGGGTAAGAGTTGCCAAAGTTCTTACTTCCATATGTCCTCCTAATTAGTATGCCTTTGCTTCAGCAGGAATGTTGGCAGGAAATAAAGTAGAAACTTCCAACTGATTCTAACATTCATATTTCGCTAGGTTCCGCTGTTGGCTTTCGGTTAGACAGTCTCCTCAAACTCACGGATACTCGATCCAGGGACAACAAGATGACCCTCATGCACTATCTTTGTAAGGTGGGAGTGACTTTTATCAACTTATTTGAGGTGAAAACCCATGGAACTTCCCTAGATCATTTCTGATTCCTCTCACCCCTTCATTTTTACTTCTTTGGTTTCTAGACATTTGCAGCGAAGATGCCAGAACTCCTGGACTTCTCCAAAGACCTCGTGAGCTTGCAGACTGCAACAAAAGTGATATATCTTTTCTCTTTTTTTGTTTGTTGAAATATTCAATGCAGCTAGCTAGAGCCTTCTGGTTATGGCTGATCTTGAGTGCCACAAGTTTTCCCTCTGCAGATACAACTGAAATATTTAGCCGAGGAGATGCAAGCCATTAGCAAAGGTCTGGAGAAAGTTCTACAAGAGTTGGCAGCCTCAGAGAAGAATGATGGTGAAGTGTCAGAATACTTCTGTAAGGTAATCTTGCATTTCTCTGCGTTTGTTACCATTGTTTGTGGATTGCGAACTAGTCTTTCAGGTTTGTAACAGCATGGTCAATTGGTCATTTAGCAGAACCTCTAACTTAACCAAGTGATCTGTAACAAAATAGATTGTTCCATCTGATTTGTGGTTTATTTGGCCGAGTCAGCATGCCACATTGGCTTGCTATGTCACCAAAACTGATGGGGGTCAGGCGTGTATCATGTAGTGATGTGGCGATCCTATTAATTGGTATGCTAACTTGGCCGAACTAACGAAATATTAAATGGGTACTGAACGAAGTGACTGTTCTGTTATTAATCAGCAAGTTTGGAGACCATTAATGATGAACTAATGGCTTCTCTACTGAGATTAGGCTTAATTTTTCATACATTCATCTCCTTGGCTACTACACTTCCAGGTCATGAGGGCATTCCTGAGCTACGCAGAAAGAGAAGTGAAGTCCTTGGGCTCACTCTATTCCAGTGTCGTAAGCATAATCGTCATCTCTAATTCGTGAGCATTCATGGTGCTACCTTCCCCAGGAAGAATTTGTTTCTCATGACAAATTCTTGAACTTCTGCCTTCCCAGGGTAGAAATGTAGATGCATTGGCTGTATATTTCGGCGAAGATCCAGCCCGCTGCCCTTTTGAGCAAGGTTTTCGAACATCGCTACGCTTTACTTAAATGTCCTCAGATCCTTGTAGCCCAAGTCATGTTGTGCTTTCGTGTACTGGAAAATCTAAGAGGTCTTTGTTTTCTATGCATTGATTGATTCTGCAGTCGTCTCTACTCTGATGAATTTCGAGAAGATGTTTGCTCGAGCACACCAGGAAAACATCAAGCGAGTTGAACTCGAGAGGCGAAAGGCAGAGAAGGAAGCTGAAAAGCAAAGGAGTAACACCATCAATGGTGATTCCAGAAGGGAGCCTGCTGTAGATTTCTTGCATTCTATTAGGAGTATGTATATAAGATGAATAGACAAATCCTTTACAAGAATATAATGGACTTTTCCACCTAGATCGTTCAGAAGCTACTAATCCTGGTCCAACAAGGACTGAGGAGCTATGCTATTGTGAAAACTGAAAAGTAAAACCACATGTTGTAAATTTGTATATGGGCCTGCCGCCTGGCGGTAAAGAGTAATGGGCCAACACGCTAGGCCCAATTTTAATCTATCTACGTATTTTTCAATGGGCCGACGCTCCATTCTTAATTATCAAAGCCCAAAGGCTACAATCACCGGGTAATCTCGTAAATAGTCTCTTCTCACCATACCTCACCGTCATTTCCTTCGTCCGCCGTCTATCTGAGATAATTTCACATTTCCCGCTCAAATTATCTGGTCAAAATCTATCAGGCAAAATAGCTAGGGTTCCGCCATTTTCCCCTCTCTTTCTGGATCTCCGGCGAGTTTGTTTTCAAGCAATGCCGGACCTGGGCAATGCATCCCTCACTCGCACTTACTGCTCGACTCCGATGAGTCTCCCTTCTTCTTCTGTTCCTTCTCCGGCTCCTGAGGATCGCGAGCTCGAAGGTAACTGTCCGGTCAAAGCTGTAGTTAACGGCTGCGACTGGAACCTCAACCTTGGGTTGCCGAGTGGGAAGAAGCGATGCAATGGAGGTTTGATTAAGGTGCTGAGGCGGTGCCGCGACGGGGTGCCAAATCGAGCGAAGAAAGGTTGCGGTGCGAAGCGTTTGGAGGATTATGTGAGCGATTGGGCCCTTAAGAAGATGGAATCGGGGGCTTCGAAATCCAGCTGCTACCTTCCGTTTCTTGGCGGTGGAAAGAGAATGGTGATTCGAATTTTCCATTTCCATTCCTTTCTTGTCTGTGTTTGGGTCTGTCAACTTTGGTGGTTGATTGTTGGGGTAGAAGTGGTTACAGTAAAGGGGTTTGATGCGTTTTATGGATCTGGTTCAGGTTGAATGTCGTGTTTGCCGTGGATGTATCGATATGGGAGATGAGCTTGTTAAGTGCTCTGTTCAGAACTGCATAGGGGTGTATCACTCGCAGTGTGTCAAGGAAACGTTTAAAGTCTCAAATGTGAAGAAATTCAAGTGCCCTCAGCATGTAAGCTTGATTAATGGTTCACGATTCCTCTGATTGTTAAGTCATTAATCTTCTTCTTATTGTTTGGTTGAATATTGTCATGGACAGGCATGCTTTGTATGCAGTCAGAAACTGCACTGGAGGTGTGTCCAATGCTTAAATGCTTCACATGATAAGTGTGCACCATGGCCGGATACTATAATCCATTTGATAGACCGACCAGGACACGCAATTTGTTGGAGGCATCCAGATGATTGGAGACTGGATTGCCATCCGAATGATTGGAGACTGGATATGAAGGTTAACCTCTTCTTTTTTACTCTAATCATGGCTTGTCAAAGGTCCTTGTCTCTGATGCATGATTGTTTTCAGAAAGATAACATATTGTATTTTGATTGGAAACCTTGAATGCTGTATATGACTAGATGAGCTTAACCGTAAGATATATCAAGCTCCACTGATGATTGCACATCCAGCTAATATTCTCGATCCTCTTGCTTTCGTTTTGCTTTTAAGAAATTTCAGTTTCATTTTGCACATTGTTCTGCAGATATGCTTAAAGTGTCCCATCCTCATACAGTTTACATTACCTACTCTTACTTCTCGCTACGCTTTGAATAGTCTTCAGAAGCTAGTGATTACTCTTAAGCGAAGTCCACGATTAAGGGCTCTTTGTGTGTTCTCTACTCAAACTAATGTTTCCAGACCAGAAATTTGTCACCATGTAAACATAGTTCCACCTTTGAAGTATGCATGTTTCACAAGTTCACTCAATACAGGCCAAACTGCTTATCATTGTCCATATTGTTTTTCCAGGTTTCGGCTGCTTTATCACATAAATGTATAATCAGTAAACTCAAACTGCAATTTTTTAGATTGATAATCTTAGTCCAAGGCAGATACTATATCCAATTTTTTTTTTCCCTGTGGTGCCCATCATATCCCACCAATCAGATGCATCAACCTTGTTGCACGTATGCTTCTATTCCTGTGTAGCTATTTATAGTGAGCCGTGGGCACACCAGTCATATTTTTCAACTCAACTTATTCTCATAGTGGATGTGGTCAGCATACAGCTAAGGTCCAGGAATCCAAATATGGAAACTAAATGACTCTTAGTGTAAATGTTTATTTTAGTGACGGGGTTGGCATGATATTGACAATTCAATATGTCTAGGCTGCGCCATTTGCATAATCTTTTCCTTTATTTGGAGCATTCTATATTTCATTCTTATTTTTTATTGATTAGGCTGGCTGACAGGACTCGTATATTTGTAGAATGAGCGGCACTTGGTACCAGCCAGTGATATCGAGGTCAGAGTTTATGCAGATACAGATTTTTATTACATTGTGAAATGTATCAATATATTTCAAAGCACGATTCAGAGATGGGAAAGATAAAATTAAAGACTCAGGCAATCAGCTCTAGTCTCACGAATAGAAGAGATTAGGCTGACTGGTTGTAGGCCTGATTTCTGGTGTCAAAATTATCTGAGACTTGACAATGGTTGTTATATCAAGCTAATCTGAGGAAAAACCTTAATTGACCAGAAGTGGATATGACTGCTTGCTAAATAATAGATGGCAATATAATGTACTAGCTGCTTCTAAGTAGCTTATACCATTTTGACGTTAGAAACCTGTTCTCGTTTTTCTCCAGCAGGAAGAAAATTAATGCTGGAGGCCAACTTATTAAGAGAAAACACTGTTTATCCTTGATTCTTAAGTGTGATGAACATTTGAAGTACTTGCTGAAATCTAACATTTATGATTCTTATCCTAAGGAGATATTCCTTCGATTGCCCCTGCCATATGTTGAGGAAGAGTTCAAGATTGACTTGATGTGGAAGGGCCTGATGGAGAATAAACTAGAGCCCCCTCCTTATGTGCACATCAGGCGCAGTATCCTGTGCTTGCTACCATTTCGAACTGACCTCATATAATTGGTCATTAGTTGCATGTTCTTCTATTATCTCAATTCCCCCTTTACTTTTTGTGCTGGTTTGATGGATATTTTCCCCCAGATGATGTGCCTTAACATAAGCTAGATATTTACATGGTCAAGAAGAAACGTGATATTGCTGCTGGCAATGATAATGGATGCACAAACTGCAGTCCTATATGCTGTGAAAACTGTGTATGCAGGTAAACCAGAGATGAACAACGGACTTCTGCCCTCACTTGTTATTAATTTATTCTCAGCTATCTGTGCTAAGGTCCGTGGATTTTTCTTTAAATTTGGTCCGCTCAAACATGAGCTTCTCGCCATTTTTTTTTTTTGGCTCTGAAACACTTTTAAAAGGTTCCTTTAACAGGTTTCTAAGCCTAGAACATTGCATTATTAATGAACTACACATCTTGTGGCTTTGAGAATGCACTTGGCTTTTGGGTAGATGACATATCTTGATATCTAGTGAAATGTTAGGTGCTGCCGAATCCTATGGAAATAATAGCCATTTGCATGTACCCACCATATTGTCCCCTTCATTTATTCGAAAACATGGTGTTCTTCGCAACTTAGACTTTAAGTATATTTGGCTAATTGCTCAAGATTATCTTGTTAGGGCCTCGTGTTTTCTATGCGTATTGCGTGTCAAGATCCATACATCTTGGCTTCTTAGTAAGTTGAAATCTTTGTGCATCTCTTCCAGGGTCCAATGCATAAGTTGCTCCAAGTCTTGCCGTTGCTCTGAAAATTGCACCAACCGGCCCTTTCGCAAGGATAAAAAGATCAGAATTGTCAAGGTAAGAATTAAATGTATAGTTTCACAACCACTGTCTGTAGGGAGAAAAGAGTTGAGGAAGGGAAGTTGCATTGAAATGTAATAAGATGTAGGGAGAAAGAAAGCGATTCAGCTTGTCCAGACTAAGAAACAACCTGACCATCCTGTCTTACTGCTTTTTCCACTGAACTATAAAAGCGATTTCTTGGGATCTTGCATTTTGCAAAGGGACTTTCTTTACATTGGTAGCAACTAGTTCCCCAGTTGGGTATATAACTGAACTTTGTTTCTTTCTCAGACAGAGCTTTGTGGTTGGGGGGTAGTGGCAGCTGAACCGATAAACAAAGGTGAATTTGTCATAGAGTACATTGGGGAAGGTATAAACTTTGCCCTTGATGTTAGCGTTATAGTTTTTTTCCGTGCCAACATGCATAAGCATAACTTATTCACAAGATGGGCCTTCAATTACAGCTTCAATAATCATAATGTACATGTTTACACATCTCCCATAGCCTGATCACTTCAATGCAGCGTTCAGCTAATGCACTGTTGTATTTCTCTTCAGTCATTAGTGATGCACTATGCGAGCAAAGGCTTTGGGACATGAAGTACAGGGGAGTTCAGAACTTCTACATGTGCGAAATACGCAAGAACTTCACAATAGATGCCACCTACAAGGGAAACACATCTCGTTTCTTGAACCACAGTTGTGATCCCAACTGCATGCTTGAAAAGTGGTTAGTACCATCTTTACTCATTGCTGCACTGCCATTCCAAAGATCCATTTCATTAGTGAAGAACCAGGTACAATGCTTTTGACTTGTAACTTAATATCTTACGGGAATCACGTAGGCAAGTTGAGGGGGAGACACGGGTTGGTGTTTTTGCTGCTCGGTCCATCAAAGTTGGAGAACCATTGACATATGATTACAGGTACACATTACTTAAACATGCTGCAGCATTTGTCGAGTAATATAACAGTTTCTACCAAAAATAAAAAAAATTAGCTACTGAGTTATGGAACTCGGGTGGTTTTCGTTTCGTTTTGCTCTAGATTCGTGCAGTTTGGACCCGAAGTGAAGTGCTACTGCGGGGCTTCAAACTGTCAGGGCTACCTTGGCACCAAAAAAAAGGTGATAACAGAGTTGAATATATACTGGGGTGCGAAACGCAGGAGATCTTCCATCTCTTGTTTAGCAGCCATTGCTGCAAGATGAATGCTTCATTGCTTTGTTTTGTGTTAACTGTAAAGAGCAGCACCGAGGGAGAGAAACTACACGACCCCATTATTTTGTTCTGTTTGTTGTTTGTGATACCAACTTCAACACTGTAAAACAAGGAACTAGGGAAAGGGTTGAAGGCTTGTAGTAACATTGTGAAAATGCTTATCGAATTATCCCCCAAATTAGGGTTGTTTCAATTGAGAGGAGCTTTCTTATGTCTGAAGAAATTCATTGGCTTCATCATCGACACATAATAATTTGACTTCATTAATCATATTCTTCTATTTACAAGTAACTTTTTCCCCTATTTTTTTATATAAGAATCAAACTGTTGTACTTTTTTTTTTTCCGCATCACATGTTTAAGTCATTTTACTCCATGAACTATGTCTTTGTCAAGTAAAAGAACTTTGTTAACAGAAGAACTTTGTTAAAAAATGCTCTATTCCAACAACAGCTCTTAATTACCTGAAGTTGTGGATCCAGTTTTACTCAACCAACTATGTTCTCGTCGAATATCAGAGAAGGTGGTGACTTCCATTATGAATACAGGTGTTGCTTTTTCTTCAGACTCATATGCAAGAGAGACCAAGTCTCAGTCAAGTCTTAGCAAGGCTAAAGAAGCCACTTGCTTGACCAAGTATGATTTGTTTATTTCAAGATATAGTTTATATATGTTGGCTTGAAAGAGATCGACTTCCTTGCCTTCCCTTATGGTTCATTATATCCACACCAAATTATACTCAGATTGGTCATAGTCTCATAGAGTGAGCTTTGTCTTTATGCTTTTGTCTGAGTAGAAATAATGTAGTGATTTGTTTATCATCGCGTAGAGTCCCACAATGACATCCTCAAGGTTTTAGTTTCCACAGCTTGGACCCATCTTCTGGTCTGTTATAAATTTCCAGGGTCATGATAGTCACAGATTGTGATGTTGCTTGAGAAATGGGGTTGAAACTTGAAAGTCTGTATGCTTATGTTACAGGTTCTTATGGGTCCTGCAGGTCTCCTCTGGCGACGACCCGCAGAGTCATATCCAAAGTCGTTGGAATAACGAGAGAAGAAATGTTGAGCCCACCAACTTGTATTAATAATACTACACCATCTCAAACGATCTGATAGCAAGAAAGAGAGAGATATAGCAAAAAGTCGAAAACCATGCATATGGGTCTATCAGGAACTCGTTCCAGTGCATTTGGGGTTGTTGCTGCAGCAGCTCTACTTCTTCCTCTTCAGTTGTGCCTCCTTACTGCAGCTGCAGCCGCCTCTGGAGCTGGAGTTCTCAGTAACGAGACGGATCGCATGGCATTGCTGGAGTTCAAGGCCATGATCTCTAGCGACCCTTTGAGGGCTCTGAGCTCATGGAACGATTCCGCCCACTTCTGTCAGTGGTATGGCGTGTCTTGTTCCAAAAGACATGCAGGCAGGGTCACGGTTCTGGACCTGCGCTCTCAGAAGTTGGCGGGCTCCATTTCGCCATACATTGGCAATCTCAGCTTCTTGAAGAGGCTTTATCTACACAACAACAGCTTCAGCAAAGGGATCCCTCCTGAAATCGGCAGCCTATGCAGATTGGAATGGTTGTACCTTTACAACAACTCGCTCACCGGTGAGATCCCATCCAACCTCCTCTCGCCATGCTCGGCCCTCAGTATGTTCCAGGTCGCGAATAACAAATTGGTGGGCGAACTGCCACGACTGCTGAATGGCTCCATGAGTAGTAGGCTTGGGATCTTTATAGCACACATTAACAATCTAACTGGAGGCATTCCTCCTTCTTATGGCAACTTATCATCTCTTCGGATACTTTCACTAGGCGAGAACAGGCTCAGTGGGAGAGTTCCTGACACACTAGGCCAGATGAAGAGTCTCATGGAACTGCAACTGAATCTCAACAACTTCTCTGGTGAAATTCCTGCTTCCATATTCAATATTTCTTCTCTGGGAAGTGTGGCCTTTGCTGGGAACCAGATTCATGGCAGTCTTCCCACGAACCTGGGGATATCGCTTCCGAATCTTTTCGACTTGGCAGTGTTTTCTAACCAACTCACTGGCAGTGTTCCAGCTTCCTTATCCAATGCTTCGAACATGGTAATTCTTCAACTCCAATACAACAATTTCACGGGGAGTATGCCCAGCATGGCAGGCTGTCGCAACCTCAGGGTCTTTCTTATTGAAAGGGCCTTTCTTGGGAGAAGGGCAATCGATGATCTAAGTTCCATCATCTCTTCCTTGACAAATTCCACTAGTCTGGAAGTCCTAATGGTTGGCGACAACAACTTTGGAGGCAGCTTCCCTGAGAGCATTGCCAACTTGTCAACCAGCATGAAGTATCTAAACATGAGCGGCACCAGAATCTCAGGAAGCATTCCACATGGGATTCACAACCTTGTCAACCTGCAGATGTTCGAGGCAACTCATAATCATCTCTCAGGTACAATCCCATCCGACATTGGAGGCCTACAGGCTCTGGAGAGCTTGGACTTGAGTCATAACAGTATTTCAGGATCTGCTCCTTTGTCTATTGGAAACTTGACCAGATTGATTTACCTGAGTCTAGCTGCTAACCTCCTACAGGAAGGAATCCCTGTCTCCATTGGGAACTGTCAAAATCTAATAGCTCTGGACCTTTCTGACAACAATCTCAGTGGTGCCATTCCTCAACAAGTCATGGGCATCGCCTCTTTGGCAAGAGCCTTGAACTTGTCTCATAATCGTTTCTCAGGTGCTCTTTCTGCAGAAGTGGAAAACCTGAAAAACTTGGGGGCATTGGATCTGTCTCATAACATGCTGTCAGGAACTATTCCTAGTAGTCTTGGGAGTTGTATCAGATTGGAGCTAGTGAACTTACAAGGCAATCTCTTGCAAGGAGTCATTCCTTCTTCTTTAAGTTCATTGAGAGGCATGGAACGCTTTGATGTCTCAACCAACAATTTATCTGGTAAAATTCCAGAATTTTTTCAGGACATGAAATATCTGGAGCTGTTGAACTTGTCGTATAACAATTTCAAGGGCGAAGTGCCTCAAGGGGGAGTCTTGAAAAATGGAAGCATCATTTCCATCAAGGGAAATGGCAGGCTTTGTGGAGGTATTGCAGGACTCCAGCTTCCACCTTGTAGATTCTCCTATCCGAAGAAGAAACTGAGCCTTAAGTGGAAGATTATTATATCAGTAATATCTGTTCTACTGTTTCTAACCTTTATGGGTTCTTGCTTGTTTATCTTCTGGATTAAAAAGAGAGGAAAACCAGATACAGTTTCAGCAGGTGATGTGGAAATGCAACTATCTTACCAAAAGCTCTTCAGAGCTACATATGGTTTTTCCACATCAGCTCTGATAGGTTTGGGAAGCTTTGGTTCTGTGTATAAAGGAGTTCTCGAGAATGGATCCATTGTTGCTGTGAAGGTATTCAACCTCCAGCGTCGTGGAGGTTCCAAGAGCTTCATGGCAGAATGTCAAGCCTTGAAGAACATCAGGCATAGAAATCTTGTGAGGATCATAACAGTGTGTTCAGGAGCTGATCATCAGGGAAATGATTTTAAAGCTCTCATCTATGAGTTCATGAGTAATGGAAGTCTGGAAGATTGGTTGCATCCAGTGGAAAGTACTGCTGATGAGACTCCAAGGTGCTTGCACTTCCACCAGAGGTTAAACATAGCAATTGACATAGCCTGTGCACTGGACTATCTTCATCATGAATGTGGAACGCCCATTGTTCATTGTGATCTCAAGCCCAACAATATCCTCCTTGATGAGGAAAAGATAGGTCATGTTGCTGATTTTGGGTTAGCAAGATTTCTTTCAGTCAACAATCACTCTACAAGGGGTGAGATATCAAGCTCTATTGGCATAAAGGGAACGGTTGGCTATGCCCCTCCAGGTAAAAATGATCCTCTTGTGATATACGATTGAATTTTTGAATCGAACAAACTCGACTTATTTGGATTAACTTGTGTTAAACTATATGACATTCTAAAAAAAAAACTTATGAAACATGCTTCTTTTCATTGCCATTTTGTTTTTCACAACACGATATGTTTGCTTGATTGCAGAATATGGTATGGGAAATGAAGTCTCGGCACAAGGTGATGTGTACAGTTATGGGATCCTCCTGCTTGAATTGTTCACAGGAAGAAGACCAACCGATGAGATTTTCGGAGATGGTTTGAGCCTTCAAACCTTTGTAAAAAATGCTTTATCTCAACACCAGCTACTCACAGAAGTTGTGGATTCAACTCTGCTCAACGAATTACTTATTGACCAAACATTAGAGGGGACTCTAATTTCAATTCTCGATACAGCTATTGCATGTCGGACGTCCCACAAGAGAGACCAAGTATCAATCAGGTTTTAGCTAGTCTCAAGAAGCAAGTTACTTGATTGAACTAGCTCATAGCCAAAAGGAAGGTGACTAATATTGACTTGGTACCCATATGCAAATTTATGTCATGTACTAAGATGTTCTTTTCTGCTTCTGTAATCATATGATGATATATATCTATGTTTGGTATGAAGAGACTTGTCTCTCATGTTGTTTACAATTATGTTTATTGTGTGTGCCATCCGACAGAAGGTCAGTTGGGTCCAAGTAAAAAAAAAAAACCCACAAAATTAGAATAGTGGAACGAGTGAATGAATTTTATTGAGTGAATGAATTTTATTATCATATTCACTACCTTAAACATGGATTTTTTACTAACTATATGATGGTAATAAATTGGATCCGACAAGAAATTAAAACTCGAAGTAATTGAATTACCCAATAAAATATTTACATTCCAAAACAATTAAAAACGGTTCCCTCTAATCCCAACATCTTTTCGTGGTGTCCTATTCATCAATAAGCAGTCCCCTCAACAAGCTTATTCAACTTCTTGTTTCTCAACCTTTCCTCATAGACCTCACTTCCTCCACACTCATAGCTGCGGTAAAAATTTGAAAAAGAAAGTAAGTAAAACAACAAAGAGGAAGAATGTACATTTCACTGAAAAAGTAAAAACTTTCTTACCTTTGTGGTAGTGAGATCAAAGGGCTCAATCCTTGTGCAATTTTGACAGCTTCTTCTTCTGTGTTCACAATCTGATCAAAACACAAGTACCGGCCGCAGGTGGATGTGTCCTCCATAGCTCGAATGTGAACACTGACTAGGAAATTCACATCCACGTAGGCCAGAACTCCGTTCTCGAACATTTGGGCCGCTCCTGCAACCATTTTACATGCATTCAGTGCCAGAACAACTCGAGAGATACATGAGCGATGAATTTGCAACAAAAATGGTTGCACATTACTAAGTTCTGAATGTGGAGAAAATGTTTACATAAAAAGTAACACCCGCGCACCTTTGAGATACGCCATGGTCGATCGAGGATTCTGTTGTGAGACGCTAGGGCCGAGTATGAGGCCGGGGTTGATGGAGACCATGTTGAGATCTCTGTCCATGGCTAGTGCCCATGCTGCCTGTTCTGAGAGTGTCTTTGCCAATGCATACCACAACTGGAACAAACAATAAATTGAGAAAGGAAAAGGCCAATGTACTGTTACGTTTCAGTTGTTGGATGACATTAATGGGATTGACAAAATAACAGCTGGAAAACTCAATCTGAGCCAAACCACATGGTTTGAAAGTATGCGCCTCCACTTCTCTATTCAAGTTAGGTACAATCACCCTTAATTAATCCCAAATTTCGTACTATGTTTGAAGAAAAAAAAAATCTTATCATGTATTAGAGATGAAGTCGATACAGGATATATGAGTTATTTAGATTGAAGCTATTATGCATGTATATAATTCGTATTTCACTGTAAATTAGTACGATATTGAAGTGAATTCCTGTCAAAATTTCGGTTACTTTTATTAGAAATAAATTATCCATCGATCTTATCACACAACTATGTATCATAGATTAAGTCAGTAACATTTTGCCACGGCGTAAATATCTAAGTTATTTACCTTGAAGCTAGTATGCAAAATTGCAAATATATAATTCATATTTCACTGTAATTATCGCGCTACTTAAGTAATTTTTTTTTTGTGTGTGTGGAATACTGAAGTAAATTTCGATCTAAATGTTTGACGTAAAATTTTTTTACTTATAACCAAATTCCGGTTACTTTCCGGCGCCGGCCAGGCAACCTCCTAACTCCTCTGTTTTTATAAACCAAAAGTTTAGTATTACCTAAACTTCAACAAGAAAAGAACCAAAGCTTGGGACTTTGACAATCAACAATAAATAAATAAACAAACAAACCTTGAATTTCCTGCAGAACGATTGGTCACTCCATGACCTCTCATCCACATCCTTCTCCGAACAAATGTTCTCCCTCCAAATCGCAGCCGTCAGAGAAGAAGTGAACACGATTTTGGCTATGGAGTCGGTCTGAGCGCACGCTTCCACCACATTGATCGCCCCTCTGACCTCCAAATCCACCATCTTCTCCTGCTCAATTGCACAAAACTGGATTATACTCTTAAACCTTAATACATAATGTTGTTGGTCTCAAGGTTCGAACCGAAATCGATTAAGTTTCGACCTCAGGAACTTACATCGTACGGATCCTGGAAATCCAAGCAGCAGAAGACGCCAGAGCAGGATTTCAGAGCAACTAAAATGCTCTGGTAATCCAACACGTCCACTCCAAACACCACAAGCTTTGTGTCATCTTCTTTCGCCATTTCCATTATCTTCTTCTCGATCTCTGTAGCTTCTCCCCCTGCAAACCCCGAAAGTAACCAAAACCCATGAATTTATTTGTCCAACTACAGAAAAGAGGAAGAGAAAGAAAAAAAAAAAAAATCTTGATCCTCTGTTTTCCTCTTACCTTTCTTGTTCTGGATAGCGGCATGAACTGAGTACCCTCTGCTCAACAAACCCTTGAGAATCCAAAAACCCACGTAGCTCGAAGCATCGAGAACGCAAACTGGATGATCTGGAAGGTCAGAACCCATTTCCGCAATTCTTCTTGCTTGCTTTCTTTCTTGAGATTCAGTTTTCGAAATGCTCTGTTTTCTCTGTTCTTTTCTTTCTACTTTGATTGCTCTGTTTTGTCAAAAGGGCTATGTGGGGTTTCTATTTATAGCAAGAGGCAAGGAGAAGGGGAGAGAGGGAATCATGAGGTGAAATCAACAAACAACAGAGCGGCAGCTTGTAGGAGACGGGTTGGTGAACTGTATGGCTAAACGTTCTCCATCTAACTCACCATCTTTGGATTGGGAAGAGAGAGAGAGAATTATTGTATTCTTATAGTTTATGTTCACATAACATAATTAAATTAATAAATGTGCCTCCCCTATCAAACTCACACTTAAATTTGAAGGGTAGGTTGCAAAACTTTTTGGTACAACTTGTTAGTTGTGTCTCTCTTCTGTTGCTTTCTAACTTTTTTATGGGATTTGGTTAACTCGTATTTACCTGATCGTATTCGTTTAACTGGTTTAAATCGTATTAGTATGATATTTATATACGAAAGTTTAGGTGGTAAGAGTTCAACTTCTTATATTTCTTATGTGTGGGTTTGTTTGCTTAGTATCGATCGGTTTTCCAACTAACTCATATTTGTTAACAGTTGATTGTTGAATAGATGGTAGGTCGAAGTGTCTTAACCATCAAACATTAGCACGATGCATGCTTATACAAAAACAATTATAACTCAAAACCCTTTTGAACATGTCCTTGATTATGTTCATTTATCTCCTTACATTTTTCTCTTCAAGTCCGGTTATCTCATATTAACTTCCTTTTATTATAGATCCAGACATTTTCATTCACACTTGAATGAATGTTTTAGTTACTTGAACGCTTACACTTAAGTGATCAGATCTCATTCTCTTTCTTACTTTTCTAGTCCATTTCGCTAACTTAATGATATGTATAGTTTGTGCTAAAGATGTAAGAACTCGAACTTTGTTACTCCCAACCTACCTTTCACCTATCCATTCATGTGAATTATGTGTGCATTTCTTGACCAAGAGATTCATTTCAATGAGGCTAGTGAATTGGAATACAAAATGGTTAAATATGGAAAAGGATGGGGTTGAAAAGGGGACCAAAGTGAGTGAGGAGAAGTAGGTTTGCACTTTGGCAGGAGTAGTAGTGTGCTGCCCCTTAAATTCAGTATGCAAGTGTGAAGAGTGTGGTGAGAGACCAAAATCCAAGACGTAAGTTTAGCTCCAAACAGGGTTTGTTTGTTTGTTTCTTTGTGCAATTTGAAACGGCGTAGTATTTGGAAGTGAAGGGGACACTTCTTTGGAGATGGTTAGCAATATAGCATATGCCTCATGGTGGTGGATAGATAGCAAAGGTAGGTAGGTAGTTAACACAGATGAGTGTTGGACACGTGGCATCAACCCACATCATTAAGTTAAAACAACCATTTCTGTCTTTGAATCCCACAAGTAATGCTAATTAGGAGCACACACTTGTCGATCGACTAGCGGATTATAAGGTTGCTAAGTTGAGTTAGCCTTGATGGGGTTTCTTCCAACCATGCAAATTGAGTACACTTGACACTTTTTTTTGTCAATCTAAAAGAATATGCAAATACAATGTTATTTGTCTAATGACTAGGGGTGGTATGTGGTTTGGTATTGTTCCACATATGCTCAATAAAACAACATACGAGACTGATTGTATTATTGATTATGAATACGGTCTGATCACATTAAGGTCATTATCATTATGTAACAGATATTGTTAAATCAATGACGTCATTATCTAACATATAAGACTCGTTTAATTGGGATACAATCCGATCACCGTAAAATCGTCATTTTATAATTAGTACTATTAGATCATTGATATAATGATTTGTCATACGAGTAGAGATGATTATATTGTTACATTTGGATAAGATCTTATCAGCTAAAAGTTATCATTCGATAGACCGTAGCGGATGATGTGATAGCCCCACAAATAAAGTTAGGCTAATGAATAAATGTGCTTTTATTATTTATGTACTAAATTGTGTTGGAGAAGAATTAAGTGTTTTAGCTTTATGATTGAGGGGGCGACAAGAACATGACAGACTGGTTGCTGCCCACAAGAAATACAGTAAATTTCCATTCAATTATTGATTTCTGGTGTGAGGCAGATTGTGGGGTTTATACTTTGAATTTCTCTGGCTCAGACACCATTCCACGTTGGGAAAGGAGCATTGAATATGAAAAGTATGCATTCCAATGATAATTTATTGGAATCATAATTCAAGTTGTATCTGTATTTCAATGACAAGTTATTCGAATCATAATTTAGTTGTATTTGTGGGTATGAATGAAGTTCAGATTAAAATAGTGATTCTTTTTTATGTTTAAATTAGTTTCATATGCATACGATTTAGTTCATAAAAATTATCTAACGATGGAAGATTATAGAGATAAAATGAAGTGTCATATTGATGTGTGAGAAATACCTTTTGCTTGAAGGGCAAGCAAGGAGTTTGAGTTTTTTAAGGCTTAAATCAATAGGTTTGATTCCTAAGGTCTTGGTTGGAGTATAATACTAAGTATCAAGAAATTTTTATATATCGACAATTCAAATTTTAGCTTTGATGAAATGACACAAAGGAAGTTTTATCCCATCTTAGTGAACTTATTAACGTGATTTTGCAAGTAAACTCATTGATCTTAATCTAAAACTATAGGTTTTCAAAACTGAAAGATCGATCTAGTTTTCGATTCAAGCGATTTTAAAATGAATAGCTGATTAAAATCCTAGCTACGTGATGTCTCGTACCCTTCAAATCATGATGGATCTATGAACCATTTGAGACATAATATTTATTATGAGTTTTAAACTTCAACCTCAATATGAAACATGCATCAACTAAATAAGATTATCGTCCAAAATCAACAACAACATTCTCTTCTTAGCTCTTCCATCATGTTCTTTTTCTTTCTTCGGTTAACCCATCGTTGCACAACAAGGAAAAATGTTAGAACCTCCTAGATTGAGTAGCTTGAGAAAGCAAAATCAAGGGAAAACATATATACAAAGGCACTTACGTGGAAGAAATGTGGGTTTAAGCCCTAATTATCAGGATTAAGTTTTGATATATAAACCAATCATAGTACACAACGTGTCTCCTGTTGTGGAAACAGTGTTGTTTGCACACAAATTGCATAAGCAAACACAGACACGAAACATGAAAGGAAAAGACCCTATTTTTGCGTGCGAAATGGGGGGAAAAATCAAATGATAAACTACGAGGAAAAACAATTGACGACTTGGTAAGAAAAGGGAAGACAACTTGGGAAGCCACATATATGCTGCTTTGTTCTGGTTACCTACTTAACTGTTTTTTTTTCTTCTTCTTTCCTTTAGGCTAATAATAATTCGGATGTTTATATACAATGACTTCTCGAGCATTATAGGCTAATAATAATGCATTATTTACTTCTAGTGAGTTTCATAGCCGAAATTCCCTCCTTCGTGGATGTGCATGTGCATGTAACTAAAGGAGAACTCGTACGTCAGCCAAACGTAAACCATCAATGGAAGAAAAGAAGGTTAATTAAAGCCTTATTAAAGGTAGGAATGGTGGGCTTTTGGCCCCAGAAAAGAAGGTTAATTAAAGCCTAACCATACTAGGAAGACAAACAAGTCAGGAAGCTGGAAGTTAGATTAAGAGGTGATCAGATTTGATAAGTATCCTTTTGTAAGGTCAAAGCTAACCGTACGGCCATGGTTTCAAACAAGAGAATTAGATACAGACAGTTTCATTAGTTTATTCGAGATTTACAGTTTAGCAGATCGAGCCATCTCGTTCGATCTTTCGTTAGATTGACGGCTGTAACAATCGACATGTCATAACAAAGCCTGTTTAAGTTGCATAGTCGATCACATTAACGATAGAATGGACGTAACGAGACAAAGTCGTGCGACTCTTGTGTCATCAAATATCATAGTTCACATACTGTGATTTCAGTTTTCTGGGGAAGTCATGTCTCATTTGATATATATATATGGTGACTACTTCAGTGCACTTAATTTCTTAGGTACAACCAACTCTAACAGTGATCATAATACATCAAATTTTGAACTTTAATTGATAGCATTAGTATATATGATAATATAACATGGAATCACAAATAAACAATCCATTATCCTAACCCTTTAACCTTCAATTTTGAATCCCAACCCAAAACCCCAAATTATAAACCCTAACCCTAAATTCCTAAACTGTAAATCATTCAATTTAAAGTAAGATATTGAATGATTTTCGTACAAATCCGTGTTTCTTGTTCATCATACCATAAGTGAAGATTGACATTGTTTTCACATAAATTGTCTGCCCCGAATGACGATTATTAGGCGAGTGCATTGAATGCACCAAAAAAATGAGTGCACTGAAGATATAATCATATATAATTACAAACACCAAAAGAGCATATCCTCACTACTAGCGTCTAGCAGTGTATATATAGTCCTTTGCATCAAAGAATGCGGTCATATCAATATGTATTACCATTTACCAGTGTATATATAGTCCTTTGCATCTTGCATTATTTTGTTCTTTGTGGGTCGAAGCTAAACTCGGATGGCAGCTATTTCAAAAGAATAACCTTATTCAGCCACGAAAAGCTATCAAAATGTGGCTGTCTTGACTGCTGATATCAGATCGATCAAGTGCTGCAAATTGAGAACACTCTTTTGTCAATCAAAAAGAATATGCAAATACAATCTTAATTATCTAATGACTAAGGGTGCATGGTATGTGGTTTGGTATTGTTTCATACATGCTCAATCAAACGACATACGAGACTGATTGTATTAATGTTTATGAAATACGATATGATCACCTTATGGTCATCATCATTATGTAAATGATATTATTCCATCAATGATGTCATAATCTAACATATAAGAGTCATTTGATTGTGAAGATATAATCCGATTGCCTCAAGTTCGTCATTTTATAACGGATACTATTAGATCATCGATATCATGATTTGGCATACGAGTAGAGATGGTTGTATTGTTACTGTTGAATAAGATCTTATCAGTACAAAGTTTTCGTTCAGAAGACGGTAGTGATACCTTCGAGATTGATGATGTGATGGTATTATATCAGATTTCTGGCGATTTTTTTCGAAATGCCACTTTCTTTCGATTCTGGAGGATACAGACCACGGATTCAGGCCGAGGCTATTATCCGCCGATAATGAAGTCTATTGATCCTATTCTCCACAATTTATTTTCGGATGCAATTTTCGTAATTTTTTGGTCGACCAAAGGTAATTTTCTTTGGATTTTGAAGGCTACAGATTATGGATTCAACTTGAGGCTATTCTTCAATGATTAATTCCAATAAGCACCGATTTGGCGAATTTATTCCGGATCACTTTTTGGCGGATTCCAAAGGGGTACCATCACAGATTTCAGGTGATTTTCCCGAAATGCCATTTTCTTTCGATTTTGGAGGCTACATATCACGGATTCAGGCCGAGGCTATTCTCCACCTATATGAAGTCTATCGATCCTATTCTCCACAGATGATTACTTCCATTAAGTATCGATTTGTACCAATTTATTTTTGGATGGAATTTTCAAAAATTTTGGGTGACAAAAGGCCATTTTCTTTGGATTCTGAAGGTTAAAGATCCCGGATTCGGCCAGAGGCTATTCTTCTACGATGATTACGTCCAATAAGCACCGATTTAGGCGGACTTATTCAGGGTCAATTTTTGGCAAATTCCAAAGGGGTATCATCACAGATTTTGGACAATTTTTCCAAAATGCCATTTTCTTTCGATTCCGGAGGATACAGATCACAGATTCAGGACAAGGCTATTATCTATCGATAATGAAGTCTATTGATCCTATTCTCCAAAGATGATAAGTCCAATAAGCACCGATTTGGCCCAATTTATTTTCGGATGACATTTTCGTATTTTTTTTGGGCGACGAAAGGCCATTTTCTTTGGATTTTGAAGGCTACATATCACGGATTCAGCCTAAGGCTATTCAACGATGATTAATTCCATTAAGTACTGATTTGGGTGAATTTATTCCGGGTCAATTTTTGGCGGATTCCAAAGGGGTACCATCACATATTTTGGGCGATTTTCCCGAAATGCCATTTTCTTTCGATTCTAGAGGCTACAGATCACGGATTCAGGCCGAGGCCATTCTCCACCGATAATGAAGTCTATTGATCCTATTCTGCACTGATGATTACGTCCATTAAGCACCGATTTGGGAGGACTTATTCCGGGTCAATTTTTGGTAGATTCCAAAGGGGTATCATCACAAAATTTGGGTGATTTTATCGAAATGCCATTTTCTTTTGATTATAGTGGCTACAAATCATGGATACAGGGTGAGGCTATTCTCCAACGATAATGAAGTCTATTGATCCTATTCTCCATGGATGATTACGTCCATTAAGCACCGATTTGGGCCAATTTATTTTTGGATGGCATTTTCGTAATTTATTGGGCGACAAAAGGCCATTTTATTTGGATTTTGAAGGCTACAGATCACAGATTCGGCCTGAGGCTATTCTTCGACGATGATTAAGTCCATTAAGCACTGATTTGAGCGAATTTATTCCGGGTCAATTTTTGGCGGATTCCAAAGGCAAAGGGGTACCATCACAGATTTTTGGCGATTTTTCCGAAATGCCATTTTCTTTCGATTCTGGAGGCTACAGATCACGAATTTAGGCAGAGGCTGTTCTCCACCGACAATGAAGTCTATTGATTCTATTCTCTACGGATGATAAGTCCATTGAGCACCGATTTGGGCCAATTTATTTTCATATGGCATTTTCGTAATTTTTGGGTGACGAAAGGTCATTTTCTATGGATTTTGGGGGCTACAGATCACCGATTTGGCCCGAGGCTATTCTTCAACGATGATTATGTCCGTTAAGCATAGATTTTGGCGGATTTATTCCGGGTCAATTTTTTGCAGATTCCAAAGGGGTACCATCATAGATTTCGGTCCATTTTCCCAAAATGCAATTTTCTTTTAATTCTGGAGACTATAGATCACGAATTCAGGCTAAGGCTATTCTCCACCGATAATGAAGCCTATTGATCCTATTCTCCACGGATGATTACGTCCATTAAGCACCGATTTGGGCCAATTTATTTTTGAACGGCATTTTCATAATTTTTGGGTGACAAAAGGGCCATTTTCTTTGGATTCTGAAGGTTAAAGATCACGGATTCGGCCTGAGGCTATTATTCTACGACGATTACGTCCTTTAAGCACCGATTTAAGAGGATTTATTCCGGGTCAATTTTTCGCATATTCCAAAGGGGTACCATCATATATTTTGGGCAATTTTTCCAAAATGCCATTTTCTTTTAATTGTAGAGGCTACAGATCACGGATTCAGGCCGAGGCTATTATCAACCGAAAATGAAGTCTATTGATCCTATTCTCCACAGATGATAAGTCCATTAAGCACCTATTTGGCCCAATTTATTTTCGGATGGCATTTTTGTATTTTTTGGGCAACGAAAGGTAATTTTCTTTAGATTTTGAAGGCTACATATCACGGATTAGGCCTGAGGCTATTCTTCAACGATGATTAATTCCATTAAGCACCGATTTGGGAGGATTTATTTCGGGTCAATTTTTGGTGTATTCCAAAGGGGCACCCATCACAGATATTGAGCGATTTTCCCGAAATGCCATTTTCTTTCGATTCTGGAGGCAACAGATCACTGATTCAGGCTGAGACTATTCTCCAGCGATAATGAAGTCTATTGATCCTATTCTCCATGGATGATTATTGATTACGTCTATTAAGCCCCGATTCGGGCCAATTTATTTCTGGATGGCATTTTCGTAATTTTTGGTAGACAATAGGCATTTTCTTTGGATTCTTAAGTTTAAAGATCGCGGATTCGACCTGTGGCTATTCTTCTACGATGATTACGTTCATTAAGCACGGATTTGGGCGAATTTATTCTGGGACAATTTTTGGCGGATACCAAAGGGGTACCATCACAGATTTTGGACTATTTTCCCGAAATCCCATTTTGTTTCGATTCTGTAGGCTACAGATCACGGATGCGGCCTGAGGATATTCTTCATTGATGATTACGTCCGTTAAGCACAGATTTGGGTGGATTTATTCCGGGTCAATTTTGGCAAAGTCCAAAGAGGTACCATCACAGATTTTGGGTGATTTTCCCGAACTGCCATTTTCTTTTGATTTTGGAGGCTACAAATCACGGATTGAGGCCGGCGCTATTATCCACCGATAATGAAGTCTATTGATCCTATTCTCGGCATATGATAATTCCATTAAGCACCGATTTGTCCCAATTTATTTTCGGATGACATTTTCGTAATTTTTTGGGCGGCGAAAGGCCATTTTCTTTGGATTTTGAGGGCTACAGATCACGGATTCGGCCTGAGGCTATTCTTCAACGACGATTGAGTCCATTAAGCACGTATTTGGGCGAATTTATTCGGGGGTCAATTTTTGGTGCATTCCAATGGGGCACCGTCACAGATTTTGGCGATTTTCCCGAAATGCCATTTTCTTTCGATTCTGGAGGCTACATATTACGAATTCAGGCCGACGCTATTCTCCACCGATAATGAAGTCTATTGATCATATTCTCCGCAGATGATAAGTCCATTAAGCACCGATTTGGCCCAATTAATTTTCTGATGACATTTTCGTAATTTTTTGGGCGACGAAAGGCCATTTTCTTTGGATTTTGAAGGCTACAGATCACAGATTCGGCCGGAGGATATTCTTCAACGATGATTACGTCCATTAAGCACCGTTTTGGGCGGATATATTCCTGGTCAATTTTTCCAAGAGTCCAAAGGGTACCATCACATATTATGGGCGATTTTCTCGAAATGCCATTTTCTTTTGATTCTGGAGGCTACAGATCACGGATTCAGGCCTAGGCTATTATGCACCGATAATAAAGTCTATTGATCCTATTCTCCGCTGATGATAAGTCCATTAAGCACCGATTTGACCCAATTTATTTTCGGATGACATTTTCGTAATTTTTTGGACGATGAAAGACCATTTTCTTTGGATTTTGAAGGCTACAGATCACGGATTCGCCCTGAGGCTATTCTTCAACGATGATTGAGTCCATTAAGCCCGGATTTGGGTAAATTTATTCCGGGTCAATTTTTGGCGGATTCCAAAGGGGTACCATCACAAATTTTGGGCGATTTTCCCGAAATACCATTTCCTTTCTATTCTGGAGGCTACAGATGACGGATTCAGGCCGATGCTATTCTCCACCGATAATGAAGTCTATTGATCCTATTCTCCATGGATGATTACATCCATTAAGCCCCGATTTGGGCCAATTTATTTCTGAATGGCATTTTCGTAATTTTTGGTTGACAATAGGCCATTTTCTTTGGATTCTGAAGTTTAAAGATCACGAATTCTTCCTGTGGCTATTCTTCTACGATGATTACGTTCATTAAGCACAGATTTGGGCGAATTTATTCCGGGACAATTTTTGGCGGATTCCAAAGGGGTATCATCACAGATTTTGGGTTATTTTCCCGAAATGTCATTTTCTTTCGATTCTGGAGGCTATAGATCACAGATTCAGTCGAGGCTATTCTCCATCGATAATAAAGTCTATTGATGCTATTCTCCGTAGATGATAAATCCATTAAGCACCAATTTGGCCCATTTTATTTTCGGATGACAATTTCGTAATTTTTTGGGCGACGATAGGCCATTTTCTTTGGATTTTGAAGGCTACAGATCACGGATTCTGCCTGAGGCTATTCTTCAACGACGATTGAGTGCATTAAGCACGGATTTTGGCGAATTTATTCCGGTTCAATTTTTTGGCGGATTCCAAAGGGGTACCATCATAGATTTTGAGCAATTTTCCCGAAATGCCATTTTCTTTCGATTCTGGAGGCTACGGATTACGGATTGAGGCCGAGGCTATTCTCCACAGATGATAAGTCCAGTAAGCACCGATTTGGCCCTATTTATTTTCGGATGACATTTTCGTAATATTTTGGGCGACAAAGGCCATTTTCTTTGGATTTTGAAGGCTACAGATCACGGATTCGGCCTGAGGATATTCTTCAACGCTGATTACGTCCTTTAAGCAAAGATTTGGGCAGATTTATTCCGGGTCAATTTTTGGCAGATTCCAAAGGGGTACCATCATAGATTTTGAACGATTTTCCGAAAATGCCATATTCTTTCGATTATGGAGGCTACAGATCACTGATTCAGGCCGAGGCTATTCTCCCACGATAATAAAGTCTATTGATCTTATTCTCCATGGTTGATTACGTCCATCAAGCCCTGATTTGGGCCAATTTATTTTTGGATGACATTTTCGTAATTTTTGGTTGACAATAGGCCAATTTCTTTGGATTCTGAATGTAAAGATCACGGATTCGACCTGAGGCTATTCTTCTACGATGATTACATTCATTAAGCACGAAATTGGGCGAATTTAATCCGGGTCAAATTTTGGCAGAGTCCAAAGGGGTACCATCACAGATTTTAGGTGATTTTACCGATATGCCATTTTCTTTCGATTCTGGATGGTACAGATCACGGATTCAGGCGGAGGCTATTCTCCACCAATAACGAAGTCTATGGATCCTATTCTCCGCAGATGATAAGTCCATTAAGCACCAATTTTGCCCAATTTATTTTCGGATGACATTTTCGTAATTTTTTGGGCAACGAAAGTCCATTTTCTTTGGATTTTGAAGGCTACAGATCACGGATTCGGCTAGAGGCTATTCTTCAACGATGATTGAGTCCATTAAGCAGTGATTTGGGCGAATTTATTCCGGGTCAATTTTTGGCGGATTTCAAAGGGATACCATCATAGATTTTGGGCGATTTTCCCGTAATGCCATTTTCTTTCGATTTTGGAGGCTACAGATCACGGATTCAGGCCGAGACTATTCTCCACCGATAATGAAGTCTATTTATCCTATTCTCCGCAGAGGATAAGTCCATAAGCACCGATTTGGCCCAATTTATTTTCAGATGACATTTTTCGTAATTTTTAGGGCGACGAGAGGCCATTTTCTTTTGATTTTGAAGGCTACAGATCACGGATTCGGCCTGAGGATATTCTTCAACGATGATTACGTCCGTTAATCAGAGATCCGGGCGAATTTATTCTGGGTCAATTTTTGGCAGATTCCAAAGGGGTACCATCACAGATTTTGGGCTATTTTCCCGAAATGTCATTTCCTTTTGATTCTGGAGGCTACAGGTCACGGATTCAGGCCGAGGCTATTATCCACCGATAATGAAGTCTATTGATCTTATTCTCTGTAGATGATAAGTCCATTAACACCGATTTGGCCCAATTTATTTTGGGATGACATTTTCGTAATTTTTGGTTGACAAAAGGCCATTTTCATTTTATTCTGAAGGTTAAAGATCACGGATTCGACCTGAGGCTATTTTTCTGCGATGATTACGTCCATTAAGCACCGATTTAGGCAGATTTATTTCGGGTCAATTTTTGGCAGATTCCAAAGGGGTACCATCACAAATTTTGGCGATTTTCTCGAAATGTAATTTTCTTTCGATTCTAGAGGCTACAAATCATAGATTCAGGCCGAGGCTATTCTCCACCGAAAATGAAGTCTATTGATCCTATTCTCCATGGATGATAAGTCCATTAAGCACCGATTTAGGCCAACTTATTTTCGTATGCCATTTTCGCAATTTTTAGGCGGCCAAAGGTCATTTTCTTTGGATTTTAAGGGCTACAGATCACTGATTTAGCCTGAGGCTATTCTTCATTGATGATTACGTCCGTTAAGCACAGAATTGAGCGAATTTATTCCGGGTCAATTTTTTGTCAGATTCCAAAGGTGTACCATCACAGATTTTGAGCTATTTTCCCAAAATGCTATTTTCTTTTGATTCTGGAGGCTACAGATCACGGATTCAGGCCGAGGGTATTATCCACCGATAATGAAGTCTATTGATCCTATTCTCCGCAGATGATAAGTCCATTAAGCACCGATTTGGACCAATTTATTTTCGAATGACATTTTTGTAATTTTTTGGGCGATGAAAGGCCATTTTCTTTGGATTTTGAAGGCTACAGATCACGGATTCGGTCTGAGGCAATTCTTCTACGATGATTGAGTCCATTAAGCACAAATTCTGGCAGATTTATTCCGAGTCAATTTTTGGCTGATTTCAAAGGGGGTACCAACACAAATTTTGTGCGGTTTTCCTGAAATGCCATTTTCTTTCGATTCTAGAGGCTACAGATCACTGATTCAGGCAAAGGCTATTCTCCACCGACAATGAAGTCCGTTGATCTTATTCTCCATGGATGATAAGTCCATTAAGCACCGATTTGGGCCAATTTATTTTCGTATGCAATTTTCGTAATTTTTGGGCGAGGAAAGGTCAATTTCTTATGATTTTGAGGGCTACAGATCACATATTCAGCCTGAGGATATTCCTCAACGGTGATTATGTCCGTTAAGCACAGAATTGGGCGGATTTATTCGAGGTCAATTTTTGGCAGATTCCAAAGGGGTACCATCACAGATTTTGGGCGATTTTCCCGAAATGCCATTTCTTTTGATTATGGAGGCTTCGGATCACGGATTCAGGCCGAGGGTATTATCCACCGATAATGAAGTCTATTGATCCTATTTTCCGCAGATGATAAATCCATTAAGCAACGATTTGTTCCAATTTATTTTCGTATGACATTTTCGTAATTTTTTGGGCAATGAAAGGACATTTTCTTTGGATTTTGTAAGCTACAGATCACGGATTCGCCATGAGGCTATTCTTCAATGATGATTGAGTCCATTAAGCACTAATTCGGGCGGATTTATTCCGGGTCAATTTTCGGCTTATTCCAAAGGGGTACTATCACAGATTTTGGGCGATTTTCCCGAAATGCCATTTTCTGTGATTCTGGAAGCTACAAATCACGGATTCTGGACGAGGCTATTATCCAACGATAATAAAGTCTATTGATCCTATTCTCCACGGATGATTATGTCCATTAAGCACCAATTTGGGCCAATTTATTTTTGGATGGCATTTTCGTAATTTTTTGGACGACGATAGGTCATTTCCTTTGGATTTTGATGGCTACAGATCACGGATTCGGTCTGAAGGGGGTACCATCACAGATTTTGAGCGATTTTCCTGAAATATCATTTTCTTTCTATTCTCGAGGCTACAGATCACGAATTCAGGCCGAGGCTATTTCCACTGACAATGAAGTCTATTGATCCTATTCTCCCCGGATGATAAGTCCATTAAGCACCTATTTGGCCCAATTTATTTTCGGATGGCATTTTCGTAATTTTTGGGCAACGAAAGGTCATTTTCTTTGGATTTTGAAGGCTACAGATCACGGATTCGGCCAGAGGCTTTTCTTCAACGATGATTGAGTCCATTAAGCACTGATTTGGGTGAAATTATTCCGGGTCAATATTTGGCGGATTCCAAAGGGGTACCATCACAGATTTTGGGCGATTTTCCCGAAATGCCATTTTCTTTCGATTCTGGAGGCTACAGATCACGGATTCCGGCCGAGGCTATTATCTACCAAAAATGAAGTCTATTGATCCTATTCTCCATGGATGATAAATCCATTAAGCACCAATTTGGGCCAATTTATTTTCATATGCCATTTTCGTATTTTTGGGCGACGAAAGGTAATTTTCCTTGGATTTTGAGGGCTACAGATCACGGATTCAGCCTGAGCCTATTCCTCAACGATGATTATGTCCGTTCAGCACAAAATTGGGCGGATTTATTCTGGGCCAATTTTTGGCAGATTCCAAAGGGGTACCATCACTGATTTTGGGCGATTTTCCCAAAATGCTATTTCCTTTTGATTCTGGAGGCTACAGGTCACAGATTCAGGTCGAGGGTATTATCCACCGATAATGAAGTCTATTGATCCTATTCTCCGCATATGATAAGTCCATTAAGCACCGATTTGACACAATTTATTTTTGGATGACATTTTCGTTATTTTTTGGGCGACGAAAGGCCATTTTCTTTGGATTTTGAAATCTACAGATCACAGATTCGGCATGAGGCTATTCTTCAACGATGATTGAGTCCATTAAGCACTAATTCGAGCGGATTTATTCCGGTCAATTTTTTGCGGATTCCAAAGGGGTACCATCACATATTTTGGGCGATTTTCCCGAAATGCCATTTTCTTTCAATTCTGGAGGCTACAGATTACTGATTCAGGCCGAGGCTATTCTCCATCGACAATGAAGTCTAATGATCCTATTCTCCCTGGATGATAAGTCCATTAAGCACCAATTTGGCCCAATTTATTTTCGAATAACATTTTCATAATTTTTGGGCAACGAAAGGTCATTTTCTTTGGATTTTGAAGGCTACAGATCAGGGATTCGACTTGAGGGTATTCTTTTGGGCAATTTCCCGAAATGTCATTTTCTTTCGATTCTGGAGGCTACAGATCACTGGTCCAGGCCGAGGCTATTATCCACCCATAATGAAGTCTATTGATCATATTCTCCGTAGATGATAAGTCCATTATGCACCAATTTGGGTCAATTTATTTTTGGATCGCATTTTCGCAATTTTTGGTTGACAAAAGGACATTTTCTTTTTATTCTGTCACGGATTTGACCTGAGGCTATTTTTCTACGATGATTACATACATTAAGCACCGATTTAGGAGGATTTTTTTCGGGTCAATTTTTGGCAGATTCAAAAGGGGTACCATCACGGATTTTCGGCGATTTTCTCAAAATGTCATTTTCATTCGATTTTGGAGGCTACAATTCACGGATTCAAGCCGAGGCTATTCTCCACCAAAAATGAAGTCTATTGATCCTATTCTCCATGGATGATAAGTCCATTAAGCACCGATTTGTGTCAACTTATTTTCGTATGCCATTTTCGTAATTTTTTGGCTACGAAAGGTCATTTTCTTGGGATTTTAAGGGCTACACATCACAGATTCAACCTGAGGCTATTCTTCATCGATTATTATGTCCGTTAAGCACAGAATTGGGCCGATTTATTCCGGGTCAATTTTTGGCAGATTCCCAAGGGGTACCATCACAGATTTGAGCGATATTCCCAAAATGCCATTTTCTTTTGATTCTGGAGGCTAAAGATCACAGATTCAGGCCGAGGTTATTAACCACCGATAATAAAGTCTATTGATCCTATTCTTCGCAGATTATAAGTCCATTAAGCACTGATTTGGCCCAATTTATTTTCGGATGACATTTTCGTAATTTTTTGGGCGACTAAAGGCCACTTCCTTTGGATTTTGAAGGCTATAGATCACAGATTGGGCCTGAGGCTATTCTTCGACGATGATTGAGTCCATTAAGCACGAATTTGGGAGAATTTATTCCGGGTCAATTTTAGGCGGATTCCAAAGGGGTACCATTACATATTTTGGGCGATTTTCCCGTAATGGCATTTTCTTTCGATTCTGAGGCTACATATCAAGGAATCAGGCCGAGGGTATTCTCCACCGACAATGAAGTCTATTGATCCTATTATCCATGGATGATAAGTCCATTTAGCACCGGTTTGGCCCAATGTATTTCCAGATGGAATTTTCGTAATTTTTGGGCAATGAAAGGTCATTTTCTTTGGATTTTGAAGGCTACAGATCACGGATTTGTCCTGAGGCTATTCTTCAACGATAATTAATTCCATTACACACTTATTTGGACGGATTTATTTCGGGTCATTTTTTGGCAGATTCCAAAGGGGTACCATTATAGATTTTGAGCGATTTTCCGGAAATGCCATATTCTTTCGATTATGGAGGCTACAGATCACTAATTCAGGCCGAGGCTATTCTCCCACGATAATAAAGACTATTGATCTTATTCTCCATGGTTGATTACGTCCATCAAGCCCCGATTTTTGCCATTTTTTTTGGATGACATTTTCGTTATTTTTGGTTGACAATAGGCCATTTTCTTTGGATTCTGAATGTTAAAGATCACGGATTCGACCTGAGGCTATTCTTCTACGATGATTACGTTCATTAAGCACGAAATTGAGCGAATTAATTCCGGGTCAATTTTTGGCAAAGTACAAAGGGGTACCATCACAGATTTTGGGCGATTTTACCGATATGCCATTTTCTTTCGATTCTGGGGGTTACAGATCACGGATTCAAGCCGAGGCTATTCTCCACCAATAATAAAGTCTATGGATCCTATTCTCCGCAGATGATAAGTCCATTAAGCACCGAATTGGCCCAATTTATTTTCGGATAACATTTTCGTAATTTTTTGGGCGACGAAACTCCATTTTCTTTGGATTTTGAAGGCTAAAGATCACGGATTCTGCCTGAGGCTATTCTTCAACAGTGATCAAGTCCATTAAGCACGGATTTGGGAGAATTTATTCCGGGTCAATTTTTGGCGGATTCCAAAGGTGTACCATCACAGATTTTGGGCGATTTTCCCGAAATGCCATTTTCTTTCGATTCTGGAGGCTACAGATCACGGATTTAGGCCAAGGATATTCTCCACCGATAACGAAGTCTATTAATCCTATTCTACGCAAATGATAAGTCCATTAAGCACCGATTTGGCTTATTTTATTTTCGGATTACATTTTCGTAATTTTTTGTGCGGTGAAAGGCCGTTTTCTTTGGATTTTGAAGGCTACAGATCACGGATTTGGCCTGAGGCTATTCTTCAACGATGATCAAGTCCACTAAGCACGGATTTGGGTGAATTTATTCTGGGTCAATTTTTGGCGGATTCCAAAGGGGTACCATCACTTTTTTTGGGCGATTTTCCCGAAATGCCATTTTCTTTCGATTCTGGACGCTACAGATCACGGATTTAGGACAAGGCTATTCTCCACCGATATCGAAGTCTATTGATCCTATTCTACGCAGATGATAAGTCCATTAAGCACCGATTTGGCCCATTTTATTTTCGGATTACATTTTCGTAATTTTTTGGGCTACGAAAGGCCATTTTCTTTGGATTTTGAAGGCTACAGACACGAATTCGGTCTGAAGCTATTCTTCAACGATGATTAAGTCCATTAAGCATCGACTTGGGAGAATTTATTTCGGGTCAATTTTTGGCGGATTCCAAAGGGGTACCATCACAGATTTTGGGCGATTTTCCCTAAATGCCATTTTCTTTGAATCTGGAGGCTACAGATCACGTATTCAGGACAAGGCTATTATCCATTCATAATGAAGTCTATTGATCCTATTCTCCACAGATGATAAGTCCATTATGCACCTATTTGTCCCAATTTATTTTCCGATGGCATTTTCTTAATTTTTTGGGCGACTAGAGACCATTTTCTTTGGATTTTGAAGGTTACACATCACAGATTTGTCCTGAGGCTATTCTTCAACGATGATTGAGTCCATTAAGCATGGATTTTGGCGAATTTATTCCGGGTCAATTTTTGGCGGATTCCAAAGGGGTACCATCACAGATTTTCGGCGATTTTTCTGAAATGCCATTTTGTTTCGATTCTGTAGGCTAGTGATCACGGATTCAGGCAGAGGCTATACTCCACCGTTAATGAAGTCTATTGATCTTATTCTCCGCGGATGACAAGTCCATTAAGGACCGATTTGGGCCAATTTATTTTGGGATAGCATTTTCGTAATTTTTTGGGCGACGAAAGGCCATTTCCTTGGGATTTTGAAGGCTACAGATCACGGATTCGGCCTGAGGCTATTCATCGACGCTGATTAAGTCCATTAAGCACCGATTTGGGCGAATTTATTCCGGGTCAAATTTTGGCGGATTCCAAAGGGGTACCATCACAGATTTTGGGCGATTTTCCCGAAATGCCATTTTGTTTCGATTATGGAACCTAGTGATCACGGATTCAGGCAGAGGCTATACTCCACCGATAATGAAGTCTATTGATCCTATTCTCCGCAGATGACAAGTCCATTAAGCACCGATTTGGCCCAATTAATTTTGGGATGACATTTTCGTAATTTTTTGGGCGACGAAACGCCATTTTCTTTGGATATTGAAGGCCACAGATCACGGATTCTGCCTGAGGATATTCTTCAATGATGATTACGTCCGTTAGGCATAGATTTGGGTGGATTTATTCCTGGTCAATTTTTGGCAGAGTCCAAATGGGTACCATAACAGATTTTGGACGATTTTCTCGAAATGCCATTTTCTTTTGATTCTGGAGACTACAGATCACGGATTCAGGCCGAGGCTATTATCCACTGATAATGAAGTCTATTGATCCTATTATCTGCAGATGATAAGTCCATTAAGCAACGATTTGGACCAATTTATTTTCGGATGACATTTTCGTAATTTTTTCGGCGACGAAAGGTCATTTTCTTTGGATTTTGAAGGCTACCAAGCACGGATTCGGTCTGAGGCTATTCTTCAACAAAGATTGAATCCATTAATCATGGATTTGGGCGAATTTATTCCGGGTCAATTTTTGGCAGATTCCAAAGGGGTACCATCACAGATTTTGGGGGATTTTCCCGAAATGCTATTTTGTTTCGATTCTGTAGGCTAGGGATCACGGATTCAGGCAGAGGCTATACTCCACCGTTAATGAAGTCTATTGATCCTATTCTCCGCAGATGACAAGTCCATTAAGCACCGATTTGGCCCAATTAATTTTCGGATGACATTTTCGTTAATTTTTGGGTGACGGAAGGCCATTTTCTTTGGACTTTGAAGGCTACAGATCACGGATTCTGCCTGAGGATATTCTTCAATGATGATTACGTCCGTTTAGCACAGATTTGGGTGGATATATTCCCGGTCAATTTTTGGCAAAATCCAAAGGGGTACCATTACAGATTTTGGGCGATTTTCTCGAAATGCCATTTTCTTTTGATTCTGGAGGCTACAGATCACGCATTCAGGCTGAGACTATTATCCACGAATAATGAAGTCTATTGATCCTATTATCCGCAGATGATAAGTCCATTAAGCACCGATTTGGCCCAATTTAATTTCGGATGACATTTTCGTAATTTTTTGGGCGACGAAAGACCATTTTCTTTGGATTTTGAAGGCTACAGATCACGGATTCGGCCTGAGGCTATTCTTCAACGATGATCAAGTCCACTAAGCACGGATTTGGGTGAATTTATTCCGGGTCAATTTTTTGCGGATTCCAAAGGGGTACCATCACAGATTTTCGGCGATTTTCCCTAAATGCCATTTTCTTTGAATCTGGAGGCTACAGATCACGGATTCAGGCCGAGGCTATTCTCCACCGATAATGAAGACTATTGATCCTATTCTCCGCAGATGATAAGTCCATTAAGCACTGATTTTGACCAATTTATTTTCGGATGACATTTTCGTAATTTTTTGGGCGACGAAAGGCCATTTTCTTTGGATTTTGAAGGCTACAAAACACGGATTCGGTATGAGGTTATTCTTCAACAAAGATTGAGTCCATTAAACACGTATTTGGGCGAATTTATTCCGGGTCAAATTTTGACGGATTCCAAAGGGGTACCATCACAGATTTTGGGCGATTTTCGGGAAATGCCATTTTGTTTGGATTATGGAACCTAGTGATCACGGATTCAGGCACAGGCTATACTCCACCGATAATGAAATCTAATGATCCTATTCTCCGCAGATGACAAGTACATTAAGCACCGATTTGACCCAATTAATTTTTGGATGACATTTTCGTAATTTTTTGGGCGACGAAAGGCCATTTTCTTTGGATTTTGACGGCTACAGATCACGGATTCGGCCTGAAGCTATTCTTCAACGATGATTAAGTCCATTTAGCATCGACTTTTGCGAATTTATTTCGGGTCAATTTTTGGCGGATTCCAAAGGGGTACCATCACAGATTTTGGGCTATTTTCCCTAAATGCCATTTTCTTTGAATCTGGAGGCTATAGATCACGTATTCAGGACAAGGCTACTATACATTGATAATGAAGTATATTGATCCTATTCTCTACAGATGATAAGTCCATTAAGCACCTATTTGTCCCAATTTATTTTCCGATGGCATTTTCGTAATTTTTTGGGCGACTAGAGACCATTTTCTTTGGATTTTGAAGGTTACAGATCACAGATTTGTCCCGAGGCTATTCTTCAACGATGATTGAGTCCATTAAGCATGGATTTGGGTCAATTTATTTTTGGATGGCATTTTCGTAATTTTTTGGGCGACGAAAGGCCATTTCCTTGGGATTTTGAAGGCTACAGATCACGGATTCGGCCTGAGGCTATTCTTCGACGATGATTAAGTCCATTAAGCACCGATTTGGGCGAATTTATTCCGTGTCAATTTTTGGCGGATTTCAAAGGGGGTACCATCACAGGTTTTGATCGATTTTTCTAAAATATCATTTTCTTTCTATTCTGGAGGTTACATATCACGAATTGAGGCCGAGGCTATTCTCCAAAGACAATGAAGTCTATTGATTCTATTCTCCCAGGATGATAAGTCCATTAAGCACCTATTTGGCCCAATTTATTTTCGGATGGCATTTTCGTAATTTTTGGGCACCGAAAGATCATTTTCTTTGGGTTTTCTTGGCTACAGATCACAGATTCGACTAGAGGCTATTCTTCAACGATGATTGAGTCCAATAAGCACTGATTTGGGTGAATTTATTCCGGATCAATATTTGGCGGATTCCAAAGGGGTACCATCACAAATTTTGGGCGATTTTCCCGAAATGCCATTTTGTTTCGATTATGGAACCTAGTGATCACGAATTCAGGCAGAGGCTATACTCCACCGATAATGAAGTCTATTGATCCTATTCTCCGCATATGACAAGTCCATTAAGCACCGATTTGGCCCAATTTATTTTTGGATGACATTTTCGTAATTTTTTGGGCGACAAAAGGCCATTTTCTTTGAATTTTGAAGGCTACAAATCACGGATTCTGCCTAAGGATATTCTTCAATAATGATTACGTCCGTTAGGCATAGATTTGGGTGGATTTATTCCCAGTTAATTTTTGGCAGAGTCCAAAGGGGTACCATCACAGATTTTGGGCAATTTTCTCGAAATGCCATTTTCTTTTGATTCTGGAGGCTACAGATCACGGATTCAGGCCGAGGCTATTATCCACCGATAATGAAGTCTATTGATCATATTATCCGCAAATGATAAGTCCATTAAGCACCTATTTGGACCAATTTATTTTCGGATGACATTTTGGTAAAATTTTCGGCGACGAAAAGCCATTTTCTTTGGATTTGGAAGGCTACAAAGCACGGATTCGGCCTGAGGCTATTCTTCAACAAAGATTGAATCCATTAAACACGGATTTGGGCGAATTTATTCCGAGTCAATTTTTGGCGGATTCCAAAGGGGTACCATCACAGATTTTGTGCGATTTTCCCGAAATGCCATTTTGTTTCAATTCTGTAGGCTAGTGATCACGGATTAAGGCAGAGGCTATACTCCACCGTAAATGAAGTCTATTGATCCTATTCTCCGCAGATGACAAGTCCATTAAGCACTTATTTGACCCAATTAATTTTTGGATGACATTTTTGTAATTTTATGGGTGACGAAAGACCATTTTCTTTGGATTTTGACGGCTACAGATCACGGATTCTGCGTGAGGATATTCTTCAATGATTATTACGTCCGTTAAGCACGGATTTGGGTGGAGTTATTCCCAGTCAATTTTTGGTAGAGTCTGTAGGGGTACCAATACAGATTTTGGGCGATTTTCTCGAAATGGCATTTTCTTTTGATTCTAGAGGCTACAGATCACGGATTCAGGCCGAGGCTATTATCCACCAATAATGAAGTCTATTGATCCTATTATCCGCAGATGATATGTCCATTAAGCACCGATTTGGCCCAATTTATTTTCGGATGACATTTTCGTAATTTTTTGGGCGACGAAAGACAATTTTCTTTGGATTTTGAACGCTACAGATCACGGATTCGGCCTGAGGCTATTCTTCCACGATGATCAAGTCCACTAAGCACGGATTTGGGTGAATTTATTCCGGGTCAATTTTTGGCGGATTCCAAAGGTGTACCATCACAGATTTTGGGCGATTTTACCGAAATGTCATTTTCTTTCGATTCTGGAGGCTACAGATCACGGATTCAGGCCAAGGCTATTCTCCACCGATAACAAAGTCTATTAATCCTATTCTACGCAGATGATAAGTCCATTAAGCACCGATTTGGCCCATTTTATTTTTGGATTACATTTTCGTAATTTTTTGTGCGACGAAAGGCAATTTTCTTTGGATTTTGAAGGCTACAGATCACGGATTCGGCCTGAAGCTATTCTTCACCAATGATTAAGTCCATTAAGCAACGATTTGGGCGAATTTATTTCGGGTCAATTTTTGGCCGATTCCAAAGGGGTACCATCATAGATTTTGGACGATTTTCCCTAAATCCCATTTTCTTTGAATCAGGAGGCTACAGATCACGTATTCAGGACAAGGTTATTATCTATTGATAATGAAGTCTATTGATCCTATTATCCGTAGATGATAAGTCCATTAAGCAACTATTTGTCCAAATTTATTTTCCGATGGCATTTTTCGTAATTTTTTGGGCGACTAGATGCCATTTTCTTTGGATTTTGATGGTTACAGATCACAGATTTGTCCTGAGGCTAATCTTCAACGATGATTGAGTCCATTAAGCATGGATTTGGGCGAATTTATTCCGGGTCAATTTTTGTTGGATTCCAAAGGGGTACCATCACAGATTTTGTGCGATTTTCCCGAAATGCGATTTTGTTTCGATTCTGTAGGCTAGTGATCACGGATTCAGGCAGAGGCTATACTCCACCGTTAATGAAGTCTATTGATCCTATTCTCCGCAGATGACAAGTCCATTAAGCACCGATTTGGCCCAATTAATAATCAGATGACATTTTCGCAATTTTTTGGGCGACGAAAGGCCATTTTCTTTGGATTTTGAAGGCTACAGATCACGGATTCTGCCTGAGGATATTCTTCAACGATGATTACGTCCGTTAAGCACAGAAATGGGTGGATTTATTCCCGGTCAGTTTTTGGCAGAGTCCAAAGGGGTACCATCACAGATTTTGGGCGATTTTCTCTAAATGCCAATTTCTTTTGATTCTGGAGGCTACAGATCACGGATTCAGGCCGAGAATATTATCCACGAATAATGAAGCCTATTGATCCCATTATCCGCAGATGACAAGTCCATTAAGCACCGATTTGGCCTAATTTATTTTCGGATGACATTTTCGTAATTTTTTGGGCGACGAAAGGCCATTTTCTTTGGATTTTGAAGGCTACAGATCACGGATTCGGCTTGAGGCTATTCTTCAACGTTGATTGAGTCCATTAAGCATGGATTTGGGGGAATTTATTCCGGGTCAATTTTTGGCGGATTCCAAAGGGGTACCATCATAGATTTTGTGCGATTTTCCCGAAATGCGATTTTGTTTCGATTCTGTAGGCTAGTGATCACGGATTCAGGCAGAGGCTATACTCCACCGTTAATGAAGTCTATTGATCCTATTCTCCGCAGATGACAAGTCCATTAAGCACCGATTTGGCCCAATTAATAATCAGATGACATTTTCATAATTTTTTGGGCGACGAAAGGCCATTTTCTTTGGATTTTGAAGGCTACAGATCACGGATTCTGCCTGAGGATATTCTTCAATGATGATTACGTCCGTTAAGCACAGAAATGGGTGGATTTATTCCCCGTCAATTTTTGGCAGAGTCCAAATGGGTACCATCACAGATTTTGGGCGATTTTCTCTAAATGCCATTTTCTTTTGATTCAGGAGGCTACAGATCACGGATTCAGGCTGAGACTAATATCCACGAATAATGAAGTCTATTGATCCCATTATCCGCAGATGACAAGTCCATTAAGCACCGATTTGGCCCAATTTATTTTCGGATGACATTTTCGTAATTTTTTGGGCGACGAAAGGCCATTTTCTTTGGATTTTGAAGGCTACAGATCACGGATTCGGCCTGAGGCTATTCTTCAACGATGATTGAGTCCATTCAGCATGTATTTGGGAGAATTTATTCAGGGTCAATTTTTGGCGGATTCCAAAG